TTAATAATATTATTTATAAAGTTAATTAAATTAATATTACTTTATATTAAAATAAATAAATTATATATATCTTTATAAATTAAATTTAAATTAACTATATAAAATTAATATAATATTATTTTTATTTTATTAAATAATAAAGATAATTTATTATTAGTGTTAATAAGGTTAATAGGGGTGTTTTAGTGAGAATGTTGGATTTTTCGCTTTATTAGTGAAGTTTTAGTTTAACTGAGGAATAGGGGGTATTTAACCGGGGGGGGGCGCAACTTCGTTTTTCCCAGACAGCGGTTTAACCGAGGTAGGAGTATGCGGAGTCTGTATTTGCTCATGCTCCCACCGCTAGCTGGCCCGCCCACGAGAGGGCTTCTTATCATACGACAGGTATCGTCCGGGGGAGCAAGGCATCACGGTGAAAAGTTCTCCGCTATGCCTTGTGACACGTTGCATCCTTCTCGTATCGATCTGGGCCAGATGCGAAGGAGAGGAGTCCAAAGTTTTGATCAATTTGCGGGCCGATCATCACAGAGAGTATCTCGTAAAATGGGGATCAGTAACGTGCCGACTACAAGCTATAGGAACCTGGAATGAACCACACGTGCTGAAACCAACGGGCAAGCGGGTAAGCGGGTGGGCCGTCAGATCGCCAGCGGGGAGACACCGTCGCCCGTTACTATCTTAGAAGCATTGATGAACCCGGTTGATAGATTCCTCTTAACCCAGCCGCACCTAAGGCTCGAGCAGTAGCCTCCCAGCAATCTCATGAGTCCGGCACATCATGCGGGCCGCTGTCCTTGTCCATCGCATGGGCAATGGCCCTCCGCACCGACAGCGCATAGAGATGCCGCAGTGGGGAGGCAAAGGGAGATGGAGATGTAAGCGCCACCCCCCCCCCCCACCGGGAGACCACGTTGCGAACGCATGGGACGTGCGGTAGCACCGAGGTTTGGGGAACAGCCGATATTTAAGGTTTCCCATGGCGTGGTCTGAATGGGGCCACACCCCTCGGCACGGGAGACGAGTGGCCGGGCTGCTCGCAACTCCAAACGAGCCATCCCCATGAAACGCGGCACACAACGCGAGGTCCTTCAGGTCCCGAATCCTACCTGTCGCGTACGCACTGAAATAAGATTTCGTCACCAAGATTTTCTTACCATACCGCAATCTTGGTGCCTGAAGAGTCATCTCCATCATCACTCGCTTGCTCAATCGCCCAGCAGGATCCGAGCCAAGCTTGGCTGAGTCCTGCGTCCTCGCCGCGGGGAACAGCCGTGTAATTAGCCGGTAGGGTTTGAGTACTGCATTCGAACCTTGATATTTATATTCCACCCGTGTCGAGATCTCCATGAGACACAGCCGCATTCGACATGGAGGGAGCTCGGGCTACCATGCATATTTCGCCCCAGCCATGGGCGGGCTCAGAGTTTGCCGACCTCTGGGGTTTGACTCCACGGCCTGTGCTGCGCAGTGTCTGGCAGCTTGGCACGAAACTTGTTCCTGGCGGGGACTTTTTGGAAAGCCAAATTCAAATAGCCACCCATGTGCACGAAGGTTTCCGAATTCTCCGTAATGCGAGCCACCACATCCAGAGTCTAGACGAAGCAGGGGGCCCGGCACTCCACTGGATCTGAATACTACCAGCACCAGCAAGAAACTGGATATTGGAGCTCAGAAGCGAATCCGCCCAACATCGCCTTCAAGCGAGACTATATGCTTGAATGATCGCTCGCAGAAGGGCTGCAGTATGCGATGGTGTGTGGGCGGTATCATGCGGTTGTCCGTTCGCACAGCTGGAACATGCGTTGATCCATCCAGGACGTAGGTAAGCACGCGGCACTGAGATCATAGTTTCCCAAGGCTTTCCCGAGGCTCTTCCTTAGGCCATGGCATGGCTTGGGTGAGAAATTAAAGTTTGATTGTTAAGTAGTACACGAGGGCCGGGTCGTAATGCGGAGTAGTGACCCGTTTGTCCGAGCAATATTGTACTCGCCAACAATGTTGCTAGCATTTCAAGCGCAGAAGCTGGTTCGAAGCTGTCTCATCGCGGATTCTGGTTGACGATGGGTGTATTTCTCAGCCGCAGGTGCATATGTTGGCTGCAGGCACATTGCAGACTTGTAGTGATCCACTTTTGAAGGGTCAGGTGCACGCCACGTCGGAAAGCTCGGTGAGCCTCTCCAAGTTGCCATCCATGCTTACGCGTGATTTCAGGGGGCAGAATGCAACACTGGAGGCAGATCATGCCCTGTTGTTGTGGAAGGCCTTGGCCTGCGTCTTTTCAGATGAATCCCCAACGTACTCAGCCTGTAGACTAAGTTCGGATGGGGTCATGAGAAGATGATGTAAAATACACAATGGACTGGAATTGGAGCACGGCCACTGAAAATGGACTCCTTACTGAAAGTTAGATGGCGTTTCTCACTTGGACTGTCGGAAGTTCATCAGTGGTGGAATGTTATTGACAACCATGTGACCTCAGCGTAACAGGCGCGAGTTTGGTTGAGGGTTACCTCGCCGTACCACAGTACCAATTTCCATGTGATGGCAATTTTCACAACTTGATTCCTGTAGACAAAAAGACCAATACGTGACTTGGCCTAGGCCTGCTCAGGCGGGCTCAGCTGCGGGTTGTATGCCTGAAACGGGCTGATGCCGAGATCGATCGCCCCTGAGAAGACGTGCGATCCTTGTCCGAAAAGCTTGACCACCCAGGCGTTACGCGGGATAAGGCACAGCATGAGCTCTAGCAGAGTTAATCCGCGTTCAGCCACTAGAAATGGCACATCTGGGCGACGACGCGGCCCAAAGCCCTTGTGTACATCTGATGCCCGTTAAGATCGATGGTTTCACCGCATCCTCGGGTCGTAAATGACCTCGAAGCTCCCTCCGCCCAAGCTCCCAGGAGCGTTCCATATTAGTATCAGGAGGCTCACTAGCCCGAGTCTATCGGGAAGCACAGCACACAATCACGAACTCACAAGCGGGAAGCTTTTTGCAACCATGTGCTGGGCCGAGCATGCCACCAACCCTCCATTTCCCAGCCCAGCGCCAACCTCTCCCAATCATCGTCACTCCGAAGGGCTGGAAGCGATCAAAGCACCGACAAGAAGCCCTGCGTATTTAGGACGGCCCGTCGCCATTCTGGGATTAGGCCAATAGAACCAGTATGCTCTGTGTATTATTATAGCTCTGCTTCACTTGAGCATGATTCCCGCGACCGGTTCGCATCTTGGGATCTGTTTAAGCCGAGCCTTGTGTCACCAGTGGCCCGCGCTACCGTGGGCTATTCCACCTGTGAGGCTGTAAACACTCGATGACCCTTTCGGGTCGTCAAGGACATCATGCTGCAGACCGACCAGGAGAGGCAGGACAGCCTCGTCGTTCTGTCTATTGTTCTCACAACACTGTCCAGTAAGTCACAGTCACGACAACGTCGGCGCCATTCTGCGGGTGATGGGGCCTGGACCGCTGACATCCTCCTTTTCAGCATTCATTGTTGCGGTGCGATGTTTAATACGCTTCGTCGTCGTGCGGAAACCTGGGTGGGACGAGTACACGATTCTCGTGGCGCTTTTCTTCACCGTCGGCTACATGATCGAAATATTGATTTTGAGGGCAAACCACGTCGGATTCCCGGCATCCACATTGACGACAAACAACATGCTCGAGCTTTTGCAGACGACACTAGCAATCGAGGTCACCTATTATCTCATCGTTGGATTCATAAAGGCGTCTATTCTGTGCATGTACCTCCGGTTTGGTATGTCAATCCTCTCCTCAGGGACACCTCTTGCACCCACTGACTCTCACTCGTAGCGGTGTCTGAGATCTTTCGCTATCTGTGCTACGGCACCATTGTCTTCCAAATGATGTTCACAGCCATTTGCCTCTGTGTGACTTTGGGCCAATGCCAGCCCTTAAGCAAGCTGTGGGACCTCACTCGGACACAGCCGGGCTCATGTATCAACACCACTGCATTTTTCTACTGTACGCCTCCATCTCTGTTTATCGAAGAAAGAGTGAATAACTTCTGACCCTTCGACAGCTACTTCCGGTGTCAATATCATAACGGACTTTTGGATTATAGCCCTCCCTATCAAGACCTTGAATGGATACAATCGTCCTCTTCAGGAGAAGATTGCGCTCGCTATGATTTTCGGAGCCGGTATCTTCGCGGCCATTATGTCAGTGGTACGCCTGCAGAGCATTTACACGTACACATTGGCAACCGACCCCTTCCGTGACGCAATTGCGGTGAGTCTTTCTTCATTCAATATACCCCCCAGAGAGAATAAGACCAACTGACTCGTGTGTACAGGTGAATCTTTTTTCACAGATAGAAATTAATACCGCCATCCTCTGCGCCAGCGTCCCGGCCCTCAAGCCACTATTCACACCGCACCGCCTACGGGAGTTCAAGAACGGGAGGAAGTATCAGCACCGTCCACAGGACAAGCTTGACTCTGACAGCCAGAAAACCATATTCAGTAGAAAGAGATCACACCCAGAACTTTACCCAGACACGATCGACCTCACAAAGTTATCTGCAATCGACCACGGCTCCACAGCGTCACTCGGCGGTAATGATAAAGAGGAGGTTGTATTCAACAAGGTGTGGTTACCGGCGGACTCGAAAAATTATGATGCCGAGGACGAGGCCACTTTTGGCATGCCAAATCAAAAGGCTTTCCATCCGGTCTGATGCACGGTGGCTTGACTGGGGTTTGGACAAACAGAAAATTGCATAGCAGGACTGGTCATGTAGGATCGCACCACAGTGAAAGGAGTTTTGCATGGGTTGGTGGGTACAAGGAGTTACATCTGACGCATTCGACGAAGAACACTCAATGACTCGGTTCACAGTACGAGTCACCCGTCCTCAGGACTTCAGGTACGCCCAATAGGGGTGTAGATGGATATACCAGGCTCTTGAGCTTCTTTTCTACTCGACCAGACTGTATCAACATATGGCATATAATACGGATGTTGTTAGGACGAATCTATCGAGTCGTCTCCTGTCCCAATTCCTGCCCTACGGGTATCAACCGCACATTGAAGGGCGGCTTATCCCACACAATGAAGAGATTCTTCTGATCTCGTGTCCAGTGCCTGCTGTCGGTCTGTACCTCCATATCAAAGTTGAATATCATGTGGGCGAGTACGATTCGCAGCTCCATGACAGCGAGGCTGATGAACGGCGGTCAGCATTGCCTCAACGTCAAACGAGTGCATATATGGAAACAATGGCAGAGAAATTTACCCTCTCCCCACACAATCTCTCGCTCCAGTAGAAAAGGGCTTCAATGCTTCACGATCATCATTGGCATACTGTGGGTCGCCAAGGAATCTCTCGGGGTGAAACCCATCGGGGTCGACGAATGCTTTCGGGTCGCGGTACATCGACCACGGCCAAACCCCTACCACCGTCTGCATCACCGCCACAGCATCAGCCATAAATGTTATCTATATGTTTCGTCGGTCGGAATAACAATATACCTTCGGCGGTATTGGGATCCCACAAATGACATCGTTGCCGTTCCCGGTGACCCGTAGAGACGCCACGCCGGTTTGCGGGTACAGTCTGAGAGCCTCTTCAGTGCAGGCAATCAGATAGGGCGTGCGGCTGTTGACAGCATCCAGTGAGATCTCGGCCTCAGAATTGAACGCTGAGCGAACTTCCTGCTTCAGCGTCTCCAGCTTGTCTGGGTCCTCGAGAAGGAAAGAGGTGACAGCCGTCAGTACCCCCGCCGTCGTCTCGCTCCCAGCACCGATAAACACCGTCGCGTGCGAGATCATGTCGTTCGCACTGAGATTCTGATTGCTCCACAGTCAGCCTAAAGTTTAGATGCACCACCACAGACCTGTTTCACTGACCCACTCGTCCTTCTTCATGATAATGGGGTTGATCATATCGGGACGATTAGTACCCTGAGCCACGCGCCTCTCCATCATTGACTTCACCAAATTGTTATGCAGCTCAAAGCCCTTCGTTGCCACTTTCTCGAAGATCCAGTTGGAAACTTTCCTGGGGACCGGGTACATGCTCAGAGCGGTTAGCAGCCACATGGCCTTGCCGGCATCGTTCATGCCCTGTATCCACGGGTGGAACTCGGCGCTGTTGAGGCAGCCGAACGACTCGCCCAGAGCCAAGTCGCCGATAATGTCGAACACGGTGAAGCGATACCACTTTTCCAAGTTTACAACACCACTCCCAGCGCTGCAGGACTCCCTTAACCTCTCGGTGAGATTCTGGATGTATTTGGAGATAAGTAGCTCCTGCGCCCGCAAGCTCTGGTCGCTGAACCCCGGCGCCACAGCCCGGCGGAGCATCTTGTGGTGCTCCTTATCAACAGTGTTTTGTAGGTGAGGCGCCATGAACGCGGGCACGAGATACGCTTCCCCCCACTTGGCCAGCTCCTTGGACCCGCCGCCGTGTACATCCTTCCACGACGACGAGTCCGCAAATGCCAATTCGTTCGGCGCGACGCGAACGACCGGCCCATATCTGCGGTGCAGGGCTGCCGTGTCGGTGTGAAGGCGACCTCGGAGGATCGAGAGGGTGTAAGGAATGCGTGAGGCGCGGTGAGCCAGGGGCCCTGGGAAAGACGCCAGGGGGTGAAATCGGAGATTGTAGATGATGTTAAAGGCATGGTATAGAGCCACCACGATCGTGGTGAGGCCGACTACTTGGCCCAGACTGAAGCCCCCTGGTAACGCAAACACGGCCATTGTGGGCATTTCACCAAAGAAGGGGTGATGAGATGTAAGATTCAAAGATGAGCAAAGAAGCACCGTTGAGAAGGGGAATCTCTGACGTATCATCAACTTGGGCATCCTATCACAGCGGAGAGGGCCGATGGATCCGCCAAACTTTAATGAGTATTTGAGTTGCAACACATCACAGAGTTTCCGCCTCCTCACCGGAATTCAATATATTTAATCCGACCATTCACGTTTCCTGGAAGCATAATCTGTAGCAAACAAAACCTTACGTATGTGACCTAGAGCAGTGTAAGGAGATGATGATGAAGCACCGAAGACAGGCAAAGCGCAGAGTCGTCGATTCAGGGGGGCAACAAGGGCAATAAGCATCATCTTTTCCACGGGAGGCTTGTAATTGCTCACAGCATTGTACTTTTGTATCAGCTCCGGTCACGTTCAGGCTCAAACCGAGTCAATTGCTCGTCGGAATATCGTCGCCTAAAACACTTGGTTCTTGAACCAAATGAAAGTATATCACTCCCTGAAGCCGTTCTCGCCCTTTTGGCAGCAGAAGAAAATTTGTAGCAGAAGTCACTCGCACTCACAAACTGTTTCAGGGTCCTATCCCATTCAAAGCTCAACGTTCTCCTAGCGAAGAGTCATAAGCCCAGGGGCCTTTTTGACGATCCTCTCCAGCAGCACCAAAAGCAGATACGAAACCCATTTCACAGACTTGGTCATAATTTACTCATCCTCAGCATCTCGTGGATCATGTGTCCCCCAGAATTTCTCGTAATCGTCCCAGGTCTGGGAGGGGAAGGCAAGCGGGACAGTGATCGGGGCGAAAGGAATGCCCTTTTCTTGAAATTCTTGAAGGCGAGCCTGGGTCTTCGGTCGCGTATTGTTCACACTGTAGACCGAGATCCTGTGGCAAGAGCTGGTGACGTGTAGCCCCCAGTTCCACGCGGTCCGCACATCGGGAGGTTGAGTGTTGAGGGAGTTGTCCCAGCAGCGGCAGACAATCTCAATCCAGCCCTCGACATCGCATGGTAGTTCCATCTCCCAGGTTCGCCAGGTCCACTTGCGCTTCTTGGAGAGGTTCTCGATCGGCACTGTGTACCAGTTGAAACCGCCGTCGGAGGAGAGCTCGACCCGTTCCGGCCAGCGACCACCACCAGAATAGGCCCAGCCCTTGCAGCGGATCTTGCCGTTGTGAATCACTACCTGCTTGGTCCATGGTGACATTATGGCGGAGCTGACGGGCATCTCCTGGATCTGGATTCCATCGGTCATTTTGAAGTTGTGCTTGCCGACCTGCTGCGGGAAATACAGGTATTCCTGGCTTTGCACTGGCGCGCGAGTAGGCTGCTCAATGGCCTTGATGCGATAAAGCCATTTGACGCTTCGAGCTCCGATATAACCGAAGACGACGATGCGGAGAGGGTATCCATGGATTCTGGGCAGGACTTCACCATTCATTTCCCAAGCAAGCATGACTTCGTTAGCTTTGACCTTGGACCAGGGAACACTGACGAGGTAATTCATGGTCTTGTCGTCCTTGAAGTAGGTATCGGCGCCGTAGAACTCCAGGTGTTTGGCGCCTTCGGTCAAGCCACCGCAGGCTTTGATCACCTTCTTAAGACTAACACCGACGTACTTGGCGGTGCCAATGGCACCCTCAGCCCAAGGGGCCTGTGGAACCTCGTCACCCTGGCCAGGATACTTCAGAATCTGCTCAATGCGGCGGGTCCCGGAACACTGCATTGTGATGGTCTTTTCCATGCGCGGAAATTTGGACTCGTCCATGAGGTCGTCCAAGGTGAATGACCGTGATTCCTTGACCAAACCATCCAGTAGGAAGCTGTAATGTTCCTTATCGATGATAGGAATACCGCCATGGTTTCGAACGAAGTGCAAAGGGTTGGGGGTAATCTCATGGTCAGTCACCAGGCGCTTGGGAGGCTCTCCGTTGTAGGGAAATTGCAGCAAATGGAGCATATCGGCGTGCTTCTCCTTCAGTACAATATCCCAAGAATCATCTGGTATCCGGGACAGGGCGCCACCCACTGCCTTGTGCCACATCTTCCAATGGGTGCCAGGCAGAACAGGGTTGCTGGCGGGAATAGGGCCAAGCTGAAACTCCGGATTAGGAGGGAAAGTTTGTGACGTCAAGATCTTGTGGGCTGCAGCCTTCTTGTCTGGGTAATTCTCCCATTCGACGAAGCTGTTTGAAGATCATAAGTCATTGAACGACTTTCCTTGATTGCGAACGAGTGTCTCTCACCCAGTCCACCCTTCACGCTCCTCCGCGAAGAGCTTGTTGCAATCACCGACACTTTTGATAGCTTCCTCGTCCTTCGTAAGATCACCAAAGGTTTGAGGGGGGAGCACCTTTGTCTGGGGCCCCGTCATATCAAGAACGGGGAGTTCAGCCCCAGCAAGGCCTTGCTCAATCTTCCACTCATCGGGCCTGTTGGTAGTCTTCATGATTGCGGGGTTGGAGCAGTGAAGGGAAGGAGTCTGTGATCTGGTTTACTACAAAGTAAAGACGGAGAATCGAGGATTCAGTAGTGTACGACTGTAGACGCCGGGACACTCGGTCTTTTAGCCGAGAAGGTGAGTTTGGTACCAGACGGGGAAACGTCACAAATGTGGAGGCTTGCATCTGATAGTCCTAGGCGTGAAGATGGAATACCAATCACACAATGCAGTATAGCTTCTACCAGATAGAGTTTAGCAACCGTGCCCAAGCGTTTTGCTACCCAGACAAGAATTGCTGATGCATGAAAATCGCCCGTGCTTACTGAGCACCACCAGGTTTCCTATGCCTTTGGTCGTGACCTAACTAGTTTCGTTTCAGTTCTTGCGTTACTTTGCGGATGTTCGGAAGTGCAACTAGCCCAAGTTGGTTGATGAATACGCTTTGTGAGTGGCTGGTCGCTATCGGTGTCGCTCGGACGATGTCTCTTCTCCTTCCAGCGTCACCTTGAGGAGAGGGGGAGTTCCAGACGTGCCTCGCGATTTGCTGCTGTAGGTTACTTCGCTAATGCCCGGGGCGATTCCACGACCGCTGGTATCTGCATTAGCTAGGGTCAGTATCCCTTGTCCACGAAGATACCGGCCTCCCTTGTGGTGCCGTAGACCGATTTGCGATGACGCCCCCAGCTGTGGTCGCTGATCGCCAAGGAATTGCTTAGCAAGTCGAGAACACCAACGCCCTGGATGTCTCGACCTCGCGACCCCGCTGATTGATGTTACCAATAACCCTTGAACACATCATGTGCGATGGCAGTATGATCCCTCTGCTCCGAAGTCAACCAACATGCTCTATGTTCGTGTCCCTAATGCGTTTCCACCTCATCGAATAAGCCCGGCACACCTATTCCGCAGAGACAGGATTTGGTACCCAACCAGGGCAGCCCGCCCAGAGCGTTATAACCGTCACCTCTCAGCAACAACCCAACACAACTCATCCGCCACAATGAATCCGCAAGCCGTTGAAGCACCCTTAACTCAATCTGCCACGTTCCTTGTATTGACGGCAACGGGAAAACCGGACGCGGTCAAGAACATTCGATCCGCCATCTCTAGTATCTCAGACATCACCAAGAACGTTGCGACCCGCCACCCGAATGCCCATCTCTCATGCACCGTCGGCATTGGGAGCGATATCTGGGACAACCTGGCTCAGGTCCCTCGGCCGACAGAGCTGCGACCATTTAAAGAGGTCCGCGGCGCCAAGCACACCGCAGTGTCGACACCAGGTGACCTGCTACTCCACATCCGGTCGGAGAGGAGAGACATGTCCTTCGAATTCGAGAGACAACTCATGGACCTGTTGGGCGATGCAGTCGAGACAGAGGATGTGACAGTTGGTTTTCGCTACTTCGATGGCCGCGATGTTCTGGGCTTCGTCGATGGCACTGCAAATCCCGTGGGCCCAGACGTATCTGAAGCCGTTCTGGTCACTCAAGACGATGACAAGACTGAGACCGCGCCGGGAGGTAGCTATGTTGTAGTACAGAAGTATCTACATGATCTCAAGTCATGGCGAGGTTTGTCGACGGAGAAGCAGGAGGCCATCATCGGGCGGACGAAGTTGGATAACATCGAGCTGGACGACGCTGAAGACGGACAGCAGCAGTCTCACAAGAGCTTGTCAACAATTGCTGATAAAGACGGCAATGAGCACGGCATTCTGAGAGACAACATGCCCTTTGGGTCCCCAGCGTCGGGCGAGTTTGGGACGTACTTTATTGGGTATTCGAAAAAGCTGTGGGTCATTGAGAAGATGCTTGAGCGAATGTTCTCTGGCAGCCCACCGGGACTGCATGACAGGATTTTGGACTTCTCCACGCCAATCACCGGGTCCACGTTCTTTGTACCGTCAGCTGAGGTATTAGAAAGACTGGGTGAGGATTAAACCTTACACGATAGGGATAGGTGGCGCGTCCCTGTGCTGTCGAGACAAGTCATAAACTTGTAGGATGACACAGCGGGCGGGCTCTGGGATTGCTCAAAGGGTCCCTAGATCAGAGACTCTTTCACGGCCGTTCACTTATCTGGAACCAAGTGCGACAATAACCGCAATTGCTTTAACAAGCTTGTCCACTATGCTGGAACTCTTCAGGGTTGACTTGACTTGACTTGACTACATGACTGCATCTGAGCAAACCACCAGATCAATTCGCCCACAGAGGGCTACAACAATAGGAAAAGAAGTTAGGGCCTCCATCCGCCGGTCCTAGTACGGAAGAGCCCGTTTGGGTCCACCTCCTCTTGCACCCGTTTCGCCAGCGCCCTGTTCTCTGGCTTCAGTCTCCCAAAGTAGTCTTGGCGGAAGAACCCGTAATTCATAAACACGGGATTGTAGCTTTCCTCAAGAGTCCGATCCTGCTGCCAGCCCAAGATCCTCTCTCTTACGCCGCCATACGTCGCCTCCATTGTGTCAGCCATCCTGTCATAGCTCGTCTGCAGGGCGAACGCGTAGTTCATCTCGATGATGATGCGATCGACAGAGTCATCCGCATCGATGAGATCCGGGCTACGCGCGCGTGCTTCCCTGGCGATGGCCTTGGGGAATGGCTGCCACGCAATGGACGCCACGATGCCGGGCTCAAGTAGTGTGGTCTCAGTGACGTTTCTCCAGTGACTGTGCAGTTCCTCCATCACTTTGCCCTCGTCTTCGGCCTTGGGAAGCGGGATAGTTTCCGTGGCAATGTCCACCACGACCCCCTTCAGGACGACCCAGTTGCTCGAGGCCATGAGATCGGCGTACGTGCGCTCTCGGGTGGTGTCCATAAGCGGGTTGACATCTGTGAAGTTGTCGAACTTGCCTGCTGGGGGAGAGGGGCCGTCGTAGAAGAGGAAGATGATCCATGAGTCCACCAAGTTGACATTGGTGCGCTCTGCGGTCACAATGACAGCAGCCTTGGGGTCGTCATTGTATTCTGTGAAATCACGTACTGCTTTGAGAAGCTTGACATCTTTCTCTGGTGTCCTCAAGTAAACGAGATTGCCGCCCCATACGTTTCCTTGACGCTGCCCTTGCAATCTGCTCACTGGTAAATCTCTGTAAGTTGTCTCATGGAAGGTCCTAGACTAACCTGTAGTTGGTAACAATACCAAAGTTGTTCCCACCACCTTTCAGGGCCTGTCCACATTTAACATTATACCCTGGAGGGCTTCGAGAGACGAGATGCATCTTACCTTGAATAGATCGGGGTAGTTGTCGTTGTTGATGTAACCAATAGTCCCGTTCGCGAACACTATCGTGTACTCAAGGACCATGCTGGCAGCCCATCCATATTGTGCTGACATGTATGACAGTCCACCACCGAGCACAAGACCGCCTACACCGGTGTTCCCAATCCTACCGCCAACGAACGTCCATCCACTCCCTTGCAACTTGGCTGCAATTCCATCTAGTCGATTACCAGGTCCCACATCAATAACACCAGTCGCTTGGTTCACATTGGCCTGGTCGAGATGTTCCGTGACGATCAACGGCCCACCTTGGACACTGGAGAAGCCATTGTTGGGATTATGTCCGCCACTCTTGACCGCGAATGTTTCACTATTGTTGGCAAGGATTGTCACGACGGTGGCAACTTCCTCCGCTGACTTGGGAAAGATAATACAAGAGGGAGTCAGGGCTGAACATGAAGTGGACCAGTACTGGGACTGCTCCTCGATATAAGCGAGGTCTAGGGAGCGGGATACATTTATGTAGCGCAGTGCTTCCACTGACGAGCAGGTGTCAGCCAAGGCGCAGCGGATAAAGGTAATAATAATCGAGGATAGGAAGACTCGGGACATCATGATTTTTGGTTAATGCACGGAATCAAAGATATACAGTGCACTGCCTATGTAACAGTGTGAAGGAATGGGCACTACTTATGCTTCTGAAAACATTTTATTATGACGATCAAGAGCTCTATCCGCACATATCATGTCTTGGTAATTCTGCATAGTCAACACCCTCAAGTCAGCGACAGCGGAATCCCCTGCCATCTGGGATTGCACAGCTCCCCTCCACCAAGGCAGGGCGGATCCCCTCGCACCACATAATTGGCGCCAGTACCGTGGATAAACTTCTCGCTAATGTGCATCCTCCGACACTATTGCATGCTGTCTAACGGTTTTCCGGGCCAGGACTCAGACTATTGAGGAAGCTTCCCAAGTCTCCTTGCAGCAAGTCCCATGAAACCACCTGGGACTGGACGTCATCTCGCGTTTTCCTCGAGAGTGTCAAATGGTCAGATTTGATTTTCAATTACACGGCACCGTATAAACAACTACATGCGTTGTATTAATTTCCACGAGCCCAGCTTTTATCACTCTCAGACAGCATATCATTGGTCCTCTCGACCATCTCCGGCTGACAGCAGGGCGCTTGCTGGCGGTCCCACCCGCCTGAATGCGACCCGGCAAAAGTCCTGCCAAACGTGCAGATACGAAAAGCTTGGCAGCTGATATACAGCTTTCAGAAATTCTGGACTGCTCGTGAGATGATTCCATATCGCGCATAGTGCGCGATGTAGTGTGTTAGGATGCACCGGCTAATCTGGGCTTGGCTTCTTGTCGCTGGAGTAGGATTCGGCTTCTGCTTAGATTAGGTAGTATAAACGACGATCGCGTGCATAGAGGAAGCAGAGTGGCCAGCTGAAATACTGAAATGGTAACTGAGTCGCGCACGATTCGGGGCGAGAATATGTGGGCTTTTGGTGCACAAGTGGACTCAGGTGACTATAGGGTGCAAGCTGGTTTGACGGCATATGATAAGTTCGCCGCCGCGTGCTGGGCGTTAACTTGGCGGGGAATGATAAGTGGTACATGCCGGTAGTAAGTATGCACCTCCATTTGTAACTGCATATTGAAGATCATATATATCACCTTCTGATAAATTAACGATAATGGACCTCGTCCGTTTGTTTCCATGGCGTCCTGCTCCCGCGACCGTATCCCCGGTCTTCAGTTGTCAATACTGTGGCTTCGCTCTCAAGTGGGTTGTAATTATCATAACATGCCTGCGGAAAATTCAAACAAGAGTCTGGATGCACTTTCATTGTGCAAGTCACTCAGAATAGTCACAATGAGTGCCCTTAATTCGATGACATTGAACGGCTTGCTTGGATGCTGTTTTCAACCCGCCGCACGACTCTCATTGTATTTTCTGTTGAGTGATCAGCTATGGCTTAAGTCTATCCCGAAACATAATCTGAGCTTCTATCAATTAAAAGTCCCAAAACCGCGGCCCACCAATGCAGATGTTTGACCTCATAGCACTACGTGACTGCAGGCTGGGGCACATGAAATCCAACCACATGTGCACTCCCTCAGGCGTATTTCCGTTCTCGAAGCATGATCTTAGCTTTGGTATCTGGTGAAATGGAACCATTGGGCATTGAATTTCGTTTAGGCGCACTTTTACCATTGGGCAGAAGCTGAACGTCATAGTTGAGCAGGAAATGAGCGAGAGCCACCTTGATAGTCACACTTCCGAACAGTCTTCCGGGGCATGCCTGCGTACCACCGCCCCATATCGTATTGTCTGGTCCCGGCTGCGCGAACTGGTGCAATTCTTCTTGGTTTGGCTCTTGCCTCATCTCGTAGAATCGCAGCGGCTTAAGCTCTGAGGCAGCCTCATATCTTGTCTGAGACTTTTTGAGGTGGTACGCGTCAACGCAGATGAGTGTTCCCGGAGCTAGCTCTGGCCCAAGAGAGAGCTTCAGTGGTTTCTGGACTCTTCGAAACAGTGCCACTACATGGAATAAGTATTAGCAGCGCGCACAGATGGATGGCGGAAAGGTCCGGTAAACATACAATGACTGCTTCCAGTCACTCGGGCAGATTCGAGCATGAAGCTGTCCATCTTGCGCAACTCCGCGAGATAGCCTAGTGGCAAATGACCCTCTGAATCCATATTCTGAGACAGCTCTTCTCGCAGCTCTTCCACAAGATCAGGTCGTACAGCCAATTCCGCTACCAAGAAATATAACATTCCAGCTGAAGTTGTAGCTGCCTCAAAGGCAACCACGATATGATCACGGATAAGGTGAGTGAGGTTCTTGTCCCCTGCTCGGTACCGATCCAGTAGCCAAGACGTCAAGGGGAATTTCTCATTGCTTGGCTCTGGGCGAAAGGACGAACCGGGAACGGTGGTCGTGTCTTTTGCCTTGTCTTGGGAAGAATTCTTTTCCTGGTAGTGTCTCATCTCTTTCTGTAGCATTGGTCGCAACAGCGAAGACATATGCCAGTCGACCAGCCTGGCGGGCAGGAAAACAACAGGAGCCACCAGAGGTCGTAACAGGCGGGGCGTTAGATGAGAGCCCACGATGCCAACCATGATAGCACTGTGGAGGCGTTCAGTAGCTTTCAGCCATCGGGGATCGAGCCCAAGCTCAGGGCCAAAGAGGCCGGTAGCGTTCATCAGAGAGATAATCTTTTGCACTGTGCTCCACAAGGACAATGTGGTCCAGTCATGCTTGACTCCTGTAGGACCTAACACTGTTTCAAAGGCCTGTTGAGCATTTTCTTGACGCATCCAGACCCGCGAGGGTAGTGCACGCGCAATATCGATGCTAACCATGTGGTAGCGAGCACTGTTGTCGGTGCCCAGAAAATGCCATCCTTGCCAGAAAATCTGCGTGAACCAGTCGACCATGGAGGCCCGAGAAGCGTTGAGTTTCTTAATCTCGTCGAAAGCTGACGACGGGAACACCACATACTCGTATCCACTGTACGTGATGATATATGGGGAATTGGGGTGCATCCGGGCTCCCTGTTGCAGGAGTGTTGGATAGTCCCAACCTTTACGCATCTTCAAAGTCGGGAGCCTCATCTTTCGCCCTGCTGAAGCAAACCTGGCACTCAGTCTGTCGATTATGAATATAGTGGCAATCGTGAGAATTGCAAGAATTGCCAACGAAGAGGGGTCCCCAGAACGCAGATCATGCGTGGTCTTTCTGATAAATAAACGGAATGGCTCGAACTGGGTCAACCTCAACGGCCGGATGGCGTTGACTGCTGCCTCGTACTGGCCTCTCAAGGCGTTGCGCTGGTCGGCAACCCATTCGAACATGTTGGAAGCTGGAACAGTGTAGCTGTGATCCTAAAAGACGATAATGTGAGGTGTTCACTTTCGCGGAGAAAGATTCGGGAAAGAGAGAACTGCCTCAGGAGTCGCAGGAAAAGCAAGCTGGTGCCTCAGCCCACTAAAGCTGTGCGCGTTGGGTCAGACAGACATTAGCGCCGGATGTACATACCTGCTCCGTACCTACTTACCTAGGTAAGTACCTGTGGGCTTCTGCTTCCACTTACCCACTTGGGCACCAAAATTACTTCGTGACAATACGGAGGTACATGTCAAAAAGACATCCCCAAGGAGCAGTCTGTCAGTGATCTCGTTGACCACTGAACAGCAACCACTTGCACGGGCGATTTTGATCACGGTAGCTTGCATTACAGTTTCTAGCTTCGGAATTACATTAAATTACGTTGGTGAAGGATTTCCAGCGTTTCCTTCCAAGTATCCTGCAGGATCTCCCGACCACGGGAATTTTGCATAAAGTCTGAGGGCCTATATTAGTGTTGTTGAAACTGTCAGTAGACGTCCAGGAAAGAGCGACTGCATTCTATAAAGGCTGCTTACGGTTGAATCTTGTCGTTTCTCCAGAGTTTACCAGTGCTCTCAGAACCCAGTGCTGTGGCACCGACAAGGGAGCGCGCGCCTTGTTCAGCGGTTCGACCGCAGATGAAATGTTGTAATGCCAATATAGGCTTAACAAATGAGGGAAAATTGCGGCCCATATTTGTCTTGCAGCCTGATGGGCATGAAGCATTGATCACGATGTTACGACATGCTTCCGAGTCGTCTTCTTGGCATCGCTGGATTAGACCTTCTATTATACCCCAGAGCGCGAATTTGGCGAGGAAGTACTGCTTGGTTGGGTCCCATTTCTCTTGATCATTGAGACGTTGAATCAGTGACTGCGTGTTGCCAGCTGGAAACCAGTCTGCCGTCACCTCAAACCCGGCGATACTGTGCAAGAAGGACAGGTGAGGCATGAACCCATCAGGAGAGGCTGTAGTTGCAGCCATCCGCATCATCGGTTGTAGAAGAATGGCGAGGAGTGCCTGAGAGAGCACGTTCACTGCCAATGTCACCTCATAGCCCTCAGAGCTCTTTTCATACTGCCATTGGGCAACACCTGCAGCAAGCTGGGCAACGTGGAGCTGTTGCACTCGAGGGTCACGGTGTGACGCCAGGCGATCACCGAGGGCTTTGACTGATGCGAGTTCGGTGAAGTCCACGGTCTCAATAATAAAAATCTCGGGAGAACATTTCGTACGACGAATGATGTCCGCCTGCGCCTGTTCACCCTTTGCTATAGTTCGCACAACAAGTATAAGAGGGTCAGCGCCCAAGGCAGCGTATTTCACAGCTGCTTCATGGCCCAAGCCAGAGTTTGCACCTGAGCACCGTCAGCATCAACGCGACACGACATGGTGGTTCAAGCTTTCCAAGGTTGCCTAAGAATATGTTACCTGTAACTAGAACGGCCTTATCCTTATACGAAAGATGGACAGGGTCTGCGGGAGGGAGCCTGGCTGCCCAAAATTGCGCCCAGAGTGAAGACATGGCACGCCAAGTGGGATAGTGCGGCGATCGGAGCTCCAATGCAGAATTGGCGACGGAAAGTAGGTGCGCTGAGCTGTAATTGCAAAGAAGAGCAGTCTGACCAGAACCCGTGGCGCGAAGCAACGGGGCCTAGTGTGGCTGCACATGCGGTCCTTATCAATAGCGCGTTGGATGTTGGTTGCTGTTGATGCTAGGTACTTTATGGAAGAGTGATCCAGCCGCAGGCCTTGTGGGGCAGCGAGCAGCGACGCAGAACAGCAAGGGCTAGACTGGTTTCGAGAACCTTACCAAGCACTGAATGATAGGTGGAAATGCTTGTTTTGGTGGTCCCCCATGATACCTAAACGGCCTAAATGCAACTGTTGGTGGCTCCTGCGGCTCACAAATGCTACTGTTGGCGGCACGCTGGCCGAGAACCGAGAACTCGATCCCGTTTCTCTGCACCTGAAATTGCTTGTCCAGAAATGCAAACGCCCGCTGATTACATAGGGCCTAGGCTTCCATCTTGGCCTGCAGACCACCTTCACCGGGCCGAGGTCCAGTCCGCACTTCATTTGCGTCTTGTGGCGGCTCTCGGAAGATCCTTATCGTATGATCTTCGGCATCGAAGTAGAGTGAGTTGGCTACCCCTGTCACCAAGGTTGGGCGGGCAATGGACCTGGACAAGAATCCTCCTTAAGTGCCGGTCCCATATTTGACAAGTCTTGCGGCGGCTGCTCCCATTCGGTTTCTGGATAGGGCCTTGACTTGTACTTTCGCTCAGCCAGGAGGAGCTCAAATGCTGAGTGGCTTCCGGAGAAGCGAGCAGAGGTGAATGTCTCCCAACGCGTCTAGAAATGAAGATAGTTTCCCGCAGTACCCGGGGGGCAGGCCTTCCCTACCCCCCTACGCCCTTGGCGTAGGGGGTGCCAAAATTCCGCAACGGCCAAAATCCCGCAACACCCACACCTACCTATTTTCACTACTTTTCCCTATAAAAATCTACTTTTTAATTAAGTATATTTCCTTAATTAAATTTTATATAAAGAAAAGTTAAATATATTTAAAATCCTTATTTTATAAAGATTAATAATAAAATATTTTTAAATTCTTAGGGTTAGGGTTTAAGATTTTAGTTTTTTTAATTAAGGGTTTTTAAAATTAGTATATTAACTTAATTAAATTATATTATTAAAAATAAAAGTAATAGAATATTATAGGAATTATTTACTTTATATAAATAATATTTAAAAATTAGAATCTAATTATAAAAGATTAAAAGTTAAAGTTTTAAAAGAGATTTATAATATTAAAAATATTATAAAGAAATAGAATATAACAACCTTAATTTTAAAAAGACTTTTAAAAATATTATTTATATATACTAAATAATTTTAAGAATATTCTAATATTTTTACTTTTAATAATATAATTTATTTAAATAAATATACTAATTTTAAAAAACCCTTAACTAAAAAAACTAAAATCTTAAACCCTAACTCTAAAAATTTAAAAATATTTTATTATTAATCTTTATAAAATAAGGATTTTAAGGATATTTATTTTTATATAATATAAAATTTAATAAAGGAAATATACTTAATTAAAAAGTAGACTTTTATAGAGAAAAGTAGTGAAAATAGGTGGGTATAGGTGTTGCGAGGTTTTGGCCGTTGCGGGTTTTTGGCACCCACTCCGCCAGGAGTGGGTAAGTGGAAGCCGAGGCCCACGGGTAATGATACCGTTAACGATCGCATCCAGGACCCATCCACGTATCCACATTCGGAAGAAGGTGGGTACAAGATAGGCCGTGACGAACCCCCAGAAGTAAGAAAGTAAATCGGCGGTAATGCATGCCTTGATGCGTGGGTCAGCCGCTGAGCGTAATACGACGTAGGCCTCGAGTGATACACTAGCAATGGGGATTCAGTCCAGGTCAATCCGAAGCTCGTTGTACTCGAGTACGTATTGGAAGAGGTAGTCTAGCACGGCTGAATGTACCGCCTCCCAGTCGGGTCGCATCAGAATGCTGGCTTCATAAAGTTAGGCCATAGCCGGGGCCTTCATAAGTAGGCACGGCGAAACCAAGTTTAGGGCCCGCGGCCGGAAACATGTAAAATATTTCTTCTTGAATACACTCGGCGCCGATGGGGTTGATGACGACGGGCGCTCTCTAGGGCAGACGACAAGCCCATGGCGGAAGATATAGGTATGCTGACTTCCTTCCGTAATCTCTCTGAGCCTCATGGTGTACTCTGTACCGCCTTGCCCCTGACACCCAGTGCTGCTTGGGTGACTTGCCCTGTCGACCAACCTTTTTGTCTCCACCCTTGTGCTAGCTGCGATCGCATCATGCATGCTTGTCTCCTGGGCGAGCTTTGGACTTTTCTGCTGCAGAAATAACCATGGCAACCGCGAAAGCTGGTGTTTCCTTTGGCACCTCTCTAGACTGTTCGATTTTTTCAGGACAACTTTTAAAGATGTCTTGCGTGCCGCCAGCGACAACAAGATGCCGCATTAACCGGTGAAAGGACCCATCGCTATTGTGGGAAGCGCCTGCAGATTTCTGGGTGGTGCGTCTCCACCTTCCAAACTGTGGGACCTCCTTTCTCAGCCAGCGGATCTGCTCGATGAGATACCATTCGACGCAGCGAAGTTTTACCAACACAGCAATACACATCCTAGCACGAGCAATGGTGCGTGTGAGCTGCATGTAGTCCTTGTAGCACTCACTCGCTCAAGCCGCTTATATGAGTTTGGCATTCATATGTTTTGTCTGAGGATACTCGTGGATCCGATGCGGACTTTTTCCGTATCAACGCGGTGGGGGGCGAGAGCCGTTGACTCCCACCAATGACTCCCTTTGGAAACCACATACGAGGCCCTCGAGGCCGCTGGTATACCAGTTGACCCCTTAGAGCTATCGATGGCTCGAACGCCGAGGTTTTCGTTGGCCCTACGGACGAGGAGTATGCACTCGAACGTCGTCGGTCGTAGTGTTCTTCAAACATCCACCTACCTGGCTTCCGAGACAGCTCGGAATAACATATCCAACCGGTTCCCGTATTTTCTTTAATCTTCATAGACCTTCAGTGACTATTGACACCGCCTCTACTCAAGTCTCGTTTCACTGTATCAAGCTGTTCGGCACTTGAGAGTATTCGCAGCGGACTGCTCAATGGCACTCGTAGGGAGCGCAAACTTGCCCCTTACACCAAAGCTATGTATACCTATGAGAAGGCTATAGTTGATTGACCCTATTGGGAAGCCGTATGTGGGACAAGGATGCGGATGGCTACTCTCGGGGTGGAGGCTTCTCTGTTTTGACCGCGGAATCCTTGACATGAGCCTTGGCAGACGGTGACGACATCGAGGGGTGGTTTTGTTGCTAATCCCCATACATATAAACATATATAGCGTCTTCAAATAGAATTAAACCCTTAAGTCCCTGTGTTTGAAAACTCCATTATGAATAATATTATATAGAGAATACAATATGCACCCTAGGATAGGTAGCGGTGAAAGAAGCGTGTGGTCATTGAACCAGTCAGGTATGTCTGCGTTGTCATGTCATGCGCTTTGACTGAAGATCGGCCGGAAGGTTGAAATCCGTTCAAGATGCCCACATGCACCTGGGCGGAGATATCCGCCAGTCGGCGCCCCTAGTAAGACCGACACCGAACGTGGAACCCAGTATCCTCTCCGCAGGTCTATGTCAGTTATCCTAACTACCTTCATGTGCTTAGCCGCCTTTCCTTAAGAGAGCAGAGTGAAGTAAATTGTGGTCGCAAGATTTGCTGGAATGTATTGACTTTTTGCCCTGCAGACATATAGTTGTATGGGACTATGGACCATCCCTACTTATGCGGGCATCAAGCTCTCAGGTGAATGCCAACTTTGAGGGGGATCTGTTGGCCGGTGGAGTCCACGCGTCTACCTTGGCGTACCCTCCAGCTCGGCGGTCCTTTCACATCTTCGGCGCCGACAAACTTTGAATAATGCTACCCTGCGGCTGCTTCGAGATAGGTGCATTGCTCAAGTGATCCGATCCATCTACTATAAGTAACCTGGGAAAGCAGCACGAGGAGGTCGTTACGATAGAGAGGTCCAACACCATCTAGCAAGACGCCCTTCATCAAGTCCTGGATTAAGCCCAGATTTTGCGCCTTTGCTTGGTTTCCAGTACATCGTCTTTACCAAGATCCCATATCATTTTCCCACTCACACATGCGCCATGGACAGTAGTACCTCCTGGGCGGGGAAGAATGCGGCTCTTCCCAGCGTGGGCACAATTTTGCTCGCTGCTCTTGGCCTGGTATGCCTTTCCCAGCCCTCTCATTATCAAATTCTTTACCTGTTAACAACCGAGTCCTCTCACAGGGTTTCGCCTACTGTGTCGTCGAAATCTTGTACAACTTATACCTCCACCCCCTGCGGCACTTTCCAGGACCCAAGCTTAATGCTATCAGCAAGATACCGTATACGAAGAGTCAGCTCTCGGGCGACTACCCTCGTCATCTCCAGGAGATGACCATGAAATATGGCTACTTTATCCGTGTCGCGCCTGATATCCTTTCGATCTTGCACCCCGACACAGTCCCAACAATCCATGGCCATCGCAAGGGGGGCAAGGACGAGAATCCGAGAGACGTCCTCGCCTTGGGCGGGAATGAAAAGACTATCCTCGCCGTTGGTCGCGAAGAGCATGGGCGGTTGCGGCGCATCTTGGCCTCGGGCTTCTCGAACCAGGCCATGATAGAGCAGGAGCCAATGTTCCGCGAATACGCCGACAAGTTGATCAAAGGTATGCAAAGCTATAGCAAGCGTGCGCCGGGACCACTAGATGTGACGAGCTGGTACAACTGGGCCACTTTTGATGTAATTGGCGACCTTTCGTTTGGCGAGTCATTTGGGTGTCTCGATGGACAGTCGTACCACCCCTGGGTCGCCAACATCTTCAAAGGTGTCAAAGAGAATCTTTTTGCAAATGAGATGCTACGCTACGGCCGCCGCGTAGGTCCCTTCTTGGCAAAACTCGTCCTCCCCCGCGACCTCGCCGGCAAAAACGCATACCACAAGGCCCTGAGCAGGGAGAAGGTGGCTAGGCGCCTAGCAGCGACTGTGGAGAGGCCCGACTATGTCAGCAGGATGCTTGTGGGCCGGAAGGGCAAGGATGATGTAAGTTGCGCATCTAAGGTTCCTTGTCTTCATTGCAGATGTAGCTGACCCTATGCCGCGCCTCATCCATAGGGCCTAAGTGTCGAGGGCATCGAAGAACACGCCGCCCTCCTGATCCTTGCAGGCTCCGAGACGACAGCCACCACGATGTCCGCTGCGACATACTTCTTGACCACCCATCCTAACGTTCTGGCTCGTGCCGTGGCCGAGGTCCGTCAGTCCTATGTCGACGACAAAGAGATCAGCCTTACTCAGGATGTGCAAACCCCCTTCGTGGAAGCAGTCCTCAATGAGACCCTTCGCCTGTTCCCGGCCGCACCCGTTCCAGTCCCACGTGTCATAAACAAGGATGGCGAGATCATCGACGGGCGTTACATTCCCCCCGGTGTAAGCAATTTAGTGCATTCCTTTTGTCCCTGCGTTTATATTCCAACCATTTCGTTTCGTCTATCTGCCCCTGACCTGACAGCCTAACAACGCACCAGACACTTGCCGAGAATCCCCTCTGGGCCATTCATCGCCACCCGAACTTATTCCACCGCCCCAATGAGTTCATTCCCGAGCGATGGCTAGGTGATGAAAGGTTTAAGAACGATCGGCTCGATGCAGTTATGCCATTTGGAAACGGCCCGCGCGTCTGTATCGGCAAGAAGTACGTCTCTCTTCTTGTCCTGTTGCAGCCCATTACTGACGCCGGCAGCCTCGCAAATTCTGAAATGCGCATGCTGATGTGCAAGGTACTGTGGAATTTCGACCTGGCCTTGGCCGAGGACTCGAGAAACTGGATCGACCAGTGTAAGGCCTTCAGCATCTGGGAGAAACCACCTCTACACGTGTATGTGAAGTCTAGGCAAAACTAGAGGGCTTTGTGAGAAGAAGTAGTACGGCAATGGATGGTTGTGAGCTGCAGTACGAACAGTTTGAAGACTTTAGGTCAATTGATCATATCACAATAAGGAGTTTCATAGAACTGCAATCTCAATTATGCCTACATGTCTGTAGAATAAGACGATGTGTGTCTTGACGTCCATGGACAAGCCATTACCGATCTTGCTCGCAAGGTCTGTAAATGAGAACTGACGAGGAGTCGGTTTATGTCATCGAGACCGATGGCAAGGAAAGAAAAGCCTGTCAATAGGATGCCAATGATGGCATTAAATGACGCGGTAATAGAAACAGCTTTCAGGGGGTCTGCTGTGTCATCTTTTGTCAATACCTAGGTACTGTGGGCTGCGCATCCCAGGCTCCTCCTCTACAGTATTATGTCAAGAGTATATAATCCTCAAAACAAGCTCAGGTCATACAGACACTAGTAGACACACTCAAGAGGTTCTGAGTGTCTCCCTGGGAGCTTATCAAAGGCCCCTCGCCTTGTTGTCGGCAAGCTTCAGCTCCTTGTTCAGATCTCGATGGCCTCTTTGATGCAGGAGTATCCTGAACCTGGACAAGGGGTAATTCGGACTATTCTAGGGGTTTCCCATTTGAGAGTATGAGGGAGCATTAAATGTGAGATGAGTCCCATTCCCATCCGCGCGCATGGGTGGCTGTCCTCTGGGAAGTCAATATATAACTTGAAGGGAGTGCCTTACAGGGGTGAGGCCCAGAGGAGTTCCCAGTCGTTGGCAACTTCCAAGGTTCGATGCTAAGATCTCACATGCTCGCTTAATTTCATTGTTGAAGAATACTCGGTCTCTCCACCATTCCCGATATTACCTACCTTGGTCAGGACGTGTCGCCGGGTGGACAGGAAGCCTGGACAGTTTCTTGACGGCATGACAGGCAGGGAATATGAAATTCAATTTCCGAGTTTGGTCCCACCTGGAAGCTTGTTGCCCCCGGAGCCTTGGCATCTGCGACAGCAGCATATAGAACAGCGCGGCATGGAAATTAAGTTATATATTACCCAGTCTACTTTCGGATTTCACTTCTTATTATCTTTCAAGGGCAACTCGTCGAGGGTGCGTGTTTTCCTTTTCGCTTTTTGGCCCTGGGCATCCGCCGTTGACATTGACAGCATTAAGGAGGCCTCGGGGAGGTTATATTTAAGCTTCCGAGTGATGCGGAATTGCTCACTGCAACAATAAAGTTTGATCTCAAAAGGGGACGGGCATACCCTCTTTGAAATCGACGGGAAATTAAACACCGCGATATTCCGAAGAGCTTGCTCTGTTACCAATATAAAAAGCAGAAGGTATGCTGATAGCGGACTTCACCAGAAAGACCTTCGTGCAAATCTGGTTTTGTTTGTTCTTTTTTTTATCTCTCAGTCTCAGCGCCTTGACTCACAATCTGCCATCATGCGTGCACTCGACCTTCTGATTTACTCGAGGCTCCTTCATCTGGCCTCGGCGACCAAGCACACGGCCAAACCCGAGATTGAGACTGTGACCACAGATGTGCTTGTGGTTGGTGGCGGCTCTTCCGGAACCTACGGAGCCATACAGGTGCACGATGCGAACAAGACCGTGGCTGTCATTGAGCGCGCAGGTAAACTGGGTGGACATGCAGACTCGTACTATGGGCCCAATGGCAGCGTGTATAACGTCGGCGTACAAATATTTTACGACATTCCTGTCGTCATCGACTACTTTGCTCGACACGGCGTGCCTCTCTTCACAGCGCCAACGATCGACACGTCAGGTACCATCAATGCGGACTTCTCCCTTGGTGTAGCAGCTCCCGCAGCCAATGTGAGCACCACAGAACTTGGAATCGCCATCCAGAGGTACGGCGAGTATCTTGCAGCGAATTTCTCCACCGTCTACCCTGGCTACTACCTGCCTGATCCGGTGCCGGAGGACCTCTACATGCCTTGGGGCGACTTCATGTCAAAGCACGGCTTTGGTGGCATTGCAAATCTCATCAACACAATTATCCAGCCTGCGGAGGCATGGAAAGAACCTGCGTTGTTCCCACTCAAGCTGCTCAGTTTGGACCCTCTGAGAGGCATCACGACGGGGTTCAAAGTCACGCGAGATGTCAACGACCTCTATCGCTCGGCGGCCTCGATTCTCGGTAACAGCGTGTATTACAACTCGAGCGTCATTACGCTGTGCCGCTCAAAATCCGGAGTTGAGGCCATCGTGCGGACACCCACAGGACTCAAACGCTTCGTGGCCAAGAAGCTTCTGATGGCGACTCCGCCAGTGTCCGCCAATTTCCTAGGTTGGGACTTGAGTAATGAGGAGACCGAGCTTTTCGACAAATTCACAACGCAACAGTATTACGCCGGCGTCATCCGCCACTCGGGTCTGCCGCAAGTGACCGTGCAAAATGTGGGCTTCACAACCCCTTTCAACATCCCAGTACTTCCGGCGCTGTTCAACGTGGTACCCACTGGCTTCCAAGACAACACGTTTGTGATTTACTACACTGCACACGAACGTGTCGAGCCTGATGCGGTCAAGGCTGACACTGTCGCCACTCTCGAGAGATTGGCTGCCGGGGGCGTTATTGGCGAATCGGAGACCGAGTTCCTAGAGCTTTTCGACCATCCAAACATCCGCATGTACGTCTCGGCGGAGGACGTTCGCGACGGATTCTACTCGAGGCTGTACGGGCTTCAGGGGCAGCAGAATACCTACTGGACTGGTGCTGCATGGGTAACTCAGGCTTCTTCGCCAATTTGGGACTTCACAAAGAGTGTCGTTTCCGAATTGCTCGCTGAGCTGTAAATGATGCGCAGGGTCACCCTACACTACCTAAGTACACTATATGCACTGAGCTTTACTCTGTAATAGTAATTTAATTACTTTAGCTTCATATAATGGGAATGTCAAATGATATAGAGGCCTTAAGCATAAATGTGTACTCAGGCCCGTACCTACGTGATAGGACTACAGATATCACAAGGATTCGAAAGACTGTCGGTGTATGTAACTGGTTACGCTTCTATTCCGCACACGTCTGAGGATATACATGGCGACTTTATACATTGGTAAACGCTCGAGACCCTCTCCGGATGACAGCCTTGAACTGCTGTGCTGTCTGCAGTTGGGAAGCCAATCACAACTCCATACCCGCCTGGTGGCTGACTATGCCTAGCCCCAGCTTCCACTGCCTCCACCGGTGCACTGGTAGGATGCACATTAGGAGCTTTCGATCACATGGCCATATTCTGCGTTCTGTCATGAAAACTCGACACACTTCTTGCCGACGAATTCAAAATGCGAGTAGGACACATGGTTTAATTAAATATCCAAGTGTAGACAGCTACTCAAGCAGGAGATGATAAAGCAGTGTTACTGTTGAGAATGTGGACTCTACCAATTATTTGATTCGTATTTCCGTGTACTCGTTTCTGAGATCCACCCCATGCGCTACTAGGAGTTCATGAGCATCAGCGCGATAAAAGTCCGGCATCGGGGTCTTGAAGCACGATCGCAGACTTTCTATATCCGGTCGAACATAGCGCAAGCTGGACAATTCTTCTCTCAAAAAAGCGTTGAACTTCTCCCAGCTCCAGTAAAGTCGTATTATCGACGGGCTCCACCTTTCTTGTTCACGCAGTGGATCCGTTGACTCCGAGAACTGGTGCAAAATCTTTCGGAGCAGAAAGGCAGCTCGCTCTGAGTCCCGAGTTTCGTGGCCATTAGTGGCGAGAGGTGCAGCTGATCCTTGGGAATGGGCAACGGACATAGCCCGTGCAAAGAAATCTTCGACCTGACTGGGATGAGGGGTCGGACGGCGAGCCAGCCAACGAATGTTGGAGTGGGACTGCGGTCGCAGCAGCAGCAAGAAGCGGTAGGTGACTGCCGCCCATTGCATAAGGAGCGGCAATGCAGGTGTTTCCTCGTAAGATTGTTCACGGTCAATTTGCGTGTGAGGCCATTCCATCGGCCCAGTCGTCAAGGGATCTTTGACGAGGAGACCTAAGAAGTGATCCAAGGACCAATTTTGGCCCAGTCCTGCCTGCACTTCAATCTCTTTATAATCTTCCTGTGTCAAACCCTTGATTTCGTCAATAAGGCTTTGAAGGCGTGCCTTGTCGCTAAGTAACTGCACACAAATATCGGCCTGCTTTTCCCACTCCAGCCACAGGTCCAGCGTTTTTAGATCGGTGGACAGGATTTCTGCTGCTGCCTTGTGCTTCAGACTCATTCCCGAGGTCGCCGGATTGTAGCCCCACAAATAAGGGTATGTCTGCAAGCGAGGAAACCGTTCTGGGGGAAGTGGGATGTCGTGCAGCCAACCGTCCTCGGAGATGGACAATGAAAGTCTCTTGAGAGGGACTTCTATCCAGCCCTCATTATCAATCCATGCCCGATCCATGGGAATAACCCCCCACACAAGGGGCATTCCGATTTCAATTAGCGTGTATTGGCCATGAGAGCCGTCATCTTGCCTCAAGATCAAGACTGTCGCATGATATATCTGTTCATTTTCAAGCATAACAGCAAGGTATTGCGCATGGCTTGGTGGCTTGTAATTCAGCCTGGATTCAATGTGGCATTCCCAAGATTTGTCAAACGGGGACTGAGCCGGCTTTATGAACGTCCACGTGAATTGGCTTGTGAAACACTGGTCCAGTTCACCAGGGACAGAATTTGCGTGCCAAAATTGTGTGTCAAGTTGGTGACGCTCCCGCATGAAATTTCGCGAGACCGCCATATAGGACAGGTCGCGGTCTGAAACGGTGATAGGTCCGAGAATCTTGCCTCGGACAGTGATGGCTCCAAACCTGGTGACACCAGGCACCCCAACCAGCCCAAAGTCTTGACTTCGCGTAACCACATGATCAAAAAGCTTCGGATCCTCCATACTAGCATTGACGAGCATCTTCCAGTTTGGGACCCAAGATGGAAGGTCTGAATCACCTTCTACAGCTAGGCGCGAAGCCAGGATCAACACTGCCCCTTCTAAACCGTTGGTGGCGAGAAAGGCCGCTATTCCCGTATAGACTTGCGCAGTGGACAAGCCGTAATCCGCCTTGAACCATTCTTCCTCGCTTAAGGGTAAAAGACTCAGGAGGGCAAAGACTCTATCGCGGTCGTCCTTACAACTGCACGACGCAGTATCAAAGAGGAGTCTCAGAAACTGTTGTGCGCGTGACACGCTGGCGGTTGTAGGCGTTTTTGGGGTCAAGCCAGCTGAGTATCTGGAGTGCTTGAGCCATGGGGGATGTGCGATTCCGGAACCGAATATTGCTTCCAAGGGCTTCTTCGCAAATGCTGAGAGGTAGGTCGTCGCCGCGCCACAGTGCAACTCGAGGGTCGGTGCCAGCGCCACTTCTTGCACTATCCACATACGTCGAAAGTAAGGCCTCGCAAAAATATTGGTGAGACTGGATCTCTCGTGGGACGTAAGCCCATCGAAGTCCCGCAGTCGCTCAGGTTGTCCAAGCAACGACATTGCGACGCCACTGTCATCCTCCATTGACTCCTGGCCGAGATACACAAGGACCGTGAAAGCCCTGGCGAATATCTTTCGCATCAGGTCGACTTGGCGAGACCTTTCTTCTGGGTCGTCCTGATTGACACAGATTGCATCCACCCAGATTCTCCGGTCTGATGTAGGTTTCCGTATGCTGCGCAAAGCCTTATCACAGTTTGTTCCGATGTTCAGAAAGGTATCGGCATTTTCAAGAAATATGGTCTGGATGGCCTGGTATTCAACGTCATCATCAGAATTCATGGCGTCGTCGTAGTCTGTCCACGTATAGGACAGCGGCTCATACACGACCGGGTCTGATAGGCGCACTTTACGCAGCGATCCTACTAAGGGATCTTCGCGCGCGCCGCTTCTGAGATCCAAGACGCGGATCTCATCCTCAACCACTGTTTGCGCCTTCCTGAGGAGTTCCCGCGGGACTCCGTTGTAAGTGGTAACAGGCACTCGGATGTGTGTGTCCGGTGGTTCGGCTGCCTGGCTGCCATTGGGATTGCTGACATCAGGCGTGACTGGATCGATGAGGTATTGGACAGACTGGGGCCAAGACAAGTTCAGGCTGTTTGATTCACGGATCTTGGGACTTGTCGACATCATACTGACTGTTTAGGCGCTTGATGACCTCCACTTAGCGAGCTGAGTGTAGGGCACAGAGTTACTGTACAACTTATCAGGATAGGATCAAGGCATCTGAGCACGGCAAATGTAGAGTGAGGCTCTTGTATTGGATTGAAAGGCTTATATAATCACTGTCTCGGAAAAACGAAGTTAGGCCCCCCCCCTGTTTTATTACCCCTGTCAAAAATTTTAAAGGTTTATTAAGAAGTAGTCTTCTTTTAATAACTCTATCAATATTAGACTTAGAAATATATAAAAAATATCTTTATAATCCTTATAAAAGTCTTTATAAGACTAAAATTTTTAAATAATTCTTATTTAAAGTTTATATATTACTAGGGTTGTAGATTAGACTACTTAATAGGTCCGTGCACTTACTCATCTTATCAGCTTAGTAACCTCTATACCTTATATAAAAAGATTTAATAATAAATATTTAAAAAATACTATTATATAGAAGTTTTAATAAGAATTATAAATATATTTTTTATATATTTTTAAGTTAAGTATTAATAGAGCTATTAAAAAAAGACTACTCTTTAATAAACCTTTAAAATTTTTGACAGGGGTAATAAAACAGGGGGGAGGCCTAACTTCGTTTTTCCGAGACAGCAGAGCGGGGAGACCCCTGCACTTCCATCGTCAGCTGCACATGTAGCACAGCCTGGATTGAATTCTTTTACAGAATCTCTATTACCATACCTCTGGTAAATTGTGGCCTACCTAGGTACTGTTAATGGATACCTTGAATCCTGTGAAGCCGAATGGCAGCTGCGTGGCACGCCAGTCGCTCAGTAATCAATTTCAGGCCAAAAAACAAATACGCCACGAATTATGATGCGGTGTCGCAAGACAATGGCCGTCAACTGTGATGGTAAATTTCAAGATCAAAAACTGCCTAGGCCGCCAGTGGCGGTCCGGAATGGTTCACATGTCCAGTTACTAGAAAGCTTGTATCTAACCATACAAAGTAAGACCAGCATTGCATCACTCATCCCATAACACCATAGACCAGCTGCCACCGTCCGGCAAAGCAACACTTGTGGTCCACGTAGCAAGTGCCTTGTCGTCACTGATGATACCTGTAAGTGGGTCCCTGCTGAATATAGACAACCTTCCCGGTACCGAATATTGATTTCCAACCGCAATCAAAGTGCCATCGGCGCTGACGGAGAAGCTTCGTGGCCACTTACCCCCCGAAGGCGCGAGTTGCACAAGACTAAGACCACCGGAATCAAGGTCCACCTCGTACGTGACCAATGTATCGCTTGCCTCGCCTTGGTACAAACTTCTACTGTCGTTTCTGGAGGACAAGATCAGATGGTTGCTTTCTGCGAGTGCAATTTCCGCTGGAATGGAGATCTCGAGCCCCAGACCATTGCTGAAACCATCCTGGAATATGCTGTCTTTGTAGATCGGTTGGAGCTCAAAGTCTCTTTCAACATCTCGATAGATGACCTCGAATCCAAAGAGAGACGCAGTAAGCTCTCCCAGTACGTATAAAAAGGTCTTGTTTCCGTTTCCCTTGACGAAGACACCGTGACGAGCTCCGTTAGTTGGATTGCCGGGGTCCAAGGGCTCGAAGCCCAGCTCGTCCAGCCGATCATCCCAGCTACCGATTCTGTATTTGCGGATGACATCGGCACCACGGTCGAAGGCTAGAACAAAGCGGCCAGTGGGGTCAACTGCTGTGCCGTGGTTATAGGATTGGTTCTGGAGTGGCGGATATTGCCCTGGCTGCAGCTTATGCTCGTAGTGAAATCGCTGGAGCTCAATCAGCGCGCTTGCATTGCTCGTGTCGATCACGGACAGGCCGGAACCGGCGTAGTGAGCCATAGCCATGCGTTCCGAGGCGTATTTGCTCCCTGCTGCCGGCCCGAATAGCGTAGTGATGTTGCTGGTGGCTCTGAGCGTCTCTGCATCCAGGGCCGCAAGAGACCCAGCATTCTGGATGGTCTGTTGCGTGCATTAGAACCCAAGAGTACTCGCATCAGGATTTCCTGTCAGGCGAGTTTCCAAGACTCACGTAACCCTCGTTGAGGCACAATAGGGTGTTTCTGGATTTCTCCAACACCATCCATGCGGGATTATAGCCGCAGTCTTGTGTTTCTGTGAGCAAATTGATTAAGTACATCCCTGAAGTCTCCTCGAGGGAGAGGTGTGAGACAGTCCCTCCATAATTCGAGACATACAAGCTTCTCCTTGCGCTTGTGGTGGCGAACTTGAGATACAGAGCAGTGATCAAGCGCCCTGCTGGAAACATCTTCATTGGAACAGATTGCTAGGTCATGAAAAAGTCGGTACAGGTTGCACCATCTCGACGCGTGTAATTCAGAGGGTAGAAAAGCGAATTCGACTCATTCCTTGACCCCTATAAAAACTCTTTATACGAAACCAGGTAAGATGGGGCCTGTTCCAGAGAAGACCACAAATCTCCTGTCTTGGCGTAAGCTGACCGTAAGGTGTGCTTTGAATCAGTGGAATATCTGATGAGTAATACTTCCGAACGTAAAAGCGATAGGCTTGATGACTGCAGGGACGAGTTGCCAGGTTAGCTCAAGGCGTGTCACCTCTTTGATTCCCGTACCCCAAACCATCGGCGTTGTCACTTTACAAACATAGAGACACGTTTAGTTCAGGAGCGTAGCGAGTGAATCGTGATGCACGGATGTAGAGTGATGCGCATGTAAGTAATGGCCATATTCAGTCGAGATACGTTTTTATATTATTAGACACGAGGTCCATATCCAGTGCAGTCATGGCCTTCTTCTATAACCACCGCGGACATGGATGTTGGCGATCGCCGTCTTCCGTGCTGCGGTTGTTGACCATCGAGATATCTGGTTTGTCTGCCATCTTGAGAGTTGATCGAGGAATTTTAAGGCTGAAAGGTGAAGCCGTCGATAGGAAGACGAATGATTCAAAGCCTATTATCGGCAGCCTCGCTGGACAAGGCGGCCATTCTTGTTTTTTTTTTTTCCTTTTTGCGCCCCTGACTGGAAAAGGGCAAATGAAACAAGCAGGATGTCACGGTTGCAATCCCGGGTCTAAGAATAGGAACGTCAGGAGCATGGCCGATGGTCAAATTCCAGGTCCTGACAAGCGCAACCCAGTAGTATTCACTTTGGGCTTATTGATATCAAACAGACTCCCCATACTATTAGTTGCAGGTCACCAAGCTGCCGGTGCGTCAAAGTAATGACCAGCTTACGATTGTAAGTGTTCGAACCCAGCCTTTCGGGATCGCTTCCTTTGGCAGGGGGCCAAGCTTCTTCCCCGGACTGATGGGTTGATGGGTAAGATGAGGGGGGGTGTGGGTAACGCGGGGTTCTCGCATGAAAAATATGGGCCTCATTCCCGGATTTATGCAGGCGGATATGCTTGTGATTCGACGACGCGTGTCTACCCTATCAAACCCTGCACTCACACGAAACTACCCGAGACGAAAATGGATTAGGTCCATCCCTCCCCCACAGGCCGCTGGCCAAGACCGCATGTACTGATGACACGAGGCGAACGCATCGAAAGGGCATCGAACACCAGTCTTAAGGATTTCCGCTCGCCGTCGGAAAAGGATCTCTACTTGTACGCACGCCTCTCGGTACCCAGTTCGCGCGAACTGTCGCGTGGGGCGATGCCACAGCCGCCGCTGTGAGCTTTGGGAATCTACTGGCCTCGAGCTCCTCCGGGGCTGTGGGGGGGAACCAACGGGCCAACGGACGTCTCGTCCCTCCTCCGAAGATGTTGGGTGTACACAGCCGCAGCAGTCAGGATGATGATCCAGCTGGAGGAGCGTCTGTCAACACACCATTATCGGGCCCACAGAGCGCACCCATGGTTGCGTCGCCCTCGCTGTCTGTGTCATCCAGTACGCCCCTGCACGTCCTGGCACACGCCTCGACACAGGAGCGGAAACGCAGCGTTTCCGACTCTACAGAACGGCCCACAAAGCGGAAGATAGTAAAGGTCACACGTGCTTGTGACGTCTGCAAGGTATTATACACTCCCGGAGATAGCAGTGGCTGTCCCGCCTGGTCACACGGTAGGCCGAAGCTGACGCTCGAGCAAAACCCAAAGGCACGGAAGGCAAGATGCTCCGGTACGCTGCCCTGTGATAGTTGTGTGAAACGGGGCCGCTCCCGGGACTGTCACTATGATGCAAAGTATAGCCGGGGAAGGCCTGTGAGCCCGCCGAGAGTGCCCGACCGGCGAGATTCTTACTCTTCTGGCGACCGCGATGCCGTGGAAGGCAATGGCTACGGCCGCCGAGGCCTGGATAGCAACAACGCCGGCGTGAGCACACGATTCCGCGCGGTCAATGCTCCGATGGAACCCATGCAAATGCCACAGTCAGAACAACGCGCAGGGAACGAAACCTCTGCGCCTTCGCGTGCTTCACCCGAACTGGAGGTGTCCGAGATCCAGGGCCAGTACCACGATACCACCTCCGGTCTTGCTTTCTTACATCGAGCGTGCAGACGATTGTCCAAAGAGGCGAGTGCACAGGCTGGTAAATACATCGCTCCTGTGCCTAGCCAGCCCGAGAACGAGGACAGCCCGACCCTGACAGTAGGCGACAAGCCCCTCGGCCGTGTACGGCATGACCGTGTTGAATTTCCACCCACTCAACTGGCAAAGAGGCTCCTTCACCTGTACTCGGATGTTTGCATGGCGACATACCGCTTCCTCCACTTGCAAACTGTTGAAGGTTGGCTGGTTTTCATGTCCACCAACGACAGAGCCGGTCTTCCACTGTATCATGGCGTGGGGCGTGCAAAGGCTGCCATAGTCTTGACTATACTGGCTATAGCAAAGTCTCACGAGGACAAGGCCACTGGAAGGTTTCAAGTCGACGAAGAAGCATCAATGGAGCAGACCGACGCCTTGTTCTCCGACGCATCTGCGCTTGTTCAGCAGGAGACCGCGAGTCCGACACTGGAATCCGCACAGGCTCGGCTTATACAAGTTCTGTACCTCCTCACAACGTCTCGTTTCAACCAGGCCTGGTATGTCTTCGGCACTGCCATACAGCTTATATCCGCGCTTGGCCTCCATCGAAAACCTGGAGGAAAATCTCGAGAAGTACCGAAAGGGAACTACATCGAATTGCAGCTGCGCAAACGAACTTTCTGGACTGCCTACATCTTGGACAAATACCTTGGTGTCATTTTCGGCAGGCCACGACATTACAACGACGAAGACATCGACCAAGAAGCGCCCGACAGCGTCAACGACGAGGATATGACTCCTACGGGCCCTGCTGCATCACATCAACGGGGCAAGAAGGACTGCCATGTAGATGCCCTTATTTATCATTCTCGGATCGGAACCATCATCAGCGAAGCAGCCAGGACGGTCTATTCAATAAAGCAGGTATCACACAAGGAACGCATCACAGCTGCCCACCGCCTTGGGAAGGACCTTCAGCGTTGGCGCGAGAGCCTCCCGCCGTATCTGGGGTCCATCCACCCATCCAGCCTGATACCAACGTTCCGTCGTCAGTCAATTACTCTTCGAATAGCATACTGTCATGCAATTATGCACATCAACCGTCTGTTTCTCTTGGGCAAAGTCAGCACTGGGAGCGAACCTCAGATACGCGAAGCCATCATCGCGGCAACTACTGTGCTCGAGACAGTCGACGAAATGGTGACTGAGCAGGGAACCCTGTTTCACGCGTTCTGGTGGACACATTACGTTACCTTTTGTGCCCTGGCTATAGTTTATGCCTGGGAGGTCCAGAGCAGGAAGACACAGCCAAGCGTTGTTTTTGATGCGGAGATCTCCCACTCGGAACTCATGGCACTGGCTGAGAAATGTCATAAACACCTGGCGCAGGCTACAGCTTCCAACTCGCCCAGCCGGAGGTACAGTCTGATCTTGGAAAAGTTGCGGAGGGAGGCGATTCGAGGAATCATGCCGAGGCACATCAGCTCGGCGGCAGCGCGTAGGGAGACACTGGCAGAGCAGGGGACTGAGATGAGGGGCACCACTGGTCATGCACCACATGCAACCCCTACTCAGACACCAGAGGCACCGTTCCCTAGTCCAGCTAGTCGCCCTCAGAGTGCGATGGAGTTGAATTCAACACCACAAAATAGCTTTGGGGCCACTTTTGAGGAAATGAATTGGGCACTACAGGAGTGGCAAAGTGAGGATTGGTTGAACTTGGATTCGATGGTAAGTGTGGAGACATGCATCCTAAATATCCGTATGGGTCTTGGCTAATCCGAACCACAGGCATTTGGTACTTTCTCGGAGAGCTACGATGCCCCGTTTTCATGAAACACACAACCAGAAATGTGGCCTGACAAATACGCACCATCTTTGAGCACATATTCTTTGACAGTTGCGGTCTATATAGTCTACGTGTAAAAGTAATAATACATGCATCTTGACCACAAATCATATGTTGAACTTGGTTAAGTTCTCCGGCCCCGCGTCCCGGGCGATCTTCTTGACCTCCGCCTCTCCGATCTCCTCAAAGATGTCGTAGCCCCATCTCGCCTGGACATTGAAGCGTTTATGCCTCTCCAGTGCGGTCACCTTGTGGAAGACATCATCCGGCAGCTTCACCACCTTCAAGTTCGACTCGATCCGGCTCGGGGTGACACTCTTGCTCAGGACGACGGTGCCCCTCTGAACGCCCCACGAAAGGACGAGCTGGGCGGCATCGAGGCCCTGCTGGCTTGCCAGATCCTTGACCCCGGCGTCGTCCACGACCTTCGGCTCGCCGGTCTGGTTGTTCCCCAGTGGCGAGTATGCCTCGATCAGGATGTTCTTTGACCTGCAGAAGTCCACGAGCGCAGGCTGTTGGAGATATGGGTGTGCCTCGATCTGGTTGACTGCGGGGACCACCTTCGTCTTCGAGATGAGATCCTTGAGCTTGTTGACCGTGAAGTTGCAGACGCCTATCGCGCGGACTTTTCCGGTGTCTAGCAGCTTCTCCATCGCGGTATATGTGACTGCTGGGTCGATGTCTGCCAGCTTGAAGACGCCATGCTCGTCGATCGGGAACCATTTCTCGCTAGGCTCAAACGCACTGCAGCAAATATTTGTTAGCGATCCAAATCTTCATGCTCTCGGCATTGTGGAATCCTCAACTTACACGGGCCAGTGCATCAAGAAGAGATCTAGGTAATCCGTCCCCAGATCCTTCAGTGTCTTATCCAGCGCGGCCTCGACGTCCTTTGGGTCATGCTTTGTATTCCAGAGCTTTCCTGTGATGAAGATATCTGAACGTGGGACACCGCTCTCCTTGATACCTTCTCCAACTGCCGCCTCGTTGCGGTAGATGGCGGCGGCATCTATGTGGCGGTAGCCAGTCTTTAGGGCTGTCTTGACTGCCCCGACAACTTCATTATTGGGTGCCTGCCAAGTTCCGAATCCAACAGCTGGGATTTTGGCGCCAGTGTTGAGGGTGAAGTGTGTGGGGAGCGACATCGCGAACGAGTCAATGTGAAGTTGCAGTTGGGGTTTGGGGTATCAATGCAGAGAAGGTGCCTCGGATTGGCTCGGACAGCTATCAGATTTGCGAAATATTGACAGATGCCCGTGATCCCTGGCCTCTTTAACCAAGCCCACTTTGGGGACATTGGGATTTATTCCTCACAGCGGTTATGCCCCACGCACTCTTTTGACGATCGAGCGCCGGACCACATCCAAGACTTTCGGAAATGCTGTCCCGCCCGCTGGTTTTCCGGGATCCCAATTTGGACAGGCCGCAACGAAGCGGGCCCTTGCCGGATTCGCGTGCAATTGGTCACGAATCTCACCAAGAGCAGACTACCGCGTAAGACGATGATCCACTACGGAAACGTCATCGGCAATAAGGTGTTCCCGGTTGGAAATATGTTCGTATCAATAATACCCGAGTGCAGCGTGTGGCTCATGAGACTGTCAGAGTTGAGTTCATATACCATAGGTTAGCTGCACTCACTTGTAGTTGAGCATGCACATTACCCGACCGTCACAAACATCCTCAACTGATTTGGACTACATCTTTCCCATAGCCCGCGCGATACTTCAAACATTTCAACTAATAGCTCTGCCAACCCGCCGCAGGCCCTCGAAGTCTACCCACTGGATCCCTTCATCCGAGCTGCTCACTTACCATGGCCCCCGCAGCAGCTGTGTCAACTATCTGGAGGCCAGCTGAACCTCTGGCTGCAGGCACTGAGAAGGACGTCGCAGGTGTGCAACATGTTGAGCAGGTGGAAGACGACTCAACACTTAGAACGTTGGATGAGGTTCTAAGGCGGCGGGCAAGGACAGATCCAAATTTGCCTGTTGTGTCATACCCGTCCTCAGGCACCGAGTATGTCGACTACACATTCCAGCAGCTCGATGTTTTCGCCTATCGGGTGGGCAAGCACCTCCAGGCTACTGTTCCATCAAGGACAAGCTCCAACGAGAAGCGGACCGTTGTTGCTATGCTCGGGCCATCGAACCTCGAATATCTGGTGACTATGATGGCACTGTTCAAACTCGGCCACACAGTCCTGTTCCTATCGACTAGAATATCAGTCCCTGCCATCGAGGGACTTATCAAATCGACCGGGGCGACATACATACTCGCAGATCCCCGGCATATGGAGCCATCACTGGCTACCAAGGAGCAAGTACCAGGCCTTCAAGTCCTCGACATGCCTACGAGGTCGAACTTTGAATTCCCGGTCGATGTCGTTGGAGACACTCAGCTCGACGGCGCTCTTGATCCGAGCGTGGAGACGACCCAGGTTGTGTACATTATTCATTCAAGTGGTAAGAAATTTGCACCAAGACTACATCCCCGCTTTCTTGTCTCACAACTTTAGAACTAACAACCCATACTCGCAGGATCAACTGGGTTGCCAAAAGCCATCTATCAGAAACAAAACGCAGCGGTGTCCAACTTTTCGGGCAACATGAACATGAAAGCGTTCATCACGCTGCCGTTATACCACAACCACGGTATTTCTAACTTTTACCGTGCGATCTGGTCCAAAAAGGCCATTCATCTGTATAACGCGGACTTGCCCTTGACCTGCAGCTATCTCATCAAGATCTTGCAGACCCACGATTTCGAAATCTTTTATGGAGTTCCCTATGCACTGAAGCTCCTCGCCGAGGCCGACGAAGGCCTGTCACTGCTCGCTCAGCTTAAGATCGTTATGTATGGTGGCTCAGCCTGCCCCGATGACCTAGGTGATCTATTGGTCGAGCATGGTGTAAATCTTGTTAGCCACTACGGAGCGTGAGTAAAGTCTTATATCCCTGCCGTAAAGACCATTGCTAACAACCCCGAATAGAACCGAAGTGGGCCAGCTCATGACATCTTTCCGGCAACCTGGCGACAAGGCTTGGAACTACGTCCGGGAACATGACAAGCTGAAGCCTTATTTGAAGTGGATCCCACAGGGGCCTGGCCTGTTTGAGTGCTGTGTCCTCCCAGGTTGGCCGGCCAAGACAGCCACCAATATGGATGACGGTTCTTACCGCACGAAAGATCTCTTCGAGCCTCACCCAACAGTTGCTGGCGCGTGGAAGTATATTGCCCGCCAAGATGACACAATCGTGTTGGTCAACGGCGAGAAATTCAATCCTGTAGTCACAGAAGGCAAGATTCGATCCAGTAAGCTCGTTACGGAGGCTGTTGTTTTTGGAGCTCAGCAGCCATATCTTGGAGTTCTGGTCGTGCCATCGCCTGCGGCAGCCCTCGACAAATCACCATCTGAGGTTCTCGATCTGGTATGGCCACTCATCGAGGCAGCTCAAGAATCGGATGATGCATTCGCCAAAATCTCCAAGGATATGGTCGTCATTCTCCCTCATGATGTCGACTACCCGCGCACCGACAAAGGCAGCCTCATTCGTAAGATGTTCTACAGGGTCTTTGCAAAGGAAATCGAACTTGCATATGAGATATCTTCGGCAACTAACGAGAATGCCCGGGAGTATTCCGAGACAGAGCTGCGCGATCTCCTGAGAGCACTGGTCACCAAGTCCGTACCACAGGGGACTAGCTTCACCGATGAGAGTGACTTCTTCGCTCTTGGACTGGACTCATTGCAATCGATTCAAATACGGGCAGAGATTTTGAGAACCGTCAAGACACCAAATAAGCTGACCCAAAATGTGGTGTTCGACCATCCTTCTATCGACAAGCTCGCTGAGTATCTATCGGGCTCATCAACACAGACCAGCGTTGAAGACGAGATTGCATCCCTGGTTGAGAAATACTCGACTTTCTCCCCACCTCGACCCAAGACTGGAAAGTTTGTCGCAGTCACTGGATCGACCGGCTCCCTTGGCGCACACATCGTCGCCCAGCTGGTGCAAGACTCCTCCATAGATCGGATATACTGCTTCGTCCGCGCTCAAGATGAGTCAAGCGCAGCCAAGCGGACAGCAGAATCTCTGATCTCGCGAAAGCTGTACCACAGCCTACCCCAACAGCTTCGCAGAAAGGTCATCTCCCTTCCTGCCGACCTCTCCAAGCCTGACTTGGGGCTGCCAGAGTCAACATACCGTGAGATAACCTCAAGTCTCAGAACAGTCATCCACGCCGCCTGGTCCGTAAACTTCAACATCCGCCTGTCATCGTTTGAGAAGGACAACATTGCTGGAGTGCGCCACCTGATCGACCTGTGCCAGTCCGGCGGCGCATCTTTCAACTTCTGTTCGTCGGTGAGCACGGTCGCCAGACACCCCGACGAACAAGGCCCCGTTCCCGAGTCCCTGCCCGACGCCAAATGGGCACAAGGGATGGGCTATGCGCAGTCCAAGTGCGTTGCTGAATCGATCTGCTCCCGTGCCGCTCAGGGCGCGGGCATCCCAGTGCGGGTCTTGCGAATTGGCCAGATTGTTGCCGACACGACGCATGGCGTGTGGAACGCCACTGAGGCCGTTCCGCTGATGCTGCAAAGCGCCCTCACGATTGGTGCACTGCCACGCCTCACGGAGACTCCATCCTGGCTTCCTGTGGACATCGTCGCAAAGGGTGTCACCGAGATCTCGCTCACAGATGACAACAGTAAAGCAACCACTGGCGCCATATTCGCGAACGTGGTGAACCACCGCACATTCAGCTGGACCGAGGATCTTCTACCTGCTCTGCGCAGCGCCGGCTTAGAGTTTGAGGAGGTCGAGCCAAAGGAGTGGGTCAAGCGGCTCAGGGAGTCTAACACAGACCCCGTCGTGAATCCGCCCATCAAGCTGGTCGACTTCTTCGCAAGCAAGTACGACCGTGACGAGCTCTCGCCCTCGAAGAAGTATGTCACTGACACGGCGCGGTCGCTCTCTGAAACCCTGGAGAATGCGCCACTACTGGACAAGGACTTTGCCAAGAAGTTCGTGGACCAGTTCTGCAGGACAGCCTGGAAGAATTCGGCGGCCAAGAAGGATGGCGAGACAAATTCGCCCGCAAAGCGAGTAATCATCGTCACCGGCCCTTGCGGTAGTGGAAAAACAACCCTGGCCACCGCACTGGCGAGCTCGCCAATGGCCGCCCCATTCATCGAGGGTGACTCTCTCCACAGCAAAGACGCCGTCGACCGCATGCACGCCGGCCAGCCCCTGTCCGACGAGCACAGGAAACCATGGCTTGACCGACTCGTGCGGCGGGCACACGAGGAGCTCTTCGAGCTGGGCTACGACACGGTTGTGGTCAGCTGCTCAGGGCTGAAGCGCTCCTACCGGGATCAGATCCGGCAGATCGGCGCGGACGGCAGGGCCCATGTGGTATTCTTGGACTTGCAGTGTCGTCCTGAGACGTTGATCGCTAGGCTGCAGGAGAGGAAGGGTCATTACATGAAGGCAGAGATGGTCCACAGTCAGCTCGCGGATCAGGAGGGTATAGCGACGGATGAGGTTGATGTGTTCCCGATCGATGCTGAGGGTGCACTGGAAGGTATTTTTAGGGAAGCCACTTGGGCTTTGGAGCAAATATCATAGCTTTCAAATTTATATGGGTGCCTATATCTACGTCTACTGTCTAATTCAGTACTGAGGCTTGAGGAGCAGGTACTCTTTCAGCATTTCCATAGAATCAATGACATAAATCTGATTGGAATCCACAATGATATGTCGCTCTCCTTGAGTTATCCCAAGGCGAAGCAAAGCTTTATTCAGTGCTCCATCCAAATATTTACTTGGAACAGAAGCTAGACTTGAAAGATGTGAATCCGTAACCCAGTAACGACGCATGACCTTTCTACTAATAATCCAGTTTCGTCACGTTGATGCGATGCGAACCAACTGTGCCGAGGAAAAGAACCAGGGGAACGACGGACATGGTGACATGAGCGATGCATCTGAAAGCTTTCTAATAAAGTTCAAGAACAGAATTTGATCATATCGTCAAATTGACAAAGGGAATCGAAGCATAGAGTGCGAAGGGTATTAAGACGAAAGGTCTAGGATTATCCGGCATGGAATGTGGCATGGAGGATCCCCACGATGGCAGACAGGCAATATACATGCATTTGAATTTGAGAGGCATTTCGATTGTGACTTTGTTAAGGCGATAGTCCACTCGTTTGACGGCCGACCGGAGCCACGTTCACAAAGTGCCATAGCCACCGTTCGACAGACCGGTGCTGCTTTGATCTCCATAAATCTTTCCAGCTGTCCCGTAGGACTTCACCTGGCTCACGGCCAACGCATCGACCTCGTCCCGCGGCACTGCTCCGGCCGAAGCCAAAACATTCGTCACGGCGTCAACGGCACTCCACTTCACCATTCCAGTGGATGATTCAGCCCAGGGAGAACTGAGTACGACAGCGTCTCCAACCTGGTTCTCCTGTGCGCCGTTGAGAACTCCGTCAAGACTGGCATCTCCATAGTTCCCGGTGGCGTAGGCCGCCTGGTTAGCATTCATCTGGTAGTAGCGATTGGAGGCCTTCGTCGTGCTGGGGCCGGCAATGAAATAGTTGTTGATAATGTCATGGGAAAACTTTCCGCCTGTGTTTGCCGCGGTATATGCTGCCTGGTAGTTGTAGACCACATTGTTGATGTACTGCGTGTTGTCCTTGGATAGTGGCTGGCGATTATGCGCGCTTACCCATAGGTTGCCGAAGAATGTAGATGGCCCAGTCTCGATGTGCGCACCAAATTGCTGTCCGATGGGAAATGCAATTATAGAATTGGACACGGTCAAGTTCACCACCCCGACGGCGTCGATCGCTTGACAATCAAGAGTTAGGGAATTGATGTAAGAAATTAGACAAGTACAGCCGAGCGGTTTGGCGGAAGGGCGGTTTTGAAATCCACTCACTGTCCCATTGACCATACGCAAACGAACAATGATCCATAATGATATTGGAAGCCGTGCCAAAATTCACTGCGCTCTTGCCTGTGTTCGAGTCCAGGCTGCCTTGTCGAAATCTCATGTTGGTGATGATGATGTTATTCTTGCCGCTGCCCGAGACCTCAGCAGCCATGATCCCGATTCCGGGACTGGGCGCTGTCGAGCCATCGATGGTCAGGTGGCTCGATAGGGACACGGCTGAGCTTAGTTTGATGTATCCGGCGACATCAAAAACGACAATCCGGTTGGACGCGCTCACGCAGTCGCGGAAAGAGCCAGAGCCGGAGTCGTTGAGGTTGGTGACATGGCAGGTTGTGCCGCCTGTCCCGCCGGTGGAGACCGCGCCGAAGCCCACGGCTCCAGGGAAGGCTAGAGCAGACGTCACAGAAGGAAGGCCGAGAGCGGCTACAATAGAAGCTAGAATGCTGAACATATTGTCTGTCTAGAGCACTTGGGGCTGAAGCCAAGCTCATCCGATCTCTTGGAAGAACACGACCGAAAGCTTGGCGATCGGAGTCTCACACCTTTTTATAGCCCAGGGCTGGGAAACCCGCCTTAGAGGGGTACTCCATAATATTGAATTCGGACGGACCCTAATTAGGAAGCAATCTTCTGTCCCCAGGTGTAGTAACCTTGAAAATTGTAATGTTTTTCCTCCAATCCCCACTTCCGCTCCCAATGAGGCTAAGTGCCGCTGTTCCAATGTTACTATTTCACATACGGGCCTCATCACACTGGGGCTGAGAGCGGCAGCGATATTGTCGATTGAAGTGGTTGTATTTGAACACCGCCCAGCTCTGGGAGGTTTCAGATCACTGTGGAAATGCATACAGATTTACACGTCACTGCAAATAGACCTCGTGGCCCCGTCTCTGATAGCTGGTCCACCTACGGTAGGATGATCTTCTTGCGCTTTTGGCTTGTTGCCAAGAGTAAACCCTTAAACTTCAGCTCGAATAGGCGAGTACGAAAGCAGACTTGCTCCCTCCGTCAACATAGATTTCACGTCAATGTCACGGTCCTAATCGCAAGAGGCCCAAACAAGACCAGCCCCGTAGAGAATCCTTTAAAGGTTAGTGAGCTGTGATATACTGATGGATCGTCCTAGTTTATAACAGATGTATCTTCTCCACGGTCAAAGGTCCAACTTCCTCATGACACCAACCAAATTCACCGTGCATTACACCTGACATATATACCGGCGCCAGAAGCCCGTCAAATGTCCCGCATTGATGCAGCGCCACTTGAACGGCACCTGGTAACATCGGACAATGACAATGACCCAGCCGTACCGCAAACTGCAAGGTCCGATGCCCAAGCATCCATTACCTGGGGACTCACTGGTAATCAACATAACGGCTTCTTGTACCCTCTGTACCTCTTAATTTATTAGCAAAACAGTAAGAAATCACCGCGTCAATCATGACATGGCCACTATACTGGAGTACAGACGGCCCATAATCACGCTGCACCCTATTGTATCCATCTTCGCATTCTGCCACCTGCTAATTGAGTAATGCCTGGGCCTTTCCAACACACCGTCGTAAAGCAGAAACAAGTCCCGGTTTCCATAACACTTCCATCCACGATGGCACAATCAAGCTTAGGGTTAGTGTCCAAGACGTGTCGTTTCGGAGGCTGAGGCTGAAGTGGTTGGTTGACTCGACAAGGTACCCCCAAGGTACGAAAAGACGTCTCAATGCGTGCTTCTTGCCTAGGTGTTGACAAAACGCCAGATCATTAAGCATAGCGAGGAGTGTCCTGGAAGGAAGCGGAAGGGCAACGACGAGCGGGGCTTTCTCCATTGCTGTGCAACCCGGCAAAATGTTTCTCGTGCACGGATTGGTCAATCAATGTATCTTCAGTGTGCTGTACCTACCCAAGGAGTTGTTATTGCGTGGTGTTGAGGAAGGAGCACTTGAGCAGCTCCCGCTCGGCTCTAGGCACCCTGCCGCCTCGCGCGGCGTTTTATCTCCTCGCTCTGCTTATTCCTTAGCCGAACGAAGCCTTCAGGTATACACAGTTTCCATTCTTCATTTCGCATCGCGTGAGACTCATTCATAGTATTCGCAACGATATCTGAAACCGACACTGCAAACCAATATGAGCTCAGACAAGCTTCCCAGGGTTGCTCTGCTCATCGACAGCATCAACCTCGGGGCCTATACGATCAGAGGCGTCCTGGCCGAGATCACCAAGCACGGTGATGCGAGAGTCAGACGAATGTATGGCGACTGGACACAGCCCGACCACGTGCTTTGGAAGAAGTTCCTCGAGGAGCATTCGATCCTGCCTGTCCAGCAGTTCGCCTACACCACCGACAAGGCCACCGACAAGAAGGCCACCGACGGTGCCATGACCATTGACGCCATGGACCTGCTCCACACTGGCCACTTTGACGCCTTCTACCTTGTCTCAAACGACAGCGATTTTTCGCGTCTCGCCTTGCGCATTCGGGAACAGGGGCTCGCCGTCTACGGCTTTGGCGATGCGAAGACGCCGCGCCCCTTTATCAACGCGTATGACAAATTTTATTATATCCATGCCTTCGAAGCTTCGCAGAGCCTTGGCGAGACACCACATCCCGCAAGCTCCCATGCCAATGTGGGCATCTCACCGACCACGGCACCCGCCAGCTCCGGCGCTGCGACCGGTAGGCTGGACGCACAGGCCCTCAGCATCCTAAGGGAGGCTGTGGAGGCGTGCGCTGGGGACGATGGTCAGGCGAACCTATCTAACGTCGGCAATTATCTGTCCCCGGAGTTTAAAGCTGCAAACTACGGCTTCGGAACGCTGCGCCAGCTGGCTAAAGCTTCTGGGATTCTGGACGTGGAATTTGTCGGGCGCCCTCCTGCAGCGGCGGTATGCATGGTGAGGCTAAGGGATACCACTCACAAGCGGCCCCGGGTAGATTAAGCAGTTTCATGAGGCGGCCACTCAAACTACAACCCATATTTAGATCAAACAACGAATTCTTCCAAACCCCGAGTTTGACCTGCCGTCTTACGTGTGTGCCTCGTTGAATAGGTTTTGTTGCACTGTAGGATATACGAACGACGATGCGATGACCGAGCTCTCTTCACGAAACAGCCAGTAGAAGAGCCTCGAAAACCCTATCATATCAAAAAGTCCTGGGTTTCTCTAAACCGAAACTTGACGAGTTTGAGCGATGATAGTTGGCTGACTGACTCTGTTGTTCATGTGCCGACAGAAGTCGATGCCTGTCTTGATGTATGAGCACGCTGCTAGCCACGAAAGGTTCAATTGCATATTAAATGATGGAGACGGTTGTATCATGAGTACGGTGAATGGTTTAGGTTTTACGATCGCTCACATTTGCATTGAGGGAGACATTGGGGCGGAAAACTGTCAACTGGTGCCAAGCCTCGCTTTGATGTCGATTTGTAACTAGGTACTGGATACTAGAAAGGAAATGAGCTGACAGTGTCTTCTCCGAATGCCCAGAGTCACTGTTCTATGTTAAATTGTACTACATGATCTCTATCCGTTCAAAGGGCTGATTGATTGAGTCGTGGCCACCAGAAACAGCCTCCCCTTGCATGATGTTGGAGACATAAACAGGGCCAACGAGTGTAAAACAGTCATCCCGCCGTCGCAATAGTAGCGGGACCCGCGATCCCTGTACAATAGCAACCAAATCTCCTTGCTCTAGAGTCTGAGGGCCAATACCAAGGCAACCATTGGCCGTGGAGAACATGGCTGATTCCCCATTCGCACCGGTGCGCAACAAGTACTCGGCCTCATCGCGGCGGAGCTCGTCAGGACCGAAGTCTGGTGAGATCTGGGAGGAGTGCTTGTCGAGTAGGTCGATCCCGATTTCCCGGAAGGACTTTAGGAAGTCTATGAGGGCCTGTTGGGGGCCATGGCGGTGTTCTAGGCTTTCGAACATGCCAAGTGCCAGCCTCTCCATAACCTTCTTCTGTCTCCTATCAAGTTGCCCTTTGCCTGCGGCGAGTACAGGTTTTCCAAAGCTGATGACCTCGAAGTACTGGCGCAGCTTGGCGGCCGAGAAGTCGTTTCCGTCGGCCGTCCTACAAAAGGTGTCGATGAGGGTCTCGCGGTGGTCCTCGTTGTTGTTCTCATGTTTCATGTGGACCTGGACAGAGTCGCAGATCAAGGCGTCAACCTCGAGGATATGGTCCTCGCCACGCGTGGAAAATGCAAAGAAAGGATTCAAACCCTCGTTGCCGTCGGCATTGTACGTTCCGAGGTAAGCACCACTCAGGTATCTGGTGTCAACACCAGCCGTGCCGCGGAGATCCGGGACCCACAAAGGAAGGTTGATATCCTCTCCATTGTGTGGAGCACACGATCCAGCCGCAAGAAGCGTTAAGAGCTCACCGTCCGCCTCGATCCGGCTCCTCGCGAAATCGGCGTACACGTCTCGAATCGGAGCCGCGTAGTCGATTTTGATGGTCTTGACCAGCTCCCCACAGACTCCCATGAGTCCCTAGACCTTGTCCCTCGGGTCAGTAGCTTCAAGATGCCTCGTGGGTATCGACACGGCATGGACGTCTTGGGCCGCCTCCCTGGGAATGGTGAGGAAGAGATACCAAAGACTACGCGGCACATGTCGCAGAGCGACTTGTGCTCGAACTCGAACTCTTTCCAGAACGAGGTCTCGGACGTGGCCTGATGTAGCCACTTGAAGGAGTTCCAAGGCGCCTCGTGGCTGCCACAGCCGACGGCGGCGTCAGTGGCGGGGACGACCTCTTGAGACATCCCATGCGATCACCATTATGATAAGTATCGTCCAACATGATTTGATAATGTGTCCATAATACCTTTTATATTTTAATGGAAGTACCCGGAACGCTTAATGCTCATATTTCGTAAAGGAACAGATCTATATCTTGATCTAGTTGTACCGCTCTTCCCTCTGTCGAAGCCACTCGGCAAACCACTTCGACTTCTTCGGACCGACCTGAACCTCCTCAGACGTGCCAACACCAATTTCCTCATCCTCCACATCCTCAAACACTTCCAGTTGTGAATTCAGCTCTCCGTCCTCCTCATCCAGGTCTTCTTCTTCGTCGTCTTGCTCATCGTCAACCCCGACACTTGCGACTGCGTCGATCTTTTCAACTACGTTGACCTCGTCGTCCCCGTCCAGGATTTCCTCCGATTCGAGAGAGTACTCTGAGCCGACATCATTCTCTGACTCTAGGCTACCGTCGGTCCCTGAGGTTGCGTCTGAGTCCTCATGGGCGCTGGCGTCGAACAGCAGTTCTGTGTCTTGGACCTCGTCTTCGTCATAATGATTCATCTTGCCTGACTCATCAAGAACGAGTTCTGAAAGTCTGAGTGTGTCCTCCATGTTGATAAATCTGGGTTTCCACACTGCGTTAGCCGAAAGTACTCTGTCGCTTGCGTGCAAATCCGAATGACCAAAATATATAGATGGCGTGAGGGGGTAGTGACGCACTGTAGAATGTTAAGATTTGTATTGAGATCTGGTCTCAAATAGAATGTCAAATAGAGCTGTAGACCAATATGGGAAATTGAAATCATGTGGCGAGGTAGGTACTGTGACTAGTAGATGCAGGAGAGATCGTGGCAGAAAGGGCGTGTTAAATAGACAAGTCAGAGTTTAAGTTTTGCAATGAATGCTGTCTTTAATCAGCATTCGATCCCCATGACTCTCGGGCGCCTAGGCGCACGCAGGGGATCGATATGCGGCATGTTAGTGGGTGAGCACTCTTGTCTGTTGGTCTCCTGCATTAGTGAAACCGACACAGGCATGCTAGATCACGTTGCCGGGGATAACGCGCTATTGATCATTTCTTGCATGAAAGCACTGTTGATCATGGTGAGAACCACTGCATTCTGACAAAATGGCTCTGTAATTGGATACTCTAGACGCCGTCCACCCTGACTCCGTGATAAGCGCCGTCTACGTTGTATCAATGGTATGTAGTCCCACCCTTGGAAACGCCGAGACAAGACCCACTTTCCTCACGCCAACTTCTCCTCTTTATGGATCTCAATTCCAGGCGGGGCACCAACAAGCGCCTTGCACTGCGCGTAAATGACAAACTGCCCCGCGACCAGGCCACAAGTCATGACCACACGCGGGCCCAGCCCAGAGGTCAGCAGCCTCTTAGGGCCGAATTCTCGCGCCAGCGAGAACATGCGCGCGGTGGTGCTCTGCGACTTGTCGCCAGCGCCCTTGTTGATGGCCGACAGCAGGGTGTCAGCCGGGTGGGACAGGACGGCAGCGGCCACACCGGCGACGATGCCCGAGGTCAGCTCCACGCCCGTGGACTCGATCTTGGTGAGCCTGGCCTTCTTCTCCGGGCCCATGGCGCGGAAGATCATCTCGTTGGCGGCCTCGTGCACGGAGAACTGGCCCACCGCGTAGGGCACCTGCTTGAACAGCAGCGGCACGAAGCCGGAGTAGAAGCCCCGGAAGCCCTCCTCGCGCGCCATGCGCATGAAGCCCGTGGCGAGGCCGCTCGCGTAGCCACGCTGGCTCACGAGACGGATGCGGGTCGCTTCTAATGGTGACAGGGCAATGTCGGCGAAGAACTCTGCGGTGGCGGATGCGCCCAGGTAGATGGCGGTTCTGTTCTGGGTTGCCTTCTCGGTCGACCCGCTCATTTCGATGAACTTCTTCTTGAAGAACTCATAGCCTGCAAACTTTCCACCACCTTGGATCAGGTACCCGACCGCTGTGGGACCGAAACCTGTGAGGAGGGCTGATGCACCTTCTTTTGCGACGATTGTGCGTCCTGCTTTGACCATGTTCAGGCCCTTCATGGCATCATCGACTTGTATCCTCGTCTTGACCACGTCGATCGGGGTAGCTGCCTGCGTGCAATGTCAGCTCATGCTTCCATCAGTGTCTATAAGGTGAAGACATACTCCATGTGTCAGAGTCGCCGCCAGGGCGCCAGCACCGAAGAATTTGACATAATCGCTCGGCCCGTAGTTTGGCAGCTGTTGCTCTTCTTGTTTGGACATGGTTGTCTAGATGTCTAAAACTCTGATGAATGACAAGCTTTGGCTGTCGGTTGTGGCACGCAGGCCAGAGATGCTGGTAGGATGCGTCCGGGGCGGCGGAGTCTCCAAGTGATGAAGAAGATTGGTGGGAGCCTTGGAGGATGTTGGAGGAACCTTGGAAGATAAGCTGGCGCTGCTGCCAGGAACACAGGACGGGGAGAATTAGCTGGGTATCAAGTTCAAATGCCGGAGGGCTGATATGTATTCGGATGTGTCGTAAACAAGTCTGATTGGAAATCTAGAGGCTGGAATCTGGAGGCCTTGCAAAACGTGAGTGGAGATGGATCTATGCGTTCGCAGGTTGGGCTAGTCAAAAGCCAGGAAGAGTACGGATATGAGAACGCGTGTAGTTAGAAGACCGAGACAGCAGAGGCCCGTCAATAAGTACGACGCGATCAGGATCTCTCGCGCCAAAGTCGTCACCGGCGGGACAGCGGGGGACTCGGCTCGATGAGGTCAATTGAGTTCGCTGGTCCCTCCAAAACGGTGCATCGAGCAAGGAACACGCGAACGCCATGGGAGACGTGTGACGTCAGTGTTACCGAGAGACGGTGGCACTTTGTTGCTTATCGCGCTCTTGCTCCTCGCTTATCTCCCGCTGTCCCGGAGCGGCCGGTCAGTGCACGGGCCTCTTGCGCGCCTTTCGGCCACCCTCGCGAGGCGAGCCGAAGGCTGCCGACCACGGTCCCGGGGGGCCGCTTTCGGCAGTGCTTCGGCGACGCGAGACTTCAACATCACCTCTCTTCAAAGGTTCTATCCTGAAGTCGCAACACATCCAAAGCACCCCGTCAAATTCAGACAGCCGATGGGGCCATTATAGAGTCCCCATTTAAACTTACGGACAAGTCCAACGAGGATAGATCCAAAGCCACACCTGGCCGCAGTACCATTTTGTCCAGTTGAAAATGGTCACCCTGTGGCGGCTAAAATTGGTCCGAGACAACTGACGAAGAAAAAGGGTCGTGAGTTGGAATTCTCACCTAACTATTGCTTTCGTGGGCATCTAGGACAACATAAAAGATTATCAACCCAACTTGGCCTGATCATTAACAGCCACGCAGCCACGATTTAGTCGAGGCATAATAGTAATCTATGATCACATCACCGAGTAACAGGAATGTCGGGCCAGGAATATACCTGGTAGAGTGCGTCGTACTGAGTTCAATAGCCATTATTTTATCGCCACCTCGCTAATTTACTCTAATTTAATCTCGGTAGACTGAATGCCAACCATGTTCATGGCCTGACCAGACAAGAGTCCTGAGATGAAGCACTCTCCAACAAGCTCGTAAACCCCCTCGGTCTCCCGCTTCGGGCGCACGACATATGGCAGAGCCATGCCATCAAATACACAGACGAGATCCCCTGCCTCGGCTGTGCGCGGGGCCCAACCCAGTCTCCCATTCATTGTGCGACCAAAGCGCCTATACATCATGCTGAAGAGCAGGTCGGGTATGGGAGCAAAGGACATTCTGGTGGATAAGGGAAACGCGGTGGCCAGAATCTCCGCAGCCTGTTTCTCGTCTTCAGCAGAATGCAAGGCCTTTTCAAACCGTCGATATTCTGGGAACGCTTTCATGGCCGGCTCTACGCGCCGGTAGTATTCTTGTGGTGCTAGAGCTTCCAACTCGCTATTGAACAAGGCATGTAGAAAGCTTTTTTCATCCTTGTGGGCCGCATCAGAGATCGCCTGGCAGTCATCCAGCCAACGATCGATTTCCCTGGCCTCCCGGAGAGCGCCAGCCAGTTGTGTGCCAGAAACACCCCAGATCGCCTCGTACCAATGGCTCTCGTCTTTTGTCAGTTCTTCAAGACGGTCCACAACCCGTCCCATAATATGCAGCTGGCCTCCCCTCACCGAAGCAGCCAACCTTGTGTTTCCAGAGGCACTTGCGAATCGGCTTACCTGATGCGATGTCACACACATGGAAGCGGACAGAGGGTGCATAGCCTGCAGCTTTTCAATATTGGGCATCCAAGAGACCGAGCAGACGGATTGTCGATGATCAGCAGAGAGAACAGAACCAAATGACCACAAAGCTTGCAGGTCCCGGGGGTCGTTGAGAGACGCCTGGGCCAGGCGGCGGGAGAGCACCGCCATCGGGCTGTCGTAGTCAATGAGATCCTCATAGGCCGAGTTGTTCTTCGAGATACCCAATATGGCAAAGATGTGATCCCTGGGATCCGCACACAGGAAATGGAGCGTGCGTGCCACCTGCACTAACAGCGGTGTATCCTCGTCAAGGAACAAGGCGAGCGTCTTCGCCCGGTGCATCGCAGAGGACATGGCAGCAGGAGGAGTCTCGAGGCTCCACGTGCAGCTTTTGCGAAAGAGCCCCACGGTCCCCGGGCACTGCACCACCACAAGGAAGAACGCCTCCACGGCCTCCCATGCCAGACTCTTTGGGCCGGCCACGAGGAAAGTGTCGTGTTCCGAGTTGGCCAGCTCCTGGATCACCCACTTGCGCGAGAACCAGGGCCGCCGCAGCAGCATCCATATGTCCCCGTATGCCTCGATCCGGCTTGCTTCGCCACCAAAGGTTTTTTGAAGAGTCTTCAAGGCCATCGGCAGCTTGTTTGGCCCCTGAGACTTGAAGTAAATGTCGTCCCAGGAGTTTGTAGCGCCTTCGGGGCAGTCAAATGTCTTCACGGCCACGAGGAAGCGCTCCAGAGACTCCATCGCCCGGGCGACATGGCCATCTTCATCACCCAACCAGATCACCGTCTTAGATGCCGCCGCATAAATCTGGCTCATGATTCGGACTTGGGCGTTCCGCTCAGGGATGTCCTCCTGGTTGATGCAGAGCGCGTCTGCCCAGATCAACCGGCCAGGCTCCGGAGCGCGGGGGGCCAGCTGGCGCAGCGCACCGTGGAGACTGAGCCCTATCGTAGCTTTCAGACCAGAGCAGCGGATCTCTGTCTGCGGAAGAGGGTCGCCCCATGCGTACGACAGGGCTTCGAACGGAGGGGCCTCATCGAGAGGTACGGTGATGAGGTCCACGGAGAGCTGCGAGTCCTCTGAATTGCCCCTGGGATGTAACTTGAGAAGACGAATTTGGCGCGAGCCCGATAGTGGGGAGTACTGGTATTTGTCTGTTTCCATGTTGTGTTGATGCAGAGGGCTGGTCGTTTGATGTCAGTCAGGGACCACGGAAACCGTGTTGACAACTCTGAGCTGAAAAGAGGCCCACTTGAGCACATGTGCAGAATTCCCAAAAAGGCAATTTGCGGCGACAGCCAGTAGCCGGCAGCCAGCAGCCAACATGGGCCTCATTTGTGTCACTACGAAATCATTGATGCGTGTCTAAAATTCAGCACGATTGGGAGGATACACGGAGGCCAGATTATTTGCAGTCAGTACCTCATCATTTGTTCAAGAAATTCATCAAGTCACCAGGCGGCGGCGGGATCTCTGCTGCTAGTATCGTATCCGAGGTGCTGCCTCAACCTTGCTGGTGAACTGGGAATGTGAAATCGAGACGGAGCTGGGCGTCGGAGTTCACGGTGGGAGATATTGTAGAAAGTGAAGAACGAATAGTGTATACTCAGTTGTCTCTCTTCCCAGCACTAATTTAAGTGCGAGCGAAGAGACTTTTATCTTCTGTCCACTATTATTACTAGTATTACGTTTACATAAGTGGACAAACAACTATAATCATTTCACCCTCGGTCTCCAAGAAGCATTCCTCGGAGCAACTATCGGAGCATATTTCTACAGATATACCTCCGGATGTGCCCGTTATCGTCCGGCGGGACCGTTCCACATCTGCCGCGCAGCGGCTGAGCCTGTTTGATGGACGCATTCCAAGGTTTGGCTCCGTAAAGCTGGCAGTTCGGGCATGGATATTGCGCTGTGGTGCATTTGAGTTGGGAAAACAGAGTCAGTTGCCATATTGCATCGCCTGATTTGATCACCTGGGCAATGAACAAGCACGGGGGGTGGGGGAGAATTCTTACCCTTTTGTGACGGCATTGTTGGCAGGACTTGATGACTGCCTTAGTCGCCACGCCATGTGCGTCAAATTGTGAGTACGCCATGACATCTGGCTTGTGCGACGACGATATATCGGGGAAGATGGCATCGCCAAAAGGGCCCCGGGATTGGGGAGACTGTACTGTGTAACAATACAGAAATCCGGGTGTCGCGGCCCCTAAGAGGCGCGTGTGACAAACCACTCGCCTCGGCCAAGCTAGGTCCAAACCATCTTCTACTGAAACTCTATGTTGCTTTGTGGTACCTACTACTGAAGTACTTAAGTAGGTACACAAGAGTGCGGGGGTGGAGCTGCGGCTGTCATCCGCGGCAACCTTAGGAACAGTGGTGCACTTCTCCGTTGGGAATTTTCTTGGCTTTCAAAATTCGAACAGGTAAAACCATTGCGTCCGGCGGTGTGTTGTTTCTATATATCTGACTATCCCGGTCAAAGCTCGCCCGGTGAGCCATTCCAGAAGTTGTATATTGCGCTCGGGATCTCCGTCATAGACCGACGATAGGCTGAGGGAATTGCATCGCTAGGGACTGTGTGAGGCCACAGAAAGCAGCGTCGGTGTGATGTTCAAAGTGGTCATCATCGGTGCTGGCCTGGGTGGCCTCGCATGCGCCGTTGCATGTCGCCGCTACGGCCTAGAAGTTGTTGTTCTAGAGCAAGCCCCCAGAATCACTCCGGTACGAAGCCACGAAACTACAGCTCGGACCTTCGCTGATGCGCGCAGATCGGCGCTGGGATTCAAGCGCCGCCCAATGCCTCTCGCGCCTTGAAATGGCTGGGCCTACTCGAACAGGTTCAAGCTAAGGCCTGCCTCCCGGATTCTTTTGACCTCCTTAGATATGAGGATGGGTCTTGCATCATACGAAGGGACATTCGGGATTCGGAACAGAGATATCGAGCGCCGTGGATGTGAGCGAAACATCATACCTGATGCCATAGACGTGACTTGCGGACTAACGTTTGTGCAGAGTCATCCATCGAGCGGACTACCACAAAGCATTATTAGATGCCGCGGTAAGTGCTGGCGCAGAAATTCGACTTGGGTCCATCGTGACCAATATCGACTTCGAGGATACAACTGTGGAGGTGAGAGGGGGGCAGGTCATATCAGCGGATGTGATCGTCGGGGCTGACGGTATGCCAGCAATGTTTTCCCACCCTTTGTGTATCGTATATAACCATTGCAGGTCTGTGGTCTACTGCCCGGGACCGAATACTCGGTCATCCATCGCCTCCTCGTGAAACAGGTGATCTGGCTTATCGAGCAACTTTGAAGACGTCCGACCTACTCGCCTTAGATGACGCCAGAGTTACCGACCTCTGCAAGCAACAGCATTGCACCGTATGGGTGGGGCCCAACAAGCACTGCGTGTTCTACCCGGTCAAAGGAGGTTCAGAGTATAATCTGGTCCTAATCAGGCCTGATGACCTGCCTCCGGGAACCAACAAGGTCCAGGGCGAAATCGGTGAGATGCGAGAGAACTTCAAGGGGTGGGACAGCAGCCTCACCAAGATCATCTCCCGTATCCCCGCTGTGTTAAAGTGGAAGATATGCACCCATGACGAACTTGATACGTGGCGCAAGGCCAGTCCCCCTCCACCACCCCCAGACTCAAAAAACGACGTCCATGGGCTGATGATATGAGCAGGGCAATGTAACCGTCCTCGGTGATGCTTGCCACCCTACCCTGCCCTACCAGGCCCAAGGCGCGGCAATGGCGGTCGAGGATGGAGCCGTGCTCGGAAATCTCATTGGCTCCCTGGTCAGAGACGAGAAAGAGTTGCCTGGACCGGCACATGAACATGTAGGCTCACTATTGCAGGTGTATGAGAAGTTACGAAAGCTGCGTACGACGACCAATGCCAAGGGTGCCGAGGCAAACCAGTACATGTTCCACCTTGAGGATGGAGAGGAGCAGAGGCGGCGAGATACCGAGCTGAAGGCTCACGACTGGATCCGTCCATCCCGCTGGAGGTGGGCAGACCCATCGGCTCAGGATGAGCTGCTTGGGCACGACGTGATTGCAGAGAGTGAAATGGCGTACAAGGAGTGGAAGTCGAGTAAGATTCACAAGATATGAAATCAGGCCACAATACACAATTTCAACAGTAATTTGAAGTTGAATTATACAAATTGATGACCGAAACATCGCGCACGCTGCCAAATTCCGGACCCTGCAGTCGGGCCGGTGCGTTCATGCAGCCGAGAGCAGTGTGATTGCGGGACGCCGATTTTCACACTGGAGGTAACAGTGGGATCTCCCACCCTTTCGGCCACTAACCAAAGAAGCCGGAGGAAGAGTGAAGTCCCTTTTCGGGTGGATGCCGGCAGCCCCGGCCTGTTAGGCCTGCTATAGACTGGTCAGCTTAGCTGCGTTCTTTGATTTTAAAGCTGACACGGTCAGACGGTCAACACCGGCACTTGCCTAGGATGTGGCGAATTCCAACCTCGTGGGCGCCGTGGTGCCGGCGCCAAGAGGGTCGACTATGGAGCCGCACCGCCAGGATGCATGAAATTTGCTATGATGAGCGTGTTTTTGCTGACCCAGACCCCAGACCGCCCAGCTCGAGACTAAATGAGATTTCCGGAGGATGCACCCTTTCGTTCGATAGCGCCAATGCAAGGCCAAGATAGTCCCCTATTGGTTATGACCCCTGATGTTCTGTGGCACCCTCTCCACTCGACAAACTATCGCCATCTGTCTGCCTGCACACCTGGGCATGCTCTTGTGGGGACTCCATCTTAGCCTAGGCAAAAGGAGTCTGTTTTTGGTCGGTATGAATCAGAATGGACGCTGTCAGTAGCTTGCACCAGTAATTGTCGTCCACAGTTTTCTACACCTCGCCGCACGACATCCAACTGCATCATGGGACTTGTCAATGCCATCACCAAGGGCACCAGCCTGGCTCTGGCTGCATCCTCTTTCTTCCCTCACGTGGTAGCAGGGGCACGCACTAACATCTCGAGGCCAACAAGCGTCGTTCTTCCTCAGGGACGAATCAATGGCTTTCGCGACGATACTCGCAACTCCGTCTATCTAGGTGTCCCATATGCCGCGACAACTGGTGGAGACAATAGGTTTGTTAGCCTCTGTAATGCTTCGCGTCGTGTGTTGCTAAGCATTCGAAAGGTGGCGGGCGCCCCAGGACGTCCCGGAATCAAACTCAACGTTTGAGGCGACTTCCTATGGGCCGACATGCCCTCAGGCCATCTCTGGCACGGCCTTTAGCCAGCAGGGAGAGGACTGTCTCAACCTGAATATATGGTCTCCCTCAACTGGAGAGGACCTGCCCGTGAGTGTCGAGCATAGCACATGATCACCAGAACTTTCATCTAACTAATTCTAGGTTTTCGTGTACATGTATGGCGGTGCTATGGTGACAGGCTCCAACAGCAACCCTCAACTCCAAGGCGCCAACTTTGCCCGCAATGGAGTTGTCTACGTCAACTTCAATACTCGCGAGAGCATATTCGCGTCTCCGCACTCTTCAGAGTTGGATGATGCAAGTCCTGAAGAGTCCCAGAACTTCAGTATCCTGGACGTTGAGAAGGCTCTCGATTGGATCCACGACAACATCCGGGGTAAGAATTTGAGATCCCCATTACGTGTGGACCAAAATGAAGGAGAGCTGACATCAGAACAGCCTTTGGGGGAAACCCTGACCACATTGTGTTTGGTGGTCATTCTTCAGGCTCCGTGCATGTCGATCACTACCTCTGGAACCACCCCGATACGTGGCTCAAAGGTGCCGTGCAGATGAGTGCTAATGCTGTCTCTGGCCCTGCCTATGCCCCAACCAACGAAGCCCTTGACGCTGTTGCCACCGAAGTGGGATGCCCTGCCGGCGGCGATGGTCAGATCGACTGCCTGCGCAAGGTTGACCTCTATGCTTTCCAAACCTCCAACTTCAACTCGACCTTCAACACCTGGTTCACTCCAGTCATCGACAACATCACCCGCCACTCAGACTATGCCGCTCGCTTCGCCGCCGGCCAATATGCGTCCCACGTTCCCCTCCTGACTGGCACGTCAGATGGCGAGGGCACTATATTCAGCCTCGTCTACGGCGGTGAAAACACCAACTTCAGCTCCTGGATCAACACCTTCGATGCCGACAGCGCTCATATCGAGGATTCTGTCTTGATTGAAGCATACAACGCTTCCGAGTACGGAAGCGAGTCACTCCGGAGCGGCGCTCAGTACGGCGACGCCCGCTTCAACTGTGCGGTGGACTACCTCCAAGACCTCCGCAGTGCCATCCAGGATACTTGGGTGTACCGCTTCTTCGGCGCCTACGACAACGTTGTGGGGCCACCCAATACAGCCCCTACCCACGGCACCGAGGTCCCTTTCTTCCACGGTGGAAATGAGTGCTTCTCAGGACTCTCGGGAGTTACTGAGGCGCAGCAAGCACTGGCTGATTCTATCCACCAGTGGTTCGTCGAGTGGATTAAGAATCCCTCTGCCGGTCCTGGCTGGGAAAAGGTCACACCTGAGTCCGGCCCACTTGTCGAGCTTGGTGTCCCTGGTGACGAGACGTCTCTGATCGCGGCATCGACTGACGAGTTCAACGGTCGCTGCCAAGCCGTATGTCAACCAAATCGTGATGCCACCATTTCAGCTCTTGCTAACTAGCTGTCAGGTCTATAAGCCGGCTTTTCCCCGATATCCCGTCGTTCAATCAGTGGAAAGATTGTTGAACTAATTGTCACAATGAGAGTGTCTTTGCTTTCGACCCGCGGAAAGCTTATGTCCAGTCGCGATCCCGAAACCAGATATAGTGTACAGATGAAAGGACTTGTATGACTATCTGCCAGGTATATAGTGAAAGAGCCCAATTTCGGGTATTAAGTGCTTGAGTACTTAGGTGTGACTCTTTCTGCAGTCATAAAATCTATACACAAGACTCGGCTCAACGGCATCGAATTCTCCCCCTCAGCGCTGGGAAGGTGGTTGCTGCTGCCCTTTCAACTGCTTTGTATCCTAAGTGCAACAATTTTAAGCGCGTCTTCCAAGGCAGATACGGCGTCATCCGTAATCTCTGAATGATGAAATGGGTTAATAGACAAGTTCAAGTCATCATTAATCCAGAGGGAGGGAAGAGTGAGGAGCACCTACGATAGTGCGTTACTAGCCGACAACCCGCGACTTTCACTCCACATGGCGAGACGATACGAACGAATTCCTCGTCCGTGATGTCCAGGGCATTCAAATCGAGCCATACCATGTTGGTCTCCTGATCTAGACCTGGCTGTATACGTCCGCCTAAGGACTTCCACGTGCCTTCCAGTCGCCGGGCAATGGCATTGGCACGCGGCAGGTGCTCACCCGATAGGAAGACCGACTCTATACCCACACGTGCTGGTGCTGTCAATACTCCTATCTGACGCATGCCACCACCCATGGCCTTGCGAAAGTGTCGGGCGCGCGATGCAATATCTGGAGAGTTGGATACTAATACAGAGCCACCGGGTGCACCCAAAGACTTGGAGAGACACAAAGTCACGGTGTCTGCCAGCAAGCAGTAAGACTTGAGAAGATAGCGTGCGTTCTCGGCTGCTTGTGTGGTCGTCAAACCGGCTTCGCGCGGATAACAGGCATTCCAGAGCCTGGCTCCATCGATATGGACAGAGATTCCCTTGGCTCGAGCATAGTTGGAGATTCTTTTAACCTCCTCCAGGGGAACAATTCTGCCACCGATGGTGTTCTCGATCGATATGACTCTCGTCGGAGAGCAGTGGGTGTTTCCATCGTCAGGGATAATATTCGGTATAATGTCCTCAAGAGTCATATAAGCACTTTTCTTTGGTATGACAGGTATCATCTGAGCTTGCGAGAAGGCTGAGACCGTTCCACACTCGTGCAGGAAGAGATGACTTTGACGGTTGCAGATGACGCTATAGGGCGGCTGCTTTAACAAGGACCGAATGGCGATCTGATTGCCCATCGTTCCAGAAAGCACAAACACGGCGCTGCGCATCCCTGTGATGTCTGCTGCGAATTGTTCAAGTGAGTGTGTTGGTTGATCCTCGGAAAATACATCATCCCCGAAGCCTGCAGCGTTAGACAGGATCGAAGTAAGCATTTCTTCGCTTGGTGTGGTCACTGTATCGCCTGGGCAAAAGTTAGTTGATTTCCGGAACTGAGGTACTCGATTGCACGGAGGAGCTTACTGCGGAAGTCGTTTGCTGCAGAGGAACTTCTCTGCTCTAAGTGAGCTTCCCAGTTGTGTAGCGCTTCAGTAGGCATTTTCTTTATGCCAGGATTGAGATATGAGATCTGTTTGCGGTTGGAAGAGCATTGCGGGACAGCTATGGTTCTTCTTCTCGAAGGCCTCAGCAAAGAGATGTGTCTCAACATTGTTGCACTCTCAGTGTCAATAAATCCATAAGTTGTCGCTATCAGTGTCTGTCAGGCTATCGAAAAGACAGTGTTTGGCATGGAAAGTTGTCAGAAGCCGCAAGATGACAGAGAAATCTCTCTATTTATCAATTCGCCAGCCTACTGTCATCAGATATTGGCAGATGTACTAGTTGACGGCCATCTATACCTCATTGTGAAGTCGGCACTTGGTGTGGCACACTCCTTGCTAGAATACCACTTAAGTGGGATCCATCCACAATCAACAAGTGTGGTCAAATGGTATTATGATAGAAGCGGCTTTAGCTAGATTATTTTATTTATTTCATGATTTAGCTATCTATTATATTCTTAACCCTAAGACTAGTTACTAGTATATATTATATGTAGTTTCGCTTCTATTCCGTAAATGTCTAAGGATATACATAGCGCCTTCATACGGTAGTAAGCATTTAAGACCGTATATATTATATATATAATAGTTTCGTTTTTAATCCCTATATATAAATAAGTTTAAGGATATATATTAAGTAATTATTAACTTTATATTTAAATTATAAGTTAATAATTAATTTAAACGTTAAGAAAATAATAAAGAAATAAATATATAATTAAATAAAAAAATATAATATAATTAAAGCTATCCTATATATAAAGTCTATTTATTACTTATTATATTTTTTAAAACTTTATAATTTAAATTAATTATTTTATATTATAACTTCTTATTATTATTATAATATTTTTATTATACTTTTAATATATTATATAAAGTTTATAATATTTCTTATTACTAAATTTTAAATATCTATTATATAAAAGTGAATAAATCCTTATTAGTAATATTGGTATTAAGGTTAACCAAATAAGATAGTGCTTTGGTGAGCGCTTTAGCTCCTCATTACTATCAATTCCCCGACGCCACTGTGCAGCCGGTGTGATAGTTGACGCCGCTTCTTTGCAGGCGATCTCGGCATTGTCACCGGCACAGACGATTGGCCGCCCCCAAAAGATATTGCTGATGGAAGTCGGCTTACTGTTCCGCCACTCGGCCCGACCTGGCCATGGGCTAAACACGTGCACAATCGTGGCGGTAATTCTAAACGGTGGAGGGGCTCTTCGGGCCCCCGGGTGTCAACCGTGTAACCACACGACATTCAGGAATTGGCAGGTATGAATGACGATCCGATCATCCGACCTAAAAAGAAGATGCCAAGGATACCGAGTCTCTGGACGAACTCTGCACCCTTCAATGTTGGTGTCCTGCAGTCAGCTGTGAGCGTCAATTCTTGACTTCAGTGAGCGTGGACGTCTCGTAACCTTGGGACTTCAGATGCACACTCGCATTTTGCTGCCCGAATCGGGATCGATGCTACCTAGCTTTGTCTGTGCGACACGAGACTGCGGCCACGTGCCCGTGGATTGTGTTTTTCATGCATGATATCGGCGTTGTGATTTTTTTAAATGCTGGATCTTGAGCGTTTATCACTATATGAAGGCGCCACATACGCCTCATATGTATGCGGATAACAAAGGAAGCCACTTGGACAGCTTACATGGGTAATGCCAAGTCGCCAGATGAAGGCATGGCGTTTCTGAGCACCAAATTTCAACTGCATTGGTCTTCGACGCGACATTATGATTACTGGCGGCGATACTGATGCGGGTCTGCTGTTCAGGACTGCTTTCTCAAGAAGTGCCTTGAATGCATTCGTTGGCTAGTTATGCAGGAATATCCACTGTCAGAAGAGTCACACTCGGCAAAACTAACGGTACATGGTACGGAGATTGGGGCCGGCCCAAGCTGATGTTTCCGGAAATACGCGGTATCACATCCAAGTGAACGCCATTCGCAGCGAAAGTAAACTCGTTGTAGGGGACATGAGCGAGCCCGAGTTCACCACCCAGAATGAAACATACAGTGGAAGACCAGGGTGGAGTGAGAGTCTCCGCGGCCGAAGCTTTGTTCGAGAATGTCTCAGTGACAAAGCCTTGACATCACAGGGCAGGGCGGCAGTACATATGATGTCAATAATGTGACTTGTCTTCTGCTACACCGTCATAGTCCTACAACACCACGTAGCTGGTGGCCCGTGATGTACTATACAATGGGGGTATCATGAAATGACAACGCTTTTTACAAGGTGCTCAGCTCCTGCTCCATATTCCTCCTGACCTGGGCTAGCATTTTCTTGGAAGAACACCAGACCTCTCGATGCCGTAAGTACAGCAGCACAAAAGCACATAATATACACGTTATTTACAGTGCCTAGAAGGTTCATGTCAGCTTCAGACGTCGAAAATTATTCAATCACTGCGAGTTGCGTGTGTGTGTGAGGGGGGGGGGGATTGTCAACTCACAAACAGAGCCTCAGAAGACAATGTGATGTCACCAGAGACGCTCCCTTTCAGCTGCACCTCCACATTAAGATGCATATCCATCCGCAGCGCGAATCCTTTTTTGCTCCCATGCCATGCAGTATTGCTCTGCTTCCGCGTGACAAAGTTGTCCTTGGTGTCTAATTCCCGCCGGCTCCCGTCAAGCGTTTTCCACGCCGCGGCCCGCGTGCCAGCCTTGGGTCTGTAGTCCCCCCTACCGTCCTCGAGCTTCCATGGCCCCGGTGGCGATGACAGGTCGCCAGGCATAGGCAGCGCACGCCGATTCTCGACGGCCTCCCAACCGCCCGGATGGAAGTCTTGGTTAAGCTGGTAGCCGCCCCACTGGTTGTCCTGTTGGTAGTTGCGCCAGTTGTCCACAGAGGGCCATGGGCCCTGTGGGGGCTGGTAGTTGTCGTTGCCCAGGTACTCGAGCTTCGACAGCTGGAGCGCTGGCTTGCTTAGCCCGGATATCCCTTCAATGTAAGGCAACGGAAGCGTGTTGCGATTGCTTCTGCGCTTGAAGCTGTCTCGTGGCGTTCGTGGGCTCTCAAGCTCTGTCGCTGTGGAAGGTGTCTGCAGCGACTCCGTGTCTCCCGGGCTTGATACTGTGGTTATCGCCGTCTCAAGCTCAGCCGATGCAGGGCTGTCGCCGGAGGTTCTTGAGCGTCGCTGTAGCAAGGTTGTCTCTATCGGCGGAAGAGGAGTCCTGGGCGTCCGTGGAGTTCGAGGAGTTCCGGGGACCACATTTGGTGTTGGCGGGACGGGTGGTATGGCTGGCATCTTTGATTCGGGCGTGGGTACACTGACTGGCTGTGGCAGTGATGGCGTGGCAGAAGGCTTCTCGGAGCCAACCAAGATCTCGGAGAATAATTGTGGCACTACTGGTTTTGATGCCTCTGGGGTCGCTTTTGGTTCCGACTGTGGCTTTTGCGGCGGTGGTGCCGAACCATTGCGCCGCCCGGCAAATGCCCTAAATGCCTGTAGCACCGATGGCTTCTTTGCCGGCTTGGGCTCATTTGCGGGTGCATTTGGATTCTGGGTCTGATTAGATGCTGTTGATGGTGCTGTTGGTTCCGGGCCAGGACTTGGGGCCCGTATGAAAGCGATCTGCTCAGGTGCCCTTGCGAGGGACTTGTCCACGGGGACAGGGGCCCACTGGTACTCGGGCTTCCATATCTTCTGGATGAATTCGAAGGCCTCATTTGGAACCCATACTGTCATGCCATCACTATTTCTAACTTCCATTCCTTAGAGCGAGTGGACATTGACGCGAGTGGTGAGACTCGGTCAACAGAGATGAGACGCCGGTGAGCGTGGCAGTGAGGCGCTGGGGCAGGCCGAGATGAGAATGTCTGAAGCTTTGAGAGTCAAGGCATTGCTGTTATCCGCTCGGTCAGACTTCTGGGCGCCTGGCTCAGAAATTCGTTTTTAAAGAATCAACCCGTTGACGTGTATCTGGATCTGCATGTAGGGCTGACGATGGAACAGACGTCAGTGGTGATTGTGGTACAGAGCTGGATGCCAGATGACATCTTTTCTGGGTACAAGCGAAGCTTACTCGTATTCAAAACAAGGTATGGGGGTGATCTGCAGGTCCGACCTCACCACACGCTCCCGGAAAGCCGGGGTCAAATCCGGATTTGCAACTCGGCCGACTTGCAGACGTTGCCACCACTGCACATGTGGACAAAAATAGCCATCATCTTTTTTCCGAGAAAAAAAGGTTGGAACAATCTGGAAGGAGGACCTGGCTTTTGTAAAGCGAGGTATTTTTCAGGCGCGAATCCAAAGCTCAAAATACGGGCGCTTGTTGGCCAGTGTCCGGGTGTCAGGCATCAGGCCATACACATGATCTGGCACTCAGACGGTTTCAAAATCGGTCAAGATAACATGTTATCAAAACGTACCCCAACACGCTCCAGAAGCAATTGCTTGGCACACAAGTCTAGCCATCTGGCGAACTTAGGTGCCCCTGGTTTCCGGGAAAGCTTCCCGAGTCGCCTACCCCGTGTTTCCGCTGCGCCGGGAAACAATATTATGTGGCTCGACACTCACGTGCGTACTCTGATCCAAGTGAATCGGATGACAAGAGCAGACTTAATAAGACCTAGGTAGTATCTTATATCCCAGCCACGGGATTCAGACATGAAATCGTTCGTCCGCCGTCGGTTCTCTACCCCAGGGCACCTATGACTGCGGCACTGTTTTGACGAGGTGACGCTGCAATTATGCTGAGCACCAGAGTTTTCCGGCAAGCATGAGCTTAGTGGAGAAGCGTTAGTCAGGATCACTAATCCAGCTGGTTTGTTGCGAATTCTATACTCAAACAGCAATAGATATCCTAAGTGATGCTTCGAGTGCCCACTTGTATTAAGAAACACCTTGTATTTGCAAATTATATTCTCAGCTAAGCACTCTATACAACGAAATTTTTTCAACATCTCTAAAACTACCACCCAATTTATAAACCCCTCAGTGATCTTGCTAGCCTACTGCCAAAAGTCTTGATCGCGTTTTGACATCCTCCTCATTGCTTAGGGAGACAACGACTCAAAGTAAAAGCCATGCTCATAGACAGGCTCATAGCAAGACATCACCTCGAATTTATGGTTAGAGCAAAAGAACGCAGCATTTTGATTAGGGCCAAAGCTAAGCCTGCAGCAAAGCGAAAGCGGTTAGCTATTGGGACGCCACCTCATCACGAATTTGCTAGTAGATGCGTTCGTCCGGACTGTCAATGTCGTGGAGTAGACTTGGATGGAGTAGCGCCGCCGCCATGCGGGGTCTTCGGTGGTCTCAATAAAGCCTAACATTATTCAACCACATGTGAGAATATGTGAGACGACAAATCTACACCCCTTGGCTGGACCTCATGGCTCGGCCACTTGATCAAGAGCTCGAAGGCGGCTCAACGCAATGGATATGTGTCAATAAACAATGGAAAAGCGGCAGATATCATTGATATTCATGCCAGATTCTGATGGTGAAGCTATATCCCGATGACGAATACAGTGAGGAACAGAACGTTAGAACTCCTTCAAGAACCGATCGCCTGGTAGCCTATTTCTTTCCGCTTGTGTTGGAATCATCGTTCTACCTCGCCCAAGACATACACAACAGATTGAACTGGTCTTCTTCCTATCCCAATCTGGCCCCCACAAAAGTTAATGTAGAGCCATGTGTAACGCCTTCCACGTCTCCGGGCAGCCAGATAGGGTTGTAGAGCCGCAAGATGAGGTACCCCGGTGTTGGTTTGGTACACGTAGAGTGTACGGCATCCAAGAACCCTTTTACGTGAACTCAAGCTTTTCCCAAGCTTTTACTGGCCGTCACGCGGCAGTCGTCCCGGCTAATACCGTAGCATCGTGGAGGCCCTCTTATTTATCCGGCCAGGAACCCAGTGACAATGACAGCTCGATCACTTAGCGTGCCGTACTTGGTTATGGCCAACCCCAATGACCCGGGGTATGACTTGCACTATTGCTCACTCTGAATAGGTAGTTGGTTTAATAATGGCTTGTCTTTTGCGCTATGTTGTCATCACCAGCTGCCCATATCATCTCGGTCTTTCGGATGAGGATTTTGACGTCGTGTCTGGCTTTTGCCGCTGGTCACATATAAATTAAGTGCATGGTCACATGGTCACATCACAAGAAACCTCACAGGTTTTGCCATTACATCTGTATCTGTGGTTGCCCTTCAATATGCAGTCCTTTCTCCTTACCGCCGCCCTTGCATCTGCCGCGTTCGCGGCCTCGCCTATTACGGTAAAGGTCTCCGACAATATCCGTTACCAGACCTACGACGGCACTGGTATCTCAGAAGCCTTTCAAAGATCTCTTGTTCTGCATCTGCTCGACCCGCCTACCCGCAATGCCGCCCTTGACCTTCTCTTTACCGATAGGGGTGCGGGTATGACCATTCTCCGGAATGGCCTTGGATCTTCCCCTACCGACCCTTTCGACCTCATGAAGTCAATTTGTCCCGTGGCACCTGCTTCAAACAGCAGCGAGGTAAGCCTGAAAGGACATCATTGCTCTGGTATAGGGAAAAAGAGTGCTGACATGCTCAAAAGTTGAACTTTATCCCGCTTCCTCGGGATGACGAGTTTCAGGTTTGGCTGTCTAATCAGGCTATTGCAAGAGGTGTACACACAATCTATGCCAATGCGTGGTCCGCTGATGGGTACATGAAGACCAACGGTTAGTCATTCTTATCGTAGAACCTCCCGAGGTCTGTCCATCGCTGATATCAAACCTCAGGCAACGACGACTACGGAGGATACCTCTGTGGCGTTACGAATGCTTCTTGCGCCACTGGGGACTGGAGGCAATCGTATGCGAATAAGATTGTGCGCTACATCCAAGACTACCGCCGCAATGGCATCAAAATTGACTATGTTGGCTTCTTGAACGAGCCCGATCAAAAGTAGATCCACAAGACTTGACAGATGTGCAATTTGTATTCAATGCTGACTTTTTGAGTAGCACCACATATGCTTCTATGTTGTCTGATGGTCAGCAGGCAGCTGACTTCATCAAGATTCTGCGTCCCACGCTCGACAGGGCCGGAGTCAAGACCAAGATCGCATGCTGCGACGGAGCTGGTTGGGATCAGAACAGACAGCGTCTCACGGGCATTCAAGCAGCCGGCGAGGAACACAACCTCGGCCTCGTTACTGCACACGGCTACAGCTCCGCTCCCAACACTCCTTACAACACCCCGCTTAAGACCTGGGTCACGGAGTGGTCTACGTTCGATGCCACCAACTTCGACTGGTACAACTCTACCACTGGCTCATACAAGCAGAGCTTCGGTCTCACTTGGGCCAACCACATCCAGGAGGCCTTCCAGTACAGCAATGTCAGTGCATTTCTGTACTGGTGGGGTGCTGCCAACGCTACCGTAAGTCTACATTTCATTTGGAGAACAACCAATAATAGTATCTGACGAGACTTACGCAGGACAATGAATCCCTCCTCATCGTGAACGGGACTTCCGAGCTCAAAGTCACCAAGCGTCTCTACGCCATGGCCCACTGGGGTTCCAAGTTCGTCCGCAAGGACGCGGTCCGCATCGATGCTGCCGTTTCTGCCAATGGTGTCGCAGCCCTCAACGCCACCGCGTTCAGGAACACCGACGGCTCCGTCGCAGTCCAAATCATCAACAATAGCGACTCGCCTCAGTCAGTCAGCGTGTCTGGATTCGCGCATGACTGCCAGGTCGAAACATTCCTGACCAACCAGCGATATGATCTCAAGCAGGGCAATGCCAAGAATACTAAGGGCGCTGCACAATCTACTGTTCCTGCTAGGAGTTTGTTCAGCTTTGTTGGACGATGAGTTGGGGCCGTGAAGGGGAGTAGGGTCTAAAAGGTAGAGTGATTATAGTGGTGCATGTAATTATAGTGCTTAATGTGTCGTTTTTCATACTTGATCTGTTGAGTGTAGAAGACTTTATCAAGGCCATCATTTGGTCTGTCGACACCAAATTCCAAGGTTCTGAGTTGCCAGTCCAAGTAGTCATTCTTGCTTCCAAATGTCGGCATAAGTGGTTTCGCTTCTATTCCGTATACGTCCGAGGACATACATGGGGCCTTCATATGGTGGTAAGCACTCAAGACTATAATGAGTATATAGAGCCTCAGCTTCCTGATTTGCATCATTGTGTACCACGTCACCATGGCGCCTTCGTTGGTGGTCATTGACTACTACTTCGCCAGAGCCATGAAAACACCTACTATCATTCCTTGCATCTCAGCCACATGGTAAAATATTTACTCCGTCGCAAAAAATGTGTCTCATGATGGGCTTCATCGTCATTTCGAGTACCGAGATGCGCAAGACGCCTTGTGGTGTTTGAACTGTTACTAGTGGGTTTGATGGCGATTGCTGGGCATGCAAATTGACAGATTCTGATTTCAATCGCGTGCTCCGGGCGGGCCCGGGAAAGAATGTGTTTGGCATTGCATCAACATACCCGGATACCAGTGAAGCATCCACGCTGGAGGTTGGACAATTTTGGGTTGACAACTTTACCGGATCGGGTATTGGGGCCTGGTCGAGCGACAAGTGTGCTCGTAGCACGACGCTGGAGACTATTCAAGCCAATGGCTTGATATGGCCCCGCCCGTAGACCAAGTTCCGAGACTGTAGCAAGGCCTTACATAGTTTGGCAACGGTTGCCAGAGATTGGAAAAGAAAAGCGCCATGGAGCCTGACGCGCGCGAGGCTGGTATTTACGTGGTGTCTTGTATTTGTATAAGATCTAGCTGACGCTCGACTGAGGCAGTAATTCATTTTACCGGGGATCTAAGGGTCATTAATTGGAGGGGAGGTCAGTGGGAACATCGAATGTTAATAAATCTAGCGCCCTGGAAATCCAACGGTGGTAGGCCACGCGGCGGCTAAAAACATTCGAGTGCCTGGATGACCATGTGCTTATTTTGGCTAAATGTGTCCGAGTCGGTTCGGACTTAAGCGCCTTATTGGGCTACCGCCTGATCGGCACTGCATCTCCATTTCGTTAGTCGAGAATGACAGAACAACACTAGCACGGCCGATTTTCTGCATGAATATTACCCGCTAATTTATTCGAGCCTCATAATTCCGTTCTGTTTCAAGGATCGAACTCCATACGACCGGTGCCCATGCGTACCGCTGGTTAGGACAGTGCAATATCATGTACGAGAGCAGTAATCGCCCCCAAAGCAAAAGTATGGAGCCTCCGTAGTTGTAAGGCTGCCGCAAGTAGGTGTAAGCCTTGCACAATAATATAAATATAAAGACTTGGCGCCAAGCACCCTGAAAGCCAGTTGGTGTTCCCCAAGGGTCATCTCATCACTCATCAGTTATCGGCCTCTCTCGTTACAGCTTGTCCAATATGCGGTCGCTTTTCTCCCTAGCAGCCGTGGCTATTCCAGCCTTGGCTGCCCCTCTCGAGTCTTCAGCGAACCCTGCCACCATCCTCACCAAGCGTGCCGAGCCGGTCAACTACAACCAGAACTACATTGCCTCAGGCGCCGGTGTCACTTACACCCCGAACCAGAGCGCAGGCTCGTTCAGTGTGAAGTACAACACCAATGCTGATTTCGTCGTCGGCCTCGGGTGGCAGCCTGGTAATGCCGACCCGATCACCTACAGCGGCTCCTTCTCCGCCAGCGGTGTTGGTCTTCTCTCTGTGTACGGGTGGTACACCAACCCTCTGGTCGAGTACTACATCATGGAGACTGCCATTGGCTACCAAAAGGTCGGCACCCACAAGGGCACGGTGACCAGCGACGGCGGGGTCTACGACGTCTACGTCCACCAACAGGTCAACCAGCCCTCCATCTCTGGCACCACCACCTTCAACCAGTACATTTCCATCCGCCAGACGCCCCGCACCTCGGGGACCGTCACCGTCGCCAACCACTTCAACGCCTGGAAGTCATTTGGCATGCAGCTGGGCACGTACAACTACCAGACCATCTCTGTCGAGTCCTGGACTGGCTCCGGCCAGGGCTCCATTACCCTGAGCAAGGCTCCCGGCGGTGGCTCTACCGGCGGCTCTACCGGCACGACCACCTCAGCAGGCAGCACGGGGACACCGCCTCCAGGCACTGGATCCGGCTCCGGCTCCGGTACCGTTGCCCAGTGGGGCCAGTGTGGTGGGATCGGCTGGACTGGAGCAACCACCTGCGCCTCTGGCTTTACCTGCAAGGTACAGAACTCGTACTACTCACAGTGCCAGTAGGTGAATCGACGTCCATGGTGTTGGGTGTGGGATGATGTGAAGATAAAGTTCCTTTCAAAATATGTACATTCGCTGCCTCACATAGCTGTAGTAGAGCATATTCTATTCACATTGGTAGCATTCTACCCCAACTACTGAAACATCCAAATGCTGGGAATGGAATCAAGTTGGCGCCCGAGGTCTTTATTAGGCACTGGCTGTCCCTGAAGTTAATCCATAGCAGGGTTGATTGTGGCACAGACGTCGGTGAATTGATGGTCTTCTACTCGTGTCTGTGGCAACTGGCCAGGCAGCGGTCTTGGAAGGCGACGCGAGGCAGTTGAAACAGACTCGGAGGCGTCAGAAGAGATCTGAGAACGCGGGCGAAGTCGTGGCCGCTGCCCAGTGGATACTGTGGCGCAGACAAACTCTATTCAAGTGGGTGATATTCGGATAACACATCCGACAGCGGCCGGCTACTGGTGGATCGGAAAGGCATACGCGGGCCTTGGATAGAGCCTCGCTCTATTGAGAGATGGCGGTTCTGAAAGGCCAATTGTGTGATGGTGTCATTGGAGGATGGATGGATGGTATTCCCTTCTCAGCGTGTGATCATCAACGTTGCGAGTGTGCCAATTAGAGCTGCGACATTATCATTGATGTGAGCAGCAATGGACTCGGATGTTGGGAGCCAATCCGGGGTCGGACCTTCTCTGCCCCCCTTCGCAGCGGTGAGTACTTAGGTACCTAGGTACTTAAGGGAGAGCATCGTAATTCAGGGGTAATCAGCATTTGAGACACCGATAGCGATAGCGTACTGTACAATACGACGTGCCAGTGGTGTCCACGGAAGGTTTATGGTTCGATGGGCGAGGGGTATAATCTCGGGGAACCTTGGAATGTGGGCACACGGACCACGTATAAACAACACGGGAACCACTTTCGACGCGTGACGCGTCGGTCCCCCTGACCCTCATCCCCTCGTCACCTCGACACCTCATAAGACCTCACCCGTTTCGTACTTGCTGGTCACGGTCCTGTGCCACGACCTCTGGCCCACACAAGTCAACAAAATGGCCAAAGGAAACAACTATAGCTGCTACGCAGTGCGCGCGGGCGTGCGCCCTGGCCTGTACTACAGCTGGCCGGCCTGCGCGAAACAGGTCATGGGTTACTCACGCGCCAGGTTCCGAGGCTTCACACACGAACGGGAAGCCATCGAATGGCTCGCCCAGGGCGGTATATACCTGAACAATCTCAAGACCGAGTCTTCCGCCTCGCCCACTCCCCCGCCAGCCACCTTTGACCAACCTGTCAACCACGGCTCAGCGTCCTCGGCCTCCAGTGCGAGGGGGCCCTTCTACGCCGTTGCAAGGGGCCGCCAGCCAGGCATATACCACAATTGGGACGACTGTCGCGAGCAGGTGGACGGCTTCTCCGACGCCAGATACAAGAAATTCCCCACCCTCGCCGCCGCCCAAGAGTTCTGTGCCGTCTACGGCGGGGGCGGCCACTTCTCCCTGTTCAAATCTGAAGACTTCGTGCCCGACCAAAAGGCCTCTTTTAGCGACGAGTGGGCCCGCCTTTCGCGGTCCCAGGGCTGGGAACGTGGCACCTGGCAGTACCACAAGCAGCGCGCCTCCGCCCTTCGGAATGAGATAGAAACACACTTCTTCGCCTCTCAGTCTGTCCAGTTGCCTGTGGTCAAGGAAGAGGAGGGCCAGGGAGCCTCCACCATCAAAAAGGAGCAACACGAGCATGCAGCCTTGGAGAGCGTCTCTGAGTTTGACCCACAACGCCAGGAGGCAGCCCTAGAGCTCCTCGGCTTCCAGTCCATGTGCCGAGCTGTCGGCAAGAACCCCGGCAAAACCAAGGCTGAATGTGAGGGCATCCTGAAGTCGACCCTTGTCAACATCGTTGACCTGCTCGACGCTTGCCGTCTGGGTAGAGATACAACTCGCCTACCATGGTCCAATTTCGCAGCCTTCAAGGCCTACACGCTCGATCCTTACCAGGACAAGACTATTCCGGTCAAGGAGGCTAAGAAGGATCCCATTCTGAGGTGCTTTCTGCAGAACTTCTCATCGCGAAGTGTGCAGAATGAATCAGCGCTCCGAGATGGCTGGGCCAACCACGCATACGCGCCTCACGTGTACTCGGCGCGGCCGCCAGTCGCCCCTCCACAACAGCAATGCCCTGCACAACAACAACACCCCCACCCCGTTCCCAATGCCCAATCCGCGAGCACACCACCTTTCGTCGCACCCCAAGGTGGTGGCGTCGTGATCAAGAAGAGGGCTATGTCCGAGGATGACGATGACATCAAGCATGGACGCCATCAAGAGAAGAAGGCCAAGGTCGAGGAGTGATCGAAGCCAAAGTGCCCAGAGCCCAGGCGATCAAATCCGAGAAGAAGGCCAAAGTTGAGGTGACCGAAGGCAGAGTAACCAGAGCCCAGGCGCTCAAAGCCGCGAAGGCCAAAGTTGAGGACGTGATCGAAGCCAGAGTGACCAGGGCCCAGGTGATCAAAGCCGAGGAGGTGACCCATGCTGACCATGTGACCCATGCTGACGTGGTACAGGTCGACGACGTGATTGTAGTCAAGGAGGTGAAGGTCAAGCGCGAACAGGACGAAGAAGCCAAGAAACAACGACGACTTGAAATGAAGAAGATCCAGCATCGATGGGCTCCATCCAACTCCATCATGCGAAACTGGATCTCCTCCTCGGTGTAAAACCCGGGGGGGACATGCCCGCCGGCAGGGGGCGTCGCCAGCGACGGCCTGGCCCCCGAACAGCAAATCACTGTATGAAACTTCTCTCTATTTCGGCCCCCGCCTTGACCGGCGGGGGACGATCTAGCTGAGACCACTGTATATCGTGCCTAGGTGCTTACCGCTGCTGAAGCGGTCTTGCCCGAGGGGTGCCCACCGGACCTCGAATGTCGAGTTTCCCGGAGGCACGGCAAATGCCCACACCCACTGTTGTCAGTCACTCGCCCCCGCCTGCCCGGGCGGGCGGCTCGAGTGCATAGCAGATTGAGTTCTATCGGTCGGCCTCGAGCTCGGTAGTTGCAAGACTACGAGCTCGCGAGCCCCGACCAGCTGAACACCTGCTATCAATTGAGTAATCATGCTGATTCGGCTGCCCTGAGCGGGCGTGATCCATACTCTTGAGTACCCTGAGATGTTCAACATGCTCTCGGGTCCTCTCGGATATTCCGATATCCACCCAAATCTTCAACCCACCCTCTGGTATTCAACATACCGTCTAGTATTCAACATACTTGTCTCTTGGAAGGGGACCACAAAAGTTGGTGACGGCGCAGGGAAGAATCGGGGCGTCGTGGTTGACTCCCACGCGGATAGGTGGAAAGGAGGGTGTTCGAGGAGGGTGGTCACAGGGGATGATCATGAAGGATATGCAAGGAGGATGGTCACGGATGATGGTCAAGGGGAGGGAAGAGATCTGGCTTCAGGTATTCAATTCTGCAACGGACAATGGAATTATTCGGGATGACGAAGTGCGTAACCAAGCTCGCAAAGTCGCAGGAGCCGCAAGAGTCTTGAGCAGACTCCCAATCAGTAAAGTGACAACAGTGAAGGCAACGGCTTGCAGGGCAGAACTCGACTTACAACAAGGCGCCCAAAACCCCAGACAATCCAGCGTACCAGTCGGCAAAGGAATCACCTTGACTGCTTTTAACCGCAGCCAGTGCTCCAAGCAGGCCGAGACAAACGACCGTGCCGGTGACTACCACACCTTCAACACCGAGCCTCCCCTTTGGCCACGTCCTTTTTCTCAGAGAGCCATCTACAGACATCCACACGAGAACGACGGCAGCCTACCGTCGAGGTGCACAGATTAGCCATTGATCGAAATGCCAAAGCGGCCCTCCGGGCGGGGAACAGGTGCTAATGTCCGTCGCTGGCGAGACTGGACTTAATCTTAACCTACCGGTACCACACTCAGCACCAAGCACCTGAAGTCAGGCTCCTCCCGCGCCGGATCCGGGTGGGCGTAGAGGACCAGGTCGAGGACAACGAGCACAGCGGCCGCGACGGTGCTGAGCCAGATGATGTACCACCCGCCGTAGAACCAAAGGTACTGGCCGTACCTGTCAAAATCGCCCGGCTTGGGTCCATAGGGGAACAGCTCGAACTCCCAGTGGCCCCTGTACAGCCCCGGCATGGTCGTCCATGCCGTGCGGGCTGCCTTGCGCTCGGCCCAGTGGGTTGGCTGATGGACCATCCCAAGGCCTGTTCCAAGGTTTCGGGTATAATAGTCGAAGGCCCAAATAATACTAGTTCGTCCAAGCTCGCAGTTGGACGTTCGGCACTGGTGGTATGCCTAGGTGGTCGTCATGCGGATTGATCAGAAGGTTTTTGATCGTGCGCAGGGTAGTTGGAAACGTGTGGGGGGGATTCGAGTTTCTGAATAGTCAGGAAGTTCGGATTAGTATTCACGGGTCGCGCTTCCGAGTCCCCTTTTTGTCCCCCAGCACCGTGTCGATCCTGGCTGTTCATGGCGGCTCACTAACTAGTTACTGCTTACACAAGTGGGCCAACAAATGTGACCTCAGTCTCATCGTGACGCAGCCACGGACGGCAGCAAAGGAACATGCCGGGCTGACGGGCTGCCGGGTTCCGAGGTCGCCACCATGAGGAACATCGAAGTGCCTGCTGCCTGCCCAGCCACACGATCCTTGAGCAAACCAAGCTTTTGGAGGGCTCGACGGCCCTGCTGAGGTACGCAGCGGCGCAGGATTCGGGATTGACAACGCCGGGTGGCTTGGCAGAACACCAGTTGCAACGGGGGCTGAGTGCTTTGCAAGTAAACAGTTTGCATCCTAATTCCTGATAACTATCACAGGTAGGCAGCAAGCATGAGTGTCAAATACTAGTCCCAAGCAGCTCAAAACGCCCGCTGACACTAATCTTGTTCTACCTGTTTGCACTGCCGGCTGGGCTCCGCTTTTATCAAATTACCAAAACCTATTAGGCATCTATACATCACTGCAATATCTGCATGAAGCCCAAGCGTGGTCAACGGCTCGTGACCACGTCTGAGCGCGTAAATGAATGGCGCCACTACCGAGTCCGCTCCCAACAAGCCAGCCAACCGCAGGACACGCGCAGAAAAGCATCTCAGCGGGCCTGCGCTTATTCCACCTTCACGTCTTCCTTACGGTCCCACAAGATGCAGCAGACTGCATCCGGTTTCAAGTCTGAGTCAACTCCAATCCGGCAGATCGTGAGTTCGCACGCCTACGAATCATGCCTCTACTGCAGTATGCCTCGGCGGGGCGTTCTGATCAGTGGCGGTGCGGAGGGATCGGGATGTATGGGTAGGCAACAGGTGCAGCAGGATACCTAAGTAAGTAGGTAATTTGTAATGTTCAAGAAGGATCTGAGAGGCTGGGGCTGAGGGTGTCTTCTCAAAACTCTAAGGTGGGCTAAACTATGAAAGAAGTAGCGGACCACGGTGTCCTCAGTTGAACAACTACTGGCAGCTGTCAATTGTATACGCAGGTAGTGTTGATCACCGACTAGTGCATCTCAGAGCCATTTGCTTTTCTGAGGAAAAAGAAGCGGGTTTGGTTGCTGAATACGAACATTAGAAGTGCTCTCATAGTATCTCGGGAAGGCGGCACGTGTGGCTTGTCGGCTTCTGCATATGGCTATCAAAGAAAATGACGGTCCAACCAAGTACGCTATGAATTGAAGTAATATGTCAAGACATGTTTATGTACAATGATGATCGACTTGCAATCTACTAGTACTGCTTGAAATCTGTGTCCCAGCAAGCTCTGCATCCATCTGCCGCATCATACAGTTCATTCCGCGATGGTCTTCGCCGTCGAGGCCCTCTTCAAGTCTTCAGCTGTCAAAGTGATGGTCTGTGGAACATGTACGGGTGACGAAGAACGTTCCTGCCCATCATCCCTTTGCACATCAGGCTCACTCTCCGGTGCGCCTTTTGGTGACGGTGTCTCTGTGTTGACCATCTCGAATGTGACAAACATCGGACTCTCAGTTTCCTCCCCTCCTCCTTCTTCTTCTTCAACCGGGTCTCTGAAGGGGTTCTGGTGAAGCGGGGAAGACGTCAACGTGTACTGCCTCTTCAGTCCCGGACCTTCAGGCTCTTCTTCCTCCTTCTCCAGCGTTGCTGTCTCCATGTCGAAGTCACTCAGGCTCGGCACAGGGTCCCCTTCCAACTCCTCCGGCTGAGGGTTTCCCTCCAACTCCTGCGGCTGAGGGTCCACTTTCAACTCCTCCGGCTTAATGGCAACATCTTTTGACTGTGAAGAGTCGTCCGTACCAGTCACTGGCAGCTGGGTGGGTGAGCTGTGCCTGCCACTTCCCACTTGTTTTATAACAACCTCCCGCACCACTGCCTGCTGCACCGACGATTTTGGCTGAGAGACAGAGCTGTGCACGCTGCCTTCCTTCGAGCTGGTCCGAAAACTGCTGGCCTCGACGGGAAGCGGCACGCTAACCCTGTGCACAGTCTGCTGGATCACCGGTTTGGGAGTGAGGGGCTCGAGGTCATCGCCCAACGAGACCTCGGTCGCGGCCCAGGAGAACCGGGTCTGGTCTGACTTGAATGCCTTCGGGCCAGTCCATATCTTGGTGGTCATGATGCGATCGGCAGGACGCTGGAAAGGTCCTGAACGGCGATCGTGGTCGTGCGTGCGGACCAGTCCCTTCTCGTCGGCCATGCTGTCCACTTGCCTTCTTGCCGATTGTCTTCGGAGGTACCACCTCCACAGCAGGGCGAAAATGAAGATGAAAGCGATGACGCCGCCCGACACGCCTGCGATGAGAGCGGTGGGGAACTGTGGTGATTTGTCTGAGATGGCACCACCTTGCGCGGCACCTGGAAGGGCTATCGCCGTCCCTTCCGGAGAAGATGTAATGGTTGTTGCCGGACCGACGATGCCTGAGCCGGAATCTGTGCTGGCGAGTATGCCCGGAACCAGAGGGCTGTTGGATGGGTTGACAGTGGTCGCTGTTCTTGTCGGGAGTGATTCTATGAAGGATCCCCGAGGCGAGGTGGTTGTCAACAGCACTGGCACAGCTGTTGGCACGATAATCTGAGGGGGCAAGCTCGTGATGGGCGCCTGTGGTGCAGGTGAAGCCATTTCGGGCGGCGGCGGCGGCGGCGCTTGTACTATGGCAGTTGAAGTGCTTGCTGGAGGAGTCACGGAGACAGTCACGACCTCGGGCGGCGAGGTCGACGTGACAATAACTGGGGGAGGCGGAGGCGGTAATGTGGGTTCACTCGCTTCGTCCGGTACAGAGGTGACCAGCTCTGGTGCTGATGCAGGTGTAGGTATCGGGGGAGCACTCGTCTGGCCGATGGCGCCTGCAAAGCCTTCCACGATGCTCTTGAAACCGTTGATTCCTTCACAAATTAGACCGCCGCTATTCTCACATATATCTGTCATGTTCGCCGCGCAGCCGGGTGGTTGAATGAGTGTGTCTAAGGCTTATATATTAATGAAATCAGTCGCCAGGACCGATGTAGTATCATATTAAAACTGTAGGGACCGAAAGGAGGTGGCCTTCAGCAGCCAGACCGGCTCGTGTTACAGGTGCCTGGGATCGCGAGAAGGGGAAGCAAAACAATTTATGGTTCGGTGACGTGACGTCTAATTGAGTTGCTTTATGGCCCAGGACTGTCGCTGTCTCTGGTCGAAACGTGATCACAGTGGCACACAAACGAGCTACCCCTTTCCGGTTTGATCTTGCGACCCAGAGCGAAAGCATGTATGGTTCCTCAATAGGCGCCGATCTCACATGGGCGTGTCCCTTATTTCACACCCTATGCATTTGGCCACACAATGAGGCTTCGGTACAACACCACTGCAATATGCCGGCTTGGGAGACGGCCCTGTCGTCTTGTGTGGGGCGGGCGGGTCGAGATCTGCCGGCAATGGGGTCCATGTACCTAGGTATGGCGTGTAGAATGCCGAAGGATGTTTCCTAAGTGGGATGTGTGTTTTTGAACGTGGCCCGATTTACTCTAGGCTGTGCCACTGGCAGTGTTTCCTGTCACAAAAGTGTCAGACTTGACGTGCGGACAGACCTCTGCCGCAGCTGTCATTCCTGCTGCTGCGTGGATCATCCTACGTGAAGACAGGATTCAGCCCATCTTTTCGACGGCAACAGAAACTACCGCACGTCCAAACTCTATCCCAACCAGTCGCGTTTGATGGGATGTGGCTTGATGGATACGACGGTGCGGGTAGCTCCCGTTACAATCAGGGGACCGTGGCAGTCTGTTCAGTCCGTGTCCTTGTTAGACTAGAGTCGTAAGGCTCGGCAGGGATTGGCGCTGGTTGATGCGATACGGCTTGTGAAGATCATGCACAGCTAGACCAATTGGTGAGAAGTCCCGTGTGTCAGAGCCTTGAAGGATCTACAGCCGACACACAAGGCACACTCTCCTGGCCGATAATTGCAATTTATCAGCAGGGTGCACATCTCATCTTGGCAACTCGTTAGTACTCGCAATGTATCGCCATTCCTGGCATCCATGGATCTCACCGATGTATTTCCACGTATAGCATGCCGCAGCACGACACATAACGACATAGGCTGGGTTTCCACCATCCGGGTCAGCACGATGGGTAATTGCTTCCGAGAATAGGACAATGCTGTGAATGCTTCAATGGGTAGCAAGGGAACATTTGCAGAGATCTTACTGTCATAAGATTTATTCTCGAAGGGACATACTGCACGTCAGTCTGATAAATGATGACCGGTGTCCAATCGTGGGGAAAACATCCCGAGGTCCTTAGCCTCTCATCCCAGCTGATCGCTCAACCGATGCCCCATGCATTTCGTCTGAAGGGAAGCTTTCACCTTGCATCGGAACAGCTCTATTGGGGTAAGCTGCTCAATACTCACGCGCCTTGATCAATAACAAACAGACTTTTCCAACTGAGAAGCATGGACAGCATTTAATGCCTAGCTATATGTTCAGGCTGCTTCGCGGATCCCAGCTCGCTTTATCTATCCGAATGACCCTGTCCAGCTTGTTGGTGACTTGGCCACACCATGATTGTCTTGGCCTCTAAATCTTCATCGCCGACTCAGGACACATGGCGAGGCTCTTCAAAATACGTTCCTGAAGGCTTTGTCATGAAAGGATTCATTCATAAAGGCGAGTAACGGATACCACATGAGTTTCAGAGTGTACAATACCAGCAGATGTTCGGAAGCCGGAGTATCAAGCCATTTCCTTGCCACGCTGGCGTGCAAATGATACTCGAAAAGCACAGCTGAAAGAGGTATTCCTAAAGCTATGGAATGTAGCGAGATTTGGGGATCGCCCACCGGTTAAGCATCTAGCGCGCGCGCACGCGTTCAGTCCAAGGCCGGGTTTTGCCTGCGCAGATTTGACTCGGTGATTCATCACGAGGCACACGTTCAGAGCCAGAACTCGGAGAATCGTCCGTTTATTGCTTTTTGTTCAAGACGTTGACATATCTCTCGCCTCAGTTTCACGATCAACCAATCGCTTCTCGGTCAATGAACGGCGTCTCCCAAGACAGGTGTCCACCCCGCGGTGATTGGTGGGTCTCTTATGCTGTAATTGAGTTTGTTTTGTTCGAGGGTATCGTTTGAGGATGCTTGCCGTATGTGAACAGCTCTTGTTTTCTACAGCGCCGAACTAAGGGACCACCCGGAATAACCTCGACTGATTTGGGCATAACGGCTCTTACTCCTCGGAACGTATTAGTGCGCGTCTTGTAGGAGGCGAAGGAGCTTCGCCGGTCTTGTGTATGTGATATCCCTGGCCTGTTTCAAGTGAGAAAACGCGGCTTCTGTTAAGAGTGTCTCGTTCAACTATAGAATTTCGAGGCCTGATCCTGTGTACAAGCATTTAGGGCGGCCAATGACTCCTTGTCGATACTTAATAAAGTTCAATCTCGTTTCTCGAGATCCTCACCTCTATGGGAAAAGCACTGCGTGATCCTCGGTCAGGAATTACCCTCTCTCTCCACAGCCCGAGTTCCGTCGGTCTGTTTCTTGTGAGAGGTTATAGGCATGGCTATCCATGGAGATCATAAACTCGCAGGACTTGATCCGAGAATGCGTATTACTAGTCTCTCTTATTTTGATGGCTGACTCGATTTCTTGATACCGGTTATTTGGCCGAAGGCAGGGCAACCCAGGCTCCAGATCAACGGTGGGGCGAATTCATCGAGGCCGAGATTCAAAGCATGTTTCTTGAAAGAGGGCTCTACCTATGCGACCGACATTCTGCCCTTCTCGAAAGCTCAATGTGCGAGTATATGACGGAGGGTGGGGACATTCTGTCAAAGGAGAGAGTCCACGACTCTTCAGCTTCTCAAGCATAGTGGGCAGGGCGAACACAGAAGGCTTGTAGTCCGTTGATAATACTATGCTGCTATTTTGAAGGAGAGAGATAGTGATACAGTACGAGTTACATCCTTAACGGGATCCTGAAGTCCCTTGGGGCTGAGGAGGGCTTTGACCTTAGCAGGGCATTACTCGACATCCACTGTTCTAGCCTCGTAAAATCTTTCCAAGCTATATACCTACGAGCAACTTATTCCCCTTCAGAGACTGAAGGGTAGCCTCGGGGCAAAACAGTTCTAACACATAGCCATCCTGTCTTTGAACTCGCCCACTTTGAATGTCCCCGGACACTCTGATGGCGATAGCCTGGTTTCCAGAAATGTCACACAGCATCATGTGTGTACCCTCCAGCCTACGCATCGTGAATTCGGCTCCTGAGCTTGTGCCAGCTACGTCTAGAAGGATCTCTTGAACCCTGATTGACCCAAGAATTCTGTGGGAAGGCATGTTGTTAATATTCTCCATGCGGTTGTTGATTGCACCATCATGATTAGACTTGACCACATCAACCCATGCGAATTCGATAGCGAATACTGTCGCTCCCTTCTCGGTCCACAACAACGGGGGTCTTGGGATCTGTGCCGCAAGTCTTTCTCCTTCCAAAAATGGCCCATAGATTGAGCACCCTGATTTTGGCAGCCAGGACATCCCCGGGAGATCGTTGACACTGGCTGCGGCAAGCTGCCTGTCCGTGATCATACCGGCGTCTGTCAGTTTACGCAGCATCTTTCGCCAGTCGAGTGGTTGTCGCTTTCCATACTCGACAGTGACTCTCTCACCCCCAATGGATATTCCCAGGACGCCATATATTTGGTCTTCGGCCACAGTAGCGGACCTCCCAGCGGACATGGCCAGAGCTTCTTCAAAGGACATCAAGACCATACCGTTGCTGGAAGATAACTCGGCGTGCTGATGATCGCCACCAAATATGGACCTGATAATGACAAGCTCCCCCTTGTTCACCCTAATATGCAGCGGTTCAACGACCACTGGTAACCTTGGGTTCCATTTGTAGCAACCACACATTCTCGTCGTTCCGTTGTGCGCCCACTCAGCGTAAGCAAGTAGCTCGGAGATGAAGTCCCCGTCAATGAGCTGGCCTTGTACGGCGAATATAGTCTGCCGGGACATCAAGGCTTCCTGCATAGTCCAGACCCTCGATGACCAGCTGCTAGAAAACACCGAGCGCAGGCCGTCCTTGTTCAGGCGTAGCTGTTGTGACGCTGATAGAATCACCCCGGTCTGCTGAGGCACACAGCCAAACCGCTTGGCGTCAGGCCCTACCAGCACCAAGCATGCGCTGGCGCCTCTATAATAGTCTCGCATCCGGGGGATCTCCTGAGCCTTGTCATCCTCACTAGCCTGGTCGATACACCATCTATCCACCCAAAAATATCTGATTCCGAGGCGATGCGATAGCCGAGCTAGAGTTGACTCTAGCGATGTCTTACTGCTCCACTCACTCCAACAGTATGACAAAGCGATATAATGACTGACACCCATCCCGTCGACGACGGTCTTTGACTGTGTATCATACAGTTTCGGAGGGCTCACCGTCGACTTCCTGCGGCGGCAGGACAGCACCGCAGTTTGAGTGACGTCTTTGATGTTGCTGTGCCATGACTCGTGCAAAGCCAGGTCTCGAGGTCGACGACGGACCTGATCTAGAACCCGAACAAGATCGCCCATGGTCTTGTGTGTCCTAATGCTCTTGCGTGGTGGATGTGTTACACTCGCCACGGGTGGCGAGGAAAATACGCATCGACCAGCTTCCGAGCCATCCCGGCAGACAGCGACTGGTGTAACATCAATGATCCCTTCGACAGGACTGCGAGACAAAGTCTGCCGCACTGGCCAAGCGGCTGCCAATTGGAGAACCTGGCGACGGCGCACCCGATGGCTGCCACCGCAAGTTGACGCGCGCGCTGGGCAAAGGAGTACGCTCTGACTTCGGATTGCCTCATTCCCAAGCTTTCGAATGGCGTCTCCTCTCGTATTCGACACCAGCTCTAGAACCTCGTGGGATTCAGCCGCCTGATGGGGAAATATGCAAGGGTACCGACTCCGGGGCAAGTGCTTCACCGAGAGGCCTTCAACAACGGCCGCGGCTTCAGCACTGTCGCCGTCTTCAGCGATCCATCTTAGTACTTGTATCTCCTGCAGGCTGCACCACACCTTGCCGTCCATTTTGACCAGATGCCTAGTCCATTGGGTGCCAGCCAATTCGAACTGGATCGTCAGATGGCCAGAATTGTCCGTCACGCTGAGATTGCAGCCCGTCCAGTCTGCATATTGCCCGCGGCATCCTGGTAAGTAGGTTCCTTGCGGTAATAGCCTGCAATGGCTGGTCATCATCGCTTTGACAACGACAATGTGACGAGAGATGTCTGAACGTCGCAACGGTCCGGGCTGTGTCAAACTTTTCAGCTTCAAGCAGACCTTCCCCATCCATTTGTTGAATTTAGCTGAACATGTCTCTGATCCATGCGTAGATCTTTGTGTCGAGGAAACATGACAGTGGGACGGTATAGAATGATGGCTGGTGCGTGTACCAGGTATCGAGGTCGGCGAAGGATAATTAAGAGTCAGCCAACATGAAGTGAAGCGGGGATTCGTATGCCAAATCAATCACTGGCTTAGTCAGCAAGCCATCTTGGTGTAGTATCATAATCGACATTTGAAGCTGTGGCGTTTCCAGCAGCTCCGAAGTTTCACGCTTGCTGCGGCTGCGCATGCGCCTCAAGTGCTGTATCCCGAGGTCGTCGAAGTAACACCAGTGGCAGGCTTGTTGAATCAACGTTCCCTACTGCCTCCTTGTTGTGCGTGGGTTCATGAACAAAGCCACCTTGCTGAGTGATCAATAAAGAAAGGCGGTTGACGTCGCTCACCAGACAATCTGTGGACTTCCTGGACTTCGTCATTTCCCTTGTTTTGTATTCCCTGGGGATCTATCTGGACGACTTCCTCCTCCTTCTTGCCCACCCATAGCGCAATGACAGGTAGGTTCCCACGGCCTGGTAGGTGGGCCTCTTCAGGCTCGTAGGTGTCGTGCAGAATGTCACAAACGATGTGGGTCCTCGAACCCCATCTCGGCTCCACAGGTACTACCTTCGGACCCCCCCACTGGGGAATGACGTTCTCCTGTTTGATCAGCTCCACAGCCATCCGAACAGCCTCTTCCGCGGAGTCGCGAATTTGAGACCAATGAACAGTCTTCGCAGAGATACTGACAAAAAGTGCGTCTTGCGGCCATAATGGGCATTGTGCACCTAGTCGATCGGCCGTCTGCAAGAAGTCAATCCACACGACAATGTGGAGAGTGGGCCTCTGGGTGATGTAGCGAAAGAGGAATGGAAAGTGAACCAGCTGGCGTAAGCTTAGGTGGGGCGTCTACGGTTTTGAGGTGTTAATGCTTGAGTATTTAAGTATTTAAGTATGTAAGTGCCCATGGAACCTCTGATTGGCCCACCAAAACCACCATACAGGGCGTACGGACTATATTACGCTTCCCAGTGAGACATGTAGGCCTATATAGCCAATGTTGCACTCCTATCAGACACGACCACTCCACTCTTGCTGCTGCAAAACGGTGGTAGGATAGTGTGGTGGAGAGAAGCAGGAATGCCTCTGGCCGGACACTGGAATTTAAAATGCCGTGGGTAACCATCCTGACCGCTGGTATTGACCCACAGGCTGCCTGCTTAATCCTCTTTCAATCGAAATACCGAACAAGTTGATAATATTGCTCAAGGTAGCACCCAGGCGTCCGCGCACGACCTCGGGACGTGGTCGCGCCCGATCTTGCCTGCGCAGCCTCATGTGCCATATTCAAACTCCTCCCTTCCCGGCTGCAATGAAAGCTTTTACTGCGTCAGGATAAAAAGTGAGACCCAGTCACTCAGCATCAATGTACTCGGCACATATCAAATCGCCCTTGAGATCCATGACCTCAGCGATAGTGTGGTTGGGGATAATGCCTCCCATCCAGAGTACATGATTCAGTGTCGTGTCGTTGCCCGGGTTGCCGTCGTAATCGAGGTAAGCAGCAGACGGGTACAGCCACCGGTTCTCCCTCATTATGTTCTCGGGAGGGATGAGTGGCCCGCTCATATCCGTTAGGCGCGCAGTGAGGTTCGCCTCCTGCCACTTCTGCCACAGACGGTCGACGTTGGCGTGGTGGAGGAAAAAGACGGGGTCTCCGGGGCTGGCGTTCTGGTTCTCCATCTGAATTTAAGCCACGTTAGGATTAGACTACATGATTCCTTTTATATCAGCTATGAGGAAGTGTACTGCGGAGCTTACAGTGCCACCGGTGGCCAGGTGCCCAGATGAGTGCGGTGCATCGACATAGCAAAAGTTGGCCTCATTGTAGGTGGTTTTCGCGAAGCAGGCGTCGACATATGACTGATTGGCAGTCTCCCAGGCGGTCTGGTTAAATTCCCGGGACAGACAGTACTCATCGTAGTAGTCCACACCATAGATCTGGTCCATGCGGAGGGTCGTGTTGGCAAAGGCACCATCGATGACGCAGTTGGTCCCGTTGGTGGAGTTCACCCCGTTGGTGCCGAAGCTGTACTCATCAGGCCCCCAGACTGAGGCCTTGTCAATAGTTTCATAGACCTCGAGGTCTCTCTGCTCGTCCCAGTAGGGAAGAGAGCCGCGGTAGCCACACTCGTTCTGGAGGAGCATCTCCTGCAGACGGAGGAACAGTCGGTGCCAGGGAAGAAAAGCTCTGTCAGTAGTCTCAAAGGTTAGCTGGAAACACTTTTCCGACGAAGGAGCGACATTGGCACAAACCCGACACCGTGGATGAAATTTGACTGCTCAACATGGCAAGAATGGAGCTCATCCCATCTAGTCTTCGCGCCGGTAATACCAGATTTGGCTGGGGACTCCATCAAACATTTGACGGCCTCGAGGTAATCGGACTTCTCATTTTTACTGAGGGTGTGCCTGCATGAATGAAGACACGGTTAGTTCCGCCTCGCCAACGATTTGATCGCACATATAACTGGTGGACTTTTGCTTGAACTGACCATGCTTTTCTCTGGTTCAACGATTTGCATGTCGAAGTAGAACCGGTGCCGTTTTTGGCACTGAATGGAAATGCAATAGCCGGACCCGCACCCAGGAGCAAATGTAAAAGAGTGGACAATCTCATGTTGTTTATTAGCAGGATAGCCGACAATAAATCGGACCCGCAACGAGCTTAAAGACAGAACAGCGGGCAAAGTGCGTAGCTTAACAACGTATTAGTTGGAATAGAACGGGTTTGGATCAGACCTGGGAACGCATCAGACTACGAGTTCATTTATATATTGATCGCTCATATGGCGAACACTATTCAATTTCCGTGGCACAATGAGCCCCAGTACGTAGTAGGAAACTTAGTTTAGATCTCACTGGGTAGTCCCAACACCCTGCAAATAGAAACGCGAAAGCTCCACGGCAAGAGCCTCGTACACGCAACTAGAGACCCGCCAACAGTTCACAGGTATTAAGGAGGGCGCGCGGCGAGTCAAAGGCGACGGCTAACTACTCCCCCCCGTTTCGCATGACCTTGGCATTCGAAGACGTTTCTGATAAGAAGAAATGTTTCCGGTCGGGCGAGAGACATCTGGAAGTCGGCCGAGGCCAGAACTTTTACGTTGGTGTTGTGGGTCAAAGATACATCGCCCACGATCCCCAGATCCGTCCTTTACATCTCCGACAACCCGAGAGAATGCACAATCAGGAAGGAACAATTTCATCAATGGCATTCTGGCACTGGGGGCCGGCCCACGGAACTTTTCCATGGTGGGTCCGTGGAGACAAGCGGGACGTGCTAATAAGCCATGAAGTAATATCTTTTCGGATTCGGGTTCGATGTAGTGGGAAGCTGTTATCTGCAGGCTCAAGCCTGGGCTAATTCCTGCAAACACTGCAGAACCAAGTGTTGCTTGATCCCTAGGGCATTAATATGGGAACCCAGGCTAGTAGGTTTGCATGCTAAGAATACACATTGAACCAAAGAAACAAAGAAAACAAAGACTCATACCGTTACAAAGCCTCCCGCCCAAGTCATCAGTACCGCAGAACTCTTAGTGCGGCTACTGAATCTTGAGCTTGGCGTCAACAGGAACCAGGATGTTCGGAAAATCCGGTGCCCCTGAACAACACGGAGTACACTCTTTCCCCCCTTCCCCCCTCCTCGTTTCCGACACCCCACTGCGATTAATTGCGAGAAAAAACTACAATCTAGTCTGATTGTGGAGCCTCAATTGTGAATGTGGCGAGCAAACGTACGTAATTCCGCCGATAAGAGGTGGGTAGGTGGTATAGGGCAACAGAGACTCCCATAACACCATTGGAAGCAACAACATGTAGTTAATTACAATACAAGACAGATGCAAACCTTCAAGGCTTACACGGTCCGTGGCCATACCACTATCACCCAACACCATCACTATACTCCATATACCTGGGCCTCCATCACTCACAACTTCCCTACTACAATCTGAATCTCGGAGACGACCGTCAATAGCTTGGATAGCGAACAGAGGTGCAGTGAATATGAAAAGCTCCATTTGGAGTTCAATGATCAATCGCGTTGGTATCGCCCGGATAGTCTCTCACTGGAAGAGGATGAGGCGTGCTCCTGGTTCCCGTCTCGCTCAGCGTTCGTCCAGGCCTGAAGGAGCTCATCGATTTCCTTTGAAGCAATTTTCTCCGAGACGTCCAGATCATCCAGGCCCAGCTCTTTATCGATCTCCTCCGCCAGGTCGTCGGTATGGCTGAACTCCTCCACTACCACACGCTCGTCTTCACGAGTGCTCTTCTTAGCCCTTGGATCCACCCGAGGCTCGACGTTGACCGGCTTTTTTGGGCCCAAGCTTTTCCGCATACGTCTGAAGGTTCCGCCTAAGAATGTGGGCTTCTTCTTCTTCCTCCTCTTTCCTTTTTTGTCCTTCAACGGACGACCGCCATCGATGATGTCCACCATGGGCGGCCGTAGCTCTTCAACCCTCGGCGGCGGCGGCCGCGCGCCTCCAAAAGGTGCATGTGCTCTTCCAAGGTAGCCGCCGAGAGGCGGGGGCGCTATCACTGGCGGGACACTTCCGCCGACAGGTGCCCATGCGTCAGGAGAACTCCATGTGCCACTCAGACCGGAAATATTGTGGGTATGGCCCGCATGGGGGTAAGCGGAATCGTAGCCACGCGGACGCGGCATTTCAAAGGGCTCTCCTTGTCGCGGGTGCATATACTGGTTGCCCCGCGTAGTCAGTGGTGGCTCTACCGGCCACATACGCATGCTTATAGACGCGCCTGGCTTGACACTTTCGGCCCAGGCAGAGGGGAGAATGATCTGTTCCTCAGAGTCCACCAAGTCATATTGTCCCTCTTGCACGTGCGGGCCGATCCCTTCCACTTGCAGGAACGATTGCTTGATGAGATCCTCCATACCCTACAGGAAAGGTTAGCTTCGGTTTCCGTGAGTGCGAGATTGTGAACATCTGGCTTACCTTCCAGGTCTTAACGAGATGGAAAGGAAATGTAAATTTCCTGCCGACGGCATCTTTGAACTTGACTGGTGGCTTCGCCCTCTCCGCTGCTGCCCTCTCTTGTTCCATCGCTGCCTTCTCTGCTTCTGCCTTCTCTGCCTTTGCCTTCTTAGCATGCTCTTCTTCCAATCGCCTGCGTGCAAGTTCATTTTTGGTCGTCTTCATGGCCCTTTCACCCTCACGCAAACTTCTAGCGCGCTCTTCCTCGAACATCCTCTCAAGATCCTTTCCAGCAGTGCCCCCTCGGATGCTTTCCAAGACAGCTAACTCGGCGTCCCTGAGTGCCCGATTCCTACTTTCAACGGACTCTTTTTCCTCAGCTATTCGGGTCCTCTCTGCCTCCAAATCTCTCTTCTCCTCTCTTATCCGGTCCTTCTCAACTTCCACCGCTTGCATGTTTTCCTCCACTTCTGCTTTACTTTTCTCAAGAATCTCTTTGTCAGCTTTGGTCTTGGCCTCTTCCCTTTTCCTTTCATCTTTCTCCCAGTTGATCCTCGCTTGCAACTTCTTTCGGTTCGTGTTAGTACGCAGACTGCTTTGGAATACATTGTCAAATAACGATAAGAAGCGAGAGGGTCCTGAAATCGCGCGTAGCCAGGGCTCAGCCGGATCTTGTTCGGAATATACAGGCTCAAAGCGGAAGAAGAGAACCATTCTTTCCCAACTCAAGTCAGTAAATTTCATGCCAAGGTCAGAGACGCTGCCATCGACGTAGCCGTCGAGGTCGACGGCAACCAAACAGACGCTCATGTTGCTGGTAGCCGCTTCGATTTGCTGTACTACTTGGTTGATCATATCTCGGTGGGCAGGACTCAATTTGAGAAGGACATCCCATGGATTGCATTTTCTCAGGGCCCGCTTTATCTCCTGGGTAAGTCTGCGGTGGCCAAAGGGTAATTTCATGGACGGTGCGAATGGGGTGGTTCCACCGTGTCCCAGCGGCCTCCTTATCCTAGAATCAACGAGGTAAGCTGCAAAGATTGCACTCGTAGAATCCTTTTTGAAGACTGATCTGCGTTCCGTTCTTTTACGAACGTGCGCTTTGAAAGTACGCAAAGCTCTCACGGTTCTGAATCCTCGTGATCTGCGTCGCCGGCGTGGGCGGTCGGAACCCAAGGAGTAATAGCTCGGGGATGAATGGCCGTCACCCATTGATTCGTTGCTGCTTGACGTGACTCCTGAATATCCTGAGAAGTACGGGGCTTCACTTGTCATGCTGCTCACGACGGACAGCACCCTGACTCCATCCCCGAGGCCGGGCGGCTGCATCTTGGGTGGCTTTGGTTGGTTCTGTTTGCCGTGCAGCTCTGTCATTTTCTTGCGCAGAGCCTCAGCTCGATCCCTCAGTCCGTCCTCATCGTTTGTATCTGAAACCCAGGCAATCAAAGGGCTTTGAAAATCACACGTCGGTCAGCCTCAAACCCGAAATCCAATACTATTGGGTACCTCGCACATACCGAGAACGGCTTTCAGCTATCAGGAAGACCTGGAGACTAAGCATCAAGCTGACCTTGAGCCGCCCGAGGTGCTCCTGGCATCGTTTGATCCGCGGCTCGAGCCAGGGCCACCTCATCTTTCGCCCAAGCTTGGTCACATTCTTGCTAAAGACGTCCAGACGTAGCGCAGTCGCGTTTGGGTCATCTGCAGCAGAGGTCTGGGGCCCTTTACCTTTGCTCCCATCTTCGCCATTCTGTATGCTTGCCTTCTCAATGAGGACAATGATCTGCACATAGATTCTTTGGCATTGGGAAGCACACACCCCGATCTCCTTGAGACCCGTGTCGTTGAGTACCGTGGCTCGATGCTGCTCCTTGCCGGCTGATTTATCTTGTTCAATGAAGTCCTGAAGCCGTTTCAAGGTTGATGCCGTGGCATGGACTTCTGACACAATGAGGACTATAGTCTCCTCGGCCTCAATAACGGTCTCGACGAATGTCTGAAGGCTTTTCGCCAGGCCTAAACCAAACGACACAATGCCAACAATAGAAGCTGCGGCTTCCATCGTCTGGTTCGATGATGTCTCGTCACTGGCACAGAGATCATGCTACAGAAGAACAGCGAGTTGCAGTTGAAAACTACGTGAATTTCATCGTCTTGACAGAGGTGAGGCTGAACCCGTTCAGCTGACTGCACGTCCGATGCCGTGCAATTTGGTGGCTGCAGATGTTACCTGCACTATCCCCACTCGGGATGCCTGCATGTCCAGAGCAATAGCGCTGCTACCCCGGATGTCGAGCCTCCAGTAACTGTCCAGGGTTAGGCACAGCTGCAGCTGGAAACGATATCGTTCTAGTCAACAGGCACGCACGGCGCAAGTTCCATCGTATGAGAAGAATCCGCTATCGAAACAGTCCCAGTCACGGTCTAGACCGCCTGCCAATTATCGTCCAAGAGCCTCGGCTGAGAAATGTCAATATTGAATAGAAATAAGCGACCTCGGGAAGCAACCTGCCAAACTTAATTTACGAGGGACGGACGCGCTGTACGATTCGGGGCGATCAGCCGGGGGTGACTGGCCAGTACCTGCACCGAACCCAAGGCGCGATGTCACGGCGGCGGCGACCCCAGACCTCAGAACGCTCTGGCGTGCCCCGCAATCTCGTGGGACCTGGCATGAGCTCTCCACACTCTCGGGACAGCTGGCCCCGGTAGTCAGCCGACGAGCAGGGTTCGGATGGAAGAATTCACGCCGCTATGGGGGTCGGCTAAGGAGTGCCAGGAGGCAGACATACAGGAGAGGACTGTTCATGACGTCGTATGATGCTGCGAGGATCATAAATACGCGCATCCGCGCCCCGGGTGTCCGGCGTATCGGGGCGGTGAGAGGGAGAAGTCACCACCAACACCACGACTCCAGGCTATCGTGAGTGAGCTCCAACGACGATGCGTCGGTTCGGCAAGGCAGCGGCCCTGGCATGGGCCCTCACAGCAGGGCTCAGCCAGGTCCACGCGCAGGACAACAGCCCCTCGGCCGACTGGCCCCTTCACAACAACAGCCTGACGACGCTGGTGGAATGGGACCACTACAGCTTCCACGTCAACGGGCAGCGGCTGTTTGTCTTCTCGGGCGAGTTCCACTACTGGCGGTTCCCTGTGCCGGAGCTATGGCGCGACCTGCTCGAGAAGGTCAAGGCCGCAGGCTTCAACGCCTTCAGCATCTACGGCCACTGGGGCTTCCACAGCCCATCTGATGGTGTGCTCGACTTCGAGACAGGCGCGCACGACTTCACGCGCATCATGGACCTGGCCAAGGAACTCGGCATGTACATGATTGTGCGACCCGGGCCATATGTAAACGCTGAGACCAACGCTGGTGGTTACCCACTGTGGGTGACAACTGGTGAATACGGCGCACTGAGGGATAATGACCCCCGGTACACGGCGGCGTGGACCCCATACTGGACCAATATGTCCAGTCTGATCGCGCCGCACCTCATCACCAACGGCGGCAACGTTATCCTGTTCCAGATCGAGAACGAGTTCGGCCAGCAGTGGAGGAATGTCGCGGCTAAGACACCCAACGTCCCAGCCGGCGAGTATATGCAGCTGCTCCAGGACGCCGCACGCGCAAGCGGCATCGACGTCCCGCTGACGCACAACGACCCGAACATGAGAGCATTCTCCTGGAGCAAGGACTACAGTGACGGCATTGGCAACGTCGACGTTGTGGGTGTGGACTCGTACCCATCCTGCTGGAGCTGCGACCTCACTGAGTGCACAGGCACGAACGGCAAGTACGTTGCATACCAGACCGTCGAGTACTACGACTACTTCCAGAAGTTCTCGCCGACGCAGCCCAACTTCCTGCCCGAGTTCCAGGGCGGCTCTTACAACCCGTGGGGCGGGCCCGAGGGCGGATGCCCGGCAGACATCGGCGTCGACTTTGCGAACATGTTCTACCGCAACCTCATCTACCAGCGTGCCACGGCCATCAGCCTGTACATGCTGTTCGGCGGTACCAACTGGGGCTGGCTGGCGACACCCGTCGTCGCCAGCAGCTACGACTACTCGAGCCCTGTGTCCGAGAACCGCGCCATCGGTGGCAAGTACTACGAGACCAAGCTGCTGACCATGTTCACGCGCGTGGCGCCGGAGCTGGCCAAGACGGACAGGGTCGGCAACGGCACGGCTTATAGCGAGAACAAGGCCATCACCACGGCTGAGCTGCGGAACCCGGACACCGGTGCCGCCTTCTACGCCACCATGCACCTCGACTCGACCTCGGCCACGCTCGAGACCTTCAAGTTGAACGTCAGCACGTCCCAGGGAGCGAAGACCATCCCGCAGTATGGCGGCAGCATCGCTATCAACGGCCACCAGGCAAAGGTGCTCCCAGTGGACTTCAGCTTCGGCAGCAAGAACCTCCTGTACACGACCGCCGAGGTCTTGACCTATTCCGTCATTGATGGTAAGGAGGTTCTCGCCGTCTGGGTTCCAGCTGGCGAGTCGGGCGAGGTCGTCATCGAGGGAATAGCTACCGCAAGCCTTTCGAAGGCCACGGCGAACGCAACCTCGACCACAGTGAACATCCTGCCAGGAAACTCGAGCGTCGCTATCAACTGGTCAAACACTAGTGGAATGACCGTTGTGAACCTGGGTGATGGTGCTCAAGTTGTCATCCTCGACCGGCCATCGGCGTACGTGTTCTGGGCTCCTAGCCTAGGGAACGACCCCTTGTACCCCGTGAACAGCACAGGTAAGTCCAGTGACATCAAGCTCTGACCTGCGGCTTGCATAGATCTCGCAGTGACTGACATCGAACAGTGCTCGTCCAAGGACCATATCTGGTTCGCTCAGCATCCGTCACCGACAACAAACTTGAGCTGGTCGGCGATATTGACGGCGATAAGAACACCCTCACCATCTTCGCACCCTCCGTTGAATCCGTGACCTGGAACGGAGAAGAGCTCTCCACCATCTCCAAGGACGGCAACATGCTCACAGCGACTGTTGCGGTGCCAGAGTCCTTCAGGCTGCCCACACTGGGGCCGTGGAAGTGGCACGACAGCCTGCCAGAGATTCAGCCCAACTACACCGTTTCTCCCAACGTGTGGGTCACGGCCGACCACCAGAACACATCCAACCCGTCCAAGCCCGCCTCCAACAACCCAGTGCTGTTCCTGGACGAATACCACGTCCACGTCGGCAACTCCATCTACCGCGCCACCTTCCCCAGCACGGCGGCCGCACCGAGCGGCGTCTTCCTCAACATCACGGGCGGCAAGGCCTTCGGCTACTCGGCGTGGCTGAACGGCGCTTACATCGGCTCATACCTGGGCGCCTCGACGGCCGCGACGGGACAGACGCAGCTCTCGTTCGAGAACGCCACGCTCGCCGCGGAGGGCAGGGACAACGTGCTGGTGGTGGTGATGGACAACTCGGGCCACGACCAGACCACGGGCGCCCTGACACCCCGCGGCATCTGGAACGCCACGCTCCTCGGCACGGACGCGAGCTTCACCGAGTGGAAGATCGCGGGCCCGGCGGGCGGCGAGGACAACATCGACCCGATCCGCAGCGTCTACAACGAGGGCGGGCTGTACGCCGAGCGCGTGGGCATGCACCTCCCCGGGTACCCCGACGAAGACTGGAGGGCCGTCGACGGGGCCAGCACGACGACAGCGACGACGCTCGTGGTCCCGGCGGCCGGCATCCGTGTCTTCCGCACCGTGGTCCCGCTCTCCGTCCCCGAGGGGCTGGACGTGTCCATCTCGTTCCAGTTCTCGGCGCCGGGCAACGGCAGCACCAGGAGCACGTTTGTGCCGGGGGACGCGGCGCATTCGAACCAGGTCCGGGCGCTGCTGTTTGTCAACGGGTACCAGTATGGCCGATTCAACCCGTACATTGGCAACCAGATCACGTTCCCTGTGCCGACTGGTATCCTTGACTACGATGGTGACAACACCATCGCCGTGACCTTGTGGAGCCAGAGCGCGGAGGGTGTCGAGGTCAGGCTGGGCTGGAATGTGGATTATGTGCACACCACCGGATACGACATGGGCTTCGATGCGGAGTATCTGAGGCCTGGGTGGTCCGAGGATAGGCTGGCATATGCCTGATAAAGACGACAATTTTGTACATAGTATTCGTCAACTGTTAGTTACTTGTATAATCCAGAACGTGTAGATACCGGCACAATATATGTAAGCTGTGAGGTTTCGGCCTGCCGTCTTGATCCTAAGTTGCTGATCACGTCACCCTCAACTCCTGGCGACTCCACAGGTAAGCATACTATCTGGGCTCGAAAATTCCTCACGCACTTGCAGTGGCAAGCCCCACCTGTCAATGATGAATCCGGCAGAGGATATATGCACTGAAAAGTCCAGGCAAGTAGCAGGGGAACGGAAGTCCAGAAGGTGGACTGGTGTACGACGAGTTGCCAGCGTCGAAAACTCGAGCCATGTTCAAATGGCTTTGGTAAGACATGCAATTAGCTGAGTTAGTCTCTTGATCGGAGGTCTGAGATGCAGGAGAATGACCTGAGTCTGTGAATTCTCTGAGAACTATACTGCAGGTCAACCGTTGAGTTGATGATTGTGGTTGTTAACCCGAGGCAACGCGGGGCTAGGACGATGCTGTCGTTGCTGAGGCGGCTCAGCGAATGTGCCGTGTGCGATTCAGTCAAGACCCGAACGTTCTTGTCCAACCGGAACCAGGAAACCCCTGTGCTTGCATCCTGCCAGTGTCCCTTGTGGTGCGTGCCAGTGCATTCATGCTGGCTCAAGGGTGAATACCGACTCTTAGGGCTTGAAGCGGACGGTACGAACACCTGCGTTGTGGCAGCACGGCATGATGCGAACACGCTTCGAGATGGCTGAGCATTGTGAGTGGGGGCTAAAGGTAACATTTGAAGAAGATGCGAGTGGGTGTAACCTGTGCGACTTCCGACGTGACGCGTGCCCATCATCTCCAGGAGCAAATTTCCAGGAACCCGAAAATTGCGGGCCGGGTGCCGATTATACAGGTCATGCATCGTCATCGTCATGCGCGGCTTTGGTACTGTTGTCTGGTCATCTCTGCGCTCCGACGGGCTGGGTGCACTGTAGCATGAGGCGTGCAGTGAGGTCGATTCTCACGACCTTTCGGAGAATTCGGCTGATAAAGTGGTATTTGATGTTTAATACTACGTCGGAGGAAAGAAGATGTGGAGTCTAACCGTGCCGTTTCGAGGTTCCTTAACGACTGCCCGACGACGGCTGTCGGCAATGTGGAGTCTTCCCACTGCAGATCAGGTCAAGTGCCGGGCACAGAAGTGGAGCCTGCCAGTGCTTTCCCAGATACATGGAATTCTAATCACTCAGCCCTGTGCCAATTTTCTCCCAGACCGCATGGGCGCAGTAGCCCTGGAGGTATCAGACACCGCAAGCTGTTAAGATGTCTCGTAGGCTAGTGTCTATCAACTTGAAGTACCAAGAAAGCCATGGCATGAGCTCCCACGGGGAAAATATCCAACCGCAGGCAGATTGCGGACGGAGGCCGATACTAGCATCGGCGGCCCCGTCGTACAAAGAGGAGACACGAGGTCCGGAGTTGAACACGCGTACTGGACGCCCACCGCAGGTCAGCATGGCACCCAGGAGACTTGAGACGACTGGTCGGCCGAGGCATAAGAGTGTTGGTATCCCTTCTGGAGTCCCCAGTATTCCCCATCTCTGAATCGGCCCAATCCATGCGATCAACCCACCTCGTGGGCCACAATAGTACAGTACACCAGCACCTCACAGCCCCAAGCTCCACACCCCTTCTCCTTTTGTTTGAACAACTAACAAAAATATCTAGCTCCACCAAGACTGGGTGCATTTTCCAACCGCTTCCCATCTTTCCAGTTTCTTTTTTATCTTTTCCCCCTTCCATTGGCCTTAATCCCCATGCCCGATAGGCTCTTACGTTCCCGTCCTTGGCCACGCCAGAGATCGCTTGACGTCCGGACCTTGGCATTACTGCCACTCAGACGCTGACCCGGTTTCGATATCACAAACCCACCGAGGGAGTGGGTACAATCTGTTTCGATCCGTCGCCCATTCATTGACTGCAAAGCAGCCACGAAATCTTCTGAAATCCGTGAGAGTAAAACGAGGCCTCTGAAATTAGGGGTGGTGCGTATCCCAGCCGGCCGGGCCATCAACAGGGACCTCAGGACGAATGACCGGGACCATGGCCGCCACGTGCACAAGGATACTACATCTCTTGGCCACCACCCTGCTATTTTCCGCACCGTCTACCGCCCATGGCATATTGGAGTCGCCGAACCTCTACGACTGGGGCTTCTACGGCCTATATCCGAAAACCCGGTTTAAGTCCTACGAGCTCGCTGCACCCCGGCTCAACTTCCTCAAGTGGGACGAGCAGTGTGACGATGGCTACTATCTTGTGTCCCCTCGAGGGAGCACTGTCAACTCGCCCGCCCCGGTAATACTCGACGGAAGGGGAAACCTGGTGTGGACAACAGAGGGAAGCACTTTCGGAAAGGGCCGCGGCGTTACAGACTTCAAGGTCCAGATGTACAAGGGCAAGCCGCATCTGACATTATGGGGCGGTGTTGATGGGGTGCATCACCGCTATGGCGCAGGATGCTATTTTATTGTATGCTCCATACTGTCCTCTCTTTTATTTCCTGTGCTCCCTGAAGTTTTGCGAGGTTATCAGCTAACAAACTTGTCAGCTCGATGAAACATACCAAGTTGTCAAGACTGTTGAGGCTGTCGAAACCAGGGGCCAAGGGCTGCGAGGCGATTTGCATGAATTTCACATAACAGAGGAAAACACTGGCCTTATGACCATCTACTATCCCCAGCCCCTCGATCTTTCTCCAATCGGTGGTCCTGTGGATGGCTGGGTGCTGGACAGTATCTTCCAAGAAATCGACCTTGAGACAGGCCAGTTGATATTTGAATGGCGGGCTTCCGAGCACATCCCAATCGACATGACGATGAGATCCTACATCGGCAGCGACTTGGGCCTCTACCCCGTCAACGGCTTCGACTATGTCCACATCAATAGTGTTGACAAGGACCACCAGGGCAACTACATCATCTCGAACAGGCACACCCACACGGTGATGTGTATCAGCCCGGCCGGCGAGACACTCTGGATCCTCGGCGGCAAACACAACCAATTCGAGGACCTCTCCGACGGCCGCGCGACAGACTTCACCTGGCAGCACCACGCGAGGTGGCATAGGACCAGTAGGCTGAGCCTCTTCGACAACGCAAAGTCGACCAACGGCGGCGAGAGGCACATCGGCGACCACAGCCGCGGGATGATGCTGGAGCTAGACACCGAGGCGATGACGGCGACGCTGCTGCACGACTACTACGACCCGGCGCACCCGAAGCTGTCAGAGAGCCAGGGATCGACGCAGGTGCTCAACGACACCGGCAATGTGGTTGTGGACTACGGCTTTCTGCCCGCCCTGACCGAGTTCTCGCCCGAGGGCGACGTCCTCTGCGACATCCGCATCGCCCCCTGGCTCATCTGGCAGACGGGCATGGTCACGAGCTACCGCGGCTTCAAGACCACGCGCTGGGTCGGCCGGCCGTGGTACGCTCCCGCCGTGTCCCTGGATCCGGGCGAGGGTGTACTTTATGTCAGCTGGAACGGAGCCACGGAGGTTGACAGCTGGGTGCTGCAGGGCGCGGGATGGGCTGGCGTACAGCGGGATGAGTACGTGGACCTCAAGGTGCAAAAGAAGGATGGCTTCGAGGCCGGTTTTGAGATGGTGGGCGAGTATCCGCGGTACGTCCGCGTCGCAGCACTTGACCGCGATGGTGTGGTTCTGAAGACCTCCGACGTGCTGGATCGATATGTGGGGAACGCTGCGGCGTCCCCTGGGCTGCTGTATCGATTCTTGGTGGCGGTCGGTGCCATGCTGGGCGTCGTACTTGTTGCGGCGCTCATCTTCCGGGAGAGGCTTCGCAGTGCTTGGACTCAAAGGTTCCCGGGTGAGTCTGTGATCTCCGTTGTCTGCGGTGTGGTCCAAGCTGTGAGGAAGCGGAGCGGAGTGTGGAGGGGCGGTGGAAGGGACGGGTTGATATACGATGAGTTGAAGTCGTATGAAGAATAGACCGAGTCAAGGTTGTTTGAACTCGACTCCCTGGGTCGCTGCAGCTCACCAATTACGAATTTACTCTTTCACTCGGTATGGGCTTTTACTGGTGTGTGAGGGGATGGTCTCCAGCTCTGTAAGAGCTTCCGAACAAATTGCAAATTGAACCAGCTTCACTCACCCATGACGGGGGTATCCAGGATCCCCGAATGTTGAGGCCTTCTTTGCAAGCCAAGTCTACAGGTCAGATTGCGATATTTTGATTTAGAGCCAAGTCATAGACCGGTGACACTCACACAGCCACGCATCGTCACATGCACTTTATGCATCTACATGACGAATCTAACTCACTGGCACTTTGCATGGCAAGCAGAACTCCCACTTCCCCATAACATCGTCTCAAAAAGCATTCTCTGGGAACAATTTCAATTCAGGACTGTGTTAAAATGTTGTGAGCTTTCAATTCTCTCAAACAACCACTGTTGCAGACCTGTCTGCCAAAGCCCTATCCTCAAGTAGCAGCACTTACTACACGTCGGCATGGTTTCCAAACTCGTTTACCGAAAGATGCTTCTTAACTTCGCACTCCTCATCTTCTTAGTCCCGTTATTATCAGCGGTGGCAACAAACACGACGAGCAGTACTACCCTCCCAAGCCAGCAGCGAAACGAACTTCACCATTTTTCCGTTGTCCCGAATCTCAGCATGAACATGTTCGGCTTTGATACATTCTGCAGCAACGCATACGACGTAGATCGTACTGGAGAATACAACTTCCAGGTAGCCGACTGCCGTGCACTAATGGTCGGCCTGTCCGGTCCCTTGGCATCTTACAATACCTGGTTTACCGTCAACGACCAGGATTGCAATCAACGCGGTGAGCCTTGGTGGATTCCGGTTGTCGGAAGGCTGTCGTGCAATTTTGCGGTGTACATGCCCGGTTGCCCGGATGGCGGCATCGTGTAAGTCTATGACTTCTTGGTCATGTATCCTATTTATTTTCTCTCGCACTCCTTCTGCTATTGTTCCCGTAAGATTAATCCTGGCACTTTCTGACCATATGAGTACGACATGTAGTCTTTCCACTTTGGATATCACCAGAGCCATAGCGCATTCCATGCTCGATCACGGAGAACATAACGCTTCCACTACAACTGGGAAAATGAGGTGTGGATTTGAAGAATCACTACAATCACTACATGATGTAGTGTACAAGATTTCTGACTTATGATATCGCCCCAAAGACTAGACTGAGTGGATGGCAAGGCACGGATCCTCCTTTAGCAATGCAGCGTCTCCGTCATCGTTCGCTTAAACAATGAGCCCATCGACGACCAGAGCACCTAGTTAACTAGCACTTATTCAAATGGCTTTTTCCCCTCATTTACGTGAGCTTTGGCTGTCAAGCTTTCACAAGTACAGTCTGGGTTCGCGGGACAAAATTGCGGGAATCCATGGATGCATTAGGGAGCATACCTAGGTTTTCAAGTATGTATTCAGGCTCTTAACCTGCATTCCATCACATCTACAACAGACCCGAAAACTGTAAGGTGTCATCATGTGGATCAGGAAACCATGGTGAGATATTCATGGAGGGGTTCCTTGACTAAGAACCAATATTCCCGAATTTGCCTTTCTATCCTCTCTCCATCATACTTTCCATGTGCTCACTGCAGCATCAGCCCTCTCCCTTATATACACCTTGACTGACGGATCAGTGAATCCTAGCTCCAGCAAGTGCAAGTTCTTTGGCCGCTTCGTGTGGTCCAAATTCATGTCTCCGTTCTCAACGAAGCTGATGTCATATTTCATCAACAGCTCCGCAAATACCAGCTTAATCTCCACAGCAGCCACGAATCTCCCGGGGCAAGCGTGTCGTCCCTGGCCGAAGGTGATGTGGTCTTGGTCTGTGGACGTGTACAAGGCCTGTCTAGCCTTTGAGGAGCTTTGCCCGGGCTCCTTTTGCGCGTAGCGGAATCCGTCGAACCGCTCGTCTTGGCGCACGCAGCCGGAGTTGACGACGGCGATGTATGCGCCCTTGGTGAGGACCAGGCCATCTGAGAGTGTCATTTGTTCCTTTACAATACGCTTGAAGCTGACTGGTAAGGGTAGAGCCCGGTCAGCAGATGACTAATAAATGGAGTCTGGGCGGCATGGTTGGCAGACTTACTGGGGCCAGGTGCGTTGACACGCTGCGACTCCTTCATAAAACTGTCCATCATCTCCAGCTTGGCAGGTGTCCCCTTCTGCCACCCACCATCCTCCTTCAGAACCCGCTCAACCTCCTCCCGCAGCGGTGCAAGGTGCTCGGGATACGCAGCGAGGTCATAGACAAGGTCTACTAGCGCCGCAGAGACCGTGAACAGGCTCCCGATGACCGCGTAGACATACCGCGTGGCCAGGTTCACCGAGTCCCGCTCATAGCCCTCGGCCGCATCGAGCATCCACTGGATCATGTCCTCGGGCTTCTCGTCCGCCTCCCCGAGCTTCTTCCGCTCCTCGATGAGCGGGACGAGGAACGCCTGGACCCGCTCCAGCCCCCGAGCCAGCTTCCTCTTCATCGGCAGCAGCGGCGCCGCGATGGGCTGCAGGAACGCCGGGAGCAGCTTGAGCGTGATGGCGAGGGTGAAGATGTTGGCGGTGGTCTCGAGGTTGGCCTTGTGCCACTCCTCGTTACGCGCGAGGTCGCGCCCGACCCAGGTGCGGGCGGTGATGTGCGAGATCACGCGGGTCATGACGTCGTTGAGGGCGATCGGGGTCCAGGTCTTGCAGGGGCCGATGACGTGCGGGAGGGCGTAGTTCAGCTCGTCGACCAAGCTCGGGATGGCTTGTGGGATCTTGGGGGTGAAGCGCTTTTGCACTGCCCCGAAGGAGAGGTGTGAGGTTGTCAGGATGTCGAGGCCTGTGTAAGAGCCTAGCATGTCCTGGGCGGAGAGGACCAGAGGTCAGTGAGAATTCCAGAGGCTCCAGTGCATGGAATGGGCCGGAGGGAGGAGTGGCATCTCACGTTTGATAGAGCTTCCATGGGGTGAAGGCGCTGGCTATCCACATGCTGCAGTTCATCGACGTATCTCAAGGGCACGACGGTCACATTGGAGTCCGGCCTCAGCATTGTGAAGACGGAATCCCGGTGCTGGACAGAGAGTGTTTATTAGCATCACGACGGAAAGCTTAGAACGACACATGAAGTCTCTCACCTTGTCCCATCCTTCCTTGGTGATGTCCCAGGCGCTCGTGACAAACCGGTAGCGTGTCAACCATCCAGGCTCGTACTTCCATCTCCTCCCGACGATGGGTGCACCGGGTATGATGGTGTACTTGGTGCTGTTTCTCGCCTTGGCGATAAGAACTGGGCACACAACAAGGAGTACCAGCAAGATGAATTGACCAACGGGGCCAAGGTCCGCCAACAGCCCAGCCATGTTCAGCGAATATGCCAGCAGCAGAGACTGGAGGATTGTATTGGATCTTGGCGAGAGATCTTAGGTGAGGTCCATGATGCTGCACCTGGGATTCGAGCGGACCTAATGGCACCTTTCAAGTTCAGCGCCAACCAACCGTGCTTGCTCCTCTCGGCTCTCCTGTCACCTACTCAGCCACCCAACTGCAAACCCAGTTGGCCCTAATTTTGGCCCACAACATGCTTAGCTTCGTTATTGCTGTTGACACCCCAGCATGCGAGGCACGCAACGAACCGCAGCCACCAAGATGCCCCATACCAGCTTGCCCAGCTGCCCAGATGTTACTGTTAGCGGACTGATGTTGGTATTACACAGGAATCCTACGGAAATATTCTCCAATCTCGGCAAATGAGACCGAGGCCTGCGCAGGGCTTGCGAGGACAAGTGGGTCCGCGTCCCAATACAGTGGGTGCCCCTATATCTGAATATGGATGTAACGAGACGTCCGAACTTCTTAGGCCCGGTATATCCGGCTGATGCCCTGGCAACCACATGGACGCACTGCTGTAGAGTTCCGGTTGTTGAAAGGCTTCCATGGCTGACACTTCTTCAACTCCAACAAGTTCCATTAAAGTAAGAAGCAGTAACTCGAACCCGACGGGCAACGGAGCCCATGAGTCGAGATACAGCATTGGCAGGCGGTCCCTAAGAAACGAGGAGACGGCGGTAATCCTACCATCCAGATGTAAGCCGCCGCCCAAGTCATAATATAATGTTCGCACAAAAAGAGCAAAGCAGCGGAACTCAAAGTGTTCAGAATGATATCGGTATCTGTGTTTCCAGGCTCGATGAAGCCGCCGAGATCAATCCTCTGAGTGTCGAGGATCTTCTGAAAACTGGAATGGAAGAGTCGTTTGTTGCTTTTGAGAGGTTTTGCGCGACCATGGAGAGCCATGCGGTATCGTACACTGCCCAGGTGCGCAGGTCATGCAGCTCAAGCCATATCCAGGGTGATGAGCCGAGGCCAGGCGCTCGACCAATTGGGATACCAGCGCATCCAGATCCTCCATGACTACATAGGTATGGAAGCCACTTGGGCTGGCTACCTAGGTACCTAGGTAGCTAAGCAGAGTGTACGGACCTACTGGTTGGCATTGCGGGCGATCAGCCCAGGGCCCTGACATACCATTTGTCTGTATTTTGGGACTCGGTGGGTAGAAAATATTGCTGGTGCCTTGTCGCACCTCAGTTTCCCCCAGCCCTCAGCCTATGTCACATTGAAAGTACCTAGGTGTTAATATTCGGGAGGCGGGCAAACATCTGACAGTGACACAGAATGCAAACTCCGCCATCAAGTTCGGCAAACTACTCTGGTACCGAGGCATTGATTAGGGGGTATGCTGGGATGTCAACCCCAAGACTTAGGCAGCTCCGGGGTAACCTAAACGACTCAAAGATGAACCTGAACCACTAAGGTGCGCTTGTTGGTCACTGCCAGCCGTCCGAATCCAGGAGGCTGTCATGGCCCACTCGGTATCAACGCCCCGGCTTCACCAGCGGCTTGTGGCTCCTGGTCCTTTTCCTTCTTGTGCAACAGCGAAGTCACAAGCTTGACTAACATCCCAGCCCTGTGACAGACGAATTGTTGTTATTCGTACGGCGACCAAGGCAACCCCTGAGCGGAAGGAGTGGATCGAACATAAAACATCGCCACGCCCTTTCTTCTGCTTCCACGATCACGAACCAAGTCACTTCATGAATTGCAGCATTCCACGCACCTTCATCACACAGCTCGACACTGAGCCAACTTGCGTACATTGCTTTGTTCACGGCAAAATCGCTCATCATGAACATTGCTAATACCATCTGCCTGTTGGCTACGATGATTTACCTCGCCGTGTCTGCTGCTATCCCTGGATACTCCGTTCCGGCGCCCAGAATTGGGAAGCGGATCGAGACCACCTTTGCATGGAGAGAATACTTTGTTCGCAATTGCACCAGGACGTACCTGAGAGCTGTCGACATTGACAACAAGACTATCGATGGCAATGACTGCAAGAATTTATCAGCGTGGCAGAGCGCCAACAACGGTGGCTATTACGAGTTGTGGGATTTCAACCACTTCAACAATTACACCTACAGACCTATCGTGGGTCACGATACCTGTGTGGTTGCTTTGCAGCAAGACGAGAATGTCGCCCCAAACGATTATGCAATGTAAGTCACACTTTTCTGATGGATCCTAAGTACAACTGACTAACTGTATCTGCCATTCTGTAGCATTGGGTCTTTGGATGTGATCGACCTCATCGCCAGCGCCCTTAGCCGGTTCGAGTTCGACGGGAAACTGCCGACAGTCTCCGGCGTCTCCACCTGCGGCCCCAATAGAGTGCCTCTCAACATCCTCATCTACAACGGCCGTACAGGATGGTATCCCAATGGAACTAATTACACTGCAGCGCCCATGTCTTTGAATGGAGCTGCCGGCGGTACCGGCTACAAGACAGGCTCGCCTCCCCCGATGCCTGTAGTTTCGGTCCCCATGGCGGGTCCGACAGGCACCACATGAATCTGAGTCATACATTTGCCACCGAAAAACGCGGTATGAGAACGATAGGCATACCTGTCACAGTTTGGAATGAGGCTCTGCAAATGCTGGGGACCGATGCTCTTTGGAACTGCAGGCAAGGGTGTTCACCAAGGTACTGCGATGCTCGTGTTTAGCATTTTGGTTTGCATTTGATAATACGAACCTTCGTTCGCGTTTCGCCTGCCAAGGTCTGTGACACCCTTTGCGTGTGACATATCTTCTGTGCCAGCAAGGGTGACACCGCGCTATTCTCTTTGATATCTACTTCCGCTTCGACCCGAGCAAAAGTGCTGGCTCAAGAAGACCCTCAGCTGCACTTTGGAGTCGTGCTCGGCGCAACCGCAGAGTTGGTTGGGTTTGTCTTGGAGCAGCCATTCGCGGCGCCGAGCAAGTAATCGTCTTGCGCAGCGTTGTACGCCGCGCCACAATTCGGGTCACTAAACTGTCAGTCAGCACCCGATTGCGTGGGAAAACACGGAGACTGTTCGAAAGGTGTGAAAGTAAACTCACCTGGCGCCACCTGAAGCGTTGTTGAAGTACGAGCAGATATCGTGCGAGAAACAATCTTGGCTGTAGACATTCCCAAGGCCCACCCCAGAGCAACCGGCGCCACACCGTCCGTTGCACGAATAGCTGTGTGTGCTGTTAGCCGAGGTAGTAGCAGTGTCTGATGTAGCCGTTTGCTACGGGATAGCACTCACTCGCCGCCAGCCGCGTTCGTCCCGTAATTACTACCGACAACTCCGACAAATGAGCAGCTTTGCCCCGCTGCGTTAGTCCATGTTGCCGTTGCTGACGCACCCACCGTGAGACATGTGACACTTCTTTTCAGCAGAGGTGACACAGGGGATGTTGGCATGGCAGTGGTTTGGCCCATCACAGCCATGAGCACAAGTAGGTTCCATATATGGATCATTGTTGGTGAATCTATGGGCGTAAACACGTGCTTCGCTGTACAGAATTTTGCTTCAACAAAAGGAAGTATGGCTCGAATGCGTTTTAGATCTGTGTTCGGTTGCACTTAAACATGGAGTTACGATGAGCTTAAATGTATGAGCACTGCACAAAGAGGGCGCGGAGTTCCACTGTAAGCATGACCTAGTTCGTGATGAACTGGTTGCCGAATGAAGAAGGATGTCTTGCACGACTCGGCCGGCTCTTAGCCACGATCTATATTGGAGCCAATTGCGTGATGAATCGGCATCGGGGTTGTGTCCGTTTTGGTAATTCAGCCTTGTTTAGGCCTAGGCCAATGGAGAAAATACCGGAGTTTTCGCTGATCGACTTGCATCATTCGCTTAATTAGAATAGATGTAGTCCAAGTAGATTGTGACGGCCTCGAGGACGACAAATAATAGTATTCAGTTGTACTGTAAGCTCTGCTTCTCGTATACATTCATCAGGCAGACCGGGAAACTCCGATTCATGGACTCCTCGATGGCCAGCTATGCTACTCACCCTTGGACAGTACTTGGTCACTGAAGTGGTTTCGAGCTCAACACACACAAATACGAAGGCCAATGCGATCCATTCATGCAGTGAAAAACGCTCAAACTCTGTAAAGGGGCGGTGATCAAAAAGTGTGATACCATAAGTGTGAGAACAACTTTATTAAGCATAAATGAAGTCAAGTGTTGCGTCTCTTGTTAATCCTGCGTTTCGTTATTTCTGTACACTGCCGTAGCTAAAGGTGCTACGTGATAATAGTAATAATGGCGTCATGTAGAATCACAAACTTAGAACACAAAGGGACTGACGAAGGCCACAATGGCACCATTGCCACTTGGGCAAGGTGCCATGTCATTATACCTACTGCTGCTTGAGTGGTTTTCAAACAATATGATTGTCTGTTATTAGACTATTTTTACCTGAAAACCTTCTCAATTACACCCGTGGGCAGTGGTGTATATCGCTTGTGCATATGGTGTGGGAATTTTGACTATAAAAAAGAATTCTATAATGAAAGGTACCTAGGTATGCATGTGTCTAATATGAGAAGCTATTCCTCTTTCCCAATTGTCCGCCATCGAAAGTTCCCAGCATTGATCACTAACAGTCGCCGGAAACTTGGCAAATCCAACTCACGTAACTTAATAACATTGTCAATCTCGACGTCGTAGGTAATCTGCCATCAGCCGAACTTTTAAGAACTTTTTACATTCCACGACTGCAGCAAGTGCGTACGTGTTGTCAAGTACTACGAGTGCAACTATGTACAGAGCTCCCGCGCTGAGCCATGCGCAGCTAGATGTGGTGTTATGCAGACTGAGATCAACTAGATCTTCATCTCCCTGTTCGTCTGACGCCATCCGCCTTTACTAAATTCCTCGATAACTTTCCGAGCACACTGCCTTGGGAACGACCTCGGATAGGGTTTCAGATGAACAATGTTCCGCGAAGCTTAGTCCTTTCTTCGTACGCGCAAAAATAAGGAACAAAATCAGTCAATGAAGAATAGATTGTTGTAGGGAGGCGTGAAAAGAATTACATGTCTGCCTGGTTTCGATCCTATTCCGTATACTTCCGAAGCCATACATGGCGCCTTAATACAGCCTCAAACTCTCAAAGAACCAGCATTTGAATAGCATACGATTTGAATAATGCCGATGTATATATGATAGGTCGCACCTCGTAAAAAGTCTTTGCAATGAGTCTGGCTTCCAGAACTGTTTTTGGGGAAGAAGCCAGCTGCGTTGCCACTGATCGCTTTCGTCTCCTAGGAGGCTTACCACATATCCAAGCTGCCTGCCCCTACAAGATATCAGAATGAAATTGGGACGCTTTCAAAATAGCAATCTCCATTCCCCAGTGGCAAGTCTGGTACTATGCGAATTCACTTCAACCAGAATCTGGACACCCTATCTATCAGCCACACGATCAATTTTGGGGCTCGGAATGGTTATCAGGATCATCTGAAAAATTTGCACAATAGACCGTTTGCTCTCACGATGAAGCCGAAATTTAGCTTGATCTTAGAGATTTTCGATCTCGTGCTCTTCTGCACTAACTTGGGCTCGGGTATGACGTGGCTGATGCCCAGCCCCTGGCCCAACTATGATATCCTCGCCAAGCAGAGCTATTTACACACCTCGTCTTAGCCAAGACAGTTTTCCTTGCAAAGAATCCGGAAAAACGCGCACAAGGGCTTTTCGGACTGTTCGGATAGGGGTGGACAGTCTTTGTCAACATTGATAACACGGTGTAGGTCGGCCGGTTTGAAACCTTCATCCGGCGGCTCAACCCCAGGGGTCGCAGGTGCCATAAGTTCGAAGTCAGAAGTTTGTTCTTTCTCCAAGAAGACTATGGTACACGTGGCGTGTGGGATAGATTCCAAGGTTGTCTGGGAGCGGCCGGGTATCGTGCCTACAAGGCAGAAGGGCCCCGGGGCCGAGATCGAGTTCGGAGATTCTGGGGGGGGGGGGGGAGATGAGAATGGAAAGTATTTAACAATAAGGCTTTCACAAAAGCAAGTCGCCCCAACTTGCACCTCGAAACGCATCGATGAATGGTACAGGGACCTCGGATAAGCAGCTCATATACTAAGTCAACATGCACGTGCCCGCGTGTGTGAAAGCAAGTCGACCGACAGAAACTACAAGAGTAGATTGCAAGGGTGGGATGACATGATTTACTGGTTCCCGGAGCATTTGTGAAATGTGATCTGAGACCTGCACCTAGGTGACATGTGAAGATTCATGATTGGTCACCCATTGGAGTCTTCTATGAAGTCTTTTGCCTCCCTTGTCGGTGTGGGAAGCCGACGCAATGGCGAGCTTGTCCTCAGTCTTGGACAGCTCACGGTCGTGTTAGAGCAGTGCAGTCATTCCCCATAGCCTGATCTCATTGGTCGCGAGGGTCCGGTCCGGACAAGCATGTGTCTCCGTGGCCGAATTTCCAGGGTTATGTGAAGTCCTTCTCACTTGTTCCCAAGTGATACGGATTCTGAGCATCCACCTCCTCCTGAGCACGGCGAAAGCGGCATTCGCTAGTTTCCAACTGTGCATGCGTGGTCTTTACCAAGTGAAAGATTCTTAGAGTGGGGGGACGACACGGCAGTGGTCGAGAGTCGACTCCTAGACTGTCAAATCAAGCAGCGTGTCCCAATACAGTTGTGAAAAGATGGGAGGACAGGGGTCTGCCAATGGAGAACCTCTCCGTGCAAAAGACCCTGATGAGTGGATCTTGGCTGCAGCATCGGTCCCGCAGCAAGTGGAAGATCGTACCTAGGTATATCCGGCACTTGTGTTGTCTAAGTAATCTTGCAGGAGAGGCACATGGCAGTTGAAATCCACCCGCCGCGTATGAGTTGCATGTGTAATATCCAGAACAAAGAACCTAAGAACGGACTGGTGTCGATATAGGTGTTAGTCTGAGTTCGTTAATGATCTGTGCTCAGCCAAGCGTTCCCATACGTGCGCGTATGCTTAGGTGCTTAGGCAGAGCCTTGAGGATGATACGAGGACGTGCCGCAGCAGGCAACGACTATGAGCCCCTGCACACCCGTTTCGCAGTAAGCGTAGCGCCAAGAAAAGGGGAGCCGTCACGTCTCACCGCGCGAAGCTTTCACAATTATCGCTGATCTTATTACGGTTCAATGCGAAGGTCTTAAGGTCCCCTAACCCTTTTGCTTAACTGACCAAATCTCAGACCTGAAATTGCTTACCATGGCTGCAGTGCTCAGGAGTTCGTGAAGCGAACCCAGCTAGCATCTATAGTGGCGTGGTAAGCAGATGAAATTAAGTGGGTAGATGAAATTATGTGGTCCGCGGACCTTGGTACGCGAGCAGATTCGCTGGCGAGCCCCCGACGAATCCGCTCATCGCGGGCGAAGGATCCTTCCGAGCGTAGCTCGCGGCACGGTTTGCCCTAAAGAGTATTTTTCTCACTAGCAGGATCTCCATCCTTGCCCCCCTTGCGATCCCCCGTACAAAAGAGCCGGCGCGCCAAGGCACCGGCACTTCGATCCAGTGTGACGGGTCCCTGGCGTGTAATAATGTCGGGCATTGGACGAAGTCGACCTCTCCTTGGGCATTTTTGCCCATGTCTTCCACAACCTGGGGTCTTCCACAACCTGGCAGTCTGGATCTAACCCTAACAGCGGATCTTGTTACCATTTGAGGAGGCGAACTGACTCACTGGCCGACCTTACGACGAGGCCGAGGAGCTACCCGGTATGGCTGTGCTCAAGCGCTTCGTGCTCTTCGCCGCGCTGTCGTGCACATACGGGCTCGGTATGGCGCAGAGTGGCGAAAGCAGCAGCAGCAGCAGTAGCAGCAGCAAGACAAAGATCCTACAGACGACCAACTACATCGACACTATCGATGGCTACAGCTCTCTATCATCATGTGCCATAGAGGTTCTGTCGACCATCGTCCGGGGCGAGTTCAGCGGCTGCGGTGGGTGGGATAATATGCTAACGAGCTACACCTGCTTCTGCACCGATTCCTACTCTTTCATGAGCTCGGCGATCTCGACAGACGTTATCGAAAGCTGCGACAGCGGGGTAACGGCAAGTGCACAAGCGACGAGTGCCTTGGCAATTTTCGACGAGTACTGCGCGCTGGGCGTGGAAGCGGGGCTCGAGCCGACGCCAGAATGTAAGTCTTCGCCTCGATAGGGAGCAGCATGTCTGGCACCCGCAGCACAGGACGCATGTTCAGCTGACACAATCTGGAAACAACAGCCGGCCGCGACGACAATCCCACCGCCACGCCGGGCGCAACAGGCGCGGCGGCCACGTCAACGCAAGCAGCGGACGCCGAGGCCGCCGCCAACTCAGCGCGGACCGCCGCCATCGCCGCGGGGGTCGTGGTCCCCGTCGTCGTGATCGCGGTGGCCGTCAGCGCGTGGCTGATCTGGCGGAAACGCAGGAGGGCCAACGCTGGCAACTGGAACCAATGGAACGAGGGCGGCGACACGGGGAACCACTCGGCGTACGGCAGCGCCCCCGTCCGCGACGCCAACGCCGTCGAGGCGCCGACATATGAGCACAAGACCGTCGAGTCGCCATATTCGCCGCACACACCTTCGGAGATGTCGCCCAATCAGCAGTACAGCCCCCACCAGGAGTTGTCGGCACCTCAGCACAGCACGTCCGAGATGCCTGCGAACAACTACCGATCAGAACTTCCTGGTTGATTGGCGGCATACATGAAATCATTCTACATGGGGAACCAATGCCGCCACGCCTCCCATCGTACCTCCAGCTCAGTGATTTGGAGTCTCCTTAGGCGAGGAGCATGATGTCCGCGATGGGCTTCTCACTGCTCTCAAGTGCTGATAACGGCATCGGACATGTACATTGTGTACAATGGAGCCAAAATGCATATAAACTAACTGGCGAACTCACATGCGTCATTGGAAAGGGTTGTCGATAAAGGGCTGAACATAGGTATCGGAATCTTAACAGTATTTCTTTGGGAGTGGTGATGAAGCGTTGTATATTCATTGATGATAGACTGTGTACACTTGTTCACATTGAATCACAAATACTACCTCTTCGATGCGTCGAGGTAGTCTCAGACTCAGCACCTCTGTCCAAGGTGTACATATGTACCGAAGCCGTCCTAGTTTTACCAGGGCACGGCGCTAGCGTTCCCTGTTGTAGAGATTAGGAAGTTCCTGACCCTGTTGGCACAGTCCTGTAGCTTCATTCTCGGGAAGGGAGGTTGTTGAAGTTGATAGCAGGTATGGTTTCGTTTTTAATCCCTATATATATAAAATATATATAGTACCTTTATATAATAGTAAACACTCAAAACCTAACATCTAAAAAAATATAATACTAATAATAATAGAAAGAGAATATAGTATATCTATAAGTATATAGCTAAACCTTATACTATATAGATAAAACTAGAAAGTATTACTCCTAATAATACTATACTAAAATTATTAATATAAATAGCCTAAGGGCTAATAATTAATAAAATAGTTATATAATAAGATTAAAATAATCTTAAAATAGCCTTTATAAAAAAAAGAATTCTATAATATAAAACCTAATAAACTAACTCTTCCCTATTAATATACTTATTATATAACTATTTAGATCTACCTTTATTAAATAAGTTAAATATATTATAATCTTTCTTTTAAATATATAACTATTAATAAAATAATAATATTATAATAATAAACTTATTTAAGAAAGTCTTTTATATAAATTTTATAAAAAATTAAAACCTTTTAAAAAGCTAAGTAAAGTTTATTTACTATATATTAAATAAATATTATATAAAAAATAAAAGTTTAAATATTTAAGAATTAAATCTTCCTTCTTTAAATATACTACTTTATTATCAAGAATTTATTTATTTCTATATAATATATAAAGAATATAATAAAAAAAGAGCCTTATAGAGAAAGTTAATAACTCTATATATAAATAAGTTTAAAAATATATATTAAGTAGTTATTAACTTTATACTTAAAGTATAAGTTAATAGCTAGTTTAAAAGCTAAGAAGATAATAAATAGATAAATAGTTAAATAAAAAATATAATATAGCCGAAGTTAAGTTGATAATAATATATATAATTGCATAATTATAGTCACGTACCTACTAGTACATATTAATAAGTACTATATCCATGCAGAACATTCAACGGATAGTTCCGTGAATCACTGACCCACCAACCCGAAAGTTACCTCTCGGGAAATAATCTGGAAAAGGCCACAGGATCCTATTCATGACTCCTCGGACTCATATTTTCGTGATCCACTTGTACCCCTTGGACGTTCATAGTAGTGTGACATTGCCAGCGACATTTGTGAACAAGAAGGACGTATTTCAAGTAGGCGGGAGGGGAATAATGGTCTACTAAGTACCTTGTGTAGTAATTACCACATCCGATAACTCCAGCAAAAATTTGTTCAAACCAGCTTGGGATCCGCCATTCCAGGATTCGTGGTCATGCCGCCGTCGTTTGGATGAGTGTGGAGATTGAGCCACACGTCCCGAGTCACATGAAGAAAAGAAGGAAAAAGAAGAAGAAAATACCTAGAGGAAACCCCATCATCCAAATATGGGCATGAATTCATGTCGCACAAGACAAGGTTGTCTGCTTACGGCACGTGAGCGGAGTCGGTTTTATGCAGCTTATGCAGCATCTCATACCTGCTCCTTCTTATGGGATCTCGCCTCGTCCCTCTACATTCCCAGCGACGAAGATTATCTTTTATCTGCTGGACTTGCTGCCCTCACGTGCAATCCACCACCTAGAGGTCTCTACACACGGCACGATTTACCGAATTGTCTTCGCGAAAACCGGCTACGAGGCGTTGAAACGCTCTCCAATGTGGCTTATCAACGTGAGAACGCGGCAGCTGGAGGAGTTCTTCGGGCTCGAAGTTCCGCCGTATGCCATTCTCTCGCACACGTGGGTCCGCAACGACGAAGTCATGTTCCAGGAGATGCGGAACCCGGAAGGATTGGACCCAACCGCCCGTTTGAAGTCAGGTTGGGTGAAGATCGACCTCACCTGCCGGGAGGCCGCCCGGTCTGCCCTGGATTACGCCTGGGTCGACACCTGCTGCATCGACAAGTCGAGCAGCGCGGAGCTCTCCGAGGCCATCAATTCCATGTTCCGCTGGTACAGGCGCGCCACGCTATGCTTCGTGTTCCTGGACGACGTGGATCTGGGCTACGGGGATGGAGAGCAGGACGACACGGGCGATTTGGAGAGCAGTATAAGGCACTGCCGGTGGTTCACGCGCTCGTGGACGCTGCAGGAGCTGATCGCGCCGCTGAAAGTGAGGTTCTTCGACAGGGAGTGGCGGTTCTGCTTTACCAAAGACGGGGAGTCGGCGGTCCTGAGTAGGATCACCGGCGTCGATGTCGACGTTCTCACACATGAGAAAGATCTGTCCTCTGTCTCGGTGGCGCAGAAGATGTCGTGGGCTGCAGGACGCCAGGCGACGCGCAAGGAGGATGTGGCATACTCGTTGCTTGGCCTATTCGGGATTAACATGCCCATGTTGTATGGGGAGGAGGAGAGGGCTTTCCTCCGGCTGCAGTCGGAGATCATCAGCTCTTGTCCGGATACAACCATCTTCGCCTGGGTGCACCCGAAAGAAGGGCACGGTTCTAAAGGCGCATTACAAGATCCAAGTAATACCTACAGCGGCGTGATGGCACCATCCCCAGCGGCCTTCCGGCTTTGTGCAAAGGCGGCGAGTTTGTCGGGCGAGTCGACCTACGAGTTCTCCATGTCTAATCGTGGTATCAAGCTTCACGCCCAGTTCGGGATCTTGCCCCTTAAGGACTCCAACAATACTTGTCTTGTCCTCCCAGTCTGCTGGCTACAGGGTAAGGTCTATGGCATCCGGATGAGAAACACCGGTGGGGCTTGTTTCGTTCGACAGGACGCCTACAGCTTGTTCCGCGTCGGGTCCCGGGAGTTGGCACATAGGCTTGTGTTTGAACCGTATCTCCTGACGGAAATTCCGCCGGAGAAGGAAGGGAAAACGATCGTTTTGAAGTCCCGCGAGCGCGTCTTGCAGGTCGTGATGCCACAGAACCTCAAGATATTTTGGCGCTGGCCGTGGCAACAATGGGACGAGCAGGACGCAGTGTTCTTCGGACCCGAGAGGTCGTCAGAGGACTTGGGATGGGCATCAGTCAAGGTCGTCGCCTGGCCAGACCCCTCCTTCTTGAACGGCCCCGAGGCGCCAACCACCGTCAGCTTTCTCTTCTACGCCCTTGGCTGGGCGTCGGACCCTACGATAGGATCATTGCCATGGTGCACCGTCCACAGGGTGCGAGGGACGGCTGATGCCCGTGCCCTAGAACAGATCAACAACGACGCGGTCAGGCACTGTTGGAATGCGTACAGGCTCTCCAACCGGCTCTCGAGCAACAGTGTCTCCGAGCAGCCCTTTGCAGTGGCGGGTGAGACGGAGGAGGCCGCTCTGCTCTTGGAATACGACATCAGCTGCGTAGAAGACGCGACAAAGTGCTTGAACCCCTTCTGGAGGGTTACTTTTTCATGGCGCCAGGTTCATAGGGGCCAAATCCCGATGGCATCAAATCGGAATTGGGCTGATATCAAGGGACATTCCTTCATAGACCATCCGGTGGATGTTGTGGAAGACTGCAGGCTACCATAAAGCACACAAGGACGGAAGTTATCAAACTAAGTACTCACGAATCTTACAGGGATGTGCAAGGCAATTAGTCAGGACTTATTTGTTCGTGACCAACTTTCAGTTTGGGTCTTGGACGGTTTGTGGCCTGGAGGCGACTTTATCAAGCTGTTGCTCACCAAAAGGTCCGCTCTCTCAGGCAACCCGTTGGTGCGAAGCTCACACGTGCAACAACAACACATTCCCGTTACGACACTACTATCGCATCGGCACCAACCAGCCTCCGGGCCATATTGATGTAGGGATTCCGATGAATGGGTGCGAGGTGTGGCGGACTGGCTTGGTGCATGCTCAAGACTGACTGGGCGTGCTCGAACAAGAGCGGCGTAGGACAAAGACCGCGAGACCGTGATCAACACAACGTAATTGATTGCAACTGAGTCCATCCCAAAGGTAATGACCGCGTGAGCTGTTGTACAACAAGGCCCCGTGCGCCCTCAACGCCTGTTATTTCCCATATTCCATGTACCACGTCGAACCTCTCAAGCAGCCCTCCCATCAAGCATATCAACCCCTGGCACCAACAACAGGGCAGACAGCGCCCTCAGCAGCCGAGCTCACGTCAGGGTGCTGCATGACCTTGCCCTTGTGGTGGCCAATCTTGGCCTTGGTGACGGGGCACTCAGCATCGTCGCCCTTGCCTTCGGTGGAGGGGTGGTCCGGGGGCAAGATGGTCGTCGCAGGCCCGATGACGGGGCAGACCTGGTCGTCGAGCTCCTTCGCCTTGGGCTGCTCGATGGCGGTCTTGAGGGCGGGGCACTTCTGGGCGTCGGCGGACGAGATAGTGTCGTTCTGGGCGTCGGCGGGGAGCGGCACGGAGGGGTGCTTGGACAGGTTGGAGTGGTGGTCTGTCTTGGCGCCTACGACGGGGCAGACTTGGCCGGGCACGTTGAGGTCGACGTCGGGGTGGGAGGGGGGGAGAACCGAGTTGGTTGTTCCGACGACAGGGCAGACTTGAGACATGGCGGCTGATGTGTGGGTGGCGGATATGATGACGACTGATGCTTGGTAGATAGATGGTGTGGTGTTGATGGAACAAAGGAAGAGGAGAGGGAAGAGGAAAGGAAACGGTGGAGGCTCGCTCGTCGAAGGGGTGAAACAAAGACAGCCCACCAAAGCAGCCTTGGGACCTACCGAGTTACCTACCTGCACTTGTTGCTTGCGCTACTGTAGACTGTGCTGGCCGCGGCCGCTCGTCCAGGTGACCAGTGAGTGGCCTCGGACCCTCCTCAGACCTCCTCAGACCTCGAACCACCAGGCAAACAGCACTTGAGCCTGTCAGGTTTGGCCAATCATCCCCGCACTTCATAAGCTCTGAGGCTCCCCGGGATCCCCAAGTCAGCCTCGACGCGTCTGCATGACGGTGCTGATGGAGTGCAGATTACTCTTCACCACGCCATGCACTTGCAGACCCGGGAGCCTAACTGTGCACCAAATTTTGACCTTTCGCCTTTGTTTTCTTCTTGCCCATGTCTGTTTACCCGTGGCCCACAGTGGCGGATCGACACTGCCAAGGGGACAACATTTCGAACCAGACCGCCCCATTCCACGTCGTGATGGCGAGAGGCATGAGAAGTCCTTGTCGAATCAGGACACAGACTTTGGTTTTATGATGTCAGCATGTACCCCGCCAGTTCAGCTCTCTGCCCACTCACGTTGGACCAGAATGTCAGCGCTCTGATCCGGATCGACAAGGGTCCGACCCACTGCGGCTCTCGACCCCTGACTACTACATACACTACATCCCGAGCTCGCGCTTCTTCAAACGTTATCGTCAAATGCTGAGATCCTCTGGGTAATCAACGTCTTGGGATCTGGAAGAACGTACGAAGTCTAAGCCTTGGAATACCAACATATGCAGCCACCATCCTGCACATTACAGTACCAAGAACAGTCCATACCATACATTAGTAAATACTAAAGATAGTCACTACAACCACCTACATTCCTCTTACTACCTTTAAATTACTATACTATTTCTCTCCCTTTAAAGCTATTATTATAATATTTATCTTAATCTAATAATAATAATAATCTATATTATTAAACCTAAATAATTATTTAAAAATTATAAATATATTTTAAAGGTTAAAAATAATTATAAAGAAAAAGGGGTTATAAAAATAGAAATAAACTTACTAAAAAAACTCCTTCCTTTTAAATAACTTTCTTTTAAATCCTTAAATATAAGTCTCCTATTTAAATATATTAACTAATTAAAAAAGATTCCCTTTCTTTCCCTTTTTATTAAGTCTCCTTTAAATTAAATACTCTAATAAAGCTTTTAACTTACTCTATTTTTAATAATTTTATTTTTAAATCTTTAAATATAAAATTCTAATTAACTTAAAGAAGGAAGGTAAAAAACTTAATATTAAAGTTAAAAAAAGAAAGAAAGGAAGGAAAAAATAAAAGATATCTTTATAACTCTTTTTCCTTTTATAAATCCTTTTATAAATCTATCTCTTTTCTTTATAACTATTTTTCCTCCCTAAGTTTCTTACTATTAGAAATATACTAAGATACTAATTAACTATTTAAAAGTTAATATTCTCTCTTCTTTAAATATATTTAAAGTTAATCTCTTAAAAAAAGGATTTCCTATTTAAAGGATAGTCATAATAACTATCTCCAGTACCCACTAACACACAGTATGGGTGGGTTCAGAAGGAACCGTGGGCCGGTCCAACTATCGACGAGAGCATGATGATCACTTACTCTCAACGAGGGCATTTATAATAGTGCTTGTGGCCAGTTTTCCAATCGTGGGCTTCTCGAAAACAGGCCACTCTACACACGTGCGGGCAAAACATTAAATGATGTCATATAGATACACAGTTGCCTACCTACACTAGATTAGGTACGTAAGGACGGACTTGGCGTATCTGGAGGTGCTTTCAAGCAGTCAAATATCACAAAACGTACTTAAGTATGCATATACGATGTGGAACTTGGAGATTCAAAGGAACCGTTTGCGGCCGCTTCCGGAGTGCTGCTCACTTGGTCTCCAGGCGTTGCTTTCTTAGACCGCTGCTGAAAACCTTGGAATGCTTTGTTTGACGGCCCCGGGCCCAGCACGGTATTTTCCCACCTGAGAACACTCTGAGAACAACTTTCTTGGTGATATATAACAGTCTGCACGGATCCGTAGTGATCCGCGCGCACAATAAACCAAGACAAACCTAACTTCGTCATGGCCGACACTGGCCCAGACTTGCGCGATTCCCCTACTAGTAGTACCTCGTCCTCGCTCAGCCATGCCTCGGCATGGGGGGACGCATGGGCTAACGACTCGGGCCAATGTACCGATTATTCAACAGTATTTCCCGGGGAGTGGAAATCTGAAGACGCGGCCGCCCTCCGGGGATTGGGGTGGGCATCCAGAAGTCTAGAGGTAGCCCAGCGGGTTTTCAATCCTGCTAGCGTCCCGTACTGGACGAGACAGGACTGGGATCCGAATTACGAGCACTCGGTAGACGGGACAAAACGGAGGCGCACTAGGGGCGATATATGGCATCGCCTACGGCCTGCGATACTCCCGCGCGACAGTAATATACCTCGGACAGATTACACCAGGTAAGTTTCCTTTCTCTTACCTTGACACCTTGTTGGTTTCTCCGGCGGACTTGGACAGCTGAAATGCTCCAACGGCGTGTAGACGATGGGGCATCAATCCAGCTTTCCCAAACACCGCCGAAGGCCTGGCCCGGTCCGGCTTGTCACCGATCACTGCCGCTCCGGCCGCAGACGGGCCAAGGAAGTGGACACACGAAGAGAGTTGGCAGAAATGGTGGTTCGTTGGTTTTACGAGTCAGGAGGTACGTCGATACTGGAGTCGGGTGCTCAAGTGGCTTCTTAATAGAGGCCCAGCACTTGAGCTTCCTCTCATCTCAGTGCAATGCTAGGTTTAGAGGGCTGGCTAATCAAACTGCTATTGAAGTTGATTGATACTGGTGCGTACGCTCCAGATTGGGACGATCCAAATGGCTCGGATTCATTGTCACAGCGCCCCGACGATGTTCTACACCCGTGGGTTCAGTCATCATTTCTCACAAAAAGAGTGGAAGAAAGTAATGCTAATTACGTGAGATCAGCCTGTTCGAACGCAGCAGATGGGAACAGCCAAGGACGAGGGACGGCTTAGGAGGCAGCAGCAGGACCATGAACTTCGACCTGATATATGATCTCAATGGGAGGCAGGGCAGATATGATGCAGAGGTGAAAGATCTAAACCTACGCGAGCGTTGACCCGAATGCTAACTGAAGCCACTGGATAGACGGATGATCGTGTATGGGCAGCCTTAAGACCTTCCATGCAATTGGCTACCATGGTGATAAACTCGGGACACCCTACCTTCAATATGTTCTTGGAGGGCTTTTATCACATGCGCAGAGTACCGATGGACAGGGACGGCCGCACCGACGAGGAGAAGCAGAACCCCCTCTACCGCCAGTTCCGGGCCTTGTGGCATGAAATTGATGAACGTGAAATGTATGACCATGCCAGGGAATTGAGGCGTCTTGGTTTCGACGCCCGAGGGGCGACTTTGGCACACCTTCAGAGTCGTAAGTGCGCTACGAATTTAGTTTGAAGTTTCACTCCAGGCTTAGAACTGATCGTGTCTTCTTATTCCCTTTCCCTGATATCAGGCCTGAAGTGGAGCTTCATCGATTGCGAGCCCCACGCCAATGCCTTGAGCACCCAAGACGAGGACGGCTCTTTCCGTATCTTAATGAATGCGAACAATCTTTGGCCGCTGCTTTCAGGCGAGTATACTGAAGGGGAAATGCTCCCCATACGCTTAAAAATTGCCTCGACTATGCTCCATGAGCTGTGTGTAAGGTTATTGCTCCCTTGGAAGATCTCTCATCGTTACTAATAGTTGGATTATAGCATACTATCCATTGTGAGTCATTTGAAAATTTTGGTCGCCTATCCACCGGATAAGGCATTCTTCAATATTCACCTCGCTCGTGCCTCACTTCGAGGGGATATCAAGCTGTGGATCAGCGCGTCCTTAGATCCTATACCTACGCACACGTCCAGTTGTGTCTGCACAAGGTCTAACTCATCCTCTCATTTGCAGATGCTCACCATGACTTGATGGAATTCCCTGCACTGTATTTAGCTAAAGCCCGGATACCATTCAGACTGGAAATATTTAATCATTTAAAAGCGCTGCGAACTGAAGCCGTTGGTGAAACCGACAGGAGCGCCAACGGTCGTCAGTACTTGTGAGTCAACTCAGCCATTGCCTTCATTGCTGGCCCCTTGCTGGGAGTCGGGTTTTCTATGCTTCCTTCCCTGGCGGAGAAATGCTTGAAATGAATCCTTGTTTCACTAAGAAGTACGAGCATCCACGTCCTACGTGTCCAGAATTGCTAATATTGTTCAGCATAGAAGATGAAGTCCAAATGGAGGAAGGAAAGGCCTTTGAAAAGCGGGTAATGAATGTCTCCTGAAGAAGTTTAAACCTGGTATATTCTACATACTAATGTTAACTACTAGCTGTGGGGGCAAAGTCTGGAGCATGGTCCTACGAGGCTTCTACCTACACAGCCAAAGCCAATGGTAACGGCTAATGATTGGCCATGGGCGCAACGCAAGGTGTTCCTGCAGAATCCTGATAGTGTCCAAGCAGGACAATACGCAGCATATGCCAACGCGCCATATAAGGGGTTCCTGCTGTCACCCGCATCTTGCGTATATGAACTGGTGACGCCACTTCCAGTTTCGAATTTTGCTCGTTTGTTTCAATCATCTTGGTGGGAAAACGACCTCCAAAGATATGGATCCGCAGCATTCAAGAGCATCTCGTCCACACAGGACGGCCAAACTTCCCCACTGCAGAGCACCATCGCCTTCCGCTACGTAGATCTCAATTTCCTTCTCGGTAAGTTGAAACAACGCTGGCACAAATCACCATCGTCACTACAATTGGTGTCTAGAAGTGCATGAAGAAGATGACTGACATTGACTCACTCTCTATCGTGAAGCGCCACTTGTGGGGCATAATCAAACAGTATTGGATTTTTTCGCCACGGCGGGGAAAATCCTGATGAATCAAAATCAACATCTTATCCAATCTTGGTTACATAGGACCTGCTTCGACATGGTAGGGGCAAAAGTCATGAGACTGAGGCTACACTACGAGAGGAAAACATGGGAAGACAAGTACGATGGAATCATGACCAAGTGTATTCAGGTCCGGAATGAAAGCTATTCAGCCAGACGCAACATCGCTAATGAGGTTGCCGGTTTGCCAACGGGTAATGATCCTCACACCCATCTGAACAACTTGATTCGACAGGAAATACCGGAACTCCACAGACTCATGGATCACGAGAGCCGATACTGCCAGGCCATAGCAGCTGAGTACTTCCTCAAAGACCTTGACGGCCGCAACCTGGTCCGCCGGTCAATGCACGCCCTACTCCGACACCTCCAAACCATTCTCTCCCACTTTGACGACGCCCTACAAGAAATCTTTCTCCTGCAGTCAGACATGGGGGACAGGCCTGGCTTCACGGAGCGGGCAGATGAATGTGGCACCCTGTATCGCCTCCTCGACACGACCAAGGACGCCCTCTCCGACGTGATCGCGATCCTAAGCGGCAACACGCTCGATCAAAGAGAAGGCACCCACGGGCCACTCGCCGCGGTCCCCACCTGCTCGCGCGAGATTAGCAACGGCAGAAATTTGCGCATAGCCGCTTTGAGGGAGTTCGCAATGATCGAGGACCCCCGCCTCAAGCGTCTCATCCAGACTTTCATCAACATTCTCAATTTTACCCAGGACATCAGGCTGGACGACCCGAGCGCCGAGGACTACGTCGTTGGCGGGGGCACCATAGCTGAGCTGAAACGGGCCACGGACCAGGCGACCGCCGACGCCCTGGCGATTTCTCTTCTCGACCGGGTGGATATGGCACGGACGGCAAGGGAGGCCGGGACGGCGCCGGAGGAGGGGGAGGAGGCGGCCATTGCGGAGATAGGACGGGCGTTGGCCAATCTTGAGGTATCTTCGGGTATTCCTGACTTGTACGCTGCGTTTTCAGAAGATGAGAGGAACCGGATCCAGCAGGCGATGAGACCGAATCCTTGAGAGCGTTACTGTTGAGATAGAGCTGAACTTGGACATGACAGCAAACTATTTGTATTGGTTCCTTCAATGTTTCTTAACCCATGTCCGCAAGAACTTGTATGCGTGACTCCATATAGATTGGTGTTGACATCAGATCTGAGCTCACTGACTCCGGGAAGTCACTATATAATTTACCATACCTAGGCAGTCATTCGTTTTGTGCAGTGAGCCAAAACTTCTGTAGTAACCACAATATCTCGCCCCTCAAGGAAGCTTGCACCCTTGGAAGTATCATTGAGTACAAACAAGAAATACGCTCGGTAGTCTTAAGCCGGCCGGATTAAAAAAGAGCGTTGTCACCTAGCTATTGATAATGCACGATCATCCATACGCATAGCAACACATAATTACAGGTGCAAGTGCCTACCGATACGTGTGCATACTAAATAGGTATGCTAGCGCCTGCCCGAGACAACTACACCGGGATGGCCTCCGCATTTGCGACAGCTTTATTCTAGCCGGTTGGAATTTCGTGTGATCAAAAGGAAACACTGCTTGAGTTTTTGTCGGGGCTTTTTGCCTACCACATCATGTTCAGTAGTGGTCAATTCGTTGTCGTTCACGCAAATGTGAGATAGTATTAAACAACCACGAATTCGCGTGCAGCGCCCTGCCCACCTAGGTAATTTTCCTAGAGGACATGACCTTCATAAAAGAAAGAGCTCTAAAGCTCAAGTGTCGAGAGGCCGACTCACGCGCCGAAAGCCGCAGGTATGGGGCTCTGGGATCAAGTGCGATTTTGCAACAATTACTTCTTCTGGTTCGGGTTGGACCTCAGGTGCTGATTCAGCGGATGGGGAGAAAATCGGAAATTGACGAAGTTACACTTCATTTGCACTGTTCCATTTGCTGCTACTGGCCCCGGCCACGTCCTGCAGGCCTGGTCACAATGAATCACCGATACAGGAACACATCCTGCGGGGTGCGTGGCCATAGGTGGGAGGGCTGCCCGCCAAGCATCACGACATTGATTATCAAGATGGCGACCCTCAACACTTGGATAGCCTCCTTCCAAACCCCGCGCTATCTACAGGCAGTTTTCACCGGTCTCTGCAGCTCGCGTTCCGATCGCCCTGCACCAGCTCAAATAGCTTGAGCTTTGATGCCGGCTCGCAACTAAGACGAGCGAGCACGCATGTCAGGGAGCTGAAGATATAAAGTAGCATGTGGAAAGATGACTTCAGCAAGAAGCCCTTGGGGACTTGCTCGCCGGTAAGTCAATATGAAATTCAAATTCTTTTGTCATTTCAGCGCTGTGGCAGCTGCAGCGTCTGTGCTCAGCAAGCGAGAACAATTCTCTAAGGGCCAACCCATAGACGACAAAGGAAAAGGGGCCCCTATTCTTGGTATGCTGAATGGCCCGTGAAAACAAGAGTTGCTTTGTGTGACTAACCATTCAGGTGGCACAAACAAGCAAATCGACTTGCAAAACCCGGACAACCTCGGTGCTCAGAGTACCGACAACGGCGTGGTCCCGAACCTCAAGTGGAGTTTCTCAGACTCCAGGACCAGAATCCTTGCCGGTGGCTGGGTTCGCGAGCAAGTCATCACGGACTTGCCAGCTAGCCATGATATCGCTGCGGCTCAGCAACACCTGAAGAAGGGGGCGATTCGCGAATTGCATTGGCACCGTGTGGTCAGTACGCCGATTCGCCCCTGAATTTGATGTCATTACTGACTCGTTCAGGCTGAATGGGGATTTGTATACGCCGGAAAGATCATCGTCTCTGCTGTAGATGAGAACGGCCAGTATCAGGTTGACACCCTCGACGTCGGTGATATCTGGTACTTTCCCAAGGGAGCCGCGCACACTGTTCAGGGCCTCGAGGATGAGAATGAATTCCTTCTAGTCTTTGACGATGGGAATTTTGACGCTGTAGGGTAAGTCGAAGCCCTGAAATACTTCAAGTGCATCGACTGACCCACATAGTACGACTTTCAACGTCGACGACTGGATCTCGCATACGCCGAAGTCAGTTCTGGCTAAGAATTTCGGCCTCAACGAATCCGTCTTCGATTCTGTGCCATCACCAAACCCATATATCTTCAACTCGACCGTCAGCACGCGCAACGTGACAGGCCCAGAAGGCGCACTAGTTGGGAATAGCTCTTATGTATATCACACCTTTCAGCACCCATCGGAGCCAGTACCAGGGCAGGGCGGAGAGCTCTGGATAATCGACTCCCGCAACTTTCCCATTGCCACGACCATTGCGGCCACTTTTGTGAAGTTGGAACCCCGCGGGCTTCGCGAGCTGCACTGGCATCCTAATGTAAGTTCGTTCCAAGCCTGGGCGGATTGAAATTCGTGTTAATGTAGTCCACAGGCCGAGGAGTGGCTATACTTCCACAGTGGCAAAGCGCGCGCCACCGTTTTCATAGGCAGTGCTGCCGCTCGGACCTTTGACTTTTCTGCAGGCGACACTGGGGTATTTCCGGACAACAGCGGTAAGTATTTCTGCAGACAGTTTGAATACTTGCGACGAACATAATACTGAACCTGGTTTCTACAGGTCACTACATTGAGAATTTGTCAGACACGGAGGACCTGGTGTGGATTGAGATTTATAAGAGTGATCGTGTGGCCGACATTTCATTGACGCAGTGGCTCGCCTTGACACCTGCTGATATTGTTGCGAGTACTCTGAAGATACCTGTCGAAATCGCTGCCACCCTGAAGAAGGAGAAGCAGATTCTAATCAAGGCTACCTAGGTACATGGGTAAATGATACAAGGCTTTGGTGTTTTACCTGGCTTGGTTTCCGGAATTTCTTGACCACTTTCCAGATTTGGAGAATCATTCTGAACATGTTAATTGTAATGGAACTTTATTCTGTTCGTCGAAATCAACAGTACCTAGGTATTGGAGAGAGCCCTCTAGTTCCTCCTCGGACAATTTCCCTTCTTCGAAATACTCATTCAAACCCTCCCAGTAAGGGGTTAGAGAATGGTGTCTGCCAGGAATTCAATACGGCATTTCTCCGACGTCGGAAATTTTGAATAGTCTCACGTATGTCATCCAAAAGGGCCTGCAAGGGTTGCACGCAACTGTAAAGGAAAGATTTGTGAAATTGAGTTATATTCTAACCTGATTTGCTAACATCCGTATGCTGCGACAAAAGAAAATGCATGTTCAAGCATTCGTAACGTGCCTGAGGTATGTGAATCACTCACTATGTGCAATTACTGTGCCTCCCATTGACCAAAAACTGCCTGAAACTGTAAATTAGTTTCGCATTCATGATCTACTGCAGCTTGAGTGACGAATTGCTGATATCGCACTCACCGACAAAGCCAAAGGCGGTCGCATTGAACCGCAGGCGACGGATGGAAAATTTTACTTCCAGCGCCGAGATTGCACCTTCCATCGCCTCAAGCCTGCTCTGGATTTCTTGCATCTCTTTCCGTATCGCAAACTCGCGGCACTCATGGGACTGAAGAACTCTTTCGCATACCTCATGCGAGTCACAACGCCAACCATCTAGTAGCGCAGTATAGATGGCCTTGGTGGTAAAGAGATCAGTCATGAGATCCTGCAGTTCGTCGGACAAGGTCTCAACCTCACTTCCCATCTCGAACACAATCTCGTGATGTGGCTGGAAGGCTTGATGGCAGTTCTCGGGCAAGCTTATGTCGTCATCTAGAGCAGAGAGCAGGGGCCACGACTTGTCCTCGACCAGTGGTACACGTTCCTTGTACGTGTGGTAGTTGGTGATAATGTCGCAGTGGCGCTTATAGCCCTGGGCCGAAGTGCATTTCACGATCCTTGACGTTAGATAGCAGCATCCGTGGCCGGAAGGGCAGACAAACCACTTAGCTATGGTAGCGTTCTGCTCACAGCACGGTTGACTTTCGGCGTAAGGATTGACTAGGTTAACACTTTTTTGAATACCAGAGTAGCTGACGAGCGGCCGAACGTCGTGGATGAGGTGATGTTCGTTAATCTTATAGCACATCTTGGCGGTGACTGATATATATATATATATCTCGGAAGGATGAAGCGATTTTGACGAATCTCGCCGATGTAGGGAAAAGAATTTGGAATTGATAGTATGGTTATTGGATTAATGCGCGTGAATAGGGGACATGGAGAGGAAAAGAGTCGACAATGTTCTTGTACTTTAAGTACTTTCATGGCCACATGTGCAGTCTTTGTTGAAGGAATGCATTGTGTTGTTCCCCCATTCTATACATGCCGTCCTTTGGGCACAATAAAGCAAGACCTGAACGGATACTATACCTACACAAAGGAGGCTCATACAAGGCCATTGAGATGATCGGTTGGTATTTGTTCCGTATGCCTATGAAACTCTACACAGTTTTCCATTCTGAGTCTGCACTCCGCCGGAGCCTCCGTCCAGAACGCGCCAGTCTTCACTCCCGACACTGCAGCATTCAATGTTAGCACTCAAAGCAATCCTTGAGAATATGAAACAGGAACCACTACACCGGAATCATGGCACAGTCTTCCCAAATGCGTTTTCGTGCGCGTAAACAAAGCACGTTGAGCCAGCCAACATCACCCCATTTGCGGAAGGTGAAAATAAAGAACAGGGGTTGACTTACCCGTGATGCACATAAAACAGACCTGTTGGGTCCCATTTCTTTTTGATCTCCAACAGGCGTGGGTAATTCTCGCCCCAGAAAGCCTGCTGCCAGTCCTGTTCACCAACATCTGCTTCGTTGTTATATGCACCTCCAGCTGGGCTTGCCTTCTTCAAGGAGCCCATAATATTATTAGTCAGGTCATCTGCAGCAATTCTGATGTCCTCCGTAGTACCATTTCCGCCAGCAGCCTTCACAATAATTAGCTGTGATGCTCCCCTTCGAAACGCGGGATTGACTGAGTTGAGGTCGCCAGCCGGGTTAAGAGGAGCTTGGTGGTAGCCGATGAGAATCGTCGCACGGTCCACGGTATCTTTTATAGCCTGCAGGGTACTGGCTCGAATGGTCTCGTTGCTCCAGTTCTCGGCTGGGAGCAGCCTGTTTGCCGTTACACCGGTTGTACTCCCAATGTTCTGGTCATAGGTGGCGAAAGTGGCTTGATATGCAGTGTAGAAGCTCTCGTAATGGTCCGTCGTGACATTAAGCGCGATTCCCAATTCCGAGAGCGATTTGAAGAGTGGCCCCACCAGGGTCTCAAATTCAACGACAGTCTTGTTGGTCGCGAAGAACGGCTCCATGGTGAAAATGTAGCTGCCGAACACGTTGATGATGCTCCAGTATGAATACGTCTGTGCGGCGTTGTAGAGTGGCATGCGGTCCCAGTATGCTGCGATACCCTTCCAGAAAGTTTCAACGGAAACATTGCTCGAAGTCGCAAAGCTGAAACTCGAGGTAGTCACAGGAACCCTTGGATGGGCTTTGAGGATCGCGGATGTGACAATGCCAAAGGTGCCTCCGCCGCCGCCGCTGGGGATCATTAGTCGTTGAAGTAAAAGCTTGGTGTCATTCTGGAAGACTTACAGAATTGCCCAATAGAGGTCAGGATTGAGCTCTGGCGTGACTGTGATGAATTCTCCAGCAGCTGTGACGACTTCAAGGGCGAGTACCTGGTCTGCTCCCATGCCAAATAATTGCATCACGGGCGAGTGGCCCCCGCCCTGCACATAACCGCCAACCACGCCCACGGTCTGTTGAACAGAAGTAAGCAGTCAATCGAAGTAGCTATTCGCAAATTACTTACCGGACAAACACCGGAAACCGTTGTGACACCATGCGCCTCAGCAGCTTGGTACAGCTCAGAGCCTTGAACACCGGCTCCTAGCTTAAAGGCAGGTCCAGAATAATCTTGACTTTCATAACTTGAAATAAAGCGTATATCCTTGAGGTTGTGTGTCCAGAGACTGAGTGCCCCATACCCGGTGGACCTGCCGTTATAATCGTGCCCGGTGTTCTTAACCACGAGGCGCAAGTTCAAAGACCTGGCAAAATTGACTGCCAACTGAATCTGCGCAACATTGCTGATATTGACTGAGTAGAAAGAGTAGCCGCCCTGTGTACAAGTGCCCAACGAGGTCGGGTCAGTCCCCGCAAGACAGGTCCTGCCCTCATACAGGGGCCACATCACTGAGCCGGGGTCCTTGTAACTATCGGCCTAGTCAGCTAACACAGAGCACTCATCTTGAAAACATGCGGGTCACTGACTGGGTTTCTTCTTCCGTCCATCCTTCTGCGACTGATGCGCACAGCGATGGGTCATAGTTATCATACTCTGAATCCGCGTAGCAAGGAGACGCTATTGGAATAATGCGAGATAGAGCGTTTCCCAACAGCTTGTCGAATAGCCCCCACAAATCTTCAGATGGCCAGAGAGCGTCACCCGCGTATGTCTTACAATCTCCCGCCGGCGCCAAGGGCTCTTTCGGGCTGCTGGTGCTGTTACCAAATGCAAAAAGGTGTGCGTACTGGGTGAGATCGTCTCGGTCATTCAATACCACAAGAACCGACTCTGTCAGCTGAATGGCCTCATTGCTGAACAACTCAGCCCCAGCCGCAGATTCTGTTGACAAAGTGGTTGCTGCAGGTGGGATATCTCGGGTCGCTTGTCCCTTGGCATGGGAACTGTGAAAGAGCAGGCCAAGAAACACGAATTGCAGAGCCATACTGCTGAAAGCTGGAAGAATGGCCCCACCTTAGCTTGAAGTCTCTGGATTCTATGTTAGTGTAGATTTATGCTGTCACTGGCCGCGACTGAATGCTCCAATCGTACGACTTATATAGAATTCTTGAAAGTGGACTGATAAGACTCTAGAATGAAAAAGCACCTTGCCGAGTTCCCAACACTAGCAGCTGCAGCATGCATGAAAAGTCCGAGGTGGCCATTGGCGGCTGCTAGTGTAACGGGTGCATCGTCCAATTTGTGATGGTGCGAATGCAGGCTAGTGGATATTGCTGACAGCATTTCACAGGTTCCACAACACCCAAGAACCACATTCTGCGCGATACTCCTCCCCGACAACAGTAGGAACGGAAAGTTCGAGTTTGTCTCAAGTTGAATAGTTCGGGATATGAAGTGGTGCCTACCAACATGAGCGACACATTTAATTAAAGATGTGTGTCATTTAAGAATTAGTGGTAGTTAGCTTTAAGTAGTTTTATTTTTAATCCCTATATATATAAAATATATATAGACTATTTATATTTTTTTTAATTCCACTATTAAGCTGGAAGTGAATAGTTAGGGTTCTAGAGGGATGAAATATAATATATCTTTTAAAGATTAACTTAACTAAGTTTATTATATAGGACTTTTTATAATAACTTTATAATCTATATCTATAACACTATCTATTATTAGAAGATGTCTTTCTACACTAATATACTAGGTTGTACCTAGTCTATTTAAGTTAGTGTATTAAAGGTTAAAGCTATTATAAACTATAAGCTAGTCTTAATATTATTAAGTATTATATATAAGGTTACTATATAACTTAAGCCTTTTAAGTTAGTTAAAATAGGTAAAGATAAAGCTATTATTCCTCTAATTAAAGTTTTAACTTTATTTAAATAAATACCTATCTATTAGCTTTATAAATAAAACTACTTAAAAATAGTTACTTAATTTATTATATTATTAAAGTAAGAAATAAGTAAGTAAGGTAATTATATTTTATTATTTAAGTTTATAGTTTTAATACCTTTATAAAAAGAAAATAGTTATTAATAACTAAGTTTATAACTATATAAAGGTAGATCTTTACTTTAAAAGAAGTTATTAATATTTAAAATAATTAATATATTTTTAGAGAAGCTAAGGGATTATAAGTCTAATTTAAAGTATATTAAGATTTATAAGAATTTTAAACTTAAGATTAAGGAATATAAAACTTTAATTTTTTTAAAGATATTAAAGTTAGAAAAGTTTAAAAAGGCTTAAATAAAGTTAGATAAAGTTATAGTAATATAATATAGTTAAATAAAAACTAATTATAAAATTATAATTATAAGTATTTTAACTTTATATTTAAAAGAGATATAAAATATATATAGTATCTTTATATAATAGTAAATACTTAAAATCTAATATTTTAAAAATATAATATTAATAATAATAAAAGAAAATATAATATATAAATATATAATTAAACTTTATATTATATAAATAAAGTTAAAAGTATTACTTTTAATAATATTATATTAAAATTATTAATATAAGTAGTTTAAAGGTTAATTTATTATAATATTAAAGTTAAAATTAATAAAGTAATTATATAATAAAATTAAAATAATCTTAAAATAACCTTTATAAAAAGAAGAATCCTATAATATAAAACTTAATAAACTAGCTTTTTCCTATTAATATACTTAATAATTACTTAAATCTACCTTTATTAAATAAATTAAATATACTATAATTCTTATTTTAAATATATAGCTATTAATAGAATAATAATATTATAATAATAAATCTATTTAAGAAAGCCTTTTATATAAATTTTATAAAAGATTAAAACTTTTAAAAGTTAAGTAAAGTTTATTTATTATATATTAAATAAATATTATATAAAGAAAGTAGAAATTTAAATATTTTAAAATTAAATCTTTTTTAAGTATATTACTTTATTATTAAAGATTTATTTATTTTTATATAATATATAAGAAATATAATAGAAAAAGAAACTTTATAAGGAAAGTTAATAACTTTATTATATATAGATAGATTTAAAAGTATATATTAAATAATTATTAACTTTATATTTAAAGTATAAACTAATAATTAATTTAAAAATTAAAAAGATAATAAATAGATAAATATATAGTTAAATAAAAAATATAATATAGCTAAAGCCTAGTTAGCTTTAAACGTTCTTAGTCCGCAATTATATCTCCGAAAGGCATATGGTTCATTCACACAGTGGTAAACGCTTAAAGGCCCAAGATCCAAAATTAATCAGGATGCCAATAACAAGATAAGAACACTCTGTGGGCACATAACCTTGGCCTCGTCAATGTCTGCTCAATTTGCGGGAACCCCTCGAAGGGAATTGAATATAGTGTAGCATGAGCTATCAGCTCAATTGTAGAGAAGTCAGAGCCTGTCCGGGCTGAATTACTCCAGCGGATGGGATTATTTCGATGCCCTAAAGCTCAATAGAGGGCCTGGATGAGGTTTTGAGGTGCGCATGCAGACATAACAGCGTGCCCGATTTGGTCAAATAGGGACCGTGCCAGGAAGCATATGGCAGAACAAATAGGAAAGACCTTTCATGATCGACACGAGGATGAAATCAACGAGCCTATCTTGAATCATAAAATCAGCCCGATGCGTTCCTATAATATGCTGTTTTGACTTAGAACCTATCTGTACTGGTGAATAAAGTTTATCTCGTTTAGCTGGGCAAATATGATGAAGCAAAGTGACAGTCAAACTAACAGTGCTACAGTGAATGCCTCCCTAGGTACCTAGGTAAAGAGGCCGACTGCCAAGGTTGAAAGATTGAATTTGACAGTGTTGTGAGGAGATGGCTGAAAGGGACAAGTCACTGGTCAGCCACGCACTGCAGGGCCCCTTTCCTTAATCGTTGTCGCGCACCCCCACATTATATTCATACAGTATCTTTATTTTAGTGCTGGTGACCCGTTAAATGAGTCATTGACTACATACCTAGATACCTAGGTAGTTATATATGTAGATAGCGTCATCAGTTGTTACAGAATACTTATCTGACCGCATTGATACCGCACAAGTCTACTCAGCTGACACATACTTTAGATGAACAACAACTCGAAATTGAAAATGGATATCCTAGCTGAGTCTTGGGTGGACTTCAACCAACAACCCTACCTTTCGTACTGCGCTCTTGTTTTCCGCTGTTGGGTCACCTGGAGATGAATCAGTGATTGAGTTCAGAATGTGGCCTGCCCAATTCCATTTGAAAAAGCTTTGCTTCATGCCGCTCCTCAAAAGGGGAGATTGCAGCAGGGGACTACTCAACCGAAGCTCGTCCGGGCCCGTGGAGGCAGTCTCTTCTGCCAATATCCATGTTCATCAACCACACTGCTCCGAGTAGCCGCGCAGCCAGTGACGTGGTGGCATCCCCTTAACTGCACCTACCCCCTTTTCAATATAAGAACGCAAATTCATATACCCAAAATCAGAAGGCGCATACCCTCCACTAACTAAGAAAGTATTCTATATAAGACTTCTTCTCTCAAAAAGGCTAGCTAGAGCAAAGGGGGCAAGCCCTAAAGCGCGAAGCATAGCGGAGGGTTGTGAGTAAGGCTAGTAGGCACAACCCAAGTTCCTAGAGGACTAACCTACCCTATTTATAGCCCCTAAAATTAAAGAACACTTATTTATTAAAGTTATACGGACTTTAAGGCCCTATCCTCTAATTAACTGGATAGCTAGAAGGGTATACACCTTCTAATTTTAAGTATATAAATTTCTAATCTCTTTGATATTAATATACTTTTTATAAAATTAATATTTAAAAATAATAAATAAATAAAACTTTATAAAATAATTATTAATATAGAAAGTAAAATAAAGTAATCTTATATATAAAATAAAAGTAAATATAATTATATAGTTTTATTTTTACTTTATATATATTTAAAAATATTTATAATATTTTTAAATAATAGTAAGTATTTAAAACTTAATATTTAAAGAAAATATAATATTAATAATTATATTTATAATAAAATAAATATTTATAACTTTAATTTTATAATATATTAATAAAGTTAAAAGATATTATTTTAATAATAATATTAATAAAACTTATAAATAAATATAGTTTATAAGTGTTATAAGAGAGTTATATAGTAAAATTAAGTTTTTAAAAATAGTTATTATATAAATAAATTATATTAAAGGAATTCTAATTAAAAGATTAACTTTTAAATATATATATATTATAATAAGACCTTTATTAAATAAGCTTTTAGAATTTAATATTATAACTTTTATTTAAATATATAACTATTAACTTTAAAAGACTTTAAAATAATAAATAATTATAATATAATACTTTTAAAAGCTTTATAATAAAATATTAAAACTTTTAAAAGAAGTTTAAAAGTAATTTATAAAAAGAAAAAAAGGGTATAATAAGCTAATCCTCCTCTAAAATATTATTATATATTATTAAGATATATATATATATATATATATATATACTTAAAAATATTAATATTAATTAAAGTTTAAAATAAATAATAAATTTATATATTTTTTAAAACTTTTACTTAAAAATATTTATATTTTATATAAAATTAAATATTTTAAATTCTTTATAATAAATTTAAGTTAGAATATTACGTAAGTTTAAATAAGATAAAGGGTTTAAGTTTATAGGTTTAAGTTAGCTTAAAAGGTAGTTTGAAAAGTAGGTGTTTAAAGGTGTTAACTAGTAAATGCACTAAAAAAGTGGTGCGGTAAAGGGGATCCGCCACATCACCATGTGTGGGCAAACACTCTCGAGACTGCGATATCATTTCAATTAGACCTCAGGATTTGAAATTCCTAAATTGGCTCCAGCCGGTGATCTGAGTACCGTGGTAAACAAGCTTCTTTGGTTGATCACATTGGCAAATTGCAAAGGGTCCGGCTCAGACCGACTTCAGCACCATCAATGCAGCACCAGGTACTTTTATTACGTAGAAGTATGGCATTGCCCAAGAGAACCACCGACCCGAAGAACCAACTATGATCCGCGTGTGACATGTCTCTTTAATCCCCTTCGCGCAGTCCGAATGCATATCTATATACCTAGCTACCCACAGCATTTGCATGCTTGACAGTGACACAGCATAACTTGATGCATTGCTTCTGCTCCAGCTGAGAGCATTTACGACTCACACGACACGCCAGAGGCAGCTGAAGCGCATTATCACAATGTGACTACCATATTCTATGTTTCCTCACGACTCAAGTGATGGTGGTGATGGTTGTATGCAATCACTCATTCACATTCATTCTTCAAATCTAAAATGAAGACAGCATTTTCTCATTTGCCGAAACTGTCATCCAGCTGGGCTTTGTCCAGTGCCACAGTCCTGAGACACGATGACATCTTGAACAGCAATGGCGCCACGAAGGATCGCTGCCCTATAATTTTGATATTCAGGTTCAAGATTCGTCTATGCTGATCTTTTGGGCGTTGACCCCACTCTCGCATGGCACGAAGACGACGATCGCGGTTGTCCCGACCTGTGATACTGGCCTCTTTCGACTGTTGGGTTCTCGGTTAAGGTTTGGTACCCACCTTCCTCCTATCAGCGCTGCCCGGGCCATTTTAATCTTCCGCTTTGTGCAGTGTGCACCCAGCTGTGCGGGCTGCCACGTTCTAAGTTCCGACTTCTTTCATCGCTTGCTGAATTCATACTAAGATCGACATCGGGACTACCGGGTCCACCATGGCTCATTTGCGCCCGCCCTACATGCGTCCGCTGCTGCCGGCATCTCACAGGCTCAGTACATTGGCAGCTTCAGATCGTCGTCTTCAGAGGCCAGGAGGGGAGCTCAACATGATTGCGAAGATCCACGAAGCGCGCCACGATGACGGCAGGGTCCAGCAACCTCGGGAACTCGCCCGCAGTGACCCCACAAGCGCCACGAGGCCCCTTCAACGTCAGCGAGCCGACGTTGCCGCCGTCGTGATCCCATATGGACGACAGCTAATAAATAGAAGCTGGCACCCTTCAACCTCTCACTTTTCGAACCACCAGACCAGCATCAGCAGTCCTCACACTCTTTTACCAATCCAGCTCCCAACTTAGCCATTCTTTTGCTAATACACAACTACTATCTTACTTCTCAGTAATTATAATCATCACCCTCCTACAATCAAAATGAAGACCTCTTTCGTTGCTCTCCTCACCATGGCCGTTGGTGCCTTCGCTAGCCCCATCGCCGTCCAGCGTGACACCGAGGTGCAGGTTCCCATCACCTTCGTGACCCTGACCGAGAGCGTCCGCACCTACACCGCCCAGATCAGTAAGGCTACCCCGGGCCCCTTCTTCCCCACAAGATGATCCGGAACTCCAGGAGCTGACAATGGCATCCCCGAACTATAGACAAGACCCTGGAGACCGTCCCGGAGAACCCCACCGTCCAGGCTCAGATCAACGTCGTCACCACCCTGACTCCCCAGATTGAGGGCATCACCGATCTCCTGCTCAAGGCCACCAAGGCCGCCACCAGCAAGGAATTCCTTACCGGTGTCACCGGCGACACCCTGTCCGCTGTCCTGGGCCTGGTCAACGAGGTCGTCTACACTGTCAAGGCTCTCATTCAGAAGCTCGGTCTCGGTAAGTCTTCAGCCAATGCGACTTTTTCTCCCACTTTGACCACACGCTAACCTCTACTTCTAGACCATGTCATCCAGCTCATCCAGCCCCTGATCCTCGCTCTTGGTGGCCTTGTCCGCGCCCTGAACCTCGTTGTCGACGGTCTGCTCATCATTGTCCAGGGCATCCTGAACACTGTCCTGAACACTGTTGCCAACCTCCTGACCACCCTCATCTAAGTGCACAACTTTCAGAAGGGAAATGGAAGCCGGTGTTTGTGTGGAATATTGAGCGAGTCGTGCTAGGGGAAGTATGATATATATCTTCTTCATTACACTAACCCTTGGGACCGCAAGGCTCCCCAGGGCGTGTAATCATTAATGCAATAATTCACTGAGACACCAGCTCATTATTACCTCGTATCAACGTGATGTTACAGCTTATAGGATACAATATGTTGAATGCTTAGAATCAGAAAAAGAAAAAGCAAAAGCAAAAGGTTTTGCGTATAATTTGTCCCTTTACTGCACCTTACCAACACCGGAAGCCTCCGCAACATCACGTCTCTCCATGCTGGTGGAGTAGCGACTCTGGAAGCCAGCGTACCTGACAAGCCTGCTGACGTCCCTGGCCCGGTGGCCCTCGCACTCCCTGCAGCCCATGCGCGCCATCTCGAGCCCGACGACGCCGTCCATGCTGCCCTTCATGCCGTTGGCGGTGGCGCCGAGCCCCGTCCAGCTGAGCCGCTTGGTTCTCTTCTCCGAGCTGTTAGAGTTATTCTGGTTCGCCATAGCGGCGAACTCGCGCTTCTCGGCAGTGTCGCGGTCGATGGTCATCATGCAGTCCAGGATGCTGCTTCTGCTGCATTTGTTCACGGCCGCATTGCTGTTCTGTTGTTGTTGTTGCTGCTGCTGCTGATGTTGCTGGGGGAATAAGCAGTGCATATAGTCCATCATGGACATCATTGGACGTGGTGCCATGTTCCTAGTTGTCATATCCTCGCTATGGTGAGCTGAGCCAGGGCAGTTCAGCACAAACACTCCGCCGCAGAAGCGCCCCTCCAGATCCTCCCGCACACTGCGCAGGACACCCATCCTGGCGAGCGGGTCATTGACGAAGGCAAAGTGCTCGATGTGTGGCTCGCGGGACTCCATAACTCCGGCGGCGTGCATCTGCGGCTGCGTGGCGAGCTTCTTCGAGTCGGCTACCGCCGAGGCGGCGGTCCCTCCGAGCGGCGTGACGAACTCGGTGGCCGCGGCGCCAAACGTGTAGATCTCTAGCTTGGCCATCTTGTCCGGGGACAAGTCTGCGTATAGCTGGCGGAGGATCCGGGACGTGCAGATGGCGCCGGTGTTGTGCGCGAGGACCACCGTCCGCGACACGCTGCGGTCGAGCAGGGACGCGCGGATCTGGGCGTACATGGTGTTGGTCATGGGTGATGGCATCATCATGCCCAGCGACCTCTGCAGAATGAGAGCGAGCATGTCAAATGGCAAGCCGTACGTCGGCGCGCAGGAACTCATGATTGTCCGGTTGAAGAGTTTGGACAGCATTGGGAGTGTTGAGTGAGCCATTGTCCTTGAACTGTTTTGCCTTCTGGTCAGTGTGACCGAATTTCGAACGAATCTCGAGCCGTTACTCACCTCATTCCCATGGCCCCGACAAAGTACCAGCGTTCATCCTCCATATCCTGCCCCATCATCCAGTCTCCGGCCGCCGTCGACCGAATCATTTGTCTCGCCGATCCACCCCCGTTCAACATCCAGACCATTCCCATGATCATCGACATGCAGCAACCCATCCATGCCGCAAACATCAACCCAGGGAGACACGCCCAAAGCGGCATGACACAAGCCAAGAAACTCATTTCAAGCATAGCAAGACAAGTGTGTTGGGCCATCTCCATCATCTCCATCCTGGAGACTGAGCTCAAGCGACGCGGCATCGCCGCCCTCAGCATATCCGGGAGTAAGGAAAGAGCGTGTGCCATGTCACCTCGCATCCGTTCCATAACCGAGCGTTGCGGGTTGGGAAGTGTGCCGCAAGCTCCGTCGATGAGGGACGGGATGAAGGTGACCCCAAGGGGCATCTGCCCCGAGCCCGATGTGGTCATGCCATTGGTAAGCTTAGACGAGTAGCCGCTTCGCGGCGACACGGCCGGGGAATCGAGAGGTGACAGCCACGGCATGTTTGAGGCCGACGATGATGGGCTGAATCTGTTGTTGAGGCGAGTGTGACCCGTGCGGTGAGCAGACCCCTTGAAAAGAGTAGGTCGCGTATGCCATCCTGTCGGCGTGACGATGAGGCGTTCATTTTATGGTTCCCCGGTCGTTGTTGTCTCTGTTCTTGGCATTCCAGCCAAACCCGTTTTTGTCGCTCAACATTCCCCGGGTTTTGCTTGGCGTGGGATCTCTGGCTGGGTGATTATCATCGTTCTATCTATCGGGCCACTCATTGGTCTTGTCTCACTCGCACCCGGCTTTGAAGAATTTGATATAATTGGGTTTGTTTATCCAAAATATTGGTCCCTCCTTCAGACCCTGAATCTCGGTCTTTCATGAGTGGGAAGACCTCCAGTGCTGGCCCGACAGTTCATCCCACGTTGACAGGTTACATAGCAATGTCCAGCCTGCGAAGCATCGACATGACTGCTTGGGTAGTTCAGCATGTTCACTTGGGATGCGGTTTCGATCCCTGCAATGAAATTCAGTCTCTTTGTGAGGCAAATCTCTGGAGCCGCGCAAACTTTGGAAGAAACGTTAACCCACTTGCTTCCGGAAACACCTCTTATGATTTTACAGTCCTGGAGTTTCAGAATGAGCTTACTCTTGACTACTATGTCTACATTTCCTTGGTCACAGTATGCCTTGGACGCAATTCGACGACTGAGAAGCTTGCTACATGGCCAAGTACCATTGGTTCCAGGAGATGGGGTGTCAATAGTGGCTCACAATGAAATGCCACAGGATTAAATTCGCAAAAAGTGCGTAGTCCTTGAGTAAGGAGACTTGCAGTGATCTTGATCATATGCAGGCAGTTCAACCGAGGGCCATGAACGCACAGATGAGAGGGCTGACATGCTTCTAAAACATTTTGAGTGACTGGATAATCTGGAAATCTTGGTGATATGAAGCAGAAGTCCGCTTTGTGCCAGTCTAGTATCTGTCGCGATTGCTTGCAAGATAGGTATTGAGCTGTGCGGCTAGGATGTAAGCAGTACCAAGCATCGCCGAGTGTTTGCGCCACTTCATACGAATAATCCTTTTCTTTTGGATCTGCATGTGCTCGATCATGGAGACCAGAGGCCCCGGGTATCAGCACGTATCACCTATCGGCCCTCTTTGTGAGACACCTGGTTGCTATCGGCACGCTAACGAATGTTGCTTAAAGCATCTGCCACGCCTGATATCCCCAGGTCTGTGGAATGATACTTCGCAACTTGTAGCTACCTCTCTGTCGATAACAGCAACGTGTTAGACGCGTCGATGCATGGTCGTCGCGTGTCGCTGTCCACAGGTTCTCTAGCAGCCGCCACCATCGCCTTGCACTACAAAACGTCAGCAAGTGGTCGATATCTTATCCATGCAAACTGAAATTCTCCTGCAATCGTATCAGAGGACGGAATGCTCTACTTGCATATTGCTGAATTACATGAGATTTCGTCTTTGTCCATGCTCGGCTCCATACTTGAATGTTACAACCGCAGTCGGCTCTCGTCTGGACCCGGCCATCCTGCCTCATCGTTCCTAACATCCCACGCAGTGCTTTTGACAATTCCACCCTGGTGTTGCACGTCCCAAGACCCTTGCTGTCCCGCCCTGACATACCTTGATGTATTTATCTGCCCAGCCGGCCCTCCCAGCTCATACTCCGGACCCATCCACGGCTCCGCACTCGATGCGCTCCCTCCCACGGTCTTTTTGCTTCTCTTTGAAGTAAAGGATGATATTCCCCAGGTACCTATGGCCTGTCTAATTGCGGGAAAGTATGCTGTCAACAGCAAACGTGTGGCTGGCATGCACGAAATCACATAAGCTGTGGTGACCTCGATGACGGAGTATATGAGGCCCCGATAAAGATCGATCTCCACTGAACACATCTCGTTAGTTCCAGAAGAGTCTCTTCCGGCATTCGAGGCACTCACGTAGAAGTTCAGGGTCCGACCGTACAGATCGAAAGCGTAGAATCGTCATGGCCGTCGTCCTGAGATTTTTAGTGAACCGCCTGGGCATCAGCGGGAAGTGGTGAGGGAAAGGGGCTTACACAAGTCCAAGACAGATCATGGCCATTATCCCGTATTTTGCTTTCTTGGTGATTTTTAGCTTCCATAACTGTGAAGCAGGTAATATGATCATCCAGATGTCCAAGAAAATATTCAGTCCAGGGTACACTCCCGACTCATCAATGTAGTCGTGGCAAGTGCCCTCGATGTCGTCTGCGTATGCCCAGTAGTATGCTAATGGTTGGCATACGATGAATAACCCCACAATGAATATTATAGCGACCGCAACGTTGACTGCCTGAGTTCCCCAGACAATGTAATTGAGGATCTTCCCGCGAAAGACCCTCAGGTATAGAAAAACGATCGAGATTTTGATCATGGCGAGAGTGATGGCATATATAAGTGAAAACGCGAAGAATGCCTTGGTGAAATTGTCAATATTCCATATTTGCAGCGTCCAAAGATTACGCGAGTAGCCAAAATGATCCTCTGTGTCTTCGGGTCAGAGACATTCCAGCTCAGTGGGCTTGGAACCGGTGACACACCAAGTATCAATGTCGGAAGCCATGCAAGAAGTAAGGCCTTTATTCTAGTGTCAGTTCACAGTGGCCTTTCACAATGCCTGTCCGCGCATTCCCGGGGCAGTACAATGGGCCCGTACCGAAGATATGTAAAATGTGATATCATCCAAGCCCCAAGGCTGTTTCTTTCGTTGCCAAATCGATGCAATTCGCAACGTGAAGAAGCACAACTGTACGGCGAAGGGTATGTAAACCAGTGGCCGCATGTTTCTGGGCTCGACCGTGTTTGGGATGTCACAAGCATTGTATGTCATGCCGCCGGATGCTGCCGGATTGGTCGGATGAGCTTGCTGCTTGCCTCTACAAACCGGAGTCGTATGGATACTCACTTAAATAATCCATCGAAGTGCAGTTCTCGTATATGCACTCCCAAAGGTCCTCCCGCCATGGTATTCCAGCGGATGTTCTCGTGGGGCAAATGCAGTCTCGGTCACTGAGCGACTCGCAAAGCGCGTCCATACAAGACGCCTTTGCGTAGTCAGCAATTACGCATCACTCGCATAAATTAAGCGCGTAAAACTTACGCTGCAGTCGGGTAAAGCCATGAATGGTCTCTGAACAGGTATGGATTTCGCCAATTGTATTGAGAGCTGTGTTGAGAGGTTTTCAGAAAATTTGGAGAGCTTCTCGAGAAATGACAAGCACGTGGCCCCAGCAAAGGCGAAAGGAGAGATAATGCACCGGGGAAATATGACCAGGGCAGGATGAGTTTAAGTTGGTGCGGTCCAGAAGGTTTCGGTATCAGATATTGGGTCCCTTCTATATCCCCGATGGGTCCTCGCTTATGCACGAATGCGAGGCAGTGTGACAAAGGAGATAGGGGGGTAAGGTACTTTCACTTGAAAGTGTCCAATACGTCATTCCTAAGCAACCGTTACTATAGCCCTTAACTTCAGGGCGACGGCCTTCAGTTAGGGGACTAGAGGGGCTCTGCCTGGGAGGGTTGGTTACTAGTGGCTATGCGGCCCTTACTAGAGCCGTCCGCTCCGCAACTAGTGCCCTCGAGGAGAGAGAGAGGGAGAGAGAGAGAGAGTGAAATGGTGGTTTTTAGTGTTTTTTTAGTGGCAGAAACAAAGAAAAGAGGAGGAAGTTGAAGTTGAGAGATGGCCCTGGGGCCTTCCCGCCTTGCTCGCTATATAAAGTCCCTAAGCAATCTCTTGGCAATAGCAGAGATTTTTCAGACGCGTCAACAAAAACAAACAAAAAAAAGGAGGGGAAATCATGTGTTTAGAGGGACGAGAAGTTGGTGATAGCATTAAAAACGTAAACAGAGAGGTACTTTGACCTTCCCGTCTGCCAAGCACGCTCTATACTGGATTTGGGTAGTGTGGTTGCTTAAAGTCTGGGCATGAAGTGGTATGTACTTAAAACACACCTTGGGGATTTAGAAGATACCCAGATATTGTTGGTCAGGAAGGCTCGGGCGCCATGCTTATATGACCACCCATCTCAGCCAGATTTGCCTCGTTGGTAGCTGACGCCAAGAGTGATCTTCTCAACATCCAATTGATCCCTGCTGTGACACATTCACGGTCTGCAACCACTGGTTCCGGCACACAAGAAGTGGCGTACAGGTCCCTTGGCTACATTGCATTATTGGTCTTTCGGACTGTGTGGGATGACTGTAAATTGTCTGGCGCGCCCCCCTCGGGTGATTCTGGCTGGCTGGGCAATGTTCGCACCCAGGCAGGGCAACTTTCTGGTTTCACATTCCTTCTCAAAGCTGCCAATCCATGTAAATCATCAGCAACTTGGCTCTGCTCACATTAGCACGTATTCTGCAGCTAATTTGGAATGATCAACAGCACATAGGATCATGTCGCCAGCGTCTGCCGTCATGGGGGAAGAAATGGCCACGATCATTTTCTTGATGCACACAAGTCCTTCTCAGGTTCCGAGGCAACCGAGCACCTCCTGCGCAAAGTACCTAGGCAGTGAAATTAAACTTCGCAAATTGCGACACCAGCCAGACGGAAGCCAAAGTTCCAAAGCCAAACTACGAACAAGAATTTTGCTGAAAGCACTACGGTCGGCCGATGCCTGCAAGAATGCAGCTCGTACCAAGAAAAGCCAAAAAGAGGACCGTGAAATTAGACTCTCCATCTGATTGGACATCAAATCATGACAAGTTACATTCGCAGTAGAATATGCTCCAGTTGCTCAATTATCAGAAGTGATCGAGACGGCCATAGCGGACCTCAAAGTGTCGATAATGGGTGGGCCATTGGCAGAGTCCTCGGCTCATCCACACGAGAAAGTAGAACACGGCGCGACTGGAGTGAACACTCTCTCAAGTTCCTGACTGACCGGTTTCAAGGCCAAGCAGCTGATCAACGACGACCTACTCCGGCTCAACCGTATGGATGGGATCAAGCCCGCCAAGCCCTTCTTCATGAAGGGATCGTGATCAAGATTTATAGGATAGGGTGGGGCGGACTCAGACCTACTGGGGCTGGAGCTGACTGGCCAGAGAAGCAATATTGTAGAGACAATACCTTTCGACTTTCAGTACGAAACTATTTGATCGTTGTGAGTACTATGAGAAAGTCATATGTTGCTCATGCACGGAGTAGTCAACTGGTAGTCCCATTCACGCAATCTTCCCCGGGCCTGGCATAAAGTGGCTCTAGAGATCTCTCCTCGCTTGTGGTCTATGTAAATATTACTTCTCTCCAGATACATAGCTGGCATTCTATCATGCTGTTAGGGGTATCATTTCGGATAAAAGATCTTCGTAATGAATTCCCGCCATTTAAAAAGATACAACGTTCCAGGAAACAGAATCCCACGCACTTGAAACCAAATGTGTAGGGCACTCCAGCAATGACTGTGACAGTGCTAATGTGCACACTGTTGATGATCATGAATCAATGAATGATATCGTCCTATTACTATAGTATAGCAGCTGTGCCACGCCGCTCTCCTGTTGGCCTACACTATGTATCGACACTGTGGGGCCAGGAGATCCTAGAGAACTAATGTCTCACCTCCACTGGACTATACTAGCGCAGGCACAGAGACCCAGTGATCATTAATGTTACGAAGCCTGTGTAAAATGGAGATTCACATCTTGTATTTCAGCTTCGATTGGAGAGAATACCTAGGTACCCAGGTCTCAACGTGTCTACCGGCTATTCGAGCGAATTCTGCCTAATTCAACGACCTTTCTCTACCACTCTAGAAATGCCGTCTCAAATAATAATAATAATAAAAAGACAAGCATCTTGAGCAGTCATGAGGGCTGTCCCGATACTCTGAATTTTCAGCTCAGCGCGGAATGTCTGGAAAGCTGCAATCGCCCAGTACGACAAGACTCTGGAATACAATTACAGCACAAACACGATGGGCTTGGAGAACTTGCCATCAGCATAGAAAGGTCTTTGGCTGGCTTAGCACCGAGAGAGCCGGGCTGCTGCTAGATTCGTCATTTCTAATGACATAAGAGCGTGCTCAAGTCGTCTATGAAGATTAGTGTCGGCCCTCGCATGGGCTTCACGTGGAATTGGAATTTGGGAATGAGTGCCGAGGTGCCTTTAGGGTGACATTCAGCCACACCTCAGCGACACCACCGATTCCAATGTCCTCACGAGTACACCAGCTCTGCAAAATTATGGTCCACAATGTGGAATAGACGTTTGCCGTGCTAGGCTTACGAGAAAAGATAAACTGATGAAGGCGTGGTGTCTCCGTGGGGGTATTGGGACTGAGTTGGTTAGTCCAAAACGTTGCTATGATAATGCGACCTAAGAGATCCGTTTAACGTATCATACACAGAGTCTTCGCGTGACACTATTATCAATACTACCTAGGTATACAGGTGACTCAATGACTCGCCTCCAACATTTAACAATGGCTAATGGGGAGTTGTTTCGTTCTCACTGCGGTACATAGGGTACCGAAGGCGTACGGTCCCTTCACACAACGGTAAACATTCAAAGACCCAGCATTTTTCCGTTTTTTCTTTTTTTTTTTCCCTCTTTTAAAAAAAAGACAAAATGCCCATAAAAGTGTACCTTGTGGCTAATGGTGAGAATGCAAATCATTCGCTGTATGTTGTGTACTCATGGCTTGAATGAATCCCTGAGTGGTGATTGAGTTGAATCTACATGACGATGATGATCAATGAAAGAAGGCCACGAGCGATGGTTAGGAGCGAACTTTCTCAACTTTTTCTCGGAACAGGCAAGTGAAAGGCATACCAAGTAGGCACCCCTATCTGTTCCGCGAAACACAACTCATCATTCCACATCTAACTGAAACTGTCAATTAACCTTGGCTCTCGTGGAGAGTTTTATCCCATCATTCTACATAGAAATGTATTCTTTAACCAAGATAGCCTTGGTTTTCATTATAGGCGTGAGTTATCAGAGTACATGGCCGCTCGGGCCTCCATTCACCACCCCTACGTTTGCTTCTTATTCCCTAACACTTACCATGTGTGCCAGGCCCTCCAACTACATGCTTCCAAGTTGTGCCAACGCGGCCACAGGAACTTTGCTAGACCCGTGGCAGACACAAAAGGGGCCCTCAATGCTGAGAACTGCACACGTTGCGTTTGGGCAGCGATTGCCCGGCCAGTAGCGATCATATTCGACGTCACACGGCCGCCGACCCTATAGTATCATGACACAGCTAATGAATTCAGCATGTGAAAATGCCTCCTGTGGGAAGACAGTTGAGAACGACACTGGCAGCAACAGCGAGACGCGCTCGTGAATGGAACCTCGTGACTCACGACGGTCATGCACATCATTGACAGATAGCCAGATAGTGTAGTCTTGGGCGTCGATACAGGTGGCCAACGGACCAATCCTGGCGCTTGCCGGGCGGGTTAGTCGCAAACAAGCGTCGAGATGGTGTGAAGCAGAGCCGTGGAGGGTGAGTGGGGGCGTCAGAGAAGGGTCCAGCCAGTCAGCACCTCTGGACCAGGCCCTGGCTGGCCAGCTGGTTGGCTGACCCAAGAACTGTGAAGTGGGGTGGCAATGGGTTTCAGGGACGGGACGCGATAGCCGCTGATTGGAACCAGCAACCCTCGCGGGGCCGTCAGCTCTCGACGCCACGGCAGCTTTGAGTGCTGCTGAATGCTACGGTAGCACACCCTCACACAACAAACTTCACAGCTACCACAGCTACCATGACAGGCGAGCTCATACTATTACTGTGGTACAGAGGCATGTGAAAGTCCATACCCGGAAATAGCCTGGCGATGAGACAACATGGCAGCATGGTTCGCCTTCCCCCTCCTCCGATCTCGTGCCGAGAGGCACATGACCCGGCTCGTGCAGTGCAACCAGCAGCCCAGCCCTTCAGCTTGGAATGACAGCCGGGCATGGAGACGTTCATGTGAAAGACAACCCCATCTGCCGTCAAGATCCAGGCACACGGAGAGGCATTAACAGCCTTCTTAACTCGAAACATGGACGCTCGTGTCAGTCCTCGGCCATATATACAGCTCCGGGTTGTTCCCGCCCATCTATTTTGCACCTTGCTGCACCCAGATGCGATAGTCCATCCGATCTCTGTGCATCTTTGGCGGCCTACCAACCCGAGTTCCCGCTGCCGTCCGCCAGGCAGGCAGGCTGCAAAAGAAACCGCCGCTAAGTCCAAGTACCACCAAAACCCTTCATGTTAGCATCACTATTATTCCATAACCATATCATATATGCTTGATTTTAATTACATCAATATCTTCAGAGTAAGCTTCTGATCTGAATGATATCAAAACACCATTAATAATTCGTGGTTGTGGGCGAAAAGCAGGTGGATAACTTCTGTGATGCTGATTCTGGTACATAACCAGCGGCGGTTTTTTTTGCAGCCACCCTGCCAGGCCGGTGCATTTTCGACCCTCGCTAGTTTTGCGACGGCTGGCCTTGGTTGCATGATCAACGTTGAACTGCTCGACCCTTTGGGAAACGTCAGCGCCAGCCGCGGCCAATACCATTCGGCGACGGAAGTATTGTTGTAATGCTATCGTCCTGTGCTCAGATCGCGTATAGCGGACACTGCCGGGAAGACACGCCTCGGCATCCTCGTGTTGGCAACCAGCACTGCTGGCCACGCAACACTACAAACACACAAGTAGTCCGCGGATCACCGTTGGCTCTGGGCCCCGTCGACGTCCCGAAGGAGCACGAGACTACTGCGTGCACTTGACGGCAACACCGCCCCTAGCCTTCTGCGGGCAAGCAGTCGTGTTATTCGATCCGCTGTCCGATGACGAGGAAGGCCCCGAGTACCCATCCGGGACACGTTCGGCCCTGGCTTCTATGCTCTGGCAAAGCTGGAGAAACCTTGCCCGGCTGGCATTCGAGGATTCCTGTCCCCATCGGCCACGAGACGCAGGGGAAGTTATCCACAATCTCCAGCTCCTCCTCTCCACAATAGAAGGCCGCCAGAATCTTTGGAAGCTCTTGGGAACAACCTTGTCCAGTCCGGTCCCCACCCAAGTCCACCCTCTCACCTCAGCTGCTCAGCTGCTCGGGCTGATCAACCAGGGCCAAGACCAAGACCCGGATTCGTCCCTTCGTGCTGCGCTCCTGCAGTGTTCCCGCTGCCACACTGTTTCGACGGTAGACGAACCGGACTAAGAACTCAAAAACCAGTCAGCTGCTACACCCTCTCCTCCGACCTCGCCTCCGGGGGATAATACCCCTGGTTTTCTACATTGCTGGAGGGTGCAGTCAGTACTCAATTCTTCTACTGTCGTATTTCTGTCTCTGTCTCCATCATTGCTGTTTCTTTATCAAGATCTCGATTTCCGAACCTGCGTTGGCGATCTCGCGTTGGGCGGTTTTCTTTTGTCCGGTCTTGTCCTTGACCGCTCTCTTGAAATCCCAGTCTGCACGCTCATCCTGCATCAAGTGGACCGCGGGCGTGGGGTCGACAAGGGCCAGGGTCGTGCTCATGACTACTCCGTACTGGATCACCGCAACCGCAACCACCAGAAGCAGACATCGTGTGCTTTCAAGCGTTGGTTGTCCTACCTGTTGACCGCCATAAGTCAACTGGCCTCTTTTGGGATTCAGACTTCCATCGTCTTGCTGGCTTCCAAGTTCCAAGCACGAGCTGGCCGTTTAGACCTAGAACATCAGATCGCCCACACCCACGTCAAATCTCCACACTCCGGGTCACGCTCACTCACGGTCGACGGTGACGTTGGCAAACCCGTCTCTGGCCCAACTCTGGCTCAAAGATCTCGCCTCCAAAACTCTGTGGCTTCCCGCCGGCCTGGTCCTGGCCCTGAACCAGGCTCTGGGCTGCTGCTCGCCCACGGCGGTAACGGAGTTCTTTGTCAACGGTTCCACAAGTCGGCAGGGCGGTGTTGATCCCCTGGTCCGCGTGGGGCCGGGCCTGCACAAATCCCAGCCTGCATATTATTTTTGAACTGCACGCACGCGCCTTGTGCCGCTGCCAACTGGTCTGTTGTGTGCCAGCAGGACCCATTCTCCAGCGCCCAGCCGGATCCTAAGCGCCAATAGAGGGCCTGGCGCTCTGCTTCAACGCTTTCCATCACTCCGCTCTGATACGTTGGCACGACTTATACAGCCCACGCAGCCCACCGATCGCCGGGTCGGCTCTGCAACAACAAAGGTTCTAGAAGCCAGGCGGCCCGGGCAAGCAGTCTGGCACGAGTGCTGCCCCTGGCGGACAGCTCATAAAGCTCACGACCCGCACAGGTGTGCGAGGGGCCCCATAGCGCTCGCTCGCTTGCCTGTTCCCCGGCGCCATTTTTCTCGATTCGAACTGCCCTGGGGCTCGATCTTCCCAAGAAGCTTCGGCTGACCGCAACTCGCCGGCGCCGTGACGAATTCTCTTGTCAACACAGACCAAGCTCCATCTAGGCCCAGGGGCCAGGGAATGAACGACAGCTAGCCGAAGTGACTTCTTTGTTGCGGAGAATTGTGCGCGGGTCCGCACGAGCAGAGTCAAACTCATAAACAACAGCGAATTCCTCGCATCAAATCGCCCAACAAATTCAAATCCGCCTCAGACTCCGAGTCAAGCTTGTCAGGAACGAGTAAACACTTGCAGTGTCGCGGAGAAATTTTCATGTGGCGTCCCCAACAACATACAGACACACACACCTTTCCATAGCCTCTCACCCCCGGAACTCATCGTCAATCGGCAACCTCCGCAAACATGTCACGACAGTCACCCGTGCCTCGTTCTCACTCGAGGGCGAGCTTCTACTCCACCACCACATACCACTCATTCCAGGATGTCGAACTCTTTGAGCCAGGCTGCACACCAGATGACCAGGGAACGTCGACTTCGAGGATCCCCATGCCCGTAGAGACACCCGTGGTCAGGAGACAGAGAACATCGAGGAGGGACGACTTCGACAAGAACCCTGCCTCATTCCAGATGGTCCGCCAGGACTCCGGCTACGAGTCGAGCACACCCACTCGCACCTCGCAGTCGTCAAGACGCCACCGGCACTCATCCCACACCAAGTCCGCCTCATCACCACCCCGGACGGAGTCCCAGCCCCGGACCTCAACCTCACAAAAGAGGCCCGCCCTCCGGCGCTCTCGGCCGATTACAAACATGCCCCGGTCCAGCATGACCGCCTCTCGCTCGCCACCTCGGAGCAACCCACAACAATCACCCCAATATAATGACCCATATTCCTACTTTCAATTCCCATCACCCGAGCAACTGGACGAACCAGACCAGGAACACGACCAGCAAGAAAAACAACAACAACAACAACCGCAGAACCCCAACTCCGACATTGCACCAGTCAGCCTACATCTCGACACCCTCACCGCCACCAGCCACCACTCCGAAAAGCCAACATCATCCTCCCCCTCCCCCTCAGCAACAAAACCACAACCCTCAACCCAATACACCACCGGCGCCGAGACCCCTCTCTCCCCCCTGCCACCCCAGACGACCCACTACTGGACCTCCGACCGCACGCGGCGCCTCGAGTACGCGGCCATCGACGCCGCCTCCCGGGGCGTCAGGGGCTGGGTCATGCGCAACTGCGTGCCCGAGTGCTTCGTCCCCAAGGAGCGGCGCCGCGTCTGCTTCGACGACGACACGGGCTCCGTCAGGCGGTACCGCCTCGACCTCGAGATCGAGTGCCCCGAGGACAGCGTCCCGCCCAGCCCCGTGGGCGAGAAGCCGCGGGGGTTCCGCGCACGCCACCACGGCGGCGCGAGGGGCCTCTGGGCTAAGCTCAGGGGGAGGGCTTAGGGCAGACACGCTGCTCGATATTCACATTTCAACCTATGTTATCCGCCACCAAGGAGAGACATCACCGCCGAGGCGATTCTTGAGAACGCCTCTGGCCTTAATTCTTTTATTTGATAATTTGACTTAATGTTTTGTACTTGGGATAGAGAAGCGAGCAATACCTTTTTGTTTTCCCCCCCTCGCAACAGAAGAGACGACGGAATGAGAGAAGAATGCATCTGAGAGACACTAGCAGAAACGGCAAGAGACAGCACTTTGGCACCATTTACATTGGCGTTCTATACCCACCAGAGTTCATGGAGGATATCTTTTGGTCGTTTATTGGAGAAATTGTATGGGGCCACGATCACCAGCATTCAACCATCATCATCAGAATGAGCCTGGCTCCGTTACAGGACAACATACCCGATCCGATAGGGCATACTAAGCAGAACAATGTCTGCAAATAAAAACACAAATCCAATAAGACTTCTTCAATGCATGTTGCGTGAACAATTACGCTGCCCTACATTCGTCTACCATTTCATGGCCTTGTACAAAGCCCTTGCGCCTCGGGCATCCCGGGCCACTGTACGAAGCGTGCCGAAGCATTGCTCTGAAAGACACAGCACAGGCACCCGTTCGCTGATGTAGCCAAGTGCATTTGTGCCAAGCTGCGAAGTTGTGTGTTGCGCCTGCTGGCACAGGAGCCAACGGTGCGGCCGTTGTGACAAGCTCTACAGCACAACTGCCTCCTGTGCAGGTGTCGTCGCACTCACTGCTTAGGCTTCGCGAGTTCTGGGTATAAGTGCCTCACATTAATTTTCGGCAATGCCCGTCCAGTGTTGACCCACAGTGTAGCAAAAGAATAATAAAATACAAGTCATGTTTTTCGTACACTCCGAGAGCGGTACCCATGACATCAGGCAGACGATCATCATATAGGTCTGTCCGTGTCATGCGTTTCGCCGGGGGCACTGTGGGCATAAGCGACCAAATTCAATGGAGAGGCCAATCTGTCACAAGTTCCATGATGTAAAGTTTCTGGTAACTCTTGTATTATCACTGGCAATGCAAAATGAGGCATGAGGTTCTGCACGAGCACAGTATTGAAGATCAACCCCTGACCTCTTCAAGTTGAAGTCGAACTCCTAAGCTGGTAGCCTTCTTGACAGGCAAGAGACTCAGATTACGACATCAGCCTGGAATGACGCCCGATTTTCTTGTTTCGCCGGAATTGTATTTGGAGCTCAGACTGTGATTGCAAGGCATCTGACGAGCAGCGACCTGAGTCGGAGGAAGCCATATGATGGGCCAGCCTTAATGTAAGTGGTTTCGTTTTTAATCCCCATATATATAAAATATATATAGTGCCTTTATATAGTAGTAAACACTCAAGACCTAGCGTCTAAAGAAATACAGTGCTAATAATAGTGGAAAGAGAATATAGTATATCTATAGGTACGTAGCTAAGCCTCGTACCGCATAGATAAGGCTGGAAGGTATTACTCCTGATGGCGCTACAAGCCGGCAAAGCAGTTATACAATAAGACTAAAATAGTCTCTTAAAATGGCCCCTATAAGAAAAAGAATCCCACAATATAAGACCTAGCAAGCTAACTCTTCCCTATTAATATACTCAATAGCCACCTAAATCTACCCTTACTAAATAAGCTAATATAGTTCCTATCCTAAGTATATAACTAATAGAATAATAATACTATAATAATAAATCTATTTAAAAAAAACCTTCCTATATAAATTCTATAAAAAGATTAAAACCCTTTTAAAAAGTTAAGTAGAGTTTATTTACTATATATTAAATAAATATTATATAAAGAAAGTAAAAGTTTAAATATCTAAGAATTAAATCTTCCTTCTTTAAGTATATTACTTTATTATTAAGGATTTATCTACTTTTATATAATATATAAGGAATATAATAGAAAAGGAAACCCTATAGAGGAAGTTAATAACTCTATATATAAATAAGTTTAAAGGTATATATTAAGTAATTATTAACTTTATATTTAAAGTATAAACTAATAGTTAGTTTAAAAACTAAGAAGATAATGAATAGATAAATATATAGTTAAATAAAAAATATAATGTAGCTGAAGCTAGCCTTAATGTAAATTATTAGTAAAGTCGAAGAAGTGATTACAAAACTAATTAGCAGCACCAGAAATCGCCCTATGGGCCTGGCCTTGGGTGCTCTGATGGTTTATTCAACACGCTTTGCCCATACTGGTAAAGTTAGGGGAATCCATGGATGGCGGCATGTCTTGGATAGGTCTTTTTGGCCGGCAGCAATGGAGACCGTGGACAGCCTTGCGTGTTTTCGGCATTACGCACGAGATTGATCTAGGAATAAAGCTATGTAGAAGTGGACTACAGCCTTTCGAAGCCTTTGACACCTTGTTGAGATCTATTTTTGACACTCTGCCAGTTTTCACTGACAGGTTTAGCGCGCGAGGACAAATCAGGAGTAAAGTTCTAGCCCTTTCTGTCGGCTGCGATTGTAAGTAACTGGTCACAAGCTATACTGGGTAAAGTATCTTGAATATATTCTAGCGCAGCTTGCTGTCCCTTTTGAGCCATTTCAGCTAAGCCAGCACTTGAGGGGCGCCCGCTGTGCTGCAAATTGTGGCCTCGGTGTCAGCCATCCCTGGCCCTAATCCCGCGCCTTGCTTCGTTCTCACAAAGGAGCTTTAGCGTCATGCTGCTTTCCGCGTGCTATCAAGGGACTGCTTACGCCAAGTTGACGGTAAGCCTTCAGCCGCCCACTGGGGGTGAAGTATGTTACATAACTAATATCCGCGGTCCAAGTCAGTGTTACATTGCATATCTGCAGTCAAGATGATGCTTCTCGTGTTCAGCCGCCTGGCTTGTCAGCGCGTGGCCGGAAGGAAACAAAAGTTCCTCGCCAACCGGACAGCCAGGCACTGAAAATAGCGACACATTTGCTGTCTTATTCGTCCCAAGATCATATAAATCAGACAAGCGCCCACCGATTTTCGATCACAAATGTCCCAAAATACGAAGTGTTGTTTCTGAAACGACGCACTAACTGAACACAGGATAAGGATCGGCCTCGACCATGGCCCCTCGCATCAACTTCATAGGGCTCGTCTCCCAATGCTCCTGGATGTTCGCTCTGCTTTTCTTCCTCCACATTTTCCCCCAGCTAGGACATGGACAGGAACATGACGCGCGCGGACTTGCACCAAGAGCTACAGTTCTGGACTGTTTGACCGGGAAGAAGCTCACAGTGATCAAGCCGGCCGACTCGCAGTATGCCAGTTACTCTTCACCGTACAACCTCCGCCTGCAATACAAGCCGGCCGCGATAGTCGTGGCCTCCAGCAACCAGCATGTCTCCGACGCTGTACTCTGCGCGTCTCAGTACAAACTCAAGGTGCAGCCTCGCTCTGGCGGCCACTCGTACGGCTCCTACGGCACGGGCGGCAAGGATGGCGCCGTGGTCATCGACCTCCAGAAGTTCCAGACCGTCAGCCTCGACAAGACCACCAACATTGCGACATTTGGTGCGGGCCTCAGGCTCGGGAACCTGGAGCTGGCGCTGCGCTCGACTGGACGGGCACTACCTCATGGGACCTGTGCTAATGTCGGCGCCGGCGGCCACTTCACCATTGGCGGAGATGGGTTCACCACGAGGGCATACGGGTTGGCTATTGACTCGCTTGTGGGAATGGACGTTATTCTAGCAAACGGCTCAGTGGTACATGCCACGTCAACAGAGTACAAGGACGTGTTTTTTGTAAGTCGTCACAGCGCTTGAGGTTTGAGGGTCACTCTCCTTTCCAGCACGGCTAATATTAAGCTAGGCCATGAAAGGCGCCGGTGCCTCCTTTGGGATCGCAACAACCTTCTTCGCGCAGACCTTCGCCTACCCAACGGTCCTGACCGGCATATACCTCACCTGGCCGGGCTTGAGCGCCAACACCGAAAAGAGCGTCTCAGCCCTGAAGCACATCCAGAACTATGCCAATAACGCGACCTCAGGATTGGACCGCAAGTTCCAATTCGACGTCACGCTAGACGCCTTCGGAACCTTCAACCTGAAAGGCATCTACCTCGGCCCCGTGGCAACCTTCAACAAAACAGTGCTTCCGGAGCTGATGCGCGGGCTGCCGACCCCCGGCGCAGGCGACGGCGACAGCCCGACCTACGTGAAGCAGTACGCATGGACAGACGCCCTGACTGACGCCAACTATGGCAGCGACATAGCTTACCCTAAGCCCGGCGAGAGCGGCTACGTGCCCGCGCCGGACCATGATACCTTCTACACCAAGAGCCTGACGGTGCCGGCGCCAGGCCTGCCCGAGAAGGCGATACGGAACCTGGTCACGTGGTCCCAGGCGCATCAACAAGGGAAGAACCCGGCAGTGCCGTGGTACTTCACCCTCAGCCTACAGGGCGGCGTTGACAACCAGATCTTCCTGGACAGCAAGAGCGCGGACTCGGCGTTCTGGCGCCGCGACACCACGTGGGTCATGGAGCACTCTGGGTTTACGAATGGGCCTGACGAGAAGTTCCCTGTGCCGGCGGGCATAGACCTCGTCAATGACTTGGACAGGCAGGTGACGGGTGTTCTTGGTGCTGGGAACTACGGGGCGTATCAGGGGTATGTGGATACTGAGCTGAGCGCTGACCAGGCGGGGAGGCTGTATTATGGCAATGTGCTGTTTGAGAAGCTCAAGGGTTTGAAGAAAAACATCGACCCAGGGAATTTGTTCTCCAACCCACAATCCATCCCAGTGGGAACTTAGGAGGTTGGTTCAGCCTACGCCGCCCACCAAGATCGAACACCATTCATCAATTTAGTAGGGACATGACACCTCATGGTAGAGACACGCGGGTAGATACATCTCAAGTGGAACAGCAATTCAAAAGACTTGAAGCCATTTATTTGCGACATGCATATGATTCTTCTGTCATATTCAGCCAAAAAGAATGCAATAGTTATTGTGGGCAGGTGAAAGACTAAGTTTTCATGAGTGAGGCCTGTCCACGATATCACCAACCACCTGAAATTACATTATGTTCTTAGTAGAAAAGCTCAATAGCGTCCAGGATCTGAAGAGAATAGAGTTAGTAGAACACCGCGCCTCGACAGCAAAGACATTATGCAACAGCAACACTTACAACATTGGGGCTCAGAAATGCGTCACCACCGGTTCCGGAAATAACCGTGACCGTAACCGTATTTGTGCCGCTGACCAAAGTCCCAGCGGGCACGCTGCATTCGTAGATCTCGCCGTACCCACGGTATGCGCCTCTGGTGACTCCGCGACTGTCGATCTTTGAGGGAGCTGATGGTGCCGGGCAATTGTATCCGTTGACCATCGGCTGCGGCCGACCACCAGCAAAGGATAGCGTGGTTGCGATTCTCAGCGTTGCTGTCTGAGAAACAGCGCCACTGAGGGAGAATGTGATCTTCTGCCCGTTGTTGACACCCTTAAAGATGGCCATTGGCAATGAAGACGTAGCTGTGGACGCTACAGTACCGGGGCTCCAGTTTGCCATCCTTGAGAACAAAATTAATGCGTGAGCTCTTGGCACATGTACACCCATAATCCATGAGTTGAGTGACATTGATCTTACCGGGCATCTGAGGGGTGCATGCGCAACTGATTGGCCGCATTGAGGAATCCCGTGGGCTGCCCGTCGTAGTCTCCCATTCTGAAGATCGTGGTTCTCGACTGAGTCAGCGCCGGGTGTGTTGCAGCAATGTTTGAGGTCGTAGTTCTTCCCGCGGTCACGGACACTGACTGGCTTGCGGCGAGAAATTCGTCCTGGTACAAATTCATCGTGTATGTTCCTGCCGGCATAGGGGGAGATGAATAAGCTCCTGCGGAGCTTGTATATGCCCAGAATTGGAAGTTGCTGTTGAACCAGTGTACCACTCTGGGAAAGTTTGTTGACACGCCAGACGCTGTACCTGAGACATATCCGCGGTTGCCGGAGACCGGAACATAACCTGACAGTCCAAGGCTGTCGAAGAAGGAGACATCGACACCGGTGGGGTCGGGTCTTCCACTTCGGGTCATTGAGAAGACGTAGGGCCCGTGGAAGCCGGTCCTCCAACCCTCGGTTTGTACATGGCCCGAGTTCATGTAATAGGTGAAGGCGTTGTACGACGACCCTGCGTTCGAACTGATGTCCCGAAAGAACGGGCCTCCAGAACTTTTCTCTGTCGCCTGGTGGTTCGGGCGGAGCCAGCAAGCATTCACAGTGACTCCAGAGTTGGTGACACAGTAGATTCTCTCATCGATGAATCGGTCGGATGAGTAGAACTTGCTCCTGGTTTGGCCGTTGACCAGATACACATCACTTCCTTCGATTTCAGTGCCGCCAGCGGTCTTTGACGCGTCCCCGTTCGGCCAGGAAACGTCCAAGCCATTCAATCTGAAGATATATCTCAGCTCGCCATTGCTAGGTTCCGAGTTGATGTTGGTGCCCATCCAGATGTTAGCTGCTCCATTGCGGAAGACCATGTAATGCTGAAGGTTGAATCTGTCATTATTCTGGGAACATTGGAAGATTACGGTGTCACCAGATGGACTTGTCGAATATGTCACCTTGTTGACCGATTAATGTTGCGTTCGCAGGTTGCTGTGTCTAAGTTTGGCCACTTACAGATGTTCCACTACCCAGTCCTGAACCAATGTGGCTGAACGTACCCTGATTCTGGTACTCGCTACCATAGAACTTAATCGACGTGATATCGCAAGTGGTACGGCTAATAGTAACGATGAAGTTGTAAGAGCTTCCAGTGTCTACTACATAGGATGATGAAGAGGAAGTGACAGTAATGGCTGTAACTGTGGCAAGCCACAGGAACATAAAGCTGAAAACACTCTGCAGCAGCATTTTGGCAGCACTACTCACGCCCTAGCCAGTTGCTGTCTACAGACTTGAATACCACAATGAAGGACAGGCACGGTCTTTATAATACGTTGACAGACACTTGAGGTTGTACCGGGATGTAATTCACCGGGATGCCGTCTTGGTAGCCCCCTAAAAGAGTAAGATTCCGGAGTGGGCTTCCGACATGCAACCCCACCACCGGGGGACACACCAAATACAGTAAACTATTATATTATTTAACACCTAGTTGGCAGCAACTGGAAAAGATGAGAAATGACTGTTTAGCATTGTGTGAGTTGATCTCAAGTGTTGTGTAGATGAATTGGTTGAAAGTACCTACTTGAATCATGATTTGAAAATGAGGCGTAAATGTAGTCTCTGTCTGCTAGGGTAATCGCGTTTGAGGCTGCAGTGACTGTGCCCGCAGCTGCTAAATATTGAGATATCGTGCTTCACCCAACAACATTGAACCAGTTGACTGGAACCAACACAAGTTCATCGCATCACACCGTTTGCCTTGTTATCTCCCCCCCCCTCTGCTCCACTATGATTCTAGCCCAGCCGACTACCGTTCTGCACTGAACTCCATACCTAGGTATGTACTTGGCCTACTTCAGATACCGGTACTAAGCTCGTCGTCATGACCTCTAAACATGCATGTGATGCAAGTGTTACGCCCAATGCAACCGCTGTCAATAGACTACAGGCAGGATGAATAGGTCACTCAAATTGTTTTTCTACTGCTTCGCGCAAAGCTGCTTGTGTTGACATCCCTCGACAGCCTCTTATGTGCCGGGCACCTACTTCGATATCAAACGACAAAAGCCCGCGCCTTCATTCCATACCGGTAACGGAAACTCTGGATCGGGGGGTGGGATGATGACCCATAGCCTGGGTTTGAAATATGCCTTTAACACAGGCTAACTATGATTTGTGGAACCAGGAACCAGGAAGTAGCGAAACTCTCAAGTTTTCAAGTGAGCACAATTATTCAAGACGCAAGCTTGGCTGGTGATCAAATCGTGTACAATTAATGTCTAAGTTGACCGAGTTGGCAGGGCTTCGCGACACAAGGCTGAGGCTAAGTGCCCACTAGTTGTTTTTCTTACACTGTCATCCGCATTGTGCGTTATCACTTTTTCTTTTTCTTTTTTAAAGTTATGAGACTTTAACGGTTAGCACTGTATTAAGGGACCGTTGGGATGTATACGCATTAACTAGGAACCAAACCATTAAGCTGAGTTTTGATTCTCCCTGAGTGAGGTCTTGCATGAGAAGACCATGTTGAGTAGAAGTTTATACCTATGTACGAAGACCCGGATTTACTGCAGATTCCCCAGCAATGGCGGCTATGAGTGAGAGTTCAGTTCAATTGTCATCTCAAGTTTTACGGCCTCTCGGACTTCTACTTTAGTCCGGCCCAGCTACTAGTATGCCTTCGAGACCACCGCATCTGATATGCAGAACAACATCCCGAACTCTAAAAAAAAAACAAGAGAAAAAAAAGGCCAACCACCCCACTCCGTAGTATAGAAAAAGGCATGCGGCTCTTTCGATAATAAAATGCTATATTTAAGAACTTGAAACGTCCCGGCCGAAGCTTATTATAGACGCGATGCCAAGCTTGTCGGTCCTGCCGCCGGTTCGATGACTCGAACATCATGGCTAGGTCTCTTTTCTGCCTAGGCAGCTTTTCTAAGCTCTATGCAACTCCACAAGCCCACCCCTATTTCGACGAACACTGCCACAGCCGAGATTGTAGGCTCGGAATTTATGGTGTATATAGCCTTGATGCGGGTATGGAGACGACGACATGAAAGGTTCTACTATCATCCTCATCGCTACTGCAATTTCAAAGGCCTCATTCTTTAGTCGAGTCAGAAAGACATACGTTCGTTTTCTAATCAATAGTCACTCACTCTTTGAACAAGATGCATTCCACACAAATCCTCAGCCTGCTTGCCGCAGTTGGTTTCTCCACCGCAGTAGACGCATTGGCGATCCGACAAACAACCGCAGCTTGGCAGACACTGCCACCAACACCAGCGCTACCCACACCAGTCAACACAACTCTAAGCTCCATCAACGGCGCCGACCTTTGGCTGCAGAAGTACAATGAGCAGGCTGGCGGCACACCAATTGTCATGGACCACGGCGGTCTCGGATACAGCGCTTACTTCGCCGATGTCATCAAGCAACTCGTAGCCAACAAGCACTACGTTATTGCAGTAGACCGCCGGGGCCACGGACGCAGTACTTTCGGCGCGAACGACGTCTTCACATACGATATGTTCGCCAACGACATCTTCGCCCAGCTCAACGAGCAGGGCATCAAGTCATACAATGTGGTCGGGTGGTCCGACGGCGCAGCCACGACGCTGTCCATGCTGCAGAACACCACGATCGCCCCCGGAATCCAGAAGGCGTTCGTTTTCGGCGGCTTCATGGTGCCCGAGGACACCAACGCGACATTCACGGACACGGCCATCTACACCGAGTTCGTGACGAGGTGTGCCACCGAGTACGCGACTAACCAGCCCAATGCCGACTTCAAAAGCTTCGCGACCAAGGTCGGCACGATGGAGGCGACGCTCCCGCAGTTCACGGCGGCGGGTCTGGGTGCCATAGACGGCAAGAAGGTCGCCATTGTGGGCGCTGACCACGAGGAGGCCGTCAACATGGACGTCCCAGCCAAGCTGGTCGCCGCCATCCCCGGCAGCACGCATATGACGCTCACCGGCGTGAGCCACTTTGCGCCTGTGCAGGACCCTGACCAATTCACCAAGGCTGTGGAGAGCTTCTTTGCTGCTGCCTAGAGATGTGTCAGAGCAGTTGGAACTACCACTACTGGCTGGGTCACTCTGTTTTATAGACCACGAATTAGATGAAGATACCCCTCTGACTATGTATCCCGCCGTGCCTTTCAAATCCGTGAATGAGTAACATGTGGCATGTTAACTTATACACAATCGCTATTTGTAACACGGGCCGGTATGCTCGATAATTATACCAGTCTTCAGTGGTGAAGTATGTTGTCAAATATTCTTTCGGTGTGGACATAAAAATGGAGAAGATACCATGATGGTGGTGCGGTCACTGCATCTGACTACATTGCTGTTGAGCTATTTCAACAGTTCTGACTAACCGGATCCCTAAAGACATTTTGCCTAAGGAATGGCTCTTACGAATGGTCCTTTACTCAATTATCTTTTGCAACACTCTCGAACAGAATGATGGCACAATGCTATTCGCCGAAGTCTGAGCGGTGCCCATGAGCCAAGCCCTTAGAAATACTCAAGAAGGCAAAGCAAGTCACGTGTCCTTCAAATAACATTTAAATGTCTCTGAACATTATGACATTTGTGACATAATAATCCACCAATGACAGGGTTTGACTGACGTTATGCTGACAGACTAAGGTAGTAAAGTTAAACAAAGTGCAGTTTTCCCTTGGCCCCTTTACCAACAACGCGCTAGTTGATATTTTCTGTTGTAAAGTAATCATCCGGTCACTATCACTGGCCATTAGTCCACTTTTTCTGACTGCCCATCTAGGTACCTACACACTGGAGTCCTGGGAACTGCGTCAAGATTAGCCTTAGTCACCATGGGACGTATATGTCATGTACTGTATGGGACAGCAGTAGTTATTTGAGCCTGGGCCCAGGCAATTGATTATATTGAGTGAGTGACTGGCGCAAATGGGTGGAAAAATTAAGGACGGAACCGATAATTGCAAGCATGTACAAAAGAAAACCTCAACAATCACCCGGAGGGGCAAACATATCACTGCTTTAAAAATCCTGACTCGTGTCTTTTCTAGTGCATGTCTCCTCCGACAGGACCAATGCCCGAAGTTTGACCCCTTATGCTCATCTAAGAGTTCTCGTGGTAAGTATATAACTACGAAATGAGAAAAGCTAAAACAGGCCATACTACTCACGGACTGGTGGGGGAGAGGCATGAATAAGACTCTGTTCATCATTCAGTTGATCCATGAGCATCCGCTACCCTTTGAGCCGCAGTTCAACTGTTGCACATAGTTAATATGTGATTAGCATCGGTGGATGAGAATCGTTGGCCAACGTGTCTAGACGTCCTGAAAAACTAAAGCAGGACAATGCAGTGGAAGCATCAATGATAGGGATCCTCCATTGCTGGGTACGTACGATTGAGTGTGCACCATCCCAGCCACACTTCCAGTTGCCGCAAGGCGCCTTCTGGCCGCTGCAGCGGCAGTTGTCACCGCCGATGTACTTGCTGCCAGCGCAGTTAGGCTGGTTAGCAACGCATCTCGGCAGGGCGCCGGCAGCCTCTTCGACAGGCTCCGGTAGGGCGACAGCGCTGACGGCAAAGATGGTGAAGAGGACGGAGGCGGTGAACTTCATTGTGCTAGTATTTTCTGCGATTATCTTGAATTGCTGTTTGTCTGAATGAGAGATCTGATGCCAACATAGAGTAGAGACGTTCAGAGAGAGGTGAGACGAAACAATATTTATGCTTGATGGGTTCCTAACCAACCTTCACCTTCCCGTGTGGACGTCATGATCGAGTGTTCTGTTTCATTTTTTTCCCTCATATATTCTTGGAACGTAATCCCAACATAGCTATGACAACTTCATTCCCAACATAGTCTTGCAACTTATTCCCCAATGTAGGGCGAGGCTGACAATTGGTTCACTTTGTTCCACGCTGCTCATACAGATTGTTTCTCGGACTTTTTTGTTACCTAAGGGCGAAAGAGTCCGAGGCCATCGTAGCTGGCATTGGCAATCAATGTCTTGTCTCTCATTCTGGTTTCCCAAGACTACTTAGTACTGGGCGGAGCCCTCCGGCCGGAGTCTGACAGCCTGGCACCTGGGTGCTGATAACCTAGCAAAAGATCACTATATTTTCTACCATTGCAACTTTTCTTGTACTAACTTATATTTCATGGTAACCCAGAAGTCTTCAGTAATTTTATTCTCCTCTGTGAATTTGGACTTTGAATGGCCTCTATGACTGCCGCGAATACTGAATTTGAAAACCTCACGAGTCTGACGTTTGTCTCTCTTATATCAGACATGAAAGAGTGTCTGCATCTCTCGACACCGATTGTGCACCAAAATGGGCGGGATTCGGCATCTTTCTGTTCGCGGAAGACTCGTCACGGCTGCTGTCTCTCGTTCTATATCTTGCCATCTTTCTTTCGGTCGTCACGAGAGCGTCAGAAACATAAGCATGCAGATCAGTAGACGGCTCTTACGTACATGAACTAAGCGGAGGTGCGAACGCATAAGCAGCCAAGTCTTCGCGGCCGCTAGGGAGCGAGCAATACCAAGCAAGTCAATGGCCCCCCGTCATCTGCACGTTTCCACCGGAACAGCCATAATGGCGATAGTATGGAAGCTTGGCCGGCGCACGGGTATGTCGCGTGATGTTTAACGTTCATCTAGGGGCTCCACCTGCTGCTAGTTGGTAGAGCAATCACCATCATAATAAAGCTTCAAGTTGGCCTCATTGGCAAGCCGGTCCATCCCGCGGCGTACCAGGCATACTCTGCCGCAACATCCGCACCTGCCGCAGCGGCTGGAGAAAATGATCGCAGAACAGAACGGCATGGTGCGTTTGTAACATGTCGCTGCAATACCCACTGCCGTACATCACAGCTGGACAGGTGATCCGATCGGTCGTTGACCGAGCGATCCAGCGGGTCGTGTGGCTGACGTGAGGTGTCACAAGCTGGGGGCATTGCTGCGTTCTGCCTCCCTTCATCGACGGGGGCGCACCAGTCAGGTCATTAGCCCCCAACGGTTTTGTCTCTTTTCCTGTGTCAAATACGCACTATTTCGGTGCGCATATGCAGTAACACCTGCCGTACAGAATATAGACAATACAACGTAGGCAAGAGTGCGTCTCCCCAAAAAGAAAAATTGAAATTCTTTTCTCGCCTTTCGGGCGCCGTGCGTATGCGGCAATCCCCAAAAAATCTGCTCAGGGGTCCTCGAGAGCTGTGCTGTGCGTTGGTTGCTTGCCAGAACCGGGGACCCAGCGTGCCAATCGGAAACTCGGCTGATCGCGTAGTTCCGACGAGGAACCACTCACGGCCGAGCGCGCATGGATGCCCAGGCTCGTTTTGACATATCAAGTGCATTGCGCATGCTTAGCTACAGTAGGCATACAACTCGTCGCAAGACTGCGAGGTTTCGCTCGACGCCCACGGACTCTAGCGGGGCCATGCTTTCCCGGGCAGCATGATCAGCGTGCATCCATCCAGGAATACTAATCGTACGCTCTTATGTGCTCACACAAAGTTCGAGGCTGGTTGGGGGCCGGGGGTCACGAACGCTTGATCCGTCCGACCTGAACTGAATCGTATTCTCGTTCGCATGAGTGCTTGTGCCCCGCCGTCGGTCCCGAGCACTTCCATGCCTGGAGTAGTGCTTATTATGTATGTGACCCTTCTCTGCTGTGTATTTCATGCCGTGTATCGCCAACGGAGATGCCGCGTACAACACTGCCATTCCCGAAACGCATCCCTCAGCATTTGCAATCAACCAGGTCGCCGTCCCCGGCCTTTTCGCCGCTCACCCTCGAGGCAGTATGTTGCGGACAGCGTTGCAAATCTTCACACTAACGCCAGCACTGGGGCAAATATGCTTCGGAGGGGCGACCGTGTTCGTGTTACAGACACCGACGTGCCATGCCCTCTGCGGCCGCAATACAAATATTATGTTATGTCTATCGTTGTTGCCAAGAAAGGTAGAGAAATGAGGCCGTAATATGTTGCGTTGACAGGGGCAGGGGCTCAGACGAGACATCATCCAAACTTTAAATCGCGATCGGCAACAAGCTCCCATAGATGTGGGTTTCCTCCTCCGCCCGGCTTCTGAACTCTGTTTTCCGCCGCGGAGCCGATTCTGGGGCTTAAATTTAAAGTTCCTGTATGCACGGAGGACTGAGTATAGTTGTTGCTCAAGTGTTCGGAGCCGCGCCGAAACCCGTCGATAGGTCCGAGCGTCTCCGGCATCCAGATGCATACAACTTCTAGGCACCTGGGGCGGAACAAGGACGACACACTGAGGAGAGCATCATGTCTAGTTCCATGCAGCTTTAGTGGCTTTGCAGAGATAATATGCTCCTTTGGGGCAATATAGTAAGCCGAACTGGTAGGCTGGTTTTGATTTTGATTTTGCCCGGAATGCTGACACATCAATGCCTGGAAAGGGCAATTGTATGCTCAGCACTACATGCATTCATCATAGCCGCGTTGCATTGCTGCGGAATCATACAAGCGTGGTGGGTTGTACCGACATGTCCCCGACGTTTACGCGAGTAATAAATACACGGGTAAGAGACGTGGTATTGTTGACTCAGGGACCGTGCCCGGGAGATATGTGCCAAACAACGCGGATTGAAACTGATACTCTTGGCAGATCGACGGTGCAAAGCCAAATTGTGAGAATATGTGTGTAAACTCGCAGGGGCCTGACCTTAGTCTTCCATATACGGCAGTTCGTTAGAGACGAGAGGGTTCATCTCGCAGAAAGAAGAAAATCCAATATTGACCATTCAATTTTAACGAATACAGCTAGCGATACATCACGTCGAGTGAAGCCACGGATCATTCCGGCCGTCTTCTCGGCCGGTTTCTCGGCCGGTCTCTCGATGGATGGTTCCAAGGTTCCTTTTCCTCGAGAACTATGAATCCATGAGCGTTCCACGGATGGTGCCGCAGACGTTTCTATTTTGAGTTCACACTATAACAACCAAGTCTCATTATTCTGCCGCATGAACAACCCACAGACTGAGGATGACCACGGCGGGAAAATGTCTTTCCTTTCACGACTCGTAAGCCGTACTAGTTGGCCATGAGTTACCCGATGATGAGACTTGTGCGCGTCGCATCGTTCCTATATAGGTGTCAAATATGTAGGCACCAGTAAGCTCTGGGCTAAACCTTGGTAGAAGCTTACTCGACTGCCATTCAACTGAATAGGGTTGAATGATCTACATTCCTACAAGCCGACTGCCGTCAAAAGCCCTTGCGAAGCCTGCTTACCATTGCCTTTACGGGAAGACGCATATATAATTTGTGCATCGGGATCTCGGCGTCTTGGCAGGCACGCATGCGCTCTCAGCAGAACAAGAGTAGACCCCGTCGTATTCCCGTATCTGGGACCATAGTAAACCCTTGAGTGCTGTGATTGGCGACAGGACGCCAGAAATGCGGGGAGCGACGAGACAGCAGTCACGGCACAAGGCCTTGTGTATGACTCGATTCCAAGGATTGCCGCTTGATGGAGATTCCGGAGACCAGAGCAGGCTTGGGGATTGCGTCACTCCGGTATCATGCTTCCTACCGTAACTATGTAAATTGACTTTTGGATCTTCGCCTGTGACATGAGAAAGCCGGCCCAACAGGCAGCAGATGCTACGCGGCCTTTGGCAGTAGCAGTGAGCCAGAGCGGACTGATTGGTTGTGGAAGTGCGCGCCTAGAACAATGGCCGATCCCATAAAGTTTGATGCGACTAACGCGTGTTTCGTTGTCATGAAAAGCCAAGGTAACTAACTATGACTGGTGTCCTTTTTTTTTCATCTCTTCAGATGGTTTAAGCTGGCTGGCTGGCTGGCGTCGCGAGACACGAGAAGTCAAAACGCCAGAAATGGCAGAATCAGGAAGAAGCAGAGGGAATAAGAAGGTCTCTCTCCTCCAAAGTGGTGTCAGAGGTGCGTCGTGTTCATTACGGATTGGTCCGGAAGTGACAGACCGCCCTTCGGGATGGCTGAAACCCTGCATACGGCGACGGCGGTGATTGGGAGGATCGCACGTATGCGGTCTCAAACCTGTCAGCCATCGCTGCCAGGATTCCATGCTAGCCGTTAGTGGATGCTCGTGTGCTGTGGGCATGTGAGCACTCGTAATCGACAGGATTAGCCGCTTATTGATTATGGCAAATGCACGAAATCCGATCAGCATTGATAGCGGCTGCCTCTTGATATTACACATTACCGTCGGATTCTGCATCCCGACAAGACCACAAAGCGGAGCCGGAGAACAGACCCTGTGCAAGCAAAAACCAGTGGGCAAATAGTTGACTCGCGCGGTCATTGGTGGGTAAGTAAAACGTGATCGACTAGTTTTTTTGATTGATTTTTTTTCTCCTCTGCTGCGCTCCCACACCTGTATCGCATCATAAGATGATAATTGTTCCGTGGGTCGGCACCCACTTTTATCATGACGAGCGACTGAAACAGCGTTCGGCGAAAAGTCAGGGAGAAATTAACGGACAGGAAAGGATGGCGGAACAAATGTTTCAGATAACGGTTTCGGGAGTAACGCGAGAGCGATCTCCTATGCCCGACTACTTTTTGGCATCTCGCGTCCCATCCTACAGTACAGGTGGCTCAGGACGGGGGTTGAGGCGAACAAGATCTGTGTTGCAACTGTCGATGTCATAAGGTGCCCTAGTCGAGGAGGGTGCTCGATATCGCAGGTGGTAGGTGGCAGGCTAAGCAAAAAGCTCGGCGTATGACAAATATCGCAGCCACCCGAGGTCGCCCCAAAGAAGGATATGTGGGCACACATGGCCAAGACCCGCTAGTACCTATACGTGCACTAGTAAGTAAGAGGGAAGTGTTTACCCGCCCAGTCCTCGTGCTCAAATGTCCCAGTGTGCCCAGTGTGCCATTCCCCCAGCCCAGCAAATTATAAGTTAGGAAACTTTGCTCGACCGAGCTAGTGTAGAGCGAGATGCGTGGTTGCGGGCCAGCCGCTGGGGAAGCGAGCGAGATGACGGGCCCGCAGACAGAATGCACATGTGCACATGCACAGGCTCGCTCGTGTGCTGCGATGCGTGCGATGCGTTCGATGCGTGTGTGCACGCACAGTGGGAAATTGACCGGAGCACCAACATGACCAGCGCTAGCAAGCCAACCAAGCCAATACAATGCAGGCGCGAGATGCAGGTGTTGGGGCAGCAGCAGCCACAGCCATGGCTGGATACTAGGTCGCTTTGCCCCGGGTTTATTAATAATAAGAGAGACCATGGCAGCGGGCCCCGTTTGACCCCGTCCAGGCCGTCACGTCGTGTCATACAGCTCGACAGCTCCGCAGGGATCAATGGGCGAAGCTGGAGCTGGAGCAGCGCCGTGCAGGTGCTTGAGACCCAGGGTTACATAGAAAGTGCAGCGAGGAGGCGTCTGGGCGGGCGTGCAGGCGTAGTGTGCTCCGTAGATTGAGATTGGCGTTGACAGATCATACAACCAGGTTGGTGAGGTGAGGTTCATTTGGGACAATGACTAGGTAAAACCACATCAGACCCCATCCAGACCCCATGCTTATTATGTACTTAAGTAGTAAGCTATCCCATCAGGGACTGTTACACCGCAAGGATTGGATGGTTGAGGTTAGTTGCACACGGACTCTTGGTGTCTGTAATCACAGCACAGTAATCTGGGTCGGGAGATCCGATTGTCACTTGTTCCGATGTGGACATCTGGACATAGGCTAGACTGACGGATGGACACCTGGGCAGATCTTGGACGTGCACGCAGGATAAAATTAACCTTGGAACCTCCCACTCGAAGGTCCTTGGGAGGGACACTAGACTAACATTCGAACCAACCCGGTCCCGAAGGTCGGCCGGATCGGATCCCGTAACCGTTACATCTTTGGGCCGAGGGATTTTAGAACCAACCGCCAAGTGGTATCGCGTGGTGTTGGGAGGATTAGAAGAGGGTCGTGACAGGAAGAGGGCGGGAGCAAGCAGCATTTGAATGGCCAGATCTGGCGTAGCAGGACAATGTGAGCGGACCAACTGTACAGTGTCAGATTGTGACTAACAGGGGTGGCTGTTATTTATGATACGATCATAGTCCTCGGTGCTCACAAATTTTCTGACTCTTTTTTTAGCGGGCCGTATCACCCGCTTTCCCATTAATCTTACTTAGCGCGTGCATATAAAGACGGATCCCATAAGTAAACGTTCCTACCCACCCAAACTAGGTCAATGCCCTTCTTAGATTTCTTAATTGTCCCGCCTCCATCCCTGCGCGCGACAGCTGGTGCCTCCCCCCTGTTTTGGCTTGTAGATTGATGCATACGATACGATAGGACGGGAAAAGGAGGAAACTTCCCACATAGGCCTTAGCATTAAGCCGCCCAGCTATAGCGCGACGTCTTAAGAGTGAAGGTGAAGAGTGAGTGCCACCCCTTATTCATGAACCACCCCCCGGTTCCACTCTCGCTTCTCTTTCAAGTGCACCCCCGTACAAAACACACATCCACAGCCACACACACACACACACACACACACACACACACATTCTCTCTTTCTGTCTTTGCCGCGAGCCGCAGGTGTCGACGAGTTTGAGAGGTTGTTGTGTCGATCTATACCTATTGTTTTGCATCATCCGCGAACCAGTCTTGTTCAGAGCGAAAAGGGGGCAGAGGAGAGAAAGAGCCGGTGAATGTGAAAGTGAAAGTGAGAGGCAGGGGGGCAAAACTCAAAACGACCCCTGTAAAAGCGTTTGTTCTTTCAAGTCAACTTACTACAACCCGACTTTGTGAGCGAAGGACATTACTTATACAGCATCTGAGGAAAGGGGGAAGGTACGGCCAACCTGTCAGGCACCAACCCAACCAGCTGTTGCACCTGCCAGCCGCCTCTGCTGTTTTCACCCGCTGGTTCCTGCCATTCGAGACTTGCGCGACAAAACAACTGGCATTTGATGCATCAGGTTGAACTGACGTCAATTTCTCAGCACACGACACACGTTCAATGTCCGCCCGCAGTAGGGTCTCGTTCTCAACTGCCAGCCAATATGGACCCTAAACGAGTCAACGAGTTTCTGCCAGCGTCGTCGGCCGCGGCGATGACTTCAGATCGGATGGATGCCCCGATGGAGGACGACTTCGACGTGGCGCAGTACCGCGCCCTTAAGAAGGACAAGCAGGAGGAGCAGAAGCGCCTCGACCATGAGCACGACCTTCGTCATCGCCACCTGGAGGAGCAGGTGCACCAGGAGAACAGCCGCCTGTACGCGCAGCTGCAGCAGAGGGTCAACGAGAGCATCCAGCGGGCCTTCATAGATCTCCAGCCAGCAATCGCCACCACGATTAACAGTCAGGTCAGCCTGAGGCTGGAGCAGCAGCGCCTGCGTGACGAGCATGCGGCCAGCAGGAACACAATCGAGCAGCGTTATCACAACAAGATCACGAGTCTCATGGCCATGCCCTCGGCTGCTCGATCCGCAATTCCAAGGGTCAACGGCAACAGCAGCAGCACGCCGTCGCACCCCCCGCCCAACGACACCCGAGTTAGTATCACACTTGCAAAAGAACCCTCATGGGTGAAGTCTCACTAACTTTGTACAGATAGCAAGCACCGGCGGGACTCCTGCAACGCCAGCTTACCCGAGCAATTCACCCGCACACCAGCACGCAAGCACACCAACTCCATCACGTGGACCACCGCCTCAGGAACCCTCTCGTCCCGAGCCTGTAGCCCACCAAGTGCAGCAGCAGCAGCAGCGGCAACAACTGCAGCAGCAGCAGCAGCAGCAGCACCATCAGCACCACCAGCACCAGCAGGAACTGCAACAGCACAGGCAGCAGCAGCAACAGAAGCAACAACAACAGCAGCAGCAGGGCCCGCCTCCTCGCCCCGACGCCCCGCCACATCATCACCAACAGCCAGTGGCACCACAGCGAATCCTCCCATCTGAGCCCTTGAATCGACCGCCCGTGGCCGCTTCCCAGCGGATGCCTCTTCCGGAATCTATGCCACAGCAACAGCCCATGATTCAGCAACGCATGCCCCCAGATGCCGTACACCAGCGGCCGCTACCCCACCACCACGTGCCTTTCGAGTCTCATCCCCGCGAGCCTCGTCACCAGTTGCCCAGCATGGCACAACCGCAGCCGCAGCCGCAGCCTCTGGCCAGCGACCCGGGCCCTGAGGCACTCCGTCAGAGCGTTCCGTCGCTTCCGAGCTCCAACTCTGTTCTGACAAGTCGTGGTTCTCAAGATTCGGTTCTGACCCCACGCCAAGATGTCAAGAGGAAAGCCGCTGACTCGCCAGCCATGGATGCCGCAAATAGCGCTTTAAAGCGCCCACGCACCAGGGATCGCCCTTTCGAGCAGGGTCAGGATGGACCCTCTCCAGTCAAACGGAGTCCTCGTGCCCACCGACCGCCACCTGTGCAACCTGTGGGCATGGAAAAGCGGGTTCAGCGCACAATAAGCTTTGCGGAGGTCTACCAAGATGGCAAGGCCCAGTTCAAACACCAGATTTTCGAGTACAAGGCCGGCTCAGGGAACTGGTACATCGTCAAGTGCGATGAGCACGGCGTCCATTTCAAGTTTGGCAACCCCGTCCACGGTGCGGCCAAGCACGTACACAGCCCTCAACATGACATGCAACCCAAGACGCACGATCTGGCTATCGAGATCTGCGGATACCTAGTCACCGACTGCAATGCCGAGCTTGCAAAGCTCAACAATGACGAGTACCAGCGCGCAGTGGCCCAGGATGGGTACGAGCCATATAACCGGAATCTGCTCACCAAGGAAGGGAGGCAGCGGACGGACAACCATAAGAAGCAGCCCAAGACCGAACGAGAGGGTGGCGAGATTCATGTCAATGGCGACGCTGCTGCTCACAGGCAGTACAAGCCCCGGGAGCCGAAACCGGCGACAGGTATCACCCCGATTAGGGATTGTCACTTCTACCAAGGGCTGTGGCAGTCAAATAAGAAATGGTACTCTCTCGTCGTCTTGCCAATACGACCGGACGGTAGCCTTCGAGAGGTTGGCTTGAAGGAGAGGTTCCAGGAGCTCCCGCTCATGCAGACCGTCCCAAAGTGCTATCGTGTCGACCGGGTCAGCCTGATGATTAAGGGATGGCAGCCTGCGTACGAGGACGGCGAGGCAAAGGCAAAGAAGCGCGAGTACCCTGTCATGTTCTTCGACAGGACTCCCTGGTCGCTGGGCTGGCTGCCCGCGCAGAAGCTGCAAGAGCTGGACCTGGACAACCCGCCTCAAGGTGTGGATGTCAGCGGTCTGAGGAAGGCCCGGGAGTGGTTCGCAGTGAAGATGAACAACCGGGCCAGTTGGGAAGAGCTGAAGCGACTAGGGCCTGGTGAGCCGCTTTCGGCGACTCCTGAGGGCGAGGCAGACTGGCTTGGCGAGCAAGGGCTGTCCCTCCGATCTGCAGACAAGCCGGATGACAAGAGCCCAACCTTCTTCGACAAGCACCACGGAAAGAGCCCCGGCTGCCGCGATTCGCCCGGCACTGGCGATGACTCGGACGACGACAGTGATGAAGTGGAAGAGGACCCCATGAAGATGGATATCGGACCGATCCCAGATCCCAGCGCCAAAGACTCTAACTGGGTCGAAGGCTCGGATTCAGAGATGGATATCGATGATGAACCGCGGCCCAAGAGGGGTAGCCACGATGCTAAAGACGGACCTATTGTTGAAGCAAAGACAAATGGCACCAAGGCGACGGAGGAACCGCCCAAGGAGGAGTCCGATCGGGAGGCATCCCAAAAGGACGAGCCCCGTAGCGAGGCTGGTCTGTCCAACATTCTCTCGGAGCACGAACGGGTGAGGAAGAGTGCCCAGACGGCACAGGCAAAGGCAGCTGCCGCAGTTAGGGAAGCTGCAAGTCGCAGCAGGGCCGCTTCGGAGGTCGCTGACGACGGTCCTCAGCCCTCCGAGCCGGTGGCGCCGAAGCCACCTGCACCAGTACGGGCAGACACCGATGCAGGCCCGCGACCACCGCAGCGGCCTGCCCTGGCTGATCACCAGCGCTCGAGGTCAGACGGCACGTTCCCTGAACAGAGTGGGCTTGCGGCACCGGGCATGGCCAAGGTTGTCGAGGGGAACTTGAACTTACCGCGGACACGTCCTTCATGCCTGGGGACGGCTAAGCATTCCAACCTCCAGAACATCCTCAATCCGGCTGGCATGCGAGGTGATGGACCACCCACTGAGAACGGCCTCGATAGCTATAAGCGATTCGATGCCCTCATGGCCCAGATGAGCAACGACACGACGCCCTTGCGACCTGCCTCAGTGCCGGTGCAGCCGAACGGCCACCACTTCCAACCGCCAGTACAGCCGACGAAACAAGCTGATGCCGTGCATCATTCACCCTCCCTATCGCACATATTATCGCCCCCAATGCAGTCGCCGCTGATGGCCCCGCCTAGGAGTGCATCCACCACGCCGGTGCCTGATGGCTCGGGGCGCAGCACGCCGACGATCATGGTTCCCAGTAGCGGAGACCGGTGGCAAGCGGTCAGGACTTCTCTCGGCCCGGCACCACCCGGACGGACAGCATCGTTCACGCCTCACGGCGGCGATGTTCAGAAGCCGCGGCCTACCACACCTACTGTCACAGCGCGAGCCGAAACACCCGTCTCCGGGGGTGCGGACAGGAAGGAGATCTTCGACGTGAGCCAGTTCCGCGACTCGGGCCGCGGGGTGCGGTGGTCACGCAGCAGCAGCCCCACGGCAGGATACCTGCGCCTGGCTACCGACCCGGTGCGGGGTGTCGCGGAGGCGGTAGACGCGGCCGAGGCGGAAGCGGTGCCCGCGGGGATCGAGCCCGCCAAGGTGTCGCGGATCGAGCTGGAGACGGACCGGGACCGCCAGTGGGTTCAGCTGGTGCTCAAGGACCGCAGCGAGCAGGCCCTGGCGTTCGAGACGAATTCGGCTAGCGGCCGGCTCCTCAACGCGAAGATCCAGGGCCGCCGCTTCGTCAGCTGGGTCAGGAAATGGAACCCTGAGGCGGAGCTGAGCAGCGGGTAGGTCGTGGTTTTCTCTTCGGGATGATATTCTTTTATATGGACAAACAGACTAACGGGGTTTCCTTCTTCTTTTTGTACAGGGAAGGATCTAGTCGGCGCTCGAGTGTTACAGATGACCGCCGGTCTACCACGGCTGAGGCTCACTGAGGCGTGAGTCGCCCTCGGTCGCGCATTTACAAGCTTTATTCGCCTTTGTTTTTTCTCCTTTTCCTCATCCCACGGAAGGAATAGTTATGTTGAGGTACTTTTGCCTTACGGGTTCTTCAGATATGGGACTAGCAAAGGAACTTGAAAATACGTTTGCTGATTGCGGAACACAGGGGGGAGGCTATCTTTATGGGACTCATGCATCTCGCTTTTCTTTGTTGGTTGTGGAGCGAACGAAGCCACACAAATGTCCCGTTCATTTACGGCATACCTGACGGGGGGGACTGTGAAGTTAATCGAGGACGGGGCTCAACTGAGCCCGCGGGCCAGGTACATACTAATTGAGGTGGATGGGGCTCAGCATGGCATGGCATGGCATGGCATGGACACCTGTTTTTGTCCTTTTTTTTGTTGGTTTTTGTTGCTGTCTGTTTTGGGGAAGCAATTCGATCGATACCCATTGCTGGATTTGAACTGAGAGGGGGCGTTGCTTTTCCGCCCGAGAAATAAAAAGCTTGATGACTATCTTATCCTATTGACTCGAGATTCCTGGCTGGTTCTGGTGATCTATCTTTGGGTGTCGTGTCTGGGATACGTAGGGTATTTGAAGAATATCTGCCGTGAATAAGCTACTAGGATATGTATGTAAATCTGAGAGACCTTGACTTATTGGGCTCTGTTACGAAATGCCGCTCCCGTGGAGCAGCTTTACACGTGATAGGTTCGCTGAATACTTAGGTGTGGTCTCTTTGAAGATGATATATAGGGCTATACACTCCCGACAGGTCCCTCTCTCTTGGAAAATAACGTCCCACTAAATTAGCTTCTCGTAGCATGTATGATATTCCACTACATGTTTAAGAAATCAAGACTTATAGGATGTACTTCTTTTAATCTATAAATTAAACTACTAAATAAGGTTGTTGAGATACAGATCCTTGGTTGGACAAGCATCTTATAGGATAGCCCCTTACAGTGTGCCCCGGCCCCCAAGGGGCTATCAAGCTTTGCCGTGATTGAGGACGGGGAGGTATTGCGCGTTAGTTACACTGAAGCTGTGCTCATGACACTCAGGCATGCAGGCAGGTGGAGGAGCTCCGGCTGTGCAATGCAGCATGACTTGACTCGACTGTGCCGCGCTGGATTGTTTCCTGCAAAGCCCTGCCCTCAGCTCAGAGTAGCCCTGGAGTTCAGCCCGTTCAGCTTGCTCTCCTGAAGCCAAGCCCGGCATGCACTGGTTCTTTGATGTCCCTGCCCTTGGTGGCTGTCAGTCAGTCTCGACCATGTTCCTGTTCTGCTGGGGGATGACTTCGTGCCTGCAGCTACATGCAAGCAGGCAGTCTCTCTGCTCGATGTGTAGCTGTAGTCACGATGGTTGCTCTTGGCAAATGATGTTAATAAACAACAACGTCAGTCATTGATATAAGTGGGTACACATATACGTATCTCGGTCGTCGGCCTGCTGCCCCCTGGTCCCTCTGGGGCGGATGCTACGCTGCCAGGCTATTGGCGGGACGGGGTGCTGGAATTTTGCATGTGATGGCGCCCAGGCTCACTGTTTGGGCGGGCTCACGTGGCCACGGTTTCGAGCGCTTGTGCACTTGTGGCTGGGCAGCCGAGCGGAATGGCCGACGGTGGGATGAAATGGGAAGTCGCGCTCGAGTCCGCCTGTATCACTTGCTCTGTCTATTCTTTTTCTTCGCTGCATCAAATCACCCTTTTTTTTGTTTTGCACAACTCTGTCTTTTTATCTCTCCCCCCACATCGGCACACTAACTGCTATTTTTGTTTGCTGGCCTGCCTGCACACACAAGCAGATGACGTCGTAGCCCACCGAGCGGCAGAGACGGAACGGAGCAGACTGGCTGGACTGGCCTGGCAGTGCATGGGCAAGGGCCAAGGCGGTGGACCTGGCAGGTGCGACTTGCAGCTCTGCTGGCCGTGCCGCGCAGGAGGGGCAGCGGACAAGGGGAGCTGCGACTGTGACTTAGATGGCTGCGATCGTGAGTCTTTTCTATATTGATTGAATTTTCACCATCCCATCTTCATCTTGCACCTGCAATGCTGCTGCCAGTGCCTCCTGCCTCTGCGACAGATGGGCCAGGTGCAGGCACCTGCTGCTGGTCTTGGCGCACGCCAGTGTGACCAGTGCGCAAGGGCGGGCGGACAGTCGGACAGGCAGGCAGACAGGCAGGCACCTTGGGGAACTCCTCCCCCAAGTACACCACGGCCGTCGGACATACACTCTGAGCTTGCAGGTGGCAACGTCACTCGTCGTCGCTGTTTGATGTGAGCATCACTCTTCCTGCTCATGCTTGTGTCGACTTGCCTTCGCCCACTGCACCCACCAGCCATGCCCCGAACTCTCCGAGCCTGCCCAAGCGCATGAGCTTGTCGTCAGCGCCTCGTCGCAACCCAACCAGCTCGCTCCCCTTCCATCGAAACCGCATATTCACCACCCGAGTGCTTCCATCCGTGGCGCATCAACAACCTCGCTAACAACCAGCCCTCTTCCGTCCGTCGCAGGAAATCCCCTGGCTGACCCACATGTCCACCCCTCGCCGCCAACGGGGCGACACCCTCGACAGCTCCTCCACCCAATCGCCAGATCGCAACGATGATGGCCCGGCCTCCTACCTAGGCGCCGCCGCCGCCGAGCCCAAGCCGACCTACGCCTCCTTCTCCCCCGCCACCCTGTCCTCCTCCCAGCCCGTCTCGGCCGCCAAACGACTCTCCACCATCCTCGTCCACCAGAAGTCGCCACTGCTCTTGGCCACCCCTCCCCAGGTCACCCGCGCCCTCGCATACAGCCACCCCTTCCTCCTACCCTTGAACAAGCTCGTTGGGCTGCTCAGCTGGACCACCAGGGATCCTTGGGAGAGCTTCCTGCTGGTCGCCGTCTTCTGGGCCACGGTGCTGTACGGAGATGTTGCCGTGCGCTTTGCCGGGCCCGTGGTGGTCGTCCTCATTGTGATACTGGGCATGTATGGGAGGCGGTTCAGTCCGCTGAGCAGCAGTGGCTGGAATGAGGACGGCGGCGCGGGAGGAGGTAGTGCCGCCAACGGCTCGAAAGGCAAGGTTAAGAGGACGCCGACCGAGAACTCAGGTGCGCCAAATGCGAATGTGTCGAGGGGTGCCGGGACAGGACAACATACGAGGGTCGGGTCGGAGTTGACCAACACAAAACACCAAAAGACGCTCGACGAGATCGTGGAGACACTGAAGGAGCTGACTGCGAGGTGTAACATCCTCATGGAGCCCCTGCTGGAGTTGACAGACTTTCTTAGCACACAGCGCACGGCCACCAGCGCAACCACGAGGCCCGCCTTGACAACACTGTTCATACGGATATTGATGTGCACCCCATTCTGGGTCGCCTTAACCCTGCCTCCGTTCCGGGTCATCTCAACGCGAAGGGTCGTCCTCGTGTTCGGGACCCTCGTCCTCACATGGCATGCCAGAGTGGTTAAGGCGGGGAGGACGATACTGTGGCGTAGCGCGAGTGTGAGGAAGTTCGTGGCACTCATTACGGGCTTGGATGTTGCCATGCCGGAGAAGGTCATCAAGGTCCAGAACAATGGGGTTCAGCAGCCTACGTTCGAAAAGGAGGCTTCCAAGTCCAGGGAGCCGGCATCGTCAAACGCCAGGGCCCAAGCACAGTCCGAGCTGACAAAGGCGATACGTCGAGCCCGCGGGGCAAACGATGCCGGCGTCAGATTCACCTTCATCATATACGAGAACCAGCGGCGGTGGGTCGGCCTTGGTTGGACAAACAGTCTGTTTGCATATGAGAGAGCTGCCTGGACGGACGAGCACAACAACCCTGTCCCGCCCAAGGACAAGTTCGAGCTGCCCGGGGTCGACGATGACAGCAGCATGAGGTGGCGATGGGTCCGAGGAAGTAGGTGGAGGGTGGATGGCGTGTCCGACGAGTCGGCCAATGGTGGAACCTCTGCGGGCGCAGAGGCCGAATGGAATTACGATGGCGATGCCGCTAAGAACGGCTGGATATTCTATGACAACAAGGTATGTCCGGCGAAACAAATCGTCACGCGCTGATCGCCAACTGACATCCTCACGTAGTGGCAAAACGGCCGACGCGGTCAAGACGGCTGGGGAAGATGGACGCGAAGGCGGAAGTGGTACCGCGACGCCGAGCTGGTAGAGGTAGACAGCGACGACGAAACGGAACAGGCCAAGGAGGCCCCCAAGGAGAGCTCACCAAAACACACCCTAGAGGCACGAACATCCCTCCCTCCCATGCCGAGGACGCCCACCCTCGCACCGCCCATCACAACATTCTCGCCCAACAACGAGACCATGAGCATGCCGGACCTCCACCGGACGAACGACTCCCTCAAGGAGATCAAGGAGGAGGGCGCGGGGAGCCCAGGCACAACAGACAGGGAAAAGGACAGGGACAGGGACGACGCGTCGTCTGTGCTGTCGACGTCGTCCCGGTCGATGAGGCTCCTCCCCTCGCTGCGGCGCCGCGTCACCGATAACACCGCCGCCGCTGCCGCCGCCGCCGCCGCCGGAGGGGGAGGGGGCAACAAGCACGACAGCAGCGTCACGAGCAGCCCGCGGTCGGCCGTGGTGTCGCCGTACTCTGTGGGCGTGGGCGGCGCGGGGCGGCGGGCCCGGCGCGCCAGCGAGGTGCAGAGCGAGGACGACCAGGCGAGCCTGGGGCCCGGGCTGGGGCTGGAGATCTCCAAGGACCGGAGGGGTGGGTCCTGGGGGATCGGGGACGAGGCTGTTATGGGTCTGGAGTAGGGGAGGTGGGTGAGTTGGGTACGTAGGTAATTAGACAGACGGGTGGTTGGTTTCTGTGCGGATGGATGGATGGATGTGTGTATGGATTGGTGGTTCTTTTTGAGAGGGGGCCGGGGGTGTAGCGATGTAGCGGGTAGTATATGAGTTATAATGTTAAAGCTTCTTTTTCCAGTGGGAGTTGTGAGTGATAAGGTGGTTTTGGTGAGTTCTGTTTTTGACATATGGTCGGTCCCCTCTATGTGGTGGTAAAAGCTTGAATATCTGGGCCGGGTATCTACCGTAGTAAATGCCCGTGTCCTGGTTGAACGGCTTGGGCCCCCTCTTACGGGGACTTATAAAGATGTCGTAATAGGTCTTATAACTATGTGGTTTCGCTTCTATTCCGTATACGTCTGAGGACATACATGGCGCCTTCGTACGGTGGTAAGCACTCAAGACCGTCTTATAACTATAATTAAGTTACCAGCTATGAGTTCGCCCGCTACCGACGGTTGGTAGACTAATACAGTGGTGGTTTTATTTTTAACCCCCATACATATAAAATATATATGCCGCCTTCATACAGTAGTAAACGCGTAAGACCCAATTATTTGACTAATATAGTATCTGTCTAGGTGATTATAAGAAGTTCTGCCAACCGTTGTTTTCGGCCACGGGCTTCCGCTACGGTAGGTACTACGTGGCCGCGGCACCATCCTCGCGACCTACAATAGGACAGTCTCCTGTCGGGCAGCTTCTTATAAGGTAGCACATTGAGAGATAACTTATTAAAGAATAATATTTTAAGGGGTCAACTCGAGGAATTATAGCGTAAGTCGATTATTATTATCAATGTGTACTATCTCAGGCTGGGTCTGAGTCTTTGCTCCTGCCCTCATCAAAAAAGCGATCTCCTCCCATTCCAAAAGTTCCTGCGCATAATGACTGTCCCCCACCGTCTGAATGAAGCCAGACAAGCCTGGGCCTCATCCTCAAACCGTGCAAACCGTGCAAGCCGTCCAAGCCGTCCAAGCCGTTGGACAACCGCGACCCAGTTTGTGCTGCGCTCCTGGGGACTCGTCCCAAGTGCCGTGCCTCACCTCGCAGGTGCTTCCAAAAATATTAAACTTGCTCCCCAGTCCAATATAGCTCTTTCATTTTCGTCCACCTTGTCCGGCGCGCTATAGCTGTCCGGGATCCAGAAAGATCCTGCCCTTCTCTTCCGGCCTCCGCCCAGCTGCGACGACTCTGAGCTCGATCAACTCCTCACTATTCCAGTGGGCCGTGCCAGCCTCCCGTTTCGTCTCCTCGAAAGCCCTGGCCTTCCAGCGGACTTTGGGTTCAAGATCTGGATTCGGAGCCGGAGCGGCCGGGCGTGCTACCGCGCTGTTGAGTCGGGGCGGGGCTGCCGCCCTGGTGGTAGTACTTTGGGCGTTGCGGAAGACGTTGTCGGCCGGATGAGCTGCTGCCGCCGCTGCTACCGCTGCTCCTGTCCCTTCGCGGCCTCTCGTTATCACGCATTGCGCCTCCTTGTGCGGGTGAAGCCCCCGACTGGTAGCCTGATGGCCCTCCGGCAGGGTAGGACCCGGGCGTGGCCTCTCGACGACCGCGTTGGCGAGCCGCCGCCTCGGCTGCGTCCCAATCCCGCTGCTCTCGAACTTGTCGCGCTCGACCGTCACGAACGAGTGTCGGGAAATTCTGTTGGTAATCAGAGAAGGATCCTCGTGGGACACGGTCCAGCTCGGGATCATCGTGTATCCTTAGGCGAGCCTCCGCCTCGGCTGCCTTCCGCGCCTCCTCTCGATCTTGTTCCTCTTTAGCCCCGCGAGCAAGTGTTGGCCAATTCTGTTGGTCTTTAGAAAAGGATCCTCGCAGGACATGGGCCAGGCCGGGATCTTCGCCTGGGCGTGCGACATGTGTGTGGTGCGGCTGCTGGGAATGTTGGTTTTTATTGCCACCATATCCGCTCCCGGAACGATCCCCACGTCCTCTATTATTGCTCATCGTGGCTGGTGTTTTCGTAAAGGAGTATCACTTAAGAGAGTCGTAGCCGTTGTGCTGCTTGACCGTTGCTGTGCTGTTAGATGGTGGGCTAGGTATGCTTGCCTGGTAGTGAGAGCTGCTGATTTAAATAGTTTTTTGGAAGCCATCGCAGTGGTTTTAAGAATAATTGTCACTCAAGTCTTTGAATGGGGAATGAACTGCTTACATGACTTAGTTGCTGTTCGTTTGTGTTATTCACCGTGGATGGGTCTGATCCTAGCTACGACAGTGTTATTCATGCATTCAAGCTCGTTAATTAGTGAAACATGCCTTAAGTACGGATGGATTCGAGTGACATGGAGTTAGCTAAACTTACTGCTGTGACTTGAGCTCAAGATCATTATACTGATTGATACCTAGGTACTTAAGTACTGTAACACCGCCAGTGCTTCAAACGCAAGGGTGTACCCAAGCGTGCATGACTTATCTACATCTAGGTTCTTATAGACCTCATAAGGCTAACTTCTGTTATGGAGCCTCCTACAAGACGGCCTCCTTAGTAATACCCTAAGATTTAGCTCTCATAGGATCATATCCTAGAATTATATTTAGTATTACAGCACACCTATACAGTTTAAAATACTATATGTACTACTATCCCCTACCTAGGTAGGTAGAAGGACTACTTTCTACCTTTTTAATTCATCACTTAATTATCTTTTAAATGTTTTATCAGCTCAAGTGTGTTCTTAGCTATAGTCTTTAAGATGAACAATTGTTATTAGGTTTCCATGGCTCTTTTCTGAAAGCTATCAGGAGGACCTTCCTTTTTGGTAGAGCAAGTGAAAAGCCGGATACGAGATGTATAATGCGCAGTGTATGGTTGCCTTGGTAAAGGAAACTATATTGCGTGCTGTGTTCCAAAACTGCAAAGGGTATGTTTATTTCTATTATGGATCTTATGCTGCTTAGGTCCCGACCGATGCAGATAAAAACCAACACAACCCGGTACCAACTCATTCCCTATCACCCACTAATTCCCGGTGAGCAGGTAATTTTCGACCCAGCGAATTCCCTGAATTCCGGCCCGTTATCGGATTTACCCATCTTTTAAAGAACCTATAACGTCCCTCAACCTCGGGCCTACTAATACCATCCTCCTTAAGCCGTCGGAGAAGTCCATCCCAGGCTGCCATTAGCTCCTCATCACTCATTCTCCGCGAGCGCACAGCGTTTATGTATTCCCACACGCGGGCATCTTGCGACTGGGTCCAGTTTCGCCCAGCCGCTTGCCACTTGCCCTTGATTGCGCTGAGGCTTCGACTTCCAGGGAGCCTTTGCCCGAGCCCTTTTGCTTCCCGCCAGTTCTCAAAGCTGGCTATAATGACTTTTAGTTGGAAGAATTGCTCATCAGTCCAGGGCCCCTGGCCGTAGCTCGTTTCGTTCACTTCGAAAGTGTCGTTATCATTCCACAGGACGCTTGGGTTTCTAGGGTCCCATCCCGGACCCTGAAAGTGAGGCGGGGCAGGTCCTGGGGCAAGTACTCGGGCAGGTCCTGGGGCAGGTCCTGGGGCAGGTCCTGGGGCAGGTCCTGGGGCAGGGGCTGGGGCAGAAGATCCTCCTCCTGCACCCCATCCCCCTCCACTCCCTCCTCCACTGCGGGCCAGACTGTGTGGGTTCTCTGCCGGATCAAGGCTGCCTGTAGGGTCGATCACGGGAGCACGGTAGGCCTGTGAACTGCTGCCGCCTTGGGGTTGGAGAGCATATCCACCCATCTGTTGCGCTTGAAACGGGGCGAAATTGGCCGGGTTCTGCTCGAACTGAGCCACATATGAATGTTGTGGCGGGATCCCAGTGGCTTGTGGAGCCGGGGGTTGCGCATAGACAGGTGCTTGAGTGATAGCAGGTGCTTGAGTAATAGGAGGGCCTTCGCTTTGATGAGAGTACTTTGGGCGTTGCTGGTCAGGTTTCGAACTGGATGATGAGCTACTTCTACTCCCGTCCCCTCGTGATCTCTTGTTCTCCTTTTGGCTCTTATACAAAAATGTTGGATAAGAGAAAGAATTCTCAGAAAAGTCGACGTTTGTCAAATCTGCTGCCTCATAGTAGCCTGTGTTGTAGCCATATTCCGGGGAATTTCTGTTGCTCTTGGCCCTGTTCCCATCGTCGGAACGACTCCCCTGTCCCCTGCTGGGTCTCATGGTAGCGCTGATACTTTGCAAGTCGGTCTTTTCAGGTAGCCGTGGCTTTCAAGTGCCTTGAGTGTGGATACGATCTTGTGCTGTTGTGTTGTTGAGGAAAGAGAGCTTCCCTAGTAGTGGTGCAAGTTTAAATAGTTTCGGACGGCCATCCTGACAATTCCTCGAGTGGCTGTCACTCGAGTAGTTGAAAGATTTATTATCCTGGGTGAGTTATTGTTCCAAGGTGTTACTCACCGACAGTGTCATTTGTATGTGGTTGTGGTTTCGCTTCTATTCCGTGTACGTCCGAGGACATACATGTCATTTGTATATATGGCCTCGCCATGATGAAGTTACCCCGATAAGTACGGATGGATTTTCAATGTTTGAGTTTGCTGAACTCTCTGCGGCGATTCAAGCATGCCAGCCCAGTCAGAGACCATTGATTTTTGCAATGCTTCCAAGGTTTGTTAGCAGTGCTTCGTTTGCTTAGTTAGCCGTTGGCACCCTAAGCAACCAACACACACACCACTTTTACCCTCTCTTGCACGTACTTGATTGAGCCAGCCGACAATCACTCTGACTGTTACTGTAAATTGCCTGAGATTTAAATATTTTTTTTTAATATAGTCCCCGAACTTGCGTGAGGTACCCACATCTAAGGTTTCATTCTGTGGAAATTCATTCTATAAACCTTCGATTGAGTGGTCTCTCTACAAGACCACAGAAAGCTATCCTCTAGATGCATAATCGTTCATCCTATGTTTTTCTAAAAGATGTTCTTGGTGGGGTGTTCTTTAGATGATCTCTGAGAGATTGATATGAGGTCACCCAATAAAATAACCCTTTCAAAACAAATGATTGTATACGTCTGCTTTGCACTCATGCTATCAAGCACATGTCCTGAATGTTGATACTGCCAGCATCACTGGAGCCAGAGGAACTCTGTCACAGAAATTGACGTCCAGGGTAGGTCGCTCTGTGAATAAACTACCTTTCCGCGCCACTGACAATACCAGATTGCCTTGAGCTGATAAATGGAAAAACAAGGCTTCAATATTCTCAAGTGCTGTGACTGCCAAACCTTGGCCACCTATGTATCGGCTACGAGTTCGTCAGCAGAGCTCTGTCGTGAGCGATCTACAGGTAATTCAATCGCTAGCGAAGCGGTTCAATCAAACACTGACCTAGTACGTACACGAACTGCTCGGGACTGGGACTCGGCACGGCCGACATCACCTGCTTCTTGCCCAGTCTCCAGCTTCCGTCGTTGGCCGTTCAAGGGAGCTTTCATGGTTACCTACCTAGATAGGTCCAAGTCTAGGACAGCTTGAAGACGGAGTTGGTCGGCCACCTGGCACGGACGGGAAGTGTTGGATTGCCAAAGCAGTGACTGACGGGCGGCTTGTTACACAATGGTGATTTGTGGCTCTGCCCGGGTGGGACATGGCCAGCGATGCAGTTCCATCAGCTCCATGTTGGTTTGATACGCAAGGCTGGGTCCTCAAGGCACCTGGCCATTGATCCCGGGCACTTGTCCCTTTGGCACTAGAAAAGTATGAGACAAGTAATCTATCTTCTTCACGACTTACACGAGCCGTGGCGTCCACGGGTGTCCCACAGGATCAAATGCTGACAAGAGCGCTAACACAGGTCTGCATCTCGCAACAATCCATTGTGGAACTGCAAAATCATCGTGGTGACCCTGTAGAAATCAGCAACCGTCCCATACTGCTGCTATTGTCTTTCCTTGATGATGAATTGCGAGGAATTCCAAATGTTTGGAACTGGAGGCCCCCCCCCCCCAAGGCAATAGAAACTTGTGAAGCATGTCCGCTCATTGGCTTCTTTCCTACTCGTCTATCAGTTGAGAATCACTCGGCCATCACCGTAGTGAGGTTATTGAAACGCCCATCAAAGCTTCAAAAGCTGCGAGAACCTTGGAATTAAAACGGTTGTACCAGGTGACAGTTTAGCTTTTGTGCTCTGGATAGACCCGGGGCACAGCGTGACTCGGGACGCCACTTTTCCCACGGACATCGTACAACATTGAATATCAGCAGACTAGTCGAGATATGAGCTGTCCATGCTTGATCCCAAGACCTGGGAATTCGGCTAGCCCGATAACCATGGGAAGCGAGCACAAACCCAGCAGGTAACACCAATAGGTGTGGTGCAATTCAAGTCACTGTCTGAGAGCAAGTTACACGATGGCTAAAAGCACCACGAGCCCATAGTTCAGTTCAGTGTTGCTCGAGCACATTCACGGTATCCATTGCCAGCCTCAAACACTGTTGAATGGCCGCATCCCATAGATGCTAGACTGATTAGGCGCACTTGTAATCAAGGGAGGTCATCTGCAGACGACTCGAAAGGAGCAGCTAAAGCTTCAGGGGCCCAAGGGACTGGGTCTGGGGTTGTGTTGTCGTTACAGTAATGAGGGCATTGCCATTGGGCGGAGAAGAGTTCGCAGGACGCTAGGCTAGCAAGCTGGTCAAGGCTGATGATGCAAGTCTCCGGTGATGCCCCACCCCCACCTACCGCTTTGGGGTTTCGGGGAGCGGTTCCGCTCCTTCTCTTCCCGCCTCAGATGATGTCGAGTCCCTCAATTGTGGGGCGAGCGATTCTTTTCTGGCCTGACTCTGCTCCTGGTCGCTGGTCGCTGGGTGAGAGGAGCTGGCAGGCTGGGCGACAAGGAAACATTGAAGACGCCAGACAACCAACGGCCATTGAGTGAGCATCTGCGCAATTGAGCACTGGCAACTTGTAAGGTCAAGACGGCCGACTTAATTGGTGCAGATGTAGGGATTAATTAGTGACTGACTCTGGCTTGCTGGGTACCTGGGTACTGTTTAACTTTGGGCTGCCCCTCAATTGCAGCCGTTGCCCGTGTCACGGAGTGGAAATTAGAATCATTACATCAAGCCCCCTTGCAAAGTCTCGTTGCCCGACATCTGAGTCACCACCACTCAGCAACACCAAGAGGAATTGACATCTATCTTGCTTGGTTTCTTGGTTTCTTTAAATCCCGAGACAATTCTCTCGACTTTTCCATTAGTGCTGATTCTTGGTCAATTAACAAGTCAAGAATTTTGGCCGGTACAACCTTTGCTCCTGCAGCCTGACAAACCCCGACATCCCGCCCTCCAGAGCTCCAAATTTTTTCCATTTTGTGACGAACATCCCATCCCACCTTCGCCCGAACTTCACTGACCACCACGACCATCGCAATCACAAACCTCCAGCCTTGCACCAGTCTTCGTCTGTCACTGCGCCCGTTTGGACATTCTTGCGGTTCTCGATCGCACCACAAATTCCTGCTCGTCTCGAACCAGGAAGCCCAACCCTCACAATGCCTGGAGTAGAATTCGCACCACAACTGGCGGACGACGTCAGAGGTATGCACTTGGTCTCACCTTGATATTTCGTACTCTCTGTCCCAGATGGGACGCCTGGTCATGGACTTGCAGTGTCCCATTCCCCAGGGCGTGCACCCTCAGCTGCTGCTTCCCAGAGGCAGCAAGCAAGCAGCAAGCGTGTATCGCAGCCGGCTGACATGTTCTTCCCCCTCCTCCGCAGTCGAGGGCCAGGACCCTCTGATTCCACCCGCCCTGCTCATCTCCGAGCTCCCCGCCACCGAGAACTCCCTCGAGACCGTCGTCAAGGGCCGCCGCGAGGCCGAGAGCATCATCATGGGCCAGAACGACCGTCTGCTCGTCGTCGTCGGCCCCTGCTCCATCCACGACCCCGCGACCGCCCTCGAGTACGCCGACCGGCTCAAGGAGCTGTCCGACAGGCTTTCCGGCGACCTCTGCGTCATCATGCGCGCCTACCTCGAGAAGCCCCGCACCACGGTCGGCTGGAAGGGCCTGATTAACGACCCAGACGTCGACAACAGCTTCAAGATCAACAAGGGCCTGCGCGTGTCCCGCCAGATGTACAGGGACCTGACCAGCAAGGGCATGCCCATTGCCTCCGAGATGCTCGACACCATCTCCCCACAGTTCCTCGCCGACTTCATCTCCGTCGGCGCCGTCGGCGCGCGGACCACCGAGTCCCAGCTGCACCGGGAGCTCGCCTCGGGCCTGTCCTTCCCCGTCGGGTTCAAGAACGGCACGGACGGCAACCTGGGCGTCGCGATTGACGCCATTGGAGCCGCTGCTGCCAAGCACCACTTCCTCGGTGTCACGAAGCAGGGCCTGGCCGCCATCACCCGGACCAAGGGCAACCCCTACGGCTTCGTGATCCTGCGTGGCGGCAGCTACGGCCCCAACTTCGACAAGGAGAACGTGCAGAAGGCCAAGGACACCCTGACCAAGAAGGGGCAGAAGCAGGCCATCATGATCGACTGCTCGCACGGTAAGTCTTGCAGCACACAGTCAAGCGAACACATTACCATGACCATACCCGGCTGACCACCGACGGAACAGGCAACTCCAACAAGGACCACCGCAACCAGCCCAAGGTGGCCAAGACGATCGGCGACCAGCTGCGCGAGGGCGAGAAGTCCATCATCGGCGTCATGATCGAGTCCAACATCAACGAGGGCAACCAGAAGGTGCCCGCCGAGGGCCCCGCCGGCCTCAAGAAGGGCGTCAGCATCACGGACGCCTGCATCGACTGGGACACCACCGTCTCCGTGCTCGAGGACCTGGCCGCCGCCGTCCGCGAGCGCAGGGAGAAGAACAAGGGCCACGCCAATGACAATGGCAACGGCCACGCCCACGCCACGCCCCTCGAGGAGGACTAATTAAATCAGCATATTGCCTGCCCCCGTGGGGTATGTATAGGGATCACAAAAGAAAAAAAAAGCAAGGGGGAAAAGTTTCAGCATCTGGGCCACATTTTGTGCCGATTGGGTTGATGTAATTCGAGCTGGGTGGGTGTTTTGCGTGAGACATCGCCGAAGATACCTGGGGAAGAAGCGGGATGGGGGTGCTTTTTTCCCGGAGGAAGTGCCTTTTTCCGGAGGAAGTGTCTTTTTCCGGAAAGAAATGCAACAGAGGGCCTTCGGGTCTTTTTCTTGTGTGCAAGATCCGGAAAAGCAGGCTAGTCCAAGGGTTAGAGAAAGGGGCGTTTTGCAAATTGATAATTTTGGGCTTTCAACATTTTCATATTCCCGACCCTGTTGCCCTGTGCTTGATTGTATGCCCGGGCCGCCCTGACCACATATGGCTGGAGACAATGATGACAGTGTGCCTTTAATTGAAAATGTTTTAGCGCTCAAGCCATTTCCTCCAGACTGCATCACTGCAGTGGCTTTACTATCACGTTGAGGTCTTCGCTGTTGGTGTAGACGGAAAGTCCGAGGCAATCCGAGTTGGGCCGTTTCTAGGATGCCCAACGCAAGGCTGCTGCTACTAAGTGCTTATTTACGTACAAGTTTGAGCAACAGCACTCAATATGACAGAGAGAAGACTTCTGCATGTCATCCCACGAGCCTACATTCCCTCAATCTGCATCTTGATGAGCAGGACCACCCAATTCTCGACCATCCTGCGGTAGCTGTCCTACCGCACTCTCCCAGCCAACCAACTCTGTGTGGCACTATGCCACCCGCACGAATAATGTCGTCCATGCCTTGTTGATTGAATCATGCGTATATACGTGGCATTCTACAGCAACCCACGGGCACGTAAAGTGAGTGACAGGCACACTCATGTGTGCGTTAAGGGCGAAAGGCCCGATCAAGAATGATCGGCCTCGAAATGAACGGAGAGCAAAAAGATGAAAAAGATGTAGTATTGACAGTCTATCCCAAACCCGCGCCAAATGTCAGTCCCATCCCACTGGTTAATTTGTCCGCAAACTGCTCTCCCGGCTATGCCCAGCAACAGCGGCATAGGCACCACGGCCGCCGTCCGTCCCAGTCGAGCCCAGCCCGCCGCGGCCAAGAGGCAAGATACCACCAGCACCACCACCCCCAGAACCACCAGCAGCAGAACCACGACGACCAGCACCAGCACCAGCCCCCCCTCCGACCCCAGGCAGGCTGCCACCGCCAGACCGCATGTCAAACACCTTGTGCACGGCGGCCCAGCCCAGCAGGCCCGCGGTGCCGAGGATGAACCCCCACACGATGACCTGGTCCTTGCGGCTGTCGCGCTGGAAGCACATGGTCGAGACGTCCTTGTCGGCGGCGCCGCGGCATATCGGCAGCGACTGCGACAGGCAGAAGCTGCGGTTGCACTGGCTGCAGGACCCGGACGAGGAGCCCGCCTGCGCGCGGCGGGCGCGCCGTTGGAGCGGGTGCGGCTGGTTCTTGCTGGTGGTGGTGCCGGTGCTGTCTTGACTCTCCTCGTCGGCGGCTGGGGCGGCGAGTATCTCGTCTAGGTCGGAGGAGGAGGAGGAGGAGAGGCTCAGGGCGTCTGGGTGGTCATCTGGGCTGGGTGGTGTTGTGCCGAGCCGTTGGGGCTGCGCTGCGGGGGGCTTGGAGGAGGACTTTGGTTTTATCTCTATGATTGTGCTGTTTGTGAAGCAGGTGCACTTGCAGAATGTCGGCGCCGCTGTGGGTGGAGGATGTGCCGGGGTCAGTTTATTGCTTTCGTGATATCGACTGATTGATTGATTTGCCGGATCGATGATTGGGGCCGGGTTTTGACTTACTCGCTGCCACCGCCAGGGAGGCAAAGGCGCCTAGCAGGAGGATGAGGAAGCTGAGCCGGTGCATGTTGCCCGTAGCAGGCCAGACTACGTCGCCGGGCGATGGTGAGGTCCACGGAGTCTGGGAACTGAATGGATCATCGGTGAGTTGATCAATTGAGCAAGTTGGGGTTGGAAAGCAGCCGCGCCCCAGGCGACGTCGTGGCCTTGCCTGCCGCGAAACCCCCAGATCCCTGCCGGCCGAGTCTGGGGGGAGCTACGCCCGGCGAAATTTCGAACTCCAACACGCAGGGAGTCAATTCGAGCTTCCAATCCACCCTCACCCCCTCCTCCTCCCCCCCCCCCCGACTTGACACACACACACACACACACTATGCGGAGGATAGCGAGGATACAAAGGCCCTCTGCGGCACTGACCCAGTGCCTGCACGCCTCGGCCTCGGCACCCCAGCACACGGCTGTTGTCGGCAGGGCAGCACCAGCAGCAGCGAGGCGGACACGCGACTTCACGACCACACCACAGAGGCAATTCCACAGCTCGGGGAGGCTGGCAGACAAGACAGGCCCCGGAGAAGAGAACGCCGCCGAAAAGGACGCCGAAGAGGCCGCCAAGAAAAAGGATGCTCGCGCCTGGAGGGAGAAACGCCGCGCAGCAGCAGAGGAGGACGCCACAACACCCACAACCACAACCACGACCGGCGACGCCCAGCAGCAGGAACAACAAACACCCCAAGAAGCATCAGCAGCAGCCGAGCAGCTCCTCGAGTCCTACGACCCCGAGGCCGAGGCCGCCGCCGCCGAGGAGGCCGTCGAGACGGACCTCGTCCTGCCCCCCGCGGACGTGGCCGTCGCGCCGCGCGAGGACGAGCTCGAGGCCGACGGCGTGCGGTACGAGCCGGCCGGCAGCGCGCGCGGGCTCGAGGTCGTCGGCGGGCTGGGCGGCTGGTTCCAGCGCGACGAGCACTGGGGCGCCTCGAAGCGGTACGCCGGGTTCGCGCCCTCGCGGAGGGTGGACGACGCGAGCCTGCTGGAGCTCAACGTGCGGCGCGCGGTGGCCGAGGCGCTCGCCGTCGCCGCCGCGGGTGCGGGTGCGGGTGCAGGTGCGGGCAACAGCGAGGCGCCGCTGTCGCTGACGGGCCTGTGGGAGCGCGGCGGGCGCGAGGAGGCCGAGCGCGCGCTGGGCCTGAGGCTCGAGGTCCGCGCCGACGGCGCCGTGGGCGTCGTCGCTGCCGAGGCGGAGGGGGTCGCGCGGGCGCTGCGGTGGGACCCTGACGCGCCTGGTGCGGCGGCCGCGGGGCCCGGCGAGGAGGTTGGCGCGCAGCAGTTCTCGGCTGAGGAGGCGAGGGAGATTGTGCAGTCGTGGGATAAGGGCTGGAAGGACATCTCGCTGCACGATGTCCAGCTCAAGTTTGCTGTAAGTTGCCATGGACACGTGCATACATACATACTGGGGAGGGGGGGGACACCAATTTGTTCCGGGTGGCGATGGCACATTCATTGATTGATTCATCGATGGCGGCCCCATGCTAACCATCTCGCCCCATCTACAGGTAACGAAGCGCATCCTCCAGCTCACGGGCCACGCGGTCCCCGACTCGAAGCTGCTGTCGGTCCACACGGCGGGCCAGCTCGTGGCGCTGCTCGTCAAGCCGGAGCCGCCCACCAGGGTCGCCGAGGCCCTCGAGCAGCAGGGCCGGCTGGCCGGGCTGGCCAACGTGCGTGTGCACGCGACGCGGCGCACGCCCGTGCACAAGCACCAGGAGGTGGGCCGGTGGAAGGTCATCGTCGAGGAGCTCGAGAGGCGCAAGATGCCGGCCACGGGCGACGGCGGCATCGGGCGGTTCGTCGAGGACAAGTGGCTGCGGGGGCCGAGGCTGCCCAAGAACGAGAGGAAGAAGAGGAGGTGATGGCTGGGTCGGGACACTGGGCGTCTGTCTGTCTGATGGCATGGCGGCGTTGAATGCGCCGCGTGTGTGTATGTATGCCAGATTGGGGTCAGGCTGTAAACTACAATACAATGTAAATGGATTGGCCGCCGCGGCTGGCAGCATAGAACCCCAAATCCATCGGTGGTTATACATGGCAAGTCACTGAGCGATGACACCTGTGCCGGCCGTATATTGTGAGCTTTCGTATTGCTAATTGACTGTACAACAAGATCGATGTCAAGAAAATAGGGTTGCAACGTACTCGCAGTTCGGTGGTGGACTTGGGGCAACATGTTGATAGGATATCACAACTGGAAGGATAGTGGTCGAGATAGCAACACAATATGAATCACGTAGGCAAGTTCAACATCAACGTGGGTTTATGAATGATCGATTGTCATGATGTGCTCAAGTATCTATACATTCTTGGTCGCAACGCAAAGCCGCATCCCAGTCTGACCCAATTTTCCTTCACCATTTAACTGCCATTCTGATCGATTGACGATAAGTAAAAGTGTCGCAAAGCAAGGTTTACTTGGAGCCACAGGTGCCTAGTCATTGGTTAATTATATGGCATTCACACAACTGAACGTGGAGAGTCGATGAGGGATACTCACAAGCACCGGGGCCGCACTTGCAGCTAGATCCACAGTTGCATCCGTCGCCAGCCATGATATTTGGTGGTGGTTGGTTTGTTTGGTAAAAGATGAATATATGTGTGTGTGGTAGTTGATGGATGTTTAATATTAAGGATGCAGGCCTAAGTGGAAGGGGAGAGGAGGTCGTCTTATATATCCGAGGCTGCGTCAATTGTGCGGGATTCGCACCAGCAGGAGCAGGGGCTGTCGGCCTGCAGGAGGAGGGCAAGAGGGGTCCTCCCCACTGGGTCCTGATCCCTGTCGGGAATGATGCAGATTCGAAAGCATCAGCCCGGCAGCCCCACCTGCCCACCTGTACAGCACGAGTACATGCCTTGGAGCTGCAACGTATTCTTTGCATCTCTTGGGCGACCGACCTGTGACCCCACCACCACCTCCGATCTGGACTAAGATGGACTGATCTCAGCCAATGACACCACAACAGACAGCCGACATGGCAGGATCACCGCCCAGGGTCCATGCTCGCCCAGCCGCTGCCAGGACAGAGGGATCCCTTCCCTTGAATCCCATCTCTCCTGCCCCTCGGCTCTCGTCGCCGTGCCCATCTTACATGGGCTGTATTCGCCTCCCGACGCCTCTTTCGTCCTTGGCCAGGGCCTACCAGGCCGCCAGGCTGCTAGTCCTGGGCGCCGTCAAGCCCATCTTCAGGGTCAGAGCAGAAAGAGGCAAGGAAGGTCACGACCGTGTACCGTCGGTTGCGATATTTGTGCGCGATCCTGGGCCAGTCCGCTTTGAGGCTGCGCCCGGCCAGCCGGCTGTATGCATAGCAGTTGTGCTGTTGCGACAAAGGACAAGAGTCCTGCGTCCGTCCGACCATCAATCACATGGGGGGCCTAGACGTCATCCGGCCACACCATCGATGCGTGGTTTGTGCGGGAGGGGAGGGATTGTGCCCCCTCTGCACCTCTCTTACGGCCTTTGATCGTGTGTGATGGCACTCGCTACGGAGACGCGGTTGTAGATGCTGTACAGGCAGACAGGCCGCCACCACAAGCTGCCGAGACGTCACCTTCAGTCAGTGGCGTTGGTCCTTTCCCTGAGATGCCCGCTTTCGGCGCGAGGCCACTGGAGGCATCGGCCACCACCCAAACCGCCGGGCTGTTTCAACAGGCGGGACCAGCTTTAACGGTAGACGCTGGGTCGTCATACTACCTGGCTACACAGTACCCCGTACCCACAGCATATCCGGCCATGTTCGTTATCAACGGCCGGCAGAGGCACAACGTTAACTGGTCCCCCAATAGGTCGGCACCACGCACGCCTGAGTTGGCACCTGGGCAGGCTGGCTCGCGCCCACTGACTCGGGGTGGTCAGCAGAAGACGACAGAAGCAGCAGGTGTGTCTGCCTCTGGCCGGCTCTTCCCAGCCAAACACACATGTTTATGCCTTTTTGGTTTTGCCGCCCACAAGCTTCCCAGGTCCTTTGTGTGTGTGTCTGTCTGACCGGCCAGCCGAGAGCGAGGCATGGCTTTCTCCGTGGATCGGGGGCCACGCCGCGGGTAGCAACGTATCACCAGCATACTATCTGGATCATCTTATCGGGCCCCGCGCACTGATCCCTCCCTCCTCTGTAGTACCTTTCGAGAGGTGCTATACGAGGCTGCATCAAACCCTTTTCGCACCTGGCCTGCTGCCACAACACGCCAGCGCGGTGTACAGGCACGGATGCGGGCAGTCCTGTCTTGCAGCGACGGCATCTCTGAACCGCCGCGGGCTGTGGCTGTGGCTGTGACGGGCGGGACGGTGCCTCGTCCAACACCCTCTGTGTTCGTCGAAGCATATCACGCTACGTTGGGCGCTGCTGTGTTGAACATTTGCTAGTACTCGTATGCGCCGCCAGCCCGAGCAGCAGCGACAGCCGGGCTACCGACGGCCGTCACTTTCAAGTCGCCATTTCCGCCGAATTCATACCGCGGTCGGGACATCCTCGTCATAAGTGACCTAGGATCCCCATAACCTTGTTAGGTGGGACCCCGGTCAAGTGCTCGCGATGCGCACCACACCCCCACGAATTGGACAGTAGACCAGTGCTTGTCTCATTATCTTGTCGTTATTGTTAATAACTTATTTTTACTTCTATTATTACATGATCTAACGACGAATGTCCTGACCCGAAGCCTAACATTGAAGGCGGTGAAAGGTGTCAGGAGGGGCCGACCGGTATGAGACGTATCCGGCAAAGCTCATGTGCTGCACAGTGAACTGCCCGAGATATATCAGAGAAAGGGCCGGCAGACTGCTGGGCGATGCGTCCATGGAGCCGTCCTGCCGTCTCCGACCAAGGATGATGTGTACTCCGTACGGGGTCGTCTTGATGCGGCGCCAAGGGATGGAACACATTGTAGCAGGCTGTCCAGCGTGTAAAACAGTCCGTCCTCGCGAGTGGCAAACGGCAGCTATCACCGTCGTCTCCCGCCTGCCCGCCTCGTCAAGGCCAGAGGATCTGGCGGGAGTCGGTCGAGTTTCCAGAACAATGCCCTTCGAGCCTGATGCGACGTCGCGTCACAGCCAAGCACTATATTGGTTGCTATCGGGGCGGGTTCTATCACTGGAACACCCTCACGCAGCTCATGGATTGCGTGATGTCCAAGTGGCACTTGTTGTACATGCTGGCCGGGCCTGATTGGCCGTGCTCACCATGCACAATATTCATGCCTCACACCCATACGGTGCACACAGTGGCTGTCACCTGAGAATTGATGACCTTCCGGACGCGGACACGGACCGGTGCTAGTGGGCCCTGGGTACTACCATACCAGCCTGGCCAACGGGACGTGCCAAGTGCCTCTTCGTCACCCTCCCGGCCGCCGGCTCAGTCGACGGAGGAGGCTACACGGGGCGACGGCGAAGAGGTCGCGGCGGCCGTGCAGCCTCTCATCCCCAAGGCCATGCGACGCCCACCGCGGCGAGGTGGCCAAGCTGCTCGTGCGGGCCTCGTGCTGGGGAGGGCCATGATGGAGCATGTCGAGGTGCGCGCTGGGCCTGCGGGTGCGTCACCCTCGACACCAAGACGGAGAGACGCGCGCGAGCCCTCTGCCGTGCTACGTTTTCTTCGTCAAGGCTTCATAATTGTGTCTGTGGCCTGGCTGGCTGGCTGCTTGGTGGCCCAGGGCCTCGCCGGCAAACCAAACCACCCCCCTTTCACCGGGGGCATCATCACAGCATCAAGACCCGCGTCTCCCCGATACACACGTCCACCGCGAACGCCAGCCCGGCCACCTCGACCCTCAGCGCCCCGACGTCCTCCCGCGGGAACCCATCCGACCCGGCGGGCCAGCGCCCCAGCGTCGGGCTCTCGAGCATCTCGGCCTCGGCGGCGGCGGCCGTCCCCAGCCTCGCCTCGGCGTCCGCCACCCGCCGCATCGTCTCGGCCCTGAGCGCCGCGGCCCTACCCTTCTTCAGCTCGGCGAGGCGCTCCGGGCTGTTGTTGTTGTTGTTGTTGTTGTTGTTGTTGGTGGTGGTCCGCTGCTGGCAGTCGTGATCATCATGGCTGCCCGCGGGCAGTGGCGGCGGTAGCGACGACGAGAAGAACGCCTCCATCTCGGACCGCACCCGCGCCCGGAGGTGCGCCTTGGCCCGGGGCACCCACGCCACGCACCGGTCCACCAGGCCGTGCCCGCAGTACTGCCCGTCCACGCAGCCCCACCCGCGCCCGCCCGCCGCGCACTCGTGCCGCACCCCGCCGCCCCGGTCGTGCCGCGCCCGGACCTCCCGGTGCTTGGCGTGGACCGCCCTGCCCAGCCGCGCCGCGAAGTCCCCGAGCCGGGCTTCCTCTGGGCTCTGCCCTGTCCTGGGCCGCCGGTGGGGTGTCTTGCCTCTTGCCCGCTTTGGGCCGCCGTCTGTTTCCTCCTCGTCCTCGTCGACGTCGTCCTCGTCAGCTGGCGGCGTGGGAAGGCGGCGTCTACTAGTTTTGTTATCCCCGGTGGGGCCCTTTCGTCTCTTGCCTTCGGGTGGCGGCGGTTGTGGTGGGCTCGGGGCTGTCTCCGACCCCGAGTGGCACAGGAGCGCGTCCACCTCGTCCTGGTCGAGGACGTAGTCGCCCGGCTCCAGGGGGGTCCCCTTTGCGGCCCGCGACGGCTGCCGCCGCCTCCCCACGGCCGCGGCCTCGCGGCCGCGCCGGGCCAGCTGCCGGCCTGACTCCTCCCTGTACCACTGCTCCGCCCTCCTCGCGAAGCTCGAGAGGCAGTAGACCTCCCCCCTGCGGAGGGGCGGTGAGGGGGCCTGCCTGGGCGTTGCCGCGCAGAACTTGAGGATCCTGTCGAGGTCTGGGGGGTTCTTGGGCGGCGTCATCGGGCTCGTTGGTGGCCTTTTTTTTTTTTTTTTTTCCCTTTTCGTAATAGTTGTTGTTCCCTCCTGTCGTCCACGCTGCTCCAAGGTTTCCACGCCCTGTTTCCTCGGCCGTAAGAGATTGAGTGGTTGATTGAAGCTGATTATGGCTTTTTCCTGTGAGATTGGTAGGATCCAGCATGTTGGTATAACATGCGTGTTCCCTCTTTGTTGTGATGCCGTGTCAGATGCCGAATCTGGGAAGGTGTTGGGTGGCATCGAAAACACAGTCAAAGACAATGCGGTTGGTAGTTCCTTTCAGCAGATGACTGGTTGGAACGTGTTTGAGAACTGGTGCATCGCAGCTGCTGGGGTTGGAGTTTCCTGGAACTCAGAGGGAATGGGAAGTTACTGGACAGTCACTTGAGCAAATAAACGGGTTTGAGTCTCAAATTGCACACATTTGCTACTTTGTCATCTGAGCGTGTTTGTCATAGAACTGAACAAGTTCAAGTTACTGTGAGACAGGTATGAAAGCTAATCATTACAATAGAATAATGTGAAAGCATCTATGTTGAAACGCCGATGAAAAATAGCGGGTGGACAGAAACTCCCACTATCGTCTAGTATCCCATTGCAATCCAAGTTCTTTCCCTTCCTCTTCCTCCAAACGACCTGCATGTTTACCAAGGGCCTTGGTCTTCTCTTCCGCGTAACAGCATACCTACGTAAGATACCATTGGCACCTAAGATAACGTACTTGAAAGAGGCTATAATGAAGCATTAATCTTAGCAGAATGCAAAAACGTCTGAGGAATAGTCCCTGGCCTATTTGCGAACGCCTGGGTTCCCCGCCAATATTTCCTTCTCCTGCTCCTCAGTAATGGGCAAAACCTGCTTGATGACCTCATTCGCATGCAGTATCGCCTCCCTGGCCCCGTCCCAGGTCTTCCTCTTCCCCGTCTCGAAATACTTGTACATGTGCGCCGTCTCAACGCCGTCGTTCATGAGCTTATACATCTTGCGGTCCCGCCACCAGAACTTCCACCCCTCCCACCTGAACGGGCTCAGGTTCTCCATGCCCGTCCCGGCCGCATGGTGCAGCCAGCCCTGGAACTCATACTGCTTGACCATGCTCGTGTCGGCGCTGTTGTCCATCGCCCAGCGCGAGGCGACCCACTCCTGGTGCCTGTCGATCCACGCGTTCATCTCCGGGAGGGAAGGGAGCGGCTCGACCCCGCGGAAGACGTTGGACACCGCCATGGAGGTCACGTCTGCGAACGAGAAGCCGTTGGACTTGCCAAAGGCCGAGTAGCACAGCATGGCGCACGAGTCGGCGTACCTGGGCGGGAACAGGTTCATCCACATCCTGTAGATGGGGTCACCCTTGTAGCCGTGCGCCGTGGGCGTGCTCGTCTCCACGAAGGAGCCGCCCACCACGCCCCAGTCCGCCTTGTACCCCGTGCACAGCACCACGGCGTCGACGTCATCCAGCACCGTGCCGTCCAGCAGCTCGACCGTCCTCGGCCCCAGGAACCGCCTCAGGCCGTGCACGGACTGCAGGCTGCCGTCCTCGAGGAACGGCATGATGTTCTCGAAGCTGCCCGGGAGCCTGAGCAGGATGCTGGGGATGGGCAGGAGGCGCCACTCGGGCTTCAGGTTGGGGAACATGAGCCGGGCGAACCACGCCAGGAAGGCGTCGGCGAGCAGCTTCGCCAGCCCCGGGAAGTGCCGCTGCAGGAGGTGGGACATCTGGCGCCGCCGCCAGGTCACCTGCGTGTCGTTGGGCACGCCCTTGCGGAAGCGGCGGAAGGGCAGGGCCCCGCGCCGGTGAGAGAGGTAGACCGGGTGGGCGGCGTGCGGCATCAGGTCCGGGGCGATGTCGCCCGTGGTCGACGAGAGGCCCAGCACGAGGACGCGCTTGCCGGCGAAGGGCTGCGGGCCGCGGTACTGCTGCGAGTGCATGACGACGCCCTCGAACAGCTCCTGGCCCTCGAAGGCCGGCACGACGGCCCTGGTCTGGTACCCGTGGCAGAAGACGACCTTGTCGAACTCGAGCGTCCTGGGCCCGTCCCCGCCGGCCGTCTCGACCTCGAGCGCCCACTTGGTGTCGTCGGCGTTGCGCGACGCCCCGCGGACGGTCGTGTTCAGGTTCCAGTGCCGCAGGGTGTCAAAGTGCCGGGCGTAGCTCTCCATGAAGTCCTGGAAGTGCTCCGTCTTCATGTAGATCGGGTACTTGTCCGGCATGGGGAAGTCGCTGAAGCCGCACGTGAACTTGGAGATGTTGGCCATGGTCCGCGGCAGCGCCGTCGTGTACGCCGTGTTGTCCGAGTAGGCCCACAGCCCGCCGACCTTGTCCCGCCGCTCGAAGCCCGACACCGCGAAGCCATCGTCGCGGAGCTGCTTGAGCATGGACAGCCCAGAAGGGCCTGCGGGGACGTGTCAGCCGTGTATGCCTGTGCGATATCCATGCTGCTGTGCGCTTACCTGCTCCTATCACGGCCACGGTCTGTTTCGCCATTGTTCTTGCAACCGAGCTCATGGTCTGCTGCTCCAGTCTGCCTGGTGTAACACAAGATAATATAATCACACTGCACCCATGGAGACGTAAAGTGGCCGATGCCCAGCTTTTGCATCCGGCGCCCAAAAGATGGTAAGCGCTAGGAATTGGCCTCAGTGAAATTGGGATGCTCGAAATCCGACGCCTGGAAACGCTGTGGTGGATTACACGTTAGCGCCAACGGTTCTGTTGGTTTGAGGATCGACGTGGCGCAGGCTAATTCCTTGGTCAAGGGTCCAGACATCTGGAGCCACTTTGGCTGAGCGGACTCGGCAAGTTTCTTTCTCCGACATGCGACAACACCGCAATGAATATGTTAAAGCCACCTATGTAGCCTCGTCTTGCACAGCAGCATGAATATGTCCCCTACTTATCTGTAATCAGGCTTATAGCCTGTTGAATCAGCTTACTTCTTGGTCGCGGTGGCCAATCCGGCTTGGTTCAGAGTCTTGGTTTCGTCATGATAAGAAACTTCAACTGAATCTCGATTGTGCACAGGGCTGATGTAAAGTGGACCAAGAATTCTTCATCTGTCTTGTCACAAGAGAGTCCTAGTCGGAGATATTCATGGACAACCTCGTTTTGGTCATATTAACAGTCTAAGACTGAAGCGATGAAGAGTCGTGGAAATGTATGATGGTCTTATGCGGAGGATCTTGTCCTTTCACTCGAGTCCATTGCAGCTCCCAAAAGGGGAGATCTACTTACAGTCTAAGCATAGTCAGCTCTTTCATAATATAATTGAGTGTCACTATGGACTCATCAGGTCATGATAAACGGACTCACTAGCGAAAAACTCACTAGCTGATGCTGGTGAAGTGAGCTGTGCCTACCACTTTGAAGTAAATAGAGATCAGATCAATATCGACCGGTGCAAGGTTTCTCAATGCTGACGTTCGTCCTCTAACTACAGAGGTTCCGCTTGGTAGGAGCTGGCTGCCAAGTTCTTAGACCGAGTGTTGTCAGATCGCAAATCTTGAAATTCAACGGCCTTGCCGCTAGTCGGAGGGCCTCACAATACCAAAGAGTTTTAAGCGATTTTTGAGTACAATTTTGGTCTCTTTTCAAGTCTCTATTCCGTATATGTCCAAAGTCATACGCGGCGCCCTCATGTGGTTTCGTTTCTACTCCCCATACACATAAAACGTATGTGGCGCCTTCACACAATGGTAAACGCTCAAAGACCCGGCGTTTAAAACTGTCAGTAGCTAGAGATGTAGAGGTTGACGGTCACATAAATGTTCTCCAAGCTTTGAGCAAAATGGCTGCTACAGGTAAGGCAAACTCAAAGTGACGGTACTAGTAGTGTTCAACCGACGTGGTTGGAGAGGTTTTGAGGATGAGTTGAAGGTGCATCCCGGCATTTGTCTTAGACGGCAGAGAGCAGCAAGTCAAATACCAATTGATTAAGACATATGACCACCTCAGTTTCGGAGATCCAATTGGTCAATTGATAGGACTCCTGGAAGCGGTTGATCGTACTGTCGGGGGCATTTCCGGGCCATCGAGATTTTCGACGACGGGCGATACGTTATGCACGTGAGACCCTACGCCTAGGTAGGGAGCTCTAGGCGCAGGACGATATCAGTCAGAAAGTTCTAAGCTCTTGGAAACCTGATTCTAAAACTTTAAGCAGCCTCCTCATCCCTTGTGGAAAGAAGTCTGAGACAGCTTGAATTAGACGGTCAGAATCGGGAGTGTCCCCATTGATGCTCGCGTACACTGGACCGCAATGATCTACTAGTAGTGAAGGGCGACTTTCGGCGGCGCGAGGACCGTGAGATAAAGTAGCAGGACTATCCCCAGGAGGGGTGATCAATTTCCTCGTTCACGTATCTTGCAACTCTCAAGCATCCTTTATCAGTCGATAGCTCCACAGGCCATCGCTGTGAGTCATCATGCACTGCTTTGCCCCTCATGCCCTCGTGGCGCTCGCTTTGTCTGCTCTTGTGGCGGCCGTCCCAACGACATCAAGCACGACTCCATTCTCATTCGTGCAATGGGTTGAGGATATCATCGCCAACCCTGACGGTGACCACCCGTCGCCCGAGGAAGCCGTTGCCATGAAGGCGGCAGAAGGTTCTCATCCCATCGTTAAGAGGGCGAATTGCAACCTGAACTTTCCTCGCGCCGACGTAAGTTCCAAGGTGGAAAATGCGGTAGCTTTCCATACTCAGTTTTAAGTACGTCCTGGAATAGAGTTTGTCGAATCGCTGACATGTTGACTCAGGGTAATGGCGCTGCCTATTGCCTCGGGTATCTCGCTGGACTTGGGTCCAAGGGCGTGAACTGCAGCCTTGAACAGAATCAAAATAACGTCCAGATGTGGAGGCAGGGAAATGCCAAAATTGTTGGTACTAAAACCACGGCACCCGCTGTGAGCGTCAACTGGTGAGTCACAGAAATTCACAACATGTTATCTTCTGATACTTTTTCCATGCTGACGTCCCTCGGCATAGTGGCGAAGTGGCTCGTGTGGGTGGTCTTATTTTGATAGCTGCTGGAGAACAGACAATACAGTGATGGGCAGCGAGGTGGTTGCGGGTGGTTTGTACCAGGTCAACGTTCTCGGTGCGTAGGATTTGGAGAGTATGAGTTCCCACATCGCCAGTCCGCATGGTACAACTAGGTCACCTGAAGATCGCAGGGAGAAGCTCGAGCTTGGGAATCCATGGCATACTTCAGTCCAAGCTGTGGTGGAGGGCTCATCTCTGCAAAGCATTCAAACCATCTGTAGCCAGCATGAGTCGACGACAGGCAGCTTAATACGAGTGCCTCACAGGAATACCACACGTCCCTTCCATATCTAACCATAAAGAAAAATTCAACAGGCTAAACAAGGCTACCCAGGCTCCTATACATGTATTTCAAGTGCCGGTCTGTGAGTCTGTGATCCTCTACATTGCTCCAAGCACTTGGTAGACCTCTTGTACTGTTGTAGCCCCGCAGGCATGAAGCTCTTATCAAGTCTAAACTTAAGGAAACAAATGATAAATAGTGTTAGCATTAGAAAACACTTATCCCTTGTAAGCTTTATAGCTCTACTAGAAATAGTACAAACCTTAAATCTTTTTATAGTGTATGATTTATGATTGGTAGGTAGATCTAGATTAGTAACATAATGTATATACTGCAGCTAGTAGTTAAGAACCTTCTATGAACGTACATATCGTTATATCCCCAGCGGGTCTTTAAGCGTTCACCATTATATATAATTTTACTTCTATTCTATATATATCTAAGAATATATATAGCACCTTTATATAGTAGTAAGTATTTAAGACTTAATATTTAAAAAGAATATAATATTAATAATAATAGTTATAATATAATAAATATTTATAATTTTAACTTTATAATATATAAATAAAGTTAAAAAATACTATTTTAATAATAATATTAATTAAAATTATAAATAAAAGTAACCTATAATTTAATTATTATAAAAAGTTATATAATAAGATTAAGTCTCTAAAAATAATTACTATATAAATAAATTATATTAAAAGAAGCTTAGTTAAAAATTATCTCTTTAAATATATATATATATATATATATATATATACTAATAAGACCCTTACTAAATAAGTTAATATTATAGCCCCTATTTAAATATATAACTATTAATTTTAAAAGAACTTAAAATAAAGAAATAATTTATAATATATTATTTTAAAATTTTTATAATAAAGTATTAAAACTTTTAAAAAGAGTTTTAAGAATAATTTATAAAAAGATAAAGAAAGGGTATAATAAGCTTATCCTCCTTTAAATCTATACTTTTATTACTAATAACTATTAACTCTTTAATAGTATAAAAAAATATAATAGAAATAAAAGAAAGAGTGAATTTAAAGTTCCTCTTTAAGAGGACTATAAGAATATATATAAAGTTATTAAAGACTTTATATATAAGCTTTAAACTATTAGGGAAGAAATAAGTAGCTAAATTAAAAGATAGTTATATAGTGTAAAGGAAAAATATAGTGTAGCCGAAGCCTCACCATTGTATGAAGGCGCCGTTCATAGCTTCGCGTGTATACGGAATAGAAACGAAGCCAGACAAAAACGGAAGCACGCACCGCCTCACACATATTACACCGTGATGGGAAGCCAACGGTCGGCTAACTAGGGCTGGACATGTCGGCGACACGAGATGTTTTGTGGGGTCGCGCACCAGGAAGATCCAAGGCCACATGTGCAAACAAGCTTTATAGTCAGTGCATGTCTCCAGTATTTTGGATGACTAGGCCAATCGCCAAGACCAAGGCCAAGAACTTGGCTCAAGATGAATATGTCAATAATAGCAACAACTACATGGTTCACATCTAATTAATTGAAGACTAAGAGACAGCGTGATGAAACCTGCACTTGATGGCTTCGCCCTCGCTACATTTGTCTCCGACCGGGTACAGAATCCGGGGGCGGATATAAGCGCACCCCGGGGAAGAGATGATCTCTGCGTAACGTGAGGCTAACAAGCCACCCGAGTCAGCCTGAACATTCCAACGTGGCGGGGAAACAAAGCGATGTATCACACTGTGGGGCCGCTTAGGAAGACGTGGACTGCGGGGAATAGCGCGAATTTGCATGATGACCTCCCGAGATGGACCTTGTTTCCCCCTCGCCAAATTTGAGACTCGGCTTGTTGTTACCTAGGTATCTCTGAAAGTTTTCCCTGAGGTACGTGCGACATCCGGGCACCTCAAATATGGTCAAGAATATCAAGGCTCCTTGAGCCATTTTGTTTCAATGTGTGTGATGTTTAGCATCTTTGTGTAACTATTCTAAGAATTTGAGTGTGGTACCTAGTTTCGCTTCTACTCCGCACACGTCCGAGGCCATACATGGCGCCACTGTATCCTCTGTTTAGTATTAGACCACCTATCGTATTATGACCATAGTTATCGACATCGGGTCCTTTTCAAGCACTGGGTCTCGAGCGCTTTCCACCGTATGAAGGCGCCATATATGTCCTCGGACGTATACGGAATAGAAGCGAAACCACTTAGTTTTAGATGTTTTCGTCTAACAGAGCCCTTTAGAGTCTGGCCGTTTTAGGCAAGATATATACGAAAACGGCGTTTCTTTATATGCTAGCTGGAGCCCATGCATACTAGTATTCAATGTTGGCTCTTCAACAACATTCCTGCATGCCACATCTAGAGCAAACCGTCCCAAAACAACCAATAGATGACTCATCATCGAGTTCAACCCAGCTGTATGGACGAGTTCATCCCTTTTATTCGATCGGCTGGAGGCGAGGCGGAAGCTAGCATAACCTGGGGGCTGCAGGCTGACACCTCGGCCGAATGATCTGCGAACAGCTTCCTAAAGTCATTCTTACCCCTGCCGTAACTTTGAGAATAGCTAGAGCCGCACCTCTTGGGGCCAGGAACAAGCGTGGCTGTGCGTGTACCTGTCCGATGTTGTCGGATATGTCCCTCAGGCGCTCCCCACCTTGACAATATTTGGAGACACCCGCTTATACGGAACATGTCGTCCGCGCTGAATAGCACCGAGAAGTAACTTTGCAGCCGTCACGAGGCCTATGCGTTGTAACGCTGTAGAGTGACAATCACAATGTACCTACCCCGTGGGGCCATGCGACGTAGCACCCGCATACAAGCTTCTGTCGGCATTGGCGGAAATTCCCACTAATTTAGCATTTCCCATGCCCACCATTGACCTAGAATCGGACGTGGGGCCGCTTTGGGTTTGGGGAATCCCCGTGAATAGTGTCAATGTCGTCGCGACAGCGGTCGAGCCCATGGGGAATATTTATGAAGGCGCAGTGACGACTGAGGAATGTTGTATACTACCGCCAGTGTGTGGGTGTTCTTTAAAAAGCCCACGATGTTGCTGTTATTATCCACTGTCGGCGGTCCGAGGCTCCTCGTCCATGACTCCCACGCGCTCGCGGACCTTCTCTACCACAGCACTGCCCCTCGTTCCCCTCGCCAGAAGTGATCAGCCAAGATGTTCTCACGGTCAAGCCTCGCCGCCCTGGCCCTCGCCGCCCTGAGCTCGGTTGCCTCGGCCGGCCCCTGTGACATCTACGCGTCCGGCGGCACGCCCTGCGTCGCCGCGCACAGCACCACCCGTGCTCTCTACAGCGCCTTCTCGGGTGCGCTGTACCAGGTGCGACGTGGTTCAGACAATGCCGTCACAAAGATCTCGTAGGTCTACTCTCCTGGTTCTCTGGCCTGACTGACGGCTGACCCGTCAATGCTGCAGCCCGGTGTCGGCAGGTGGTGTCGCGAATGCCGCCTCCCAAGATAACTTCTGCGCCGGCACGACGTGCCTGATCACCATCATCTACGACCAGTCGGGCCGCGGGAACCACCTCACGCAGGCCCCGCCCGGCGGGTTCCAGGGCCCCGAGGCGAACGGGTACGACAACCTGGCCAGCGCGATCGGCGCGCCGGTGACGCTCAACGGGCAGAAGGCCTACGGCGTCTTCATATCGCCGGGCACGGGGTACCGCAACAACGCCGTCAGCGGCACGGCGGTGGCGGACGCGGCCGAGGGCATGTACGCGGTGCTCGACGGCACGCACTACAACAACGGCTGCTGCTTCGACTACGGCAACGCCGAGACGAGCAGCACCGACACGGGCAACGGGCACATGGAGGCCATCTACTACGGCTCCTGCACCATCTGGGGCACGGGGGCCGGCAGCGGGCCGTGGCTCATGGCCGACCTCGAGAACGGCCTCTTCTCGGGCCAGAGCGCCGGCCAGAACACGGCCGACCCGACCATCACCAACCGCTTCTTCACCGCCGTCGTCAAGGGCCAGCCGGCCAACTGGGCGCTCCGGGGAGGCAATGCTGCGTCCGGCGCGCTGTCGACGTACTACAACGGGGCACGGCCTGCGGGCTACAACCCGATGAAGAGTGAGTGTCATTGTCCCTTATTCACGACCTGGGGTATACATACAGGTCTTTTTCACGACTTGGGGTATACAAAACAGGATATATAGCATGTGAGGTGACTGACACGTAACGTTACCAGAGGAGGGAGCCATCATCCTGGGCATCGGAGGCGACAACAGCATCAGCGCCCAGGGCACGTTCTACGAGGGCGTCATGACCTCGGGCTTCCCCTCGGACGCGACCGAGAACTCGGTGCAGGCCGACATCGTCGCGGCCAAGTACGCGACGACCTCGCTCAACAGCGGACCCGCCCTGACGGCGGGCAGCTCGGTCTCGCTGAAGGTGACGACCCCCGGCTACGACACGCGGTTCCTCGCGCACACGGGGTCGACGGTCAACACGCAGGTGGTGACGTCGGGCGACTCCACGGCGCTCAAGCAGCAGGCGAGCTGGACGGTGCGCGCGGGGCTGGGCAACAGCGCCTGCTTCTCGTTCGAGAGCCGCGACACGCCCGGCTCCTACATCCGCCACTACGACTTCCAGCTCCAGCTCGGCGCCGGCGACGGCAGCAAGCAGTTCAACGAGGACGCCACCTTCTGCACCCAGCCCGGGCTCAACGGCCAGGGCACGTCCGTCCGCGCGTGGGGCTACCCGACCCGGTATATCCGCCACTACGCCAACGTGGGCTATGTGGCGAGCAACGGCGGGGTCCACACCTTTGACGCCGCCTCGTCGTTCAACAACGACGTGAGCTTCCTGGTTCAGACGGGTTTTGCTTGAGAGTTGATGGGAAAACCCGTTCAACATCGGCGGAAACCTTGGAATAACACTTTTTGGCTTCAGCCATACTATACATATATTCTTTTTAGCCAATTGTGAAATTGTTTGCCTTCTTGCTCCCATGTGTGACCTGAGTTGGGGTGGTGGTTGTTGTGCTTTTAAACTCTGTGAAAATCACCTTTTAAAATTGAGATCGGATATTCGCACCCACCAAAACGGAGGGTACGGCCAAGCCCCAAGGGATAACCTCTCACAGGACAACCGTGGGACGACCTCCTCTGGGACAGCCTCCTGTAGGATGAACCTATGGTATGATTACTTGTGCCTTGGTGCTAAACTAAGCACTTTGAACTCCAAGTTCCCTGGTATGGGTGTACCTTCCGCTTTGGCGGGTGCTAATATCCGATCTCTTTAAATTCTATAATCCTTGTTCTACGTAGTTGCCGCCCCAGGTAGAGATAGTGAGGCAACCCCATCTCCCGAAGTTTATAAAAGAACAAATTAGGCCGACTTAATGTAGTCAGTCCAATATGTTTATAATTACCTGTATATTTAGCCTCTAGGCTGCATGGTCTGCCATAAGTGCTTCATGTTACACGGCAGCCTACCATATCTATTATTAGCATTGCCAGACAACTTTAACTTGGTCTGCTGTCGGCCCGCGCTCTACAACTCATCCTCAACAAAAGACTATGGTGCAAGACCACTCACAATGCAGCTGAAACTCACCCTCGCCACATCGTCCATCTGTGCCCTGTCCGCAGGCACCGTCCGGGTCCTCGCCCAAGACAAAAGCTACTGCTACGACGCCGCGCAATACACAACCAAGTTCTGCGACCTGGGCAGCAGGCAGGACATCACCCAGGCCCTCGAGGAGACGGCCTGTGGCCCCCCAACCGGCGACCACACGTACGCCTGCAACGCGGCGGTAAGTGACCATGAAAAAAAAAATGAAAAAAAAAACAGGGAAGAGGACTCGGAGAGTTCACAAGGACCCAGGCAGGGCTTCACAATACTCTCTCACTAACATGAATCCCACCATCCCCTCTCACCTCAACAGAAAGCCCTCAACGTCCCCATGCCAAACAACGCCTCCCGCTCCTTCGTCTTCCACTTCGCACGCCTCCGCTACGTCGGCCAGGACATCCCCGGCGCCGGGCCCTGCGGCGACGTCTACCTCTCCCGCGCCAGCTGCGTCTACCTGGGCCTGGCGGCGATCGGCGCATGCGAGCGCGGCGGGGAGGTGACTATTAGTGAGACCGTCCCTGCTGGGGAGGAGGAGGGGGGAGAGGGGGAGGGGAGGCCTGTCACGGCTTGGTTGCAGGTCATCCCGTATGTTTAGGATTGTGGGCTTCACTGCGGGTAGGTAATAAGGGCCCCGGGGGGGGGGGTGCTAGTGGGCCCGTATACCTTGGTAGTTAGTTGTGGTAAATTACTCGGGTGTTTGCTGGTATATGGTTGTAAAATCAAATCAATCATCTGCCTCCTAAGTTGATACTAGTACACAACGACAGATTATAAGATAATCTACCAAAAGTACTTAAGGAAGTCAGACAGAAACCCCTCAGGCTGCCATGATGTGACATGACTCTTGAAAGACGCGGTAGTGTTGCAGTAAAAGTGCATAGGATCGCGCTCGACACCGAGGCCGAGTGCCTCTCGAATCTCGAGAACAAGACCAGGCAGTTCTTTTTCTTTTTTTTTTTTGTTATTCCCACTTGGGAGGTGACGCATGCACGGCGAAGAGAACACTGCTGTTACATCCTTCAGAAATGGTTCTCCCGTTGCTTACATAGTTAGTGTATCAACTCGGAGCAGATTCTTTATCAGAGTATCCCTATAGCCTGTCTGGTTATTGACCATTTCTTTAAGATCATGACCTGGAGAAACCTGTTACAAGTATTATGATTTGACCTGGAGGCCACGATCGGATTGAACCCCAACTCAAAAAGTGGTAATGATAATGTACCTTCGAACAAGATAACAAGATGAATGAGCAAGAGAGGCGTGCATATTGAAACATGATTTAGGCCCGACCGCAGTAAGCAACACCCATGATGCCCGCGCTGATGATGTGGGATCTCATGTGTCACAATATATACGCCATGCGCCTAGGGCAGAGGTAGTCAATTAGCGGGCGTCGCCTTGGCACGAAGAGTGCAGTGGCATTATTCGTGACACCAGGTCATCATGCAAGTTCCCTTCTCACGTGAGGATATCTTTCCATTCTGTGTTGTGTCTCGACCGATGAAACCGCTGTCGGTTTGCTGGGTGGCAAACCACACAAGACGCAGATCTATCTATATACACAACAACCCTCCCGCAAGGAAGAAAGAGTGCAACTTAAATCGAGGTCCCGAGTACAGACATGGAGTTTCGCCGTATGCTCCACCGTGATTCCACTCCCCTCGGTCGTTCGCCATGTTCTTACGAAACGCAAAACTGGGAAATAACGTTTGATCCATGCACAACAGACCCATGAGTCTTCGATTCCAACCTGCAGCACAGGGGTGCACCGCCAAAATCCACCCCAACCACCGTCCCCCCCCCCAGGAAAAAGAAAACAGCACGCAGCACACTCTCACCAAGAGAATCCCAAACTAAAGCTCAGCCTCCATGGCCTGGCTATGACCCTCCTTCCTCCCCACCCCACGGGCAGCATCAAAGTTCCTCACAAAGTCATAGTAGAACCGCACGAGCTCCATGTGCACGCCCATGTCGACCCGCTCGTCGATCGTGTGCCCGTTGAGCGCCCCGCCCTGGCGCGCGGGCGCCCACCGGTACACGTGGCGCGCCAGGCCCAGGTAGTGCCGCGTGTCGGTGTTGCCCGTCATCAGCTCGCCGACGGGGACGACGGTGGTCCCGCCGCCGGGCGGGGCGAAGGCGTGGCGGATCGTGCCGGCAAAGACCTCCCAGACGGGGTCGCCGCCGCCGCTGGGCGACGCGGGCGCCGCGAGCGTCTTCTGGCTCGACGTCAGCGTCAGGGTGCCGTTGTAGTCGACCTCGTACGCGGGGCTGACGACGCCCCCGGTGCCGGTGCGGCCACCGTGCTGCTGCTGGTTCTGGTCCTCCCCGTAGCTCTTGTACTCGTCGTCGTCCTCGAAGGCCGCCAGGGCCAGGTTGTACTTGTCCACGATGGGCCCGAGGTGCCTCACGACGTTGTGCATGACCTCGCCGATCGAGTTCTGCGGCGCGACGCGGTAGTTGACGCCGACCCTGACGACCTCGGGCATGGCGTTGATCTTCTGCCCGCCGCTGACGTAGTCGACGGCCTGGCTGGTCTGCAGCCGGAAGTTGGTGGGCCTGTCCTGGGACGCGAGCTCCCGCGCCAGGGCCTCGAGGTCGCCCTCCTCGAGCAGCCGCGTGACCTCGGGCTCGGCGTCGGGGCTGTAGCGCGCCTGGCACACGTAGTGGTTGTAGATGGGGGAGCCCTTGAGGAGGACGGGGTCGTAGGGGTGGGACTCGAGGGCGACGACCGCCTCGCTCAGGATGCCGATGCCGGTGTGCGGGAAGGGGATGGAGCTGTGGCCGCCCTGGACGTGCAGCTCGATCCAGATGTCGACGTGGCCCTTCTCGGTGACGGCGGGGAGCGCGTACAGCACGTCGCCGATCTGCTGCAGGCCCATGCCGCCCTCGTCGAGGATGATGGCGAGCGAGTCGTCGCCCCAGGTGCGCTTCAGGTGGGCGGCGATGGAACCCGCGCCCTTGAGCCCGGAGCACTCCTCGTCGAAGCCGAAGGCCAGCAGGACGGTCCGCTTCGGGGACCAGCCCTGGGCCAGCAGGGACTCGATGGCGGACAGCAGGGCGGTCATGCTGTTCTTGTCGTCGGAGGCCCCGCGGCCCCACAGCCAGGTGCCGTCGAAGTGTGCGTCGAAGGGCGGGTATGTCCAGGTTGAAGCGTCCGCCACGGGGACGACGTCTTGGTGGGCTGCGAGCATCAGTGGCTTCAGGGACGGGTCTGAGCCCGGCAGGGTGTAGAGCAGGCCAAATGTGTTGATCTTCTCGCGGGTGAAGTGCTGATGACTGCATGTGAGGAGTTGGTTGTATTAGAAGCCCGAGTCTCAACTCAACAGTGCCTCAAGCTTGTGAAGATTACTCACACCAGAGGGAAGACCTCGGCCAGCACATCATGGAATTTGTAGAAGGGTTCCCATCGCGGATCCTGGTCAAAGGGGCCGAGGTCATCGTAGCAGATGGAGGGCACCTTGACGAGGGCCGAGTGCCTTTCTACCTGCTTCTCCAGCGCCGCCCTGGAGCCGAAGAGCTTTGCAGCTGAGTGAAGCCCATCGCTGGATGGGTCGAGAGGGCTCGGGAGGTCGCACTCGAAGTCTGCAGCATTGCTGTCGAGTGCCCAGCCACCCAGCCCATGCCGGGGTACGGTGACAGCCACGGCCAGTGGCGTGACGATGGCCAATAAAGAGAAATGCATCTTTCAGAATTCTCAGATTCAACCGAAATGCGATTGAACCACCAACCAAAAAAGGAGAAGCTCAGCAGCGCAACCTGTTCACTTGAAGAAGGCGATAGCTGAGAAACATGGCGTATCTCACCCGGATTCCCCTGCGTAACGGTGCCGGATTGTCTCGAGGCATTGGGTGGCACCAGCCACAGGTCCCGCACAGCAGGTCGCGATAGGCAACTCGAGCAGGCGGATGGTGGGGTGGGGTTGGATGGGGTTGGATTGATAGGCATGGCGTGGGCAAGCCGGCACACGCACACGCGACAGTGCTTCGTATAGCCGGCGTGGAGTGTGGCGAATGGATGGACGGTTGGGGCTGTCAGGACTCGGCAGAGGTGGTCGGGGCGAGGGAGCCGGTCGGCATCAAATGGCCGATTCTGAGGGGGCCGGCGATCGGGAGATAATCGGCAAGGAGCAGGAGGACTCGGGGGAGATTGACTCGCGTGCCAATCTAGACAGGACATTGTGGTTGATGCATCCAAGTACTGTGTAAGAGTTAACAAGATGGGCCATGCCTCACTTTGTCAATTTGAAGTTTGTAAATTGATGAATGCCGACCGCGACCCGAGAAGCTGGTAAGGCGTATGTACTGGAGGGCTGGAGGGTTGGCTCGTCGGCCGTAGTAATAGTTGCAGTAGTAACAAGAACAAGCATCCCAAGACTGGCGCGTGGCAAACCTTGCAAGAGGCAGCTAGGTTGGACGAACGGGTCAGGTGGGATTTTGGATCTCGAGATTGGGTAGATTGGGCAGATTGGGGGGCCTTGCCAGGTGGTGACAAGGCAACGGTCGCGTCCGTGGGAGGGGAAGAACCGAACCGAGTCATTGCTCGAGCTTGGATCCATCCAAAGTTTAAACAGACCCTGGGACCCCGACCTGTTCTGGCATCAACGAGCAACTACATGTCGTCGTCTCACCTAGAAGAGGTGGTGCAGGAATTGGAGGGATTTTGCCGTTTTCAACTCGACTTGTCTTTACACCTTTTCGCTCCCACACAGTCATGCTGCAATCGACAGGAACAGCCGTCGCAATCTCGGGTCGGGGCCCAAAAACTGAAGTACCCACGTACTCAGGTACCCAGGTACCTTGCTATTGAGGGGGAAGCTAGCGGGCAGGATGATACGCTCGCAACGGTCTTGGCCTCGTGCTCCAGGCAGACACTCGTGCTGCTGCTCTGGCCGTTCAGCCGTTGAGGGATCAGTGGTGGGGTGCTGGGGGATAATTCAAGACGGGCAAAAAGAAACGGGACTGGCTGGCTGGCTGGCTGACTGGCTGGCTGACGTGACGGGCGAGCAGGCGAGGTGAGAGAGAGAGAAAAAAAAGAGACGGCAGCCAACCCGCATTTTGATCGTCAGCTCCCTGATCCCGTCATAATTTCCTCACACTGCTGTGTACAGCGTACAGCAGAGGCCTCTCTTCTCTCGGTCTGTCTCCCTGCAGCCCAGGCAGCCAGCCCTGCCATCCTCGGTCAGTTCCAGGCTAGGTATTCCAACCGCCAAGCGGCGTGTCCTTGCAGCCCTGGCTCGCACTGCAATGAGATAAGCGCTGGACTGGACCGAAGCGAAGGATCAAGACCAGTCCCATCATTGCCCCATGTCTGGACTGGACTGTCTTGCATCTAGAACACGCTTGACATCTCGCGCCCACCAAATCTCTCCTTCTCCTCTCGCACCTGCATCATCTGCCTGCACCTGCCGCACCCTGAATTTCCCTGCTCCCTTATCCCGTCAGCCTGTCAGCCTGTCAGTCGATTGTTTGATTGTCTACTCAGAGTGTCTGCTTGCTTGCCTGCTTACCTGTTCGCTCGCTCGCTCGCAGCCTCCCCGACAAACTTTGTGCCGGCTGGGATAAACTTCACATTGTATTCATCGCAATGAGTCGCCAATGAATATCCCACTTCATCAGCAACGTTCGTCTCCACCTTTCTGCGCCCGCTCGACATCCTCGCCGCCCCCATTGTGTGTGTGGCGGGTTTTTTGAGAGCCCGTTGCTGATCATCCTCTCACTCTCAGCCTGGCTGCCATCTCTTCACTTTCTCTTCAGTAGCCTGCCTCATCATATTCTCTGAAGCATCATTTCATCCCTCTGATCTTTTCTCAACGGAGCCTTGGTGGCCCACCACGCTCGTTTGACCTGCTCCTGCATCATCGACATCGACACCGACATAGGACCAAGCTCGATCAAGCTCGATCACGACTCCACCCCCTCGCAGAGCCGGCCACTCGCACAGAGCCCGCGCGCGGGTGGCACAGACACCAGCCCAGGTCATTGGGCCTATCATTACACATTACACCACAGCTTGACGTCGGACGGAGCAAGCCCCCGATGTACCAGGTCTCACTGCAGTCGCCCATCAGCCCCGGCGGGTGGGCAAAGGTCAACCGGCGCCGCATATTCTCATACCCGGCCCTCGGCCGGTACTGCGTCGTCGCCTGCTGCCTCACCCTCCTCTTCTCGTCGCTGCTGCTCTTCCGCTCCTCCGAGTCCGCCACCCGCCTCATCCCGCCCTCGCTCTCCGACATCTCCCCGCCATGGCGCAAGCCCGCCACCGACGCCGAGCTGCTCGACATCCTCTCCGGCGCCGCCAGCTCCGGGCCCCACCCCATCGACGACCTCATCGCCGCCGCCCGCCGCGCCCAGGAGGACCTGCTCAAGCAGCGCTCCACCGACCTGCGCAGCGCCGCCGCCCGCTACCGCGTGCGCAGGGGCCGCCACCCCCCTCCCGGGTTTGACAAGTGGGCCCAGTACGCCCTCGACCACGACGCCGTCATCGTCGAGAAGTTCTTTGACCGCATCTACCACGACCTGCAGCCCTTCTGGGGCCTCGACGCCCGCGACACGGCCCGCCGCGCCGCCACCGCCGAGCACGTCGTGCGCGTGCGCGACGGCAAGGCCACCCCCGTCGGCGACACCACGGGGAGGGTCCCCTGGCTGCAGCTGTGGACCGAGCTGGTCCAGGAGGCCGAGCAGTTCCTGCCCGAGGTCGACATGCCCATCAACTACAAGGACGAGAGCCGCATCCTCGTGCCCTGGGAGGACATCAACGACCTGGTCGACAAGGCCCGCACCTGGAGGAAGGTCGTCCCCGTCGAGGACGTCGTCAAGGACTACAAGGGCCTGGGCTGGATGCACGTCGACAACGAGCTGCACGCCCACCAGCCCCAGTGGATCACCAAGGACTCCCCGCGGTACTGGGACCTCGCCCGCGTCACCTGCGCCCCCGACTCCCCGAGCCGCAACGTCAGCGCCCTGACCGACTTCTCCCTGCCCCCGGCCTTCCCCGAGGACTGGGCGCCCGACTACAGCGAGAACGGCTACGTCAAGAACTTCACCGCCGCCTCGGACCCCTGCCAGCAGCCGCACCTGCGCGCCCTGCACGGGACCTTCGTCGAGCCCATAAGCCTGTCGACCACGACGGAGCTCATCCCCCTCTTCGGCGGGAGCAAGCTGCCCATGAACAACGAGATCCTCATCCCCGGCGCCATGTACCTGACCAAGGACCCCTTCTACTCGGGCGGCGCGACCCACGGCCCGAGCTGGGACAAGAAGTCCACCAGCGTGACGTGGCGCGGCGTCGCCAGCGGCGGGCGCCACCGCGCCGCCAACTGGACGCACTTCCAGCGCCTGCGCCTGATCGAGATGCTCAACGGCACGACGGTCACCAACATGGAGCGCAACGGCGCGCGCGCCATGACCTTCGACATGCCGCCCCTCTCGCGGTACGACTTCCCGCTGCGGCGCGAGGGCCGCGTCGGCGAGTGGCTGAGCGCCCACGCGGACGCGGGCTTCAACCACCTCATCTGCTTCCCGCGCGACTCAAACTGCACGTACCTGAGCCCCCACTTCAGCGAGGTGGCCTCGGTGCCCATGGCCGAGCAGTACGCGCACAAGTTCATCCCGGACGTGGACGGCAACTCCTTCTCGGCGCGGTACAGGGGCCTGCTGCTGTCCACCTCCCTGCCCCTCAAGTCCACCGTCTACGCCGAGTGGCACGACGACCGCCTGCAGCCCTGGCTGCACTTCGCCCCCATGGACAACACCCTCCAGGACCTCTACGGCATCCTCGACTACTTCACCCGCGACGACAGGGGCGACGCCGCCGCCCGCGTCATCGCCGAGACGGGCAAGGCCTGGGGCGAGTCCGTCCTGCGCCGCGAGGACATGCTGCTGTACGTGTGGAGGCTGCTGCTCGAGTTCGCGCGCGTGTGCGACGAGGACCGCGACCGCCTGGGCTACGTGGACGACCTGGTTGGTGATAAGAACCACTGAGGGGGAAGCTCTCTGAGAAAGAAGAAGAAGAAGGTGTTGTGTTTCGGGGGAAGCTGATGGCGGGGAGGGCGGGCGGTGAAGCATCTGTGTTCTCTCAATGTGGCCGTATACTCCTTATTGCGTATTCTCTTTTTTTCTCTCTCATTGTTAATTTTTTTCTTCTGCTCCCGTCACCGGGTGCAAAGCGGCGTGCATACGGGGTAGGGAAGGAGGTAGTATGGGATACCTGTTCGAGAGAAAAATGCTTTCCCTTTTTATTTCATTGGCAGTGGAGTTCGGGGCGTTCTTGAAAGATGGGCGATGCGCTTGCGCCGTGGGAACTGACTCTTTTCTCCCCCCACCCCCTTTCGATACCGGGTTGCTGTTGCGCAGGCGCGTGGACTGGTGATGACCCGACGGCCTCCAGCACCACCAACTACAACTACACCTACAATGCATGATGTATATATGAAATTGGATCACGATATCGGGATAATGATGACGCGGGAAGCGGTGTGCTGTGGCTGACAGCTCGCTTTCCTATTGCTGCTGCTGCTCCAACTCGGTCATGGTCACAGAGAGAGGGCAAGTGAAGGGAGTGGTGGTGGGTACAGCATGTTGTCTGTATATTGTGTACGGGGCCGCTGTGGCAGCAGCCGTTATTGCTTCTTATTACCAGCTGGAACGAACGTCTCCTCGTTCCCGCTCAAACCGCTTTATGTTGGTTGGGACAAGAAAACCCCTACTTACTCCGATAATGATAATTTCCCAAAAACAAAAGACACAAACCTGACTCTCAACGCCGTCTCGCGTGCCTGTGTCTTGGCCACTAGGTGTGGCCCCCTGTGAATCCTGCGATGCTCATACAATACAAACAAGATGCTTCGTTGCTTGCTCGCTGGCCTCACCGCGTGAGGACCTGGCAGGCAGGCACCCGGTTTCGGTGGCCCAGCCAGCTTCTGCTGACTGTCCTGCTGATCCGGCGTTTTACTCTGAAATCCAGAGACCGTGGCCGGAATAATTTGAAAAGGTCGTTGCCGCCGCTGCTGCCATAGCTGGGGGGTCTTGACAGGTTGCCGCCCCTGACGCTGCCACGGAACCGCTGTTTCAACGCTTCTAGGTTCGTGAAGCAGTTGGTCAGGTCCTCCTCCATGGCCGTCAGGCCCGCTTCCGCTTGCTGGATGTAGTCAGCATCCTCCGGTTCGGGCGGCGCGACACGCAACTCTTCAAAAAGCCTGGTCATTTCGTCGATCGACTTGTCCAGGTCCTCAAACCACTCCTCCGATAGCGGTTCAAGTCTTGGCTCAGACTCTTGCGGGGGGACAAAAGCTTGGTCAGCCGGGGCTTCCACCCAGCCCAGACCCCGCGAGGCGGTCAGGCGCTCCTTCCTGGCCCTCCAGAAAGCCTTGCCCTCGTCGATGTCAGGCCCAAACAGTTCTCTCCAGAAAATGTGCTCTATGGGATGCGAGTGTCCCTTCTAGGAGACGATGATGTGGTTGAAGTGGCCGGGGACCTTCTGCCGGCACTTCTCGCAGTCGGTTCGGAACCCTATGCTGAACGACTTCTTCATGCCTGGCACCTGGGTCCAGCTGTTCAGAGTGTGCCGGCTGCGTGTGTGCCCCTTCTTTGGTGGTGTCTGCCCCGCGGCGGGCGCTTCAATGTCCATAGTATGCTCGCCACAGCTGGACTCGGTTGATGTAGGTGGCGAGAACTCCATGGCAGACGCCGCTCTAGGGGGCATGCCCGGGTGCTGCTGGCCCTTCATCCTGAGCGTACCGAGCTCCTCGCCCCCACTCTCGCTAATGGGCGACGGCAGCCGTCGGTTCTGCACCATGTTCCAATCGGCCAGGGCTGCCCGGTCTAGCGAGCGAGGGACGGAGCTATGAGCGGGCGGTGGGCCAAAAGCCGATGGCTGCATGGCGACGTTGCCCGCCGCCCCGCTCCAATTGTTCCCACGCGGGCAGCTGTTCCCGCGGACCTGGGCAGCGAAGGAGCAGTGTATGGGCGTGGGCATCCTGCTGGCAATGTCGCCGGTTTGGACGGGATCGGGTTGGCAGTGCCCCGGGTTTAGTTGGGCGTGCAGGTCCTGGAGGTGGTCGTCGTCGGTGTCTTCCATGTCCATATCCATGCTGTCAATGTCGTGCGTGGGGGGCGCGGTGTAGGCGCCATAGCTGGGGCTAGGGCTGGGCTGGAAGGAGAGCTTCTTGGACGTGGGGGATGTGCGGAAGGGAAGCGACTGCAGCCGTTTCTGTGGTAGGCATTAGCATCGGGGTGGCAGTGGCAGTGGCAGTGGCAGTGGGCGCCGGCATGAAGAGGTCATCTTACGTTGCGGTGCTCTGTGAACCCCTCGGTGCCTCCTATGGCGACATCGCCGTCGTCATCCCGGTTGCGCTTCTTAGACTGCTGCTGGCCCCACTGTTGGAAAGACATGGTGTCTGTCACACGGAGCGGCGGGGGTTGTGTGATATGTTGGCAACAATGATGGTTAATGGATGGGTTTCGTAGAAGCGAGTGTCGACGTTGGTGGGAGGGGTTGGTTTGTAATAAGCCTTGGGACTGGGAAACACACGAGGCAGATCAAGAGAGGTCGTCCAAGGTTGTCCAAGGGGGCTTGTTTTGTCCAGCTCGGGAGGGCTGGAGCAGCACAAGGAGGCGCAAGGAAGGCGGAGGGAGGTCTGTTCCCGGCACAGTGCAGTGGCGATCGAGTCAGCTGGAAGCGATGATGATGCTAGGCAACTCGACTGGGTGGGGTCCACGGACTCGACTGCACAGACAGACGGGCAGACGGGCAGACAGAACGAGGTTGGTTGGTGGTGGTTGAGCGCCGAGGTCGGGACGGGGACGGTAGAAGCGGGAGTGTATATGCAGTTGCAGTTGCAGTCGCACTTGCCGTCGCGATTACAATGGCGGCGGGGAATTCCAAGGAAGCCGAGGGTCGTATCGTGGTTGCAGTTTTGGAGGGGGCACTGCCAGACGGCCAGACTGACTGGGCTGGGCTTCCCCAAGGTGAGGAGTCGTGATCCACAGCTGCAGGTCTGGAGAAAGGCAGTCGCTTATCGCCGTGAGCTTACGGGCCTGTGCCCTGTGGCCTGTCTCTCCCACTCAGCAGGCCACCTGAAGAGGCCAGGAGGATCAAGGCTGGAGTTCTAGAACAATAACAAAAACAACAACAACAAGAGAAATGGAAACTGCTGAGGAGTCGACAGGGAGAGGAGAATTGTCAAGTAGTGCAGAAAAGGTGAGGGGGTGTGGTCTACAAAAAAAAAAAAGTGAGGGCAGGTTATGAGGAGAGGTTGGGTGACGGGAGTGACGGGCTGGCTGTTGAGTGGTGGATGGTGGGGGGCGGGGGTAGCGCCGCCTACCTTGGGGTTCCGCGCCTCCGCGCAGGCTAAAGTACCAGATCCCGCTGCCAGGGAGGAGGTTACACTCAACTGGAAGCGGGCAAGCCAGGTACGTCACTGACGACGATCACATCAACACCCACGGGCTGACGAGCTTCCCAGCTGCAAGGGGCCCGAGGCAGGAGGAATGTAGGTGATGGCATAAAGCATCACAATAACACGGTGGCTTGTTTACTGTCCGTCCCAGATGAAGTTCTCCTATACTAAGAGGTTATAGGTTGTCCCTTTTAAGAGGTGACATATAGGAAGTAACTACTTGAGCATCTAGGTACCTAGGTAGGTAGGTACCTACTTAAGGACGTAGAAGCCAATCGGCCTTACTGTGTAAGTAAGTACATGCCTAGGTACTTAAGTACTTGAGTACTTACACGGCAGATACTGCAGCCACGAAGGGGACAACAGCAATAGCACCGACAATAACACGAACACGTTAGCGATGCAAGAAATACCGTCCAAACTAATAAAGCTGATCCAGAACATGAGATTCAGAATAGCCATATCCACCTCGTGCTCATTGGCCCTGCAGGGTTCGTCCTCCTAGCCGCACTGTCTTGGCCTGCTGCTCCCTAGCGCTGTGCTTCCTTCTCTGCCCACGACTCTGCCTAGGAGCCTCGGCAGTCGGACCCCTAAGCGGGTGGGCCTGGGGGTTCCTGGTCCCTGATGCCTGGGGTCGGGTCATGGTCATAGTGTCACGGTCGTCTTTTTTTGTTCAGTGTGTGGGGCGCCGCGATACCCTCCAAACCCGCAGTCAGCGACATATTGTCATACGACAGCAACATGGTCTGCAGCTGAACTTCAAATGTTGGTGTGCTCGTATTAACAAAAGCACCCCCTGCAAGCTGACCAGCCTCTCGGCTGCCCCAACCGCAGCCCAACCTCCCGGCCCGCTGCAAGAAAATATACGAAAAAAAATTGCCCGAGCCGGACAACGCCCAAAAGTGCTCAACCGCCGAGCCGCTCGAGACTCCTCGTCCACAAATGTTTCCACACACCAAAAAAGAATTGTGTGAGAATTACCCTCTCTGTGGTCCTCGAAACATGGACTCTCCAGAACCCGGGCTCACCTCCATCCAGCCCGGCGGCTTCTCCATCCTAACTAAACTTGCGCCGATATGCACGTCGCTTGGTTTCAGATTTGCTTCAGATGCGGTCAGGAACGGGTCCCCCTATGGCGCGTGCTCTTCTCCCTACAGCACGACTTTTTCCCCCCTGCCTTTGCCCTTTTGCTTGCCGCTTCTGTGATAGCTAAATAAAAGTCCCAAATTCTGGCCTGGGATCATGAATTGAGAATCCTACTGGCTCGCGGTGCATGCTGGGCCCAGGTCTGTTTCCGCAACTGGCGACGCCCAAAGCCTTGATTGGCGGTCGGGCATACGGGGCTGGGACCGCAGGGACTCGATGTCACGGGGACAGGCTCTAGACTCCCTTCAACTCAACCTTACTACGGTCAGGACTCAGGAGTGAGTCTATCGCTGCCGACCTGCATCGGCACTTGACATGACTCCGGAGCACAGAGCCGCTGCGGCCGAGCGAGACTGTGCAACAAAGCTTCTGCGTTATTTTGGGGTCTGTCGCTCCTACGCCGTACTATCAACGATGTATTGTTGTGTCTTTCTGGCTGGCTGGCCCCAAGGAAGCTCGACTTGGCCCCTTCTCCCACGGCCCTCTCTTGCCGCAGGTCGAGTCCCACCTCCTCCTGTTACAGTGGCAGGTCGGATACTTCGGCCGGCCCCCTGCAACTGCAACCCTATGTTACAGCAGGCTTGAGCCTTTTTAGTTGCGGTGAAGAATTGCCATTTTTGTCGATTGTACACTAGGTATGTGTGGAAATTCCCCCTTCTGATCATGATGCGGCCGAGAGGAGCTACTAGCATCATTACCTTGCTGGTGTCAGGTAGACGTTCAAGGGCGGCTTTGTCCATATGAAGAAGGCCTTTTGGTCCATCCAGTCCTCGTCGGGGTCCACCAGCTCCATGTTGAAATTGTACAGTATCTTGGCCAGGATCAATTTCACCTCGGCGTACGCAAGGCTTGCGGAACAACAAGTCAGCATTTAGTTCATCCCAAGTGCAGTCCAACGAGGAAGGGGAACTCACTTCTTCCCAATGCAATCCCGAGGTCCTGAGCAATATATACATCATGTCAGCCACGAAACTCAGGAGTTGATTAGTTATCTTGGGCTGACTAACCTATACCAAATGGCTGTATCGCCTCTGGCCTGTCGTTTGGATATTTCTCAGGCTGGAGAAACCGCTCCGGCTGGAAGCTGAAGGGCTGGCTGAAGTTCCTCGTGCTGTGGTATGTAGGCCACTGCGCAACGCTCACCGTAGTCCCTTCTGGCACAAAGTGGCCGGCAATGTTGGCTCCGCCTTTGGGTACGACACGGAGGGTGCTGCCCGGTACTGGTGGGTAGCATCTCAAGGCCTCTCTGATACAGGCAAACACTGCGTGGACTCGTGAGTGACATCTCGTCAAGGAGACTGTGCAAACATGGGGACGGGGCTGGATGAGAACAGGTCATTACAAACGAACTGAGGAGCAACATACTATAAGGGAGATACTGGACAGACGAGAAACTGATCTCATCCTCTGAATTGAACGCAGACCGGATCTCATGAGTGATCTTCCCCAAGCACCCAGGGTTTCTGAGAAGCAGGTACAAGAGCCCCGAGAGCAGAGTCGCCGCCGTGTCGGAGCCTGCCACAATCAGGACCATGGAGTTGATCATTAGCGTTTTCATCGGCAGTTCCTGCAACATGTCAGACATCTTCGTCCCTCTCCCTGTGCCCTCGGACTGCTACTCAAACCAACAACTCACCCACTCATCCTGCTTCTTTAACAAGCCCCCGATCAAGTCAGGCCGCTCAACCTTCAGGGCCATCCGCCGCTTCAGCACCGCCGCGGTAAGCCTGTCATTCTCCCGCCGGAACTCAGCCCTGCTCCGCACCACCCACTTGACAAGCCTCTCCATGCCCAGCAGCTTGAGCGCGTAGTTCAGCCCCTGCGCCCGGAGGCCCCTCTCGATGCCGCTGACGCGCCCGGTCGCCCGCCCGTTCTCGAGGCACCCGAAGCTCTCGCCGAACGCCAGGTCCCCGATGATGTCGAACGTCACGTACAGGAACCAGAGGCGCATGTCGACGGCAGCCCGGGAGGGGCGGTCCGGACCAGCAGCCAGCAGCGGTGAGCCGCTCTCGTCCGTCTTTGTCCTATCCCCGTAGCTGTAGGCGGGTCCGCCGCACCGCTCCCGCAGCCGCCCGACCAGCAGGTCCGCGTACCCGCTGACGATCGCCTCCTGGCCCCGCAGGCTCCGGTCGCTGAACCCGGGGCTCATCTGCCGCCTGAGGAGGGCGTGGTTCTCGCGGGTCTCCGAGACGATCGACGGCGGGACGCCGCGGTTGCGGTAGAAGGAGGGGGCCTTTGGGAATTCCTCGCCCTTGGCCAGGGCGCCGTTCTGGTAGCCGTAGATATCCTTCCTGAATGTCGAATTCTCTTTTAGTGAGAGTCCGACTCTGGGCCTGATATAATATTTGGGGGGGAAGGAGGGCAGGAATCACGGACCATGCATCCGGGTCCGTAAAGACCAGCTCGTTCGGCGCCACTCGAACCACGGGGCCGAACTTCTCGGTGAGCGGCAGGAGTTCGGTGGTCCATCTGCCTAGGGCTACTTTGAGCGCGACCGGGAGGACAGAGGCGCGGTGGGCAATGGGACCGGGGAACCTGCGCAGGGGGTGCAGGAAGATATTGTAGAGCCATCGAAGAGCCACTGACACGAGGAGCTGTGGTATTTGGTCAGCAAAAGGGCGACGTTGGACCTCGTCAGTTGAAGGGTTCCAAGCCCGGGGCAGCTAACCACTCCTGATAATAATATCCCGGCCGCGAAGGCGTTAGGGGTGACATTCGCCATTTCTGCAATTATCACTGGAAATCGGGCCAAGGCGGTTTGCCCGTATGTTCAGTCCTTCTACGAGAACCTTGGAACATTACGACGGTTTTTGGAGGTTCTATTTAATCTCCTCCAAAGGAAAAGACAGGACGCGATGAGCCAGCTATTAAGAGACGTGTCATCCAATTGTTCTCATAGCGATCCCGGTCACAGAGAAGCCAAGGCGGAAATTCCACTCTAAATACATCTGCCGTGAGCAGTCCACGAGTAAGACAAAACGGGAATACAACTCTAGTGTATCTCTGCCGCATAATAAGCTTTTAAAACGAACCGGCCTTATGAGCAGCATTAAGCATTCCGGGCCACAGGCATTACAACCTTAAAAGCTAAGGCTGCACCAGACAAGGGCATAGCAGCCGGACTCCGCCCTGGTTACTGTGGTATGTTGTGGTAATATAAGGTGAGCAAGGTGAGGGAGGCCCCTGACTCCTGAGCTCACAGACCCTGATTGGGTAGCGGGGTCCCAGAAGCCCACTTTCCGGTCCCGCTCACTGATGATCGTCGCTTGTTGTCATGCACATCTGAGTACACCGCCCAGTAGGTGTACACGTCACATACTGCGACTGTGACTTTGGCTTGAGAATGTGGTTATGGCTCCTGCTGTAATCAAGGTAGTGTATACAGCACAAAACCCCCCATGCGAATCTACGATGTCGACTAACAAAGGTAAGTTGCCCTTCGTCTGTCTGAGCACTTGAGAAGGTGCCAGTCTTATGCACAACTCGGACGCGACATTTCTGGATGAACCATAGAGGACAGATTGTGAAACCTTTTAGAAGTCTACGGAACGGAAGCGATCCCAGTTTTCAGAACTCTCTCCAGTCATGATCAAGCCTAGCGAAACCTTAAAATGTAGAAGCTATCCACTACTTTTGATAGAGAAGACATTGGCTACCTACTCAGTAGATTCGGTGTGAAGTCAGAGCTACACTTAAGTAACTCATGGCAGCAACTTGGAAGTTTGAATTATTTAACATTGAACAGGCTACTGCAATTTCCAGTTTCTACGGGCTTGCTTCCTCTAAAAGAGTAGTTTCCAGCATGGGTGAGTTGTAATTCATGACACTGTCATACCTTTGATGGTCCGTTTTTGTGTATCAAGTATCTATACATCTCAGGTTGCTTCTTGTGCATATGCATCCCAGCTTGAGTGGAGCCAGCCAGCACTCAGTTACTAGGCGGTGACCCTGCCCCAAAGTAACAGACCCCGAAACAGCCGGGGTTGCTCTATATGGCCCCGTCTAACAGTTCAGTCGAACAGGAAGGAAGACAAGTGCCGTCTTGCCTCAGCGTCGCCCCACTCGACCAGAACCCGCTCCTTCGACTCCCCCATCTTCGTTTCGACCAGCGGCTCCATCGCCGCGCGCTCCTCCTCGCTGAGAAGATGCATCCTCGCTCGCCACCAATCCTTCTTGGGTATATCCTTTTCCCGAGGGCCAAAGAACTTCTCGTCCAGGTACTTCCAGTAGATGGTGTCAAACGCCCAGCTCTTTCTTGCGGCATAGTCAAGCCAGAAGCGGCCCGTCGCCCAGCTTTCTCGCATGTATGCCGAGAGGAGCAGGGAGCCGGGGGCTGCATCTCGTTCTGCGTCTTCCATCGCCGAGAGCCATGTTTCCAGGCGTCTCTCGTAGACGCTGGCCCAGTCCTCGATCCCGCTGTCCCAACTCTCAGGCACGTCCAGGAGAAGCCACCACGGCGAGTCCAGGACAAATTGGGTTGGTCCCACATAGGCGAATTCCCAGTCAATGGCCCCGATGGCATTGTCGTTGTTATCGACCATGATATTCGCCGGCCGGAAGTCATCGCCCCAGAGGCGGAAAGAGCCCGAGCCATCCGGCATCGGCAGCGTCGAACGGGAGTGCTGAGACCTCGCGGACCAGTCGTCCTGGGCAAACCCGAACGATGACAGCCGCCCTTGTTTGGCCAGCTTTCGGAATATCTGCCGAGCCACGTACTTGTTCCTGCAGTCGTCCTCTGACGATACCATGTCGTTGTGCTGGAAGACCAGCGTCGCCATTTGCATGTCGGCCAGGGCCACGTACCACGCATCAGCGGTTTCATACGTGGTGCCTTCGGGCGGGAAGATCGATTTGGGGATGTTGGAAAGCTGGACCATGTTGCTCATGTTCATGGTTATGGGTCGTCCCGCCACGGAGTGAGATCCACCACCCGTCTCAGCTAGGGCTCCTATGCGCGGAAATGTAGGTTGTGCAAGCTGCAGGACCCACCGTGCCATCTTGGTGTACAGGTCCTTGAGCTTACTCTCAGATATGTCAGGGTTCAAGACAGCCTGCTCGTTGGGATCCTCGCGGGGACCATCCAGCACTTGGCCCATAACCCGCCTGGACTCGAGATCTTGAATGATCATGAAAGGTCCAACATCAGACTCAACGCCATGGTGGAAAGTCTCGGGGACCGGAACCTCAGTATTTCGGGCCACGTAAGTGACTGTCGCGACTTCTGCAGCTGTTTTTTCCTCGGGAAAGACGGCCTGGTCGGGCAAGGACACGCGGACTAGAACAGGAGCTGATGAGCCTTCGAGGAGGATAGGATATAGCACATTGTATCCCCCGATAACCAGTGGAGTTACCAAGGTTGCAGTTTTTCCATATATTTTCTCGGCAAAGGCTTCGATCTTGCGACACTGCGATGACAATCGGGCCTGCCTGATTGCCTGCTCCCAGCGTTCGTCGCTGCGATCCCACGCAAGGTTGTCAGAGTCTTGCCGAGCTGACATCATGCACTGTGCTCGCTGAAAAGTATCCTGAAATGAGATGATGGTATTGGGAATGTGGAAGAAAAATGGAGGCTAAGAAACGAAGCGCCGTCGGACGTGGAAGTTACGGCCAACAGTTCGTTCGTTTGGGGTCTCAGGTGCTGTTGTTGGTTCCAAGTGGGAGTGGCTTAGTTATAGGCGCCCAATGGAATGCGGTCACAGCAATGGTCCACACCTGCAGTGTGGAGGTCCAAGCGCAATGCCGCTGGCCAGCCAATATTACTGCAGGCAGCCAAGTGAAAGTCAACCTTGCAACCTTGGCCCAAATATGTGAGGCCACTTACTATTGGGGCACATTCATGGCATACTCACTGAACGAGTAAATTCTATTGGCAGGATTGCAACCAACATGACCAGGGCGAAGACAGGAAGACCAAAGGCTGAAAACCTGGGCCGGCTGCTCGCTGGCTGCGCAGTTGATTCGGGGAGCAGGTGAAGTCCGAGAGATGCAAACAGATATAAATACCAATGATGTCCGATCTCCAGAGCAGAAAACTTCCTATCAACCCCAGTTCCAGGTACTTTCATTGTTCTAAAAATCCGCCTTCTTCACATTTGTCAACGTTACCTACCGGTCTGAGTGATTTTCTTCCTAAATCCGTGTACATCCTGAAGGTGGACGGTCCCTTCACAAAGTGGTAAGCGCCCAAAGACCCAGTCTTCAAACAAAACATTTGATGGCTAAATTAACCACTTATAGACACTGCTTCATTATGTCTTCCAACCGTGACAGCGAAGGGACATACCAGGATGATCTAGAAGATATGACGATCGCCGCGGGCCAGAATAGCCTGAATAGACGCGAGGAGGCAAGGAAGGAAAGGGAGAGAAAGAAAGAAGAGGAAAGACAGGAGGCGACAAAGCAAGCTATGCTGGATGCTGGTATGGCCAGCCGTAACAAGCGCAAGAAGAAGCAAGACGAACAACAGAATTAGATAGCCCTCTCAAGTCAACACAATCGCTATGATTCAAACTTTCACTGTGGATTTTGGGTGGCAGTAAACGTTGACGATATCTCGTGACAAGCAGATCCTACCGGCCTGCTTTATAGAGAAATCGGAAGGAAGGAACGAGAACGGTGCAAAGGCAGATACCTACCTAGGTAGGTAGATCAATGAAGTGTTCGCAGTACTTAGTCAAGCGACACCGACCAAAATAAACTTGCACCAACGCAGTAATCCTGAAAATCCTGTTGTTGAGTGCTCCGAATATTGAAATCTTCGGAGTCTTGGCCACGGAGAACCTTGGAAGGCACTGGCACTTGCAGCCCCCGCGACCGGCTCCGGGCGCCAAACATTGATCATCAGGTGAATGCCCTCAGACTCCCGAACCCAGCCGTGCTATTGTCTCAGCCAGATCGTCCATGTTCTCGAGGTACGCATCGTTCTCCCGCCTCACGGCCGCCTGGTCCTCGTTGATGTCGTCGGTCCAGCGATAGACGTAGACAGTCTTCATGCCCACGGCCTTGGCGCCACGCGTGTCGTACCTATAATACAAAACGGAGTGTCAAGCTGGTGTCAAGAAGTCGCACGGTCTCAAAAACAACACTTGCCCACTCTCTGCACCCCATCTCGTCGGACTGGATGCGAACCAGGAAGCTGGAAATGAGAAATGATTACTCACGCATGCGCGGCGACCATCACGCACTCGCCGGCCTCGCAGCGCAACAGCTCCAGCGCGCGGCGGTAGCTCTCGGGCGCGGGCTTGTAGACGCCCAGGAGCTCGCTGGAGAGCAGGGCGTCGAAGCGCAGGCCCGAGGAGCGACAGAGGTCAAGCTGCAGGCGCAGCGTGCCGTTGGCGTGGACCAGGACGTCGAGAGTCCTCCCCTCCCCCTCGTCCCCGGCGAAACAACTCGAAGACCGCAGCTGCTCGATGGCCGGCGCGACGTCGGGCCAGGCCGGCTGGCTGTGCCACGCTGCGATGCAGGCGTCTTGTGCGCCGGGCGTCTCTGCGAATGCAGCCTTGACCTCAGCAGAGGACGAGGCGAGCTGTGCGGCTAGGGTTGTCCGATGGGAGGTGTCGATGTCCTCTGGCGGCTGGCCGCTGGCCAGGCGGGCGGCGTTGTGGTCGAAGTAGGCCTGGCGCCATGTGAGGGCGAACTGAGAGCGGGTTTCGTATGGGAGGGACGGCGGCAGTGCGGCTGTTATGGCGCTGTGCCAGTCTAGGCAGGTGCCCATGAAGTCGAACAGGACTGCTTTGATGGGCATTTCGAAGGTGGGGGGTAATAATGAAGATGTTGCATGAGTCTCGATGGCTATATCTTAAAAGTGTCGGAGGGTTGGCTGTTGTGATATACCTCAAGTGCTAAATCAGTTCGTTGTGTATGGCTTACGCCTTTCCCTCACTACACCTGCGCCCTTCATGCCGATCACAGGCAGACAGATAAGCCCTGAGGAAAGCTTTCAGATACCGCTTCTCTAATCAACCACACTCATAAATTCTGCATACTTGATCGCAAAGACTGCCACGTCCTCAGGCATGAGGCTGGGGCGGGCACTGGACATGGTCACGCCGTGTACTTGAGCCAGAGCTGAAGAACTCAAGGCATCTCAGGCATTAGGAGTTTGAGACCGGAGGCATCCTAAGAATAATTATCATTGATAAAATCTGGGACTCTAATCACAAAAGATTCTGAAAGCAAGATGGGTTCTATCATCATCATGTTTCTGACATCCATGGATGTCTAGAAGGCGGTCGTCAAGAGGATGGCGAATAGGTCGACTTGATTCAAGTGACTTCTGGACGTCTTGCACTGCCAAGTGGCGCCAGCTGGTACCACCTGGCTGTTCTGCGAGCTTCTCCACTCTTTCGGCAGGTCCCACCGTTGAATATTCCTGCCACGAACTTCAGGCATCAAGGATGGGTCCACCCCGGCCAATCAGGCGGGTTCCCACCGAAACCACAAATCTCGAATTTGCCTTGATGAAATTTCTCCGTCTTTCTCTTTGCAGGCGAGCTCCCTTCACGACGACAACCACAACCCGACACCCAACAAGCCCAGCTGTTGTGCGCAAACCATCAAAATGGTGAGCAGCAATGATCTCCCCCTCGTTGGGGATTAATCCTGTCGACGTCAATTGAGTCAGGACTTTGTCACTGACCCTTTGATTTCTCATACAGGCGATCAAGCACAACCAGACCATTGTCAAGAACCGTTAGTTTATGGCCCTTTTTTTTTCTTCTCCATTCGCTCCTCGATCTCTCCTCGGCTGTGAGAATCAGTAGGGCAGAGCGGTCGAGACGGCGTCCGTCCCCTGGGCGTCTTTGATGCTGACAGCGTTTCTGTAGACTTCCGCAAGGATTGGCAGCGTCGGGTCCGAACCCACTTCGACCAGGTACGATTCTCGTGAAAAACATCCCGACTCGCAGTGGTGGACGGCCGACTCCCCACTGCGAAATACTTCGGAACCTATTCTGACCAAGTGAACCACCACACAGCCCGGCAAGAAGGTCTCGCGCAGGAATGCCCGTCAGGCCAAGGCTGCCGCCGTCGCCCCCCGCCCCATCGACAAGCTCCGACCCGTTGTGCGATGCCCCACCATCAAGTACAACCGCCGTGTCCGTGCCGGCCGTGGTTTCACCCTGGCTGAGCTGAAGGTACGATACCCTCCCTCTGTGAAAGACGACCGACGAGCCCGGCGAAAAGCACACGTGTGATTTCAACCACGACGTGCGCACGCCGCGGCAGGTTGATCTGCCCCGACCAAGTCCAGCCCTCTAACAAACCCGAATCCAGGCCGCCGGCATCCCCCGCCAGTACGCCCCCACCATCGGCATCGCCGTCGACGCCCGCCGCCAGAACCTCTCCGAGGAGTCCCTGGCCACCAACGTCCAGCGCCTCAAGGCCTACAAGGAGCGCCTGATCCTCTTCCCCAAGAAGAGCAACAAGCCCAAGAAGGGCGACTCCTCCAAGGAGGAGCTCAAGGCCGCCTCCTCCGCCGCCCCCGTCGCGGCCGCCGCCTTCCCCATCGTCCACGCCGACACCACCATCAAGGCCATCAAGAAGTCCGAGTTCCCCGCCCCCGTCGAGGGCGGCGCCTACCGCAAGCTGCGCAACGAGCGCGCCAACAAGCGCAACCAGGGCGCCCGCGAGAAGCGCGCCCGCGAGGCCGCCGAGGCCGAGGCCGACAAGAAGAAATAAGCGACCAGCTGAAGCCGCAGGTCCAGCATGCTCTCGCTTGTTGTCGTTGTCGTCTTGGAAGGTGGTGTTCGGGCGGGTTGAGCAAGGGTTATTTGCTTCGACATCTGGTACTCTGTCTCTGGTCTTTGGGTTGGTCTCTGGGTTTCTGCGTCAGTCAGGGTTGCATTACAACTGCCACAAAGGCAAGGGGGTTTGGTCATGATACAAACAAAAAGCACAATCTTCTTTTGAACTGCTGGGTCCATGATGGAAATGTGAGCCGGGAAGAAAATAAAAGATTTGATCCTCGGGCTTCGATGGATACCCCCCCACACACCCAACAGACACCCGAGACCGGAAACAGCAGCTCATCGTAGGACACAATCGAGTCAGGCAGGAAATGCAAGCTTGTGAACACATGTTTATGAAGATGGACCGGTGGAAAGAGTGCATGTCTATCTGTTGTAGTTGACCTTCCCGTGCGTGAGATGCCCACAGCTTACGACCCATGTACGGTGGTCAAGAACATCCGGACGCGAGCCCCCTTCAGGCACCAGCACCCTCCCCCCTCGAGTTCAACACCAACTCCCCGCCCGTGACCACAAGCCTCTCGTAGACCGCCCTCCTCGCCTGGTCAACCGCCCCAGCGCCCGCCGCCGCCCCGCCATCCCTCACCAGCTCAGCAACAAGGCACAGCGCGTTCTCCCGGTCGACACGCGCCATACCGGCCCTCGCAACAGGATCCGCCTGCCGCGGCTGCAGGTCCCCAAGGCCCAGCCCTTCCATCCCGAGGCTCACACCATCGCCGCCGGCCTGGGCCTGGGCCGCCCCGACGCTGTTGCTGAGCACATCCTCCACGGCGCCGGCGTCCCCACCACCAGGCGACGGCGACGACGCCGCGAGCAGCAGGTCGTCCCCGTCCGAGACGTCCTGCCGCCCCGTGACGGCCTCGACCAGGGCGCGGCACGCGCCCGCGGGCTCCAGCACCGCGCACGCGAGGCGGGCCCCGGGCGCCGAGCGCCGGCTGGCGAGCGCGAGGACGAACCAGGCCTCGGACCGCAGGGCGGGGAAGCGCGTCTGGGTCAGGAGGAGGGAGAGGGCCGCGGGCAGGGCGGGGGTGTGCGCGGCGTAGAAGCCTGCGCGGCGGGTTTCTTCTGTGCTTGTGGCAGTACTAGCAGGGGCTGTTTCTTGCGTGGTGGTGGTGGTGGTGTTGTCGTTGTCGTCTTCTTCCCACTCCTCCGAAAGGACAGACTCGACCGGCGCGGAGTGCAGAGCCCGGCACACGTTCGCCGCGGCCCGCGCGACCTCCGTCTTGGTCGGCTCGACGTCGCTTCGCTGGAAGAGGCCCAGCAGGACGTGCAGGCTGGTCTTCTCGGTGCGGGCGTGGCCATCATCACCACCAGGCGCATCACCGTCGCCGCCCGGCAGCGGCCTGCACAGCCTGCCCACGTTCGGCGGGCATCCCACCAGCAGCAGGCGGCCCAGCGAGACGGCCGCGAACTGCGACTGCGGCTGCGTGTCGCCCCACGTGGACCACAGCTTGGGCAGCAGGCCCGGCTCCAGGAGGGGGCCCAGCGCGGGCTTGTTGGCGGCCGGGATGGCGAGGTTCTTGAGGAAGCTGATGACCGCGTGCGTGAGCTGCGGGTTGGGCGTCGCCGGCGTTGTCGTTGCTGCTGTTGCCGTGCCGCCGCCGCTGCCCGTGCAGCGTGCCAGGAGCTCGATGAGCGGCTCGTGGATGGCCGCGCCGCCGACGAGGGCCTCGCACGTCGCGTCGCTGCGGGCCACGTTGCCTAGCGCCAGGCACGCCGCTGACTGCAGCGTGGCTTGCTCGGGCGGGCTGCGCAGCCAGCCCTGCAGGGTCTCGAGGACGGGGTGCTGGAGCAGCTGGGACCGGTCTGCGCCCTGGGCCGGCATGGGGATGAAGCCTGGGAGGGCCGAGATGTCTGCGAGCACGGGGACGAAGGCGCTGCGGACTTGCTTCAGCTGCGCGGCGGCTTCGGGGTCGTCCTCGGCTTCGGATGGGTCGAAAGTCGTGTGGGCCATGGAGAATGCCTCTAGCAGGAGAGGGACGCTGGCCATGTTGCTCGTCTGGAAGGTCTCGTGGGTCAGGTAGGCCAGTGCCACGGAGGTGAGGGCGCTGAAGTCCTCGGCTTCGACGGCATGTTCCCGGTCGGTGGCAATGCTGAGGAGGACACGCGGTGTCTCTGGTGATCCGATGCGGGCCTCGGGCTCCTGCGTGATGAGGAGGGCGAGGACCTTGCATATCAGGCCGATCAAGGGACGGGCCTTCTCGAGTCGAGGCCCGTCAAGGAGATCTATCAGCCGGTGGCTGAGACCAGCCTCAGAGGCCTGCAGCTGGACAGGTTCTGGACAGTGTGTCAGTGGCTGTGTCTTTGGAGCTGGAGCGTGGATGGAAGTTAGCCACTCACCATAGTCTACCAAGACATTATACAAGACTGTGATGACATATGGTAGTAAAGAGTCATGTTGAAGGAGGTCTGAGATAGATTTGACATGGTTGCCCTCCACGATGCGGGCTCTATTTTCATCTGGAGACCGGTGAGCATTTGTCCCCAACTGTTAAGGGGAATGTCTTATTCAGGTACACTCACCTGTGTCTGCACATGAGTTACCAATCAAGCGAAGGGCATGGGTCGTGAGCCGTGGTCTCAAGTCGGGCGTGGGGAGGATGCCGAGGAAGAAATCCAGGAGACCTGATTCGCCAATTGGCAGTCGCCACAGGGCTGCAAGTAAACAAGTGTATTAGCACATGTGAGAGACAAGAGATTATCTGATGCGAATGCGAACATGAACCGAGCCGGCTGCCGGGAAAGGGACACGGGAATTCATCATGGCTGCATGCAGCATGAGCATGGGAAAAATGCAGTTCCGGTAGGAATGCTGCTTGATGCTACTCACGTTGCCGGCTCCCATCACCAAGCTTCTCGGCAATGCGGTCCAGATCCTCGGAACCGCTGTCCCAGGCAGCCTGAGCCTCGAGCAGGACGTCCTTGAGCCGAGCAACCCGGTAGCTTGTCTCGTCTGCGGTCAGCCCGGGTTCCTCGCCGTCGTCCTCCTCATCACCAGCATCCTGTTGCTGCTGCTGCACGACGGCGACCACGCCGTCGGTGCGCCTGAACAGCTCCTCGATGTCCTCTGGGGTCATCCTGTCCGACAGTGTCCCTTGTTGCTGCTGTTCACCGCCACAGGGTCGAGGGAGGTGTTGTGCTGTCTCGACTGTGGCCGGGGGGACGTGTCTATCATACACAGTACGCACAAGTGCTAACCCTGCGATCAAACCCGGCAGAGACGACGGGCTGGACGGGAGAGCAGAGACCCAGGGGGGCCAAGACCCAGGGGTTCGGGACGCACCAGCAGTTCCTGGAATGCTGTGTGTGGGGGCGGGAGGATATTTGTGGATGTTTTGTGGGGTTTGGAGGCTCTGCCGCCGGTGCGACGACGCAGCCTGGCAGCGATGCCTAGATCGGTCAATCCTGCGAACGAACCCGGGAACCGATGGGAATCTCCCTTGTTTGTGAACCAGGACTTGTAAATTTACCGGGTGATGGCTCAAAACCAAACCAAACGCTGGTACCAGACTTTGTCTACCCGCGTCTCTTGTGTGCGAATCTTCCAAGATTCTGCCCGAGATGAGCGGATCTGTGCGTCGATCTCAGGTATCGAAGCTGAATTGCCGTGACGTTCACCTCATCGGGCCACCGAAGCATTCAACATATGCCAGAAAAAAAGTCACACATGGGGCAGACTGATGAGCGGCCGATGATGCACTTGACGGCAGTCGACTGACGGTTGGAGCTGCCACTTCCTCTGGTATGGCAGGAGTCGTGGGCATTGGCAGCCTGGGAAGCTGCCATGCTAGTAAATGCTAAGCTGGTCAGCACCTGCCGCCTGGTGTCACATCTGATCTCCAGCACTGGCTGACTGGAACCATCTTGGCCCAACCCAAGCCTTTGGGCCTCGCAAATCTGATCATCAACCTGTCATGGGCATACATCGGCCAAACATTTGCCGTCAACAGTTTCCCAAGGAGATCTCGTTCAACAGATCCTTAGATCCTTTGGGACCTGTCACAATGTTTGCAGGGCAAGATGAGTCGAGATCATGTTCCGAGAGCATGTTCCTGATTCAAGCTCGCTCCCCCCACTCGGCAGTGGCTGCAATGACGACGACGCAAACCAGGCCACGACGCAGATCATCGCTTGCTGCCCATCCCATGAAACGAGCCTGGCAGGGCGAAACTTCACGGACCACCACGAGCCGGCTGATCGGAGAACCACCCTCGCTGCTCTCCCTCGAATCCCGTCCTCGCCGCCCGGCCACTGCATGAAAGATCTGTGTCGTTCATTCTGGCTTGGCCGCTTGGCTCATGGCACTCCGCCAAGCTTGGTCTGACCTGCTCGCCTGAGACCCGGATCCGCGTCTTGGATGAACTTTTGCCTCCTCAGCCAAGCCGTGTCATGTCCACCCGCTCACGACTCCCGCTTGCACATCTCCAGTTTCGACAGCCAAATCCTATTTTGGGATATGTCGTCTCTACTAATGGCCATGGTGGGATGATAGATCCTCACCTCGTCGAGATGAAATATAAGACGACTTGAGGACATGAGGCCGTATTGTTTGGAGGAACTAACATCTTTCCTACTATCCCTTCTCATCCTCTCTTTCAAGATAATTCCCTCCATTTCGCACATTCATTTCTCACAGCAGTGCTGTTTTGCTCCAGGTTGAGCTTGAATAATACATTGTGATCGTCCGCCCAAGACACACACCTTCTTTCGCACACATAATCAGCCAGAATGAGGTACTCTCTTTTCCTGACCGGCTTCGTGGCCTCCCTCGCCGTCGCGGCCCCCAACAAGAAGCGCCAGGCCACCGCCGCCCCGGTCTTCACTGCCAAGACCTTCAACGAGCTTTCTATCGCCGGCGGCACAGCTGGCGATGCCGCTGCTGAGGCCCAGGCTGCCCTCGCAGGCCTCCCCGAGGACCTGACCACTGTCGCTCCCGAGGACATCGAGTTCCTTGATGCTGTCAACTCTATTGCTAATGATGCCGGTAAGCAAGCTTCTCACACTGAGTCATTGCCTTGTCTCTTAGCCAGTCATGCAAGTTTCATTGGCCTCTTGAGGTGAACGTTACTGACAGACCATGGTGAACAGAAGTCGGAGGCTTCAACGCCGAGATTGCCGCCTCCCAGCCAGGCGAGGACGCACTCGCCCTCGGCCGCGGCAAGACCAAGAACAAGGTCCTCAAGCTCACGGCCACCACCATGAGGCTCGCCATCGAGGCGGCACAGGGCGAGGACGTCGCCGCCGAGATGGAGGAGGAGCAGGCCAAGCTGGACAAGAACATCGCTGACGACGCCGCCCAGGCCGGCGCCGCGTCCTCCGACGTCCAGTTCGAGGCCTCTACCGACAACCCCGATGCTTCCGAGGTTGCCAAGGACGACGCCCTCGCCGACCAGGCCTCTGCCGTGCTCGAGGAGTCTGAGGCGGCCGCGGGAGGTGCCAATGCTGAGGATGCCAATGCTGACGAGGAGGCCAATGCCCAGGACGAGAATGCCCAGGACGAGAATGCCCAGGACGAGAATGCCCAGGACGAGAATGCCCAGGACGAGAACGCCCAGGATGAGAACGCTCAAGACGAGGAAGCCAACGCTGATGAGGAGGCAAATGCTCAAGACGACAATGCTCAAGACGAGAACGCTCAGGACGAGGAAGCCAATGCTGATGAGGATGCAAATGCTCAGGACGAGAACGCCCAGGACGAGAATGCCCAGGACGAGAACGCTCAGGACAAGAACGCTCAAGACGAGGAAGCCAATGCTGATGAGGAGGCAAATGCTCAAGACGACAATGCTCAAGACGAGAACGCTCAGGACGAGGAAGCCAATGCTGATGAGGAGGCCAACGCCCAGGATGAGGAGGCCAACGCTCAGGATGAGGAGGCCCAGGACGAGGAGGCTAACGCCAAGGATGAGAACTAAAGACCTCAGCTGCTGGAATCACAAATTCCCTCTATGGGGGCTCTCCGAACTAGGGCCATGTTTTGAGCAGACATCTACAGCCTATAGCCTTAACAATGTAATTCGACATAATATGGCCAGGTGCTCGTAAATGATTCGGCCGTGTCTCTTCCCCCCGGCTGCCTTAACGTGTTGATTCACTCGTTGCCTCTTAACACAGGATGCGTAAAATTGAAACGGTGGGCCGCCGTCGACAGCACCGAGTATCATTTCGTGAGACCTGTCCTGAATTATCCACTGCATTTTTATTTCTCGTATAGGGAGTTTAATCTCTAAGGCGCAAGCAGATGAAAGCCGTGGTGGTATGTGACGATCGCTTCCGCAGAGTGGAAGAGCGTCTCGTGAGAGCTCGATGCTGGTGAATGCTTTCGGTTCAGGTCTGGCTGCACTTGAAGCACCAACTGCAAGCGAGTGCCTGTGCTGGGGGCCAGGACGGCCCTGGTGTGTATGGGACCAAGAAGTCAGCATTGAATTGATTATGGCGCTGCATGACCCTCCAACCTTTCCTACCTGTGGCCAGCGACAGCTTAGGGCACTCTGCTCGGGGTGTTCTCACCTTGAAAAGCACGACAGCCCATTCAGGGTCCATCCTTCTACACATAAAACCCGCCAGCCCCTCAACCCGCCGACCTTTCCCTCTATCAACCTCACCATGCCCGCGGAACAAAATCGCCCATCAAGGGCATCCTCCAGAAATCCAAGACCTGCCCCTCCAAAATGCATACAACCACGTCTCGGTCAAGCCACAAAAGACTTGCCCTGGGTTACACAGAGAACATGTGGCGCGCTGCATGGCGGGGTGTCCATTCTCCCTCCGTGTAAGTGCCAAAATCCGAGTTTGTATTCTCAAAGAGCTATGTGGGGTCTTGCCACATGCGAGCTCGTCAGCTGTCATCCAAGGATCAGTAACCCGCTGTGGCTTTGGAGCAAGTCGTCCGGGCGTACAGAAGGGAGCTGGTCGTGTGTGACATGGTAACATGATCATCAGCCGTGGAGCACGGAAAGGGCGAGGCACCAAATCTGACGCCAGACGACAGTAGTCAGTAAATGGGAGAAGGAGGAGCAACAATCATGTCCCAAGATGGGGGCCGCAAATGAAGAAAAAGAAAAGCCAGCGCTGTCAACTATAAAACGAGGGCCGTTGCTCGTTGATCAAGATTTAACAAATGTCCATTGACATTCCTAAGTACTTGTCATGCCCCGATTCTACAACTTCTTGACAAATAGACGGATATATCACTCTGCTCCCCTCTGTCCTTCTTTCGTAATCTAGTCTAGTAGACCTTTGCAGCCTCCTCTACCATGGCCGGCCATCTATCCCTCGAAGGAACTGTCGCCTCGTCCTCCGAGTCTCACTCCTCTGACGCCACCTTGATCACCGATGATCGACCACATGCAGGTGTTCTCGCCGGAATCATACCGGCTCTTCTTCGCAGCGGATACAATGTTTTTCAATTCATTACCCGTCCCGCTGTTGAACATACAACTCCAGAGGTATGTATGAACACCGAAATACTTAAACCCATCGTGACAAGCAACCGCTAACGTACTCCCCAGTCGATTGATGTCGAATCCCGATCTGCCAGTGACCAGAAGGTCATCAACAAAGGCCAGCAGCCTGAGACCACCCCCGGGCCTCACCCCCGGAGCTACGACACCTCTTCCGGCTCGGAAATCATCCATAACGCAATTCCGAACGCGGGCCAGCATGCTGCCATGGTGACAATAGAGGACGGCTCCGAAGAGGCGCCGCTGGATCGCCCTGGGCGCTCATGGACCTGGGTAGCGGTGCTCATTTTCATTGTTCTGTTGACCATCATGTTGCTGGGTCTTATCGTGGGAGTCGTGACGAAGCAGGTAGCATGGGGCATTGCAACGTCGGGAGCTGTAGCCCCAGTCGTCGTTTTCTTTGGGGGCCTTTTCTATCATCGCAGCAAGTGAGATCAAGGTTGCTGTGTGGAAGGCAGGAGCTTGGCATTGCATTTCCTCGAACTGTCACAGGGCGCAAGCCTTGCGACACTTATGACATTCTCTCTGCACTCTTGTTGGCATTATGTGTTCTGTGACGCTGGGTCTTTAAGCGTTTACCAATGTGTGAAGGCGCCGTGCATGTCTTCGAACGTATACGGAGTAGAAGCGAAACCAGTCACACCAGCTCCAGGGTGCCGGCGTCAGCTCGAGGTCCTCCAACGGGCTGATGGAAATTCCCGCCACACGGCTCGAGCTCGAGAAGGGGGAGTCGTTCGGTTTCGAGCACGGTGGCCTGTATGTAGAGGACGACCTTCTGGTTATCTTCAAATGTTAATACCTGGCTGATATCATGCGCAGGACAATACACGACTCTATAATCGTCTTCAAGATAGTCGCTGCGGAATTCCAAAATGGGCAGTCCCATGCACATCGGATGCCTTGCGGAAAGTGGCCGAGTTGAATCACGAACGAGTCGTGGTAACACTCTGCTTGTGACTCCAGGAAACGTGCCGGTTGCCGGCATGTCCAGAAGCCAACAGTTGTTCCTAGTGATTGGGCACGGGTGCTAACGGCGACTTCATCTGTTGTAGGTGTCGTGGGCATGGTGAATCAGTTGATGTGAAGGTCTACTCTGTCGCAGGCGGACATGATGGTGATGGTGCGTGACGCATGAAACTTTTGCAAACGGATGGGACTGGACAGCAACACCTGGTTATCGTAGCTGCTGAGGGGTTGGCACCGTGACTGACCAAGTTTCAAGATGGAGCGCTCGTTTCCTTTCTCTTATTCTCCTTGTGCCTGTTTCACGAGGACAGTGCTGCACCTCTGGGGCCAGGGGGACACAAAGAGCAACAGGACCAAAATACAGAGTGTGATCCGAACCACCAAGACGCGATCCGTTTGTAGTCCTACGTGTCGGCTGACGAGGTCGGTTTTGAGTTATTATGGATGTGGTCACCGTTTGGTGGATGCGAATGACACCTGGGCAGCCAACTTGGGTTCCAGGGGTGGTCAACTTACGCCACAGTGGATGGGAAGCTCACAGATCTGGTCGTGAAGGAGGGGAACAGCGCAGGCAGACCACACAGACCGACAAAAAGATACGCAAGGCGTGTTGTGTCCAAGTCCATGATAGAGGCTGGTTGACCAGAGATCTCCCAGCTGTGAATACGAGAGCGTCGACCGAGAGTTGACCTGACCCATCGATGTCGAGTCGAGAGTCAAGGGGTGTATCCACCCTCCATGGTCCTGCTTGCGATCGGTTTCTGATGATGTTTTCTTCTTCAAGTCGAAGCGCAAGGCGACGAGCTCAATGAAAAGAACGGTTTGTATCCGAGTGGCATCAAAAATTCCACCCAGGTTGACCCCAATGGAGTAAACCAGACTGGTCGGCGCCACGATGTGCTATGCAGGCTTTCCAATCTATTACCAATGATTCTTGATCCATCGATAGGATCAAGGGTGCTGTATGGAAGAGCGGAGGCAGACCACAGGCCGAAAAGAAGATACGCAAGGCATATTGTTTTCAAGTCCATAATATTTCACTCTCAAACAGTTCCACATTACAACACCATCTCCTTACAACAACACTACCTCACAATAACTTAAACCCTCAATAGCTTCACCCATCACATCCCTACCAATAACAACTCCACTAATAAAAGCTTCATCCACATCAACCTTACCTAAATTTAAAGTACTTTAAAGAGGCTAAAAAGCATCTAAAGGGTTAAAAAAGACCTAAAAAATAGGGATTAAAAGTACTTAGACCTAAGTTAAAAAGCTAGCCAAAGAGTTTAATAAAGTGTTTAAAGGTACCTTAAAAATATTTAAAAGGCCTATAAAATATTTAAAGATCTTAAAAACATTCAAAAAGATCCTAAGTCATTTATACATTCTTAAAAATACTCTAAGGAAATAGAAAGTATCTAAATACCTAAGATTATCTACTGGGCAGCTAACTAACCAGTAAGTCGCAGCTAGTAAGTTACCATTATAAATCTACTGCGAGTAAGGTCTGCCACGGCAGGTTAGTCTACTATAAGCAAGTCGACACTATAAGTCTACTACAACAAGTCAGTCTACTATAGGCAAGTCGACACTATAAATCTACTACAGTAAGTTAGTCTACCACAAGTAAGATAAATAACTAAATAAATTATCATTCTAACTTCCAATAGGAATAGATTCTTAAAGTTTAGCTAGACTCTACTTTTAATACTAAGGCAGGCTATATAGTCTAAGTATATTACTATATTATTAAATAGCACCCTATTATTAATATAAAATATAATACTTTAAAATAATTTAGTTTTATTACCTTTACTATAGCTAGCGATATTACTAACATTCTTAACTTTTATACTTTATATTATCTTAATATTAATAAGATTAATATTATTATAAATTCTCTTAATAGCCTAAGTATTATCTTTAAAATTAAGAAGTAATACACTTAAATTAAACTACTATATAACGCTTTAAATATACCATATAATCTATATAACAAGGTAAAGTAAAATAGAATTAATTATATAAACTTTACTAATTATAATTAATTATTAAATATATAAAGCCTAAATACTAGGAAAGCGGGGTAATAAGCTTCTTAAAAGTAATTTCTAGTTTAACGTTAACATCTTTCACTTTTAATAAAATTAATACAACTTTAAGAAGAATAGAATTATAAAGGCTTTAAAGTACTAAGTTTCTATAGCTCTAATAGTTAAGAATAAATTTAATTATTAGGACCTATTAGAAATAGAAGGCAACATCATTAAATCTAAGAGTAAGTCTAGTATAAATAAGGATAACTAGGCCAAGGTTAACTAAACTAAAGTCGACTAGGTTGACGGCAACTAGAACTAAGGTGTAAATACGCTAAACAAACTTAAGGTCAACCACTAGCAGCCACGCAATTATAATACCCTTAACCTATACACTCCCAACATTAAGCCTATTATAAACAAACTTACCAAATACTCTATTAATTAGAATAAGAGTAACAACCCTTAAAAGGCTAGCTAAAAGAAAAAGATTACCATCACTATTATATATTTTAAGACCTTAAATAAAACCTTTTAGTATAAATAAATTATTTAAAAGCCTAAGTATTAAATCTATCTATAGAAATATAGAATATAGAATCATTTATATATAAGTAAGTATAGACTTTTTTATAAACGAGTGAGTAGGTTAGTCTATAGGGATATATACATAGTATAAAACTAAGCCTACTTCCTATTCATTCTTAAAGTTATTAGTTATTTTATTAGGCTATTATATAGTAACATTAACCTAATAAATAAAGAAAACTTTAATAGCCTCTTAGATATAAGTTTAAAATAATAAAAAGTTAATATTTACTTCCACTTTTACTTACTTTAATAATATATATAATAATACTTCTAGTCCTACAATAGGCTTACCATTAATTATATTAATTTATATTTATATTAATATTATTCATTTACTTACAAGTTATATAATATAGTGCCTCTTTTATAAGCAAACATTGCTAATATTTCTTAAAGCTCTAAAATAAAGGTAGCTAGCTATAACAACTAATTAGCTTATGTGTAACGTAGCTTTCTTTAAGCTAATAATAATAGTAGAAACCTTTGTATAGAATTAACTGTAGCAACAACCACCCCCCAAATTATTTGAACCTCCACTACATGTGCTCCTAGTCTCTACATAGCAACCTCTTTGTAGCACTTTCGTAGATGCAAATTAAGGCAAGCCTAACTAATAAACCTTACGTGCCGGCCCTTGTAGCTGTAGGGGTATAGGAAAGGTATCTTTAAGTGTAAATTAATATTAACTGGGATGTCCGAAAGAGGGTGTTTCTTACAAATGTGCCTCTTAAAAAGTCTCAGTCTATCCCTCCTATAGCTATTTAGGCAGTAAGGGCAGCATCTTAACACACTAGCCCCGTTATCGACGCCCTGCTCGACAGCCCCGTTATCGACATTATAGGTGTGAATCATAGTATAAAACTTAATAAATAAAAACATATAGACCTATTTACTATAGATTTTATAGATCTAGGTTACCTTGCTAATATTATTAATTATTAGCGTCTCCTACAGCTTTACTGCAAATATTGTAGCGCAGATAGCCTTAATATATGTTTTAATGTCTCTATATACCCTAAAACATACTAAATATAAATATATACCGTTACTACACTCCGCAAACCTTCTAATATTAGGAGGTAGCTTATTACCCATAGATCCTAAGTGCTATAGAACATTATCCAACTTAACTATAGTATCAATAAAGGTAGATGCAACTTAAAGCTTATCCAACTCTAACTTGTCTATAATAGGGGGGAGCTCCTATATAATAGTATCGCCGTCTGCTCCGCCATCTACTCCCGTCTAGGGGATAGAGAGAATCCGCATCCCGAAGCCCAGCGTGTCGGGTCCCAGCTTCTCCACCTGCCCTAATCTAAGGCCATGACCAGAAGGGGAGGGCAGCCCGCCAGACTCATCAATAGCAGCCGGTTTAGGTACTTTATAGATATCGTCAATAATGTTATCTATAGGCTAAAAAGTCTTATCGGCGAGACTATATACAGGAGTTAACTAAGTATCATCTTTAATCAAGATCTCCTCCACAAGCTATATAGCGACGGCCCCCTACGGGCTGTCGGCCACACTAGCCATAGCGGTGTCCCACAGCTCGTTGTCATCATCAAGAAGGTCCTCGTCCTCTACAGGCTGCACGGCAACAGCCCCCTGCAGGTTGTCGGCCACACCAGCCATAGCGGTGTCCCACAGCTCGTCGTCGTCATCAAGAAGGTCCTCATCCTCTACAGGCTACGCGACAACGGCCCCCTACGGGTTGTTGGCCACACCAGCCATGGCGGTATCCCACAGCTCGTCATCATCATCGAGAAGGTCCTCATCCTCTACAGACTGCGCGACGACGGCCCCCTGCGGGTTGTCGGCCACACCAGCCATAGCGGTCTCCCACAGCTCGTCGTCGTCGTCGAGAAGGTCCTTGTACTCGTTGAGGCCTGATCGCTCGTCGACATTACCGAGAAGACCCTGGGCAGCCGTGCTATGACCGCCAACTGCTGCTGCCCGGGACCAAGTACTCGGGAGGGTCAAGGATGTGGTAGGCAACGAGGGGTTGTCGCCATGGGGAGTAGAAGCTGCTGCAGACCACGTTGTGGGCGAACCAAACGTGCCGGGCGACAGACCGGGTGGTGTGTGGGCCGCCGTAGACTCACCGGTGGCAGCTATGTTAGCAGCCGCTGCGGTGCTAACGATTACCTACTAAAGGGGATTAAAGGGGTCTATAAGTCGCTCCTACTAAGCGTCAATCATCTTCACATAATCGACCCGCTAGTCACCAACATATAGCCTGGTCAGGCCGAAAGCCATAGTACAGGTTATATACCCAGCCACTACCTAGGCATATCACTCATTATAAACCGACAGGTCCTTCAGGTTATAGACATCCTAAATCGCTCCCCTGTAGAATGAGTATAGCGTCACACACAAGTCGCTAACACCAATCTCCCACATAAAGGAGTGGACAGTATAAATAGCGGTGTGGGCAGTCGATGGCTTATCGTAGATTGGCTCGCACATAGTGGTGAACTAGTGGAAGACTAGGCGGTCACCAACCATCCATTCGACTTAATGGTTTAGTTTTACGATTGCAGCCCTAATCGCGGCTACATATGTCTGGCTGTTATCCATAGTAGCTCCCCCACCGCTACCATCACCCACCACCAAGGTACCTAACTTTAAGCTAAGGATAAGAATTCAAATAATCGGATTCATAAAAACTATCGACTCTAATAGGTCAAACAAAAAATAGACAGTCCTATTCTTACTCTTCTTCTCCTACTTCCCAAACTTCTAAGACCTAATAATAAGCTCTACATAAAGGATATAGTTATTAACAGTCAGGATACCATCTACCATCAACTTTCTAACCCTAATCTTAATATTAAAGTACTTTAAGAACTACTAAATATCATCACCCTTATTATAACTACTAGATAGAGTAAGGTCTCTAATCCTTCTAACCGTAACAATTAAAAGTATAACTAAATTATAAACCTATAACATTCTAGATAACTACTAGCATTAGGTATTCTTGTCCAGAATAGTTAATAGGAGGAACTAATAGACAAATATTATAAAGACTTCAAACTCCACCTAATTCTTCTTATATTTCTTATCTCTTATTAAGATCTTCTCCTTTACCAGCCAGCGTAAAGATCTTACCAAGAAGACAGACTCCTAGACACTCAGACTAAAATACCCCTCAAGGTAGTCTACTACTCATAATATAATAAACCTAGCCACATCGATCACCCACCCCACTACTAATAGCTCACCATTACAAGTTTCAATAATTTCCCTAACATAAAAAGAGATACAGCGTTCAATCTACTTACTAATAACAGACAAGTTACTAACAACATTCAAGATAAACATATAAAACACTTCCCAACAATTAAACTAAATTATATAACCTACCTAAAATCCAGATACACTACTTATATCTTTCTTAGTTTTAAAGTCCCACTTTAACTATAAGCGCACCTTAGTTACCTTTTTAATTAAAGCTACTATAAAGTTAACTTTATAATAGCCATACTTAATAACTACTATACGGCTATCTTTAAACTTAATATTAAAAGAGTTAATATTATCTTTATAGTTTAAATTACCTACTAGGTACTAGGTGGGTTAATCAACATTATTATCATACTACTAGTGGATAGGCATAGTAACACTTAATTAATACACTTAAAGGTATACTAATAGACATACTAGTTAACACCCTAAAAAATTAGCTCACTAGAGTGTTAGTCGACATTCTAATAGATACACCTAAAAGCGTGCTAATAGATATAGCTCCTATAGATAGTATAGAGGTGTAGACTGTCTGGGGGAGGATGGTAGACTGTTTGAAAGGGGATGGTAGACTGTCTAGAAGGGGATAGTAGACTGTCTGGGAGAGGTGCCGCTCCTACACCGAAGAGCTTAATCGGAAGAGGGTCCGGGCCAGGGGACGAGATGATAGGGTTGAGGGGGAGGCGATGATAGTGAGAAGGTTGATGTGAGTGAGGTTGAGAAAGTTGACAGAGGGAGTTGCTATAGGCGGGGTGCCTGATTCCCGTCGGCCATTGCTAGATTGAAACGGGTAGGTGTTCCTTCCGTTATAGACTCTGGAGAGAAGGAGACACGGGAGCGCGGGCGCTGGTTGGACAGTCCATATAATATAGATAGAATGGGTAGGCGCCCCTTCCCTCACCTCCCCGGACTGTCAACTTAGTATTAGGGGCGACAAGAAAGGTGATAGCACCCTTACACCCCAAATAAGGTGTAAACCTAGACTTATAGTTTTACACCTTACTTAAAGCAATATATTAACATATATAAAAATTATTTAGACTCCGTTTTTTAGTAATAATTTAGTTATTTATTCCCTATTTTTAACTACACCTTTTATAAAGTAAATATATCTATAATATAATACCCTAGCCTAAAGTTATTTAAATAAATCCTACTAATACTACTTTAGGAATAAACACTTAAACCCCTACCTATATAAAATATAATATAAAAGAAAAGCCTACATTAACTTATTTAAAAAAAGATAGTCAACTTTATTTAAGTCACTTTAAAGCCTCTATATTAAGGTCGATAATAGTTTTAAAGGAGGCTAAGCAATATTAATATTATTATCGCTCTTACCCTACTTTTATATATCGACTAACACATTTAAATTACTCAATTAGTTTTATAAACTAATTAATTTTAAAATTATTAAAAACTAAAGAAAAATAAAGAAAAGAATTAATACTTAAATACTAATAATAAGTTCTATTAATTAATATAAACTAAAATATAACCTTATATATTAATATAAGAGGAACTTTATAAAATTAATATATAAACACCTTTATTTATTAATTAAGTTAGTCTACTAATCGATTATATAATAGAAATATAATATACTATTAAAAGTATTTTATATAGTTAAAAAGGAAGAAATTATAACCTATAGGAGATTAGGGTATTAATAGGAAAGAAAATCTAAAAAATAATGTATAAATGCCTCTATTAAAGGCTAAATAATCCACTTATATTTATTTAAAGTCGACTTACTGTTAGACTACATTGGTAGATACTAGAGATGAAATAGAGAAGGCGAAATGTAGTTATATACCGGGCTGCTGCTGCTAATGCGGCGGGTATTGCTGCGCATAGTGCTGCAGATATAGCGGCTGCTGGTATGGATTCTGCAGCTGCTGCTGCTGGTACGGATTCTGCAGCTGCTGCTGCTGGTATGGATGCTGTTGTAGCTGCTGCTAGTACGGATGCTGCGGCTGATTTGACTGTTGATATTGCTGTGATGAAGAAGTACCGGAGCCAAAAAGGGCATTAACAATAGGAGTTAGTGTCTGAATGCGCGGTATGGGTGACTGTGAGCTGGCCTAAATTAACCCGCCTAGGGCCTGCTGACATTGCTGCGTATGTGGGACTCCAATATACTGTTATAGCTTAATAATGTTTGTGGTCTGCTTTATAAAGTATTTAGTGATAATCTCTTTAATGTTAACAATAATTCTAATAAGGTCTAGTAATTAATTATAGTCGCCAGATAAGTGTAAGTCCTTAACTACCTAATTAACCCTATTAAACCTTTAAGTTAACTATATAGCTTCTAACTTATAACTTAACCTATCTAACTTAACGGTAGTCTCCTTACCCTCCCTCCTTACCGCCTATAAGATGATGCCATTCTAATTAAGATATAAACTAACGACGCACCCGTCTTAATTCTACATTAAGGCTTTAAGTTAGCGAAGTCTAGTGTTCGCTCCGCCAGTATAGTCGACAGCGTCGTTCTAAGCCAGGGCAGGCTGGGCGACACACCCATCGCCTCTACTACCCGGAGCTAACCCGACTATCGCAAAGGCAATTAATAATACCACACTCGATACAGCTACTAGCTATCCTAACTTAGTATTAATATCTCCAGCTATTTCTCCAAGCTGGTTGACAGTATTAATAATTAACTTAATTCTCCTAAAGTTGGTTTTAAGGTTGTTAACAGTGGTTTTAAATATGGTATTAAGGGTTTTAAACTCACTAGTTTGGTCTTTAAGCGTGGCATTATAGTCTTTAAGTGTGGCATTGTGGCCTTTGAGTGTAGTAGTGTGGTTGTTGAGTGTAGTAGTGTGGTTGTTGAGCGCGGTAGCTATACCGTCGACTGAGGATCTGAGTTCAGTCAAGAGTTGAAAAGCTTTGCCCTTGGCGGCCTCTTTGCGATCGGCGGCCTCTTCACTATTGGCGGCCTCTTCGCTATTGGCGGCCTCTTCAATATCGGCGGCTTTATCAACAGCTTTACCCTTGTCGGCCTTGCCGCTAGTACATGAGGGTTGACCGCGATCGACTCTACCTACAGCCCCACTACGAAGTTGTTTCATCTGGGCTTTTAAAAGCGTAAGATCCAGCTTATATTTCTTCTTAAACTTCTTAAAGGTATTAATATCCTTAATCTTCTTTAAATTATCATCCTCTACTAATATATAGGCTTTCTTTAAATCTTATAGGTTTTTAACTATTACTTTTATAATTAAAAAAGTAAACTTACTATTAAATATAAGCCAAACTAATTCAATTATATATAACGGAAATAATTAACTAATATTTAACTTCCTCTTTAAAGTTATATATAGGGCCTAATAAAACACTTTATTTATATATATATTCCTATCCTTCTTCACTAACTTAACAACTTAAAGCTAAGCAATAAAATAGTTATATTTCTTTTTATTATCCTTATAAATACTATATATTTTCTCTATATATACCTTAATAAATAAGTCCCTCTATATTTAATCCTTAATTGTAGGCTATGCCGTACCCTGATTGTCTTTATTAGGGTCGCTGTCGGAGCCCGCTAAGGCCTCATCGGCCTCGGCGCATGCGGCGCATGCGGCGGCGTGTTGGTCGCGCTGCGGGATAAGGGTAAACTTACTCTTATTTTTCACTATTTTAATAACATTAATGATATTAACGACATTAACTACAAAGTGTAGGGGTATAGGGCGTAGAGTAGGGGGCTAGGGTGCTTATAGTTATAAAAATAGTAACTATTAAGGTTATTATTATTTTAAGTGTTTTAACTAAGGGTTAAAGGGGTATAATACTAATAGTAGTAAAGCTTATTACTTTTATTATATTAATTATTATATACTTTATTTACACTAATATCGATTATTAAGTAGTTAATTATATAAATAAAAGTTATTAAATACTAGTATAAAGTATTTATTATTAACACTTAGTAAGGC